CCTCGTGGTCCAACCCGTCGCAGTCCAACGCCAGCGCCCCGAACTACCCCTGCAACCCGCTGCAGGGCGTGACCAAGTGCAGCGGCTACACCTACGTGGACCAGACCACCTCAGCCTCCCCGCTGGTGTCCGACTGTCAAACCATTATCCATAATATCCAGGGCACCGACGGCCACTGGACGACGGGGATTGACCGCCAACGCGCCATTGCCACGTACGGCTCGTGCAAGTTTGGGGTCCAGAATGTTGGGGTCACTGGCGACGTCACCTACTACACGGGAAGTCAGGATATCGTGACCATCATCACCGAGGCTATTGCCAAGTACGAGTGGGAGGGCCGTGTGGGGGCGAAAGGCTATATGGAGTGCGACGGTGACGCAGGCCACCAGAAGGTCCTGTGGGGCCTATATTAGTAATCACACCAGGTATCGCCAGATATTAGCCCCCTGCTGGCTTTTGTCAATGGAGTGTCCAACTGCTGGCGGCTTACCCCCGTCAGGCAGACTAGGTTCAATCCAGGATATGCGTGGGGATGAGTTTCAGTACCCCTGGCAGCCGAACCATATCGCCCGCCCACGGGCCCATAATTGATCTCTCAAAGCGCTTCGCGCAGCCAAGGGCCTTCTTCAAAAATCCAATCATTGTAAAGAACAACCTCCTGCCCTACTGCCCTGAGTTGGGTATCTTTTGATCATGACAATGCACCTAATAAGCATAGTCATGATGCGCGCCCACGCGCCTTCTTCCGCTTATGTCTCTTCGTCAAATCTCCTTGTAGCTTCGCTCCATAGCCGCGGTTAGTGAAACTGCCGTGCAACGAGCGGATACCTCTTATTGGGGGACCGAAAAAGCTTAGAAATGGCTCTATCTACATTCGACAGGAGGGCTGCAGAGCCTGCAGGACTGCATGGAAACCCGGGCCGCTCTCTCGACCCCACACAGGCGGGGTGCTGCTCCGTAAGCCCATGCTTTGACCCCTCTGACCCTGATCTACACTGTAAACAAACGCAGCGGGCTTTGGAGGGATCGATTCCAGGAACTTTGATAAGATAGGTACAAATAACGGCTCGATTAGACAGTTTTCCGAAAGCAATACCACGTCACATGCACGTAGGTTATGCGCGTTCGACGGTTTATACATGGCCCTCCCCGCTTGACACCGTGCAATGGCATCATTATTTTGGAGATAACGCACTATCTGGGTAAAGCATGTGATTATTCATCTTAAAATCTGCTATCGGACCTGCTATCGGAGCTGGCTTCTTCGGTGGTATCGACGGCCGCAGACTATCTTGCGGCACTCACAAATAATCCAGGCGGCGTGTTTCCTTAGTTGCCTCAGTTGTCGTGGTAAGGACAGATACACTCTGTCATGTTACCTATAGTGATTGACATGGCAGTAGATACAGCATTTACTGATGAGAGCTCACAAGCTGAAGGTGGTCGTCAAGCTCATCATGCAGCCGACTAGTTAGGGTTGGAGTGGAGCCTTGTAATCTGTAATACAGATATGTACCGTTCTATCCCGCAGTATATATATTACAGTTCATGGTATATATTACACTGGGCAGTACATATCACAATACCAGCATACACAACGATCTGTTTGATACCTTACCAACCTTATCTTTCGATGACACCACCGGTCAAAATAATAAGCACTAGACCAGGTAACCACAATAAGCTCCTTCCCATGCGGGGTCAACCACATAGATAAATAGGCTGCATGTGAGAATAGCTGCATCTCGTCCATGAACCTCTCCGTGAACCGGTGGCTACTGTACTTCCAACACGCCACCTTGCAGTATCCGAAACTTACGCTCCCACTCAGCAACTGTTCTCTCGGGTGCATCTGCAGTCACCACCGCAGAAAGATGACCGAGCGGAACGTGCTGACCGCAACCGCGACGCAGCTGAGCCGTCTCCTACAGCAGGGCCACACGACGAGTCACGACATCGTGCAAGCCTACCTGGCGCAGATCGATCAGCACAACCGCGCCGGCCTGCAGCTGCACGCGTTAATCTCCGTTGACCCCGCGAGTGCTCTTGCGCAGGCCGCCGACCGCGACCGCGAGCGGGCCCAGAGTCGGGTCCGCGGCCCCCTCCACGGGGTGCCAATTATCGTCAAGGACGCCATCATCACGTCGCGCGTATTGGGACTGCCAACCACCGCGGGGGCTGTCGCCTTTGAAGATACGTATGGCCGCGCCAACGCACCGATCATCGATTCTCTGCTCGACCAGGGGATGATCATCCTGGGTAAGGCGAGCATGACAGAGTTCTGCGGCCTCAAGGCCACTTGTATCACCGCGGGCTGGTCAGCCGTGAACGGGCAGACCCAGTCCCCTTACATCGCGGGGGGGTTCCGCCCGGATGATCTCTTCATCGGTCGCTCGGGGCCCGGAGGCTCCTCGTCGGGGTCGGCCGTGGGCGTCGCCGCGGGCTTTGCCCCGCTGGCCCTCGGCACCGAGACTTCGGGCTCCGTCTGCATGCCCGCCAATCGCGCGGGGCTGTACTCTATCACCGCTACGCAGGGATCTGTTCCCCTGGAGGGGGTATTTTCTTTGAGCAGGGACTTTGACAAGCTCGGTGCCATGGCGCGGTGTCCAGAGGACCTGGCTCTGATGACAACAGCCCTGAATGGTTCACACTATGTGCAGTCGGCCGGATGGGAGGATGTGTCGGTCGGGTTTGTGGACCCTCTTCTCTGGGATGCTTTCGCATTCCAAAAGACCCCCGACCCGGACGTAGAACAACAGATTGTAGGTTGTATCCCGATTTGACTTCTAGTGCTAAATGCTAAAGCTCTATAGCTGGGTAGCTATGAATGGGCGCGATCGCAGATCGCGCAGCGAGGAGGCCGCGTGGCATACCCGGTCGAATTGCCGACCATGGAAAGCCTTCACTACGAGGGCCAGAGTGTGAACTACTCCGTTGCATGTGAGGGCCCTCTGAACACTCATTCTTGAGCCTAAATCTAATGCGAGGTAGTCTACGAGTTCCCAAAGCTATTTGAGACATTCTGCTCCGTACTGGAAGCGCCAAGAGTGCATTCAGTTTCCGAGTTGATCGAATGGAACAAGGATCATGCCTCGGTTGCGTTGCCGCCGCGTAAGACATCGTCGATACTCCACCAGTTCTCTAACTAACTCCTCATAGCACACACGGATCAGAACGACTTGGTGGAGACACTCAGATCGACCATGAATGATGAGAAAGCGGCCGCAGCAAAGGCTTACGCTCAACGGCTCGCTGGAGCAGAGGGCATTGACGCAGCGCTTGCAAAACACGGAATAGATATAATCATCGGACCGGGCGACTGTGCCATCTGTGCGGTTGCTGCGCTGGCGGGCTATCCCACCGGCATGGTTCCTCTCGGGCGCTTGGAAGGGCCAGGTGGGCTGGGCCAACCGCAAGGGTTGATGTTGATCAGCCGTGCAGGGGGCGAACAGAAGCTTCTACAGTTCATGCATCTGTGGAAAGAGATTGTGGGCGATTGGAAGGTTCCAGCTTTACTCCGTTGAGCCTTGAAACTCTTCGTGTGCTACCCGTCTCTCAAGGCGCTATTCACCATGTCCATGTCAATTCTATCAGCTAGACTCTGAAACGAACCTTCTAAATCAGACTCTCGCGACTTATTACATATCTTTACGTTTACTGAGCTCGACGCCAAAGCAGCAACAAAAGCCAAGCCGAGGTAAGAGAAGGGTTGTCACTCATCGACAAGGAACCATGGGGTCCACCAAAGGCGGGTCAGTAGGTTGTGTCCGTGATCGTCGGCCCTGCTCCATAAGTGTAGCAAAATTCCATTGAGGTCCATAATGCAAAGTCTGCAAAAGAGCCATCACCAGGGATGTGTAGTGCGCTATACGGAAGTAGGTATTCTTCCCTTCCACGGATCTCTGCCGGCGCAGAATAGGTAATCACCCTCCGGAGCACTCAATATGAAAGATGAAGCGTGAAGTCTTGCACATGCGCTTACAGAGACACATTGTGCTGTATATCAGTTCTAGCTAGAGGGGCTAAGCTTGGACAGGGAGAGAGTGGAAAATGTTAGACAGGTTGGTGGCATCTTTTCTTCTCTTCATCTGGGTGACCTGCATGGAATTCAGCGTTTTCCTAGAATATGTCGAACATAATCTTAGAAGTCCTACACGATTGAATGTTGAACCCGGCCGTCACCAGCATGATATTACACACCGCACGGACAAGCCAGAATCACAACATCACCAATACGAGATCCAGCTTCGGAAAGGAAGGCTGGGGGGAGGTCAAAAATGGCTCGTATCCAGCGGGTGCTGCGTGCGAGAAGGTGAGAGTCCAGACCCTTTCCAAAACGACATGGAAAGCCCAAGTCAGAACCGAGCAAAGGGCTCTAGAGAATCTAGATTGCTACCGTAGGGAGCCGCACATGTTGGATGTGAGATAAAAGCTCCGCATGCGGAAATGAACAACATGGATATGGGGTGGCATTGACAACGAGTCGTGAATTAGGTTTCATGGGATGTGGTAAAGTTAGTGGATCGACGCATTACGAATACGGCCCGAACATTCGCTACGATTGGGTTTTGAAGGACGTACCATGGACAGCATCCGTCACATAAAATGTACAGATCGACTGGGTGTCATAATGGCTGTAGATAAAGAGACTACAAAGAGATCTTTGCTTCTCCGTCATTGATATACGAACCTGCTGTAGTGAAGGTTGCTTAGGGAATTCAAGACTCGAAGACCAGCCTCTTTCTTTGTTCACTAGTTCCCTGGGACGATACGATAGTCAACCGATAACAACTTTGTATAGAAGGCATGTATCAGCGGTAAGAACAGAAACCGAGAAAATGGTGAATTAGGCTTGTCAGCCAACCTCCTGTACGTGATGACTTTAGGAGATATAAAAAGCCTGTCGAACTCTGGCATGGAACCTTGCCTTCGTCACATTGCATGCCACTGACTCAAAAATCCCAATCTACTTTTATCTTCATACATCTTTGGTAAACACAATGCCGGTCAAGGATTACGGAGTTTGGAAAGCCCTTCCGGTCCATTATGAGTTCGAAGATCACTACGAGGACCCCAAATCTCCTCATCTCTCCTTGTACTATCATGATAACGAACCAACCACTCCACAGTTCGACCGTGCCTATCGACGCAAGCACAAGGGCAGACCCCGCGACAAGAAGAAGTCATGGGAGATTCCTGGACTATTCCGCGCAGCCATCAACATCAAATCGAAAGCCAAGGAGTCCAGACTTGCCTATTTTGTGAACCACAATCTTGCCGAGCACCCTATTGCCGAGAAGTTGGCCAACCTCGATTTTGGCTTCCATTCGATGGAAGATGTAGAGGAACTAGACGGCAAAGGCCTGGATTACATTCGTGGGATGCTTTTCCACTCTACCGATGGTCGTGTTCTTCCCCACGACATCCCTGGAGACGACAATGATATTATTGACGTTCTGGAACCTGAAGTCAGCAAAGCCATTGACCAGCGAGCAACCATCTATCTATTCGGCTCGATGTTTGATTCACGAGATGGCATTCACAATGTTCATATGAACCAGGGAAATATCTCGAACTTCAGGAAGGATGATGGGGTGTTCCAGGACGGGGGTCTTGTCATTCAGTACGACGATCACTGGACAGGCGTCTTCCTTGCATTCGCCTCACAAGCTGTCCACACCGATGATAAAGATGGCCACGCATTAGAACCATTAGTGACATGGGCGGACGTGCTACCCGTCGATCGCGTGGAAAATTCGGTAACGATCACGGAAGCACTGGTCAACCCACGGGGCGCAGACGATCGAGCGGCACGGACCAAGGAATCCATCACGCTGGGGAATCTCACCAACCACAATGTTTCCTTGGAATCATGGAGCTTCCACAACTCGGTTGGCCAGACCCAAGACCTGCCGCGAAACGCGGCCTTGGCTCCTCGGGCCATGCGGAAGTTCGAGGTACCCAACTGCCCTCTTTCCAACACCGGTGACACCATCACCCTACTCAATGAAAAAGGCCTGAGGGTCGACGGTGTGAGCTATGGGCGGCGGCAGGGGCAGCAAGAGGGCCGTCCCATTGTATTTGCTCATTGAATTTGAGGCACTCTGCAAGCTATATAGTTTGTTCTCCGTCGCTGGAATTGAACTACGGTCAAGCAAACAAGGCACTGGAAGAACCAGCTCTGAAAAGGGGCAGCATTGATTTCACTGTCTTTCTCTGTTTGTCACTGTGTCATCTCTCTGTACTCCGCTTGTGACTGGATTATAGCAGTCAAGGGGAGAAAAGTGATTTATTCCAGACTGTTGAAACTCGCCGTGCTTTCTGAGTCTGATTGACTAGGTAAACCAATGTTCTACTATATGCGCTCTGAGATAATGTACTGAATGTTTATTTTTGACCCGTATCTTGTATCTGACGGTGAACATTCCATTCTCAAGATTCATCTTAGTCCTATAACTGCATAGTCTAAGTATACCACTCCCTTGTTGTTGTGTGCTTATTACGATGGTAAGCAAAATAGCGGACGAGGAATACAAAATCAAGTGTCTTCATTAATACATTAATACAGAATGCAACCTACAGAACGGTTCGCTGATGAGGAATCCCCGCCTGTTTGCCGAGATTCACTGTCCGCGAAGGCATTATGGAACTAACCGCCCCCATCCATTCCACAGCTTGAGTGAAAGTTGCACATGAGGTATAGAACTTGCCGAATATCTAGTTGAACTCTTCAATGCATTAGTCATTTTACAGTGTAGTGATTGCGAGATAATAGACAAAGACATACTGTGAAGGGAGACCGGATGCAATGGCTGCAAAGGGAAACGCGAGCCTTGTTCTCGGAATAAGATCAGATTCAGAGGTACAGCAGTGCCTTTCTAAGCCAGCTGGAGAATGCTGTTAGGACAACAGGTACTGTACATATCCTTTGGGACGGATATAGTATTTGGATCTGCGGGTAGAGCTTCGCCCTCGAAACTCCACAAGATACGTCATAATCGTTTCGAGGCAACTCCTGCAATGGTAGTGTGTTTCACTGTGTTTTCAAGGTGGAAGCGCTCCATACATACCGCTAGCTTAGTACAGCTAAGCATATACGACCATAGGGTGTGGAAAACAGGGCTTCGTCCGCTCAGCCGTACTTGGGCCACTTATTGAACGCGGCCGACTGGAATATGAGTTTTTTTCCTAGTTGCTGCTTTCTGGGTGAGTGATGCTAAGACAAAGGGTGAGCACGGGTGATCTGAGTAAAGTTGTCAAGAGCGTGGGTGAGTTGGGTGAGCAAATGGGTGATTAAGCGGGCCAGCAAGGCAATCAAGCAGAACAATCTGGAAGTTAATTAAGGCACTCGACCTACTTATTACATTAATTTTTTTTTTTCTATTCAATATACCCATTCTTAGCAAACAACCTTATAAGTGATCCGATACCGAAAGCCAACATGTCACGTAATCATGCACAAATCCGGGCCTTCGGTGGAGCAGAGTCGAATAAAGGTTGATGAGCTCCGTAAAATCAGTGACTTATGTCAAAGGCTGAACAGTGTATATAAATTGTCCCCTGCCCGTCGCTCTTTCTATCCGCCTTTTCTGCATTGATCATTAAGATTCTCGTGGGAAGGGTGGTTGAAGGAACAACCGCCATCATGACCGGCTGCGCCCCCTCAATAAAGCAGCTCTGGAGCACGACATTGGCCATCTCCTTGTCTGCATCGGGCCCGACACGGGGCACCAACGCCGAGTATACGTCCTCGGCGTACGATTATACCTCTTCTTTCTCGTCCCTCGCATCGTTCGCGAAACCTTATGCATTACGAGAAGATGGGCGTCTCTGAGGTGGACATGGCACCATTACAGCCAAAATGAAGATTGGGGGGTAGTTCCCTGTGAGATCTGCTGTTGTTTCATCAGCAGTGTTCTATTTGGGGTTCGGTGGGGAAAGAAGGCTGAATAGTATGTTAACGGTGTGCTCCTTTTCTTGAACGGAGGGGGTGATGCTTGGTATCTAGATAGATTGACATATCTACTAAATATGGAGTGGTATGGCATTGACTGCACACAATAATAAGTCTCAATATAGTAAGAAGGGGAGTATATAGCCGATCGATGATATTATGATTTAGGAAGGTAAGCCAGGATTCAGAGTAAGACTTGGTCGAATCCTATGAAAGGATCAAGAGAGTCTTGACGGATGCCTACCGACCGTAGCCTGGTTGGTGTTTTTTTTTTTTTTTTTTTCTTTCCCCTGCTCTGCTGTATTTCTCAATTAGTGAGGGTCCGAAATACGGAGAAAGAGAGGGGTAAAGGAAGGAAGACGAACTTCTTTTGAAGGGATGGAAGCGCGGCTGCCTGGTGGTATTGTTGCTGATCTGCCTAATCCGCGAGGCAGCCACTGCCTTATGGGTGGCCGCGGCCCGCTCGCTTATCTATCAGGTGACTGCTGCCTCAGGCCTAAAATTTAGATTTCACGATAACTGCGAAGGTTGGAAGGGCTGGTTGGGCCCCTACAATATGGGAGTAGGTGGCTGCCGCCCAATAGGTATCGTGCAACAGTTGTCTGAAAATGGATGCCCAGATTATACACTGATAGACAGCAGCAATATGTTCATCTGCAGTATCTCATGCCGAGTGCTGTGATAGAACGGGCTGGAGAATGTCTTGGGGCCAGAGATCGATATCACGCTCTGAACCGCGACCTTTGCTCAGACATCTAGCCCCGAGGAGTCATACCCAAAAGATGGGATGTTTGCGCAATTACCGCGGAGGCCTTGCCCTATCTACACTTCTGATGTATTAATCGGTCATTGTAAGATGTGTCATTTAGCCTAAAAGGGTGTGCAAGTTCTCACGGTGAACAACATCCAGCCAGAAAACGAACCCGGGTTTCTCATCCATGGCGCTCCAGATTTTGAGAATCAGCTGGAAAATATGGCCTATTTTGGGTACCGGCAATATCTCAGAATAGAGCGACATTTTAGCGCGGATGAATTGTCGCGCCTGGGCGATGTCAATGGCCGACTTGGTACCGCTCGTCGAAAATGCCTTATATTGATTTGTGTCCATGTAAGTTTCTTCTGCGATGCTAGATGAATCAAACCGAAGTTCACCCGATACGGCGACAAACACGAAAGGATGCAGACAACGCGTGCCAGACTCGACGGGTATTGTACTGATAATTTCGAGAATGTAAAGTGCGAGGCTGGCTAGCCACTCATTCTGTTCTTGCCTGGTGGGCCGCGAAGTTGGGGGCCCGACTGAAAGAAAATTCGCTTTATCCCATGGTGTGTAGCGCTCCAAGAGCAGGTCTGGGAACACGCGGTAGAGTTGCAATAGTCCTGTGTAACGGTACGCTTCATCCGTTTTCTGCAAATCCATCGGATTTGTGTTGGATTCACTGGTGACAGAGACAATCGCCTGACCGGGCGTGTAATTCAGAAGTTGTCTTTCAATGCATCTAGCTTGTTTCAGGCAGACTCGGAAGCCTTCCATCTCTGCATCCCCTAGGAAACCATCGATCAAATATTGCCTCCTCCATTGTTCGTAAATCAGATACCCCACCTCTGTGACTAGCTGAGCAGTCTCGGATGAGATGCCGAGCCATGGGTGAGATGGCTCCGTCGTGTCTGGATTAGAAGAGTCAAACCCAACTTGGGGCGCGGGTGTGACCGGCCTTCCTCGCATGAATGCGAGGAGCATGTCGGAATAGATCATAGCATTCTGAAAGAATCCGAAGGATGTTTGGAAGTTGCGCTCGCGTAAGTCGGTATTGAACACGATAGATTTAATACGATCGAAAATATCGAGGCCGAGATTTTGTGGATGTAGCCATGAATATGTGTGAGCAATGAGCCAGGCAGAAATGAGCCGGTCGTCCTGGGCTAAGCTTTGATTGGAGCAGTCTTGCAGACAAGCCCATGCCTTCTTATGTTCCAAAGAAGCGATTGTCTTCATTCGAGGGAGCGACTTGGATAAACAAGCAGCACTCATACTTTGAATGACATGCTGTAAAGGCGCTGAATGCTGCCAAAGGTAATCAATCATGGTCCGCATAGGATTGATGACGTTGTCCCAGACGCAGAATAATGGAATCACCACCTTGAAAAAATGGGAGCATAGCTCTGTCTCTTCGTGCAATAGGTGACGAAGACTAGGCCTGGCCACTCTAACAGCCTTTGCAGGCCTCTGACCCTGGTGCTCGTCGACTTGGGACACGAAAGGACTGCTCCTAGGAACGACATTGATCTGTGAGGCACTGTGCATAGAGCCCAAGGTTGTGAGATGGGTAAATTGTTCATCGCTCAACTGAGAAGAGCCCACTGGGTCAGTCAGCAAAGGGAAAGGCTCCGAGGTTGCCGAAAGGTCGACTACGCCGTTGAGGAAAGAAGGGTCTACCCATAGGTCTTCACTACCAAGGTCTCCGTCTGCCAGATTCTCCAGCGCTGAGGATAAGATGTCCTCGACATTGGGGGTTTGAAAAAGGTTGAAGTGATTCCTGCCGGCGTCCTTTTTTGTTGTAGTTCGTTGATGGCTGGCTCGTGGCTTGCCATGACCGACCATGCCTACAGTAAACTGATGTTTGGCAGGCCATTTGATGCTTTGGGTGTACCCGGCGCATATGACTCCGCGTTCTTGACATCGCTTGCAAGAAGGCTTTGATTCATCGCATTTCAACTAAGCCGAAGCATCGTTAGCTACAACTTTGGCGATATGATACTTTGCTCTCGATTCGCACGCAGACTCACATGTTTTGATTTGCAGGTGGAACAGCCTCCACGGGACTTTGAATGATAATTTCTTGCAGACATAGCTGGATGCGTCGCTGTTGAAGATGAGTCGACGAGGACCTCGAGCGTACACGAAGACGCATATCTTCCAAGTCAGCAATTGACATCTGGCGAATCACCTGCTGCAGCCTTATCGGGCCTGATGCATGAACCAAGCCTTGGAATGCGGGGTACATCCATGGATTTATTTCCCCACCACGGACATCATTCTAGTTGGGAAAACCATTGCGGACTTCGAATCGACTTGATATCTACACCACCCATGTCTTGACCGCGGCCTCTATTCATCATTTCTCATTAATATGCCTCACCGAATATTCTACAGTCAAAAGCTAAGAAGACCAACCTCTATGCTACACTACTCCAGGGTTCCCGAGCAACATAAGTTCATTCGATGCTTCCACGATCTCACGACTTAGATGCTACCAGCAGCATGGTTCAATAGGGGATGACTCATGTTACATTCCGAGCACGAACCTTGCTGCATGAATCCGTAAAGCTGCAGGTGGAAAGGCGTATTTTTGCTTTTTGCATCAAGGGAGGATCTTATTATCTGGAAAGCCCAAGGCAGCCTCAGCTCTGGAAGCGAATGTCACGCCTAGCATTGCGAAGGGTCTTGGGCAACCCCCAATTCATATTTCCAACTCAGGATTCCGTGCGGAGATCACATCTCATCCAAATCACTTGGAAACGGTCACGGGCTGGGTGGGGGCTGTAATCGCTTTGGGTGGCGATAAGATGCCTGTCCGGGTGACCGGGATCCAATCTGATAACCTTTTACGTAATTGATTGCCGAAAACCCAGATAGGAAAGTCTATACGGTTACGTAAGCTCACATCTCCCACTGTAGGGTAACGGACATATGGCGATGTGAAGTCATTAATGGCATATTGATATGCCTATTGAGGAAGTAGAGTACGAGGGATAATGGTCCAAAACGGTGCAAGGAACAAGAACATGGTAGCTAGAGGCTCACGAGATGGTGATTGCATGCATTTATGCAAGCCCATATAGCTGGTGAGCTGGCAATGCTTGTGACATATTTGATTCAATTGCACGCAGCCAACGCACCGACAAATACAGGCTGATAATACCGAGCACTGCCCTTACAATCATGAGCCCCGGTCAGTTTCCGCATCCAAACGGGATGTCAACCTTTTGGACAGAGGGAGACGGTGACATCGACAATATCAGATCCACGGATCACCTTCCATCTGAGAATGCGATTGTGATTATTGGAGGCGGCTACAGTGCTGCGTCTCTTCTAACGCATATCTTGGACTCATATCCAAAGCATCCCTCAGTGGTAGTGATCGAGGCCCGTCAGCTTTGTTCGGGAGCCACCGGACGAAATGGTAATCAGGAAGCAAGTCCAAATTCTTCAATAAGCCATCAGAAAATAGGATAGGACCTCTAATTTTGATGAATTTGTCTAGGAGGCCATCTGAAGCCTGATTTGTATGCCAGCCCTTCTCGCATTGGTGAAGTATTTGGTTCAACAGCTGCAGAGGAGCTTGTGGAATTCGAAGCGAACAATGTCCGTGCCGTGAAGAACTTTGTCGAGAAGGAGAAAATACAATGTGAGATGGTGCTCACGCGTGCGACTGATGTTGTGTTTACCGAGAAGCAAGTTGAAGCCGCCACTAAAGGAATTCAAAGTCTGCGAGATGCTGGCGTAAGAGCATTGGATGATGTCTGGTATACTAGTGGTACTGAAGCTGCAATGGTATGTTCATTGTTCTGGACTCATCGTACCCAATGCCTACCAGTACAAATCCTGACCTCTCTTTACGTCCAGGTTTCAGGTGTGAAGGATGCAAAAGGTTGCTTCACTTACACCGCAGGTCATATCTGGCCATACAAACTAGTCCATCACATGTTCCGCCGCGCTCTCGAGCGAGGTGTGAACATACAGACAAATACTCGCGTCGAACATTTGTCTACAGCGGCCGATGCGGATGGTTGGTGGAAGATATCCACAAACCGTGGGGTTCTCAAAGCCAAGAAGATTGTTATTGCGACCAACGCCTACACACAGGCCTTACTCCCAGAATACAAGGATCGCATCATTCCGTACCGAGCCGTCAGCTGCCACATAACGACGCCTAAGCCTGCACCCTTGCTGACCAACACCTATTCGCTCAAATTCAGCGAGTGGGACTTTGACTACCTCATCCCGCGTAAAGATGGCTCCATCATCGTTGGAGGGGCTCGGTCGGCCTACTTCGCAGACAAGGACCAGTGGTACGGAAATGTCGACGATAGTACCCTTATAGATGGTGTACGGAAATATTTCGATGGATATATGCAACGTCATTTCCGAGGTTGGGAACAGAGTGACGCTTCAGTCAAAGAGATCTGGACAGGCAGTAAGTTTCATCTCGAGATCATGACACGAGCAAGGTACTAAGACGTCTAGTAATGGGCTATTCGTGCGATAAGGTGCCTCGCTTGGGGCCAATACCCGGAAAAGAAGGGTTGTTTGTAATGGGTGGCTGGACGGGTCATGGCATGCCCCAGATATTTCTCGCAGCTAAAGGTATGGCCGACATGGTGGTTGGTGGTGTCTCGTACCAGGAGACGGGACTTCCTCGAATCTTCGAAGAAACAGAGATCCGGCTGAAGAATGGCCCAAACAAGGTGTTAGATAGCTGGCGTACTTCTACTGGTCGGTCTCGTCTCTAAGGCCTCTTTCCCATCCTGGGCGTCAAAACCTTGTTCGTTTGCTGCCATTTGACCAATCAAGCAATGACCGCATGGATAGCAGTCCCTTCGTTAAAACAGAAAGAAATATCTCCGAATGAAACTCTACTGGTTATAATAGTCATACAATGTATTAGAGATTGTGATCAGAAACATTAGACAGGTCGAAATAACTTTATAATGAATAGATTTGTCGGTTGGCATCTGCGGTGTTCTGGACGTTGCAAAAACGACTTGAGCCCTGAACACGTTTTACTTAGGGTGGCAATGGGAGTCAGCAGGCTTAGAGTGACGAAAGTCGAGATAACTCATGAGGCCCACTATGATGATTTGTAATCGATGGGTGTGCTTGTGGTAGTAGATAATATAAGAAGTATTACACGTAAATATGAGATTGAATACTGTCAAATAGCGAAATGAAGGATGAATAGATCTCAAGGATCTCAAAACATAGCTGGCCCTATCTTCACCTAGAATCAAAGACTTGCCTTGGCCGTGGTTTGAGGAGCGTTCTGTGCAAGCTGTTTGAATTTCTCCAGAATATGCTTCGTGTCCATCTGGTGAAGGAATCGGGCCTCGTTGATCAAGAAGCACCGAGGGAACCAGGTCGGGGCTTCTTTCCCCATAATCAGCTCCACGAGGGCTTTGCCAGACAACCAGGCTTTGTCCATTCCATAGCCATTGTACGCTCCGCAGATCCACTCTCCGGTTCCTTTGCGTGCTGTCAAACACTCCGGCAACAATCCCACTAGTGGGAGGCAATCGGAAGTATGACCTTGTATTCCAGTCCAGATCTCTTTTAACTCAGGTTGTGAGACCCCTGCTTGTTCGAAATAAGTCGGCAAAAAGGTCTGAAGATATTGGCGAGCATCAGAAGATACTTTGGAATCATCGGCAGTCAAGACGTCTAGAATATTTGCTGTTTCAGTGCCCACCCATATATGGCCCGTGCGAGTGTGCTGTTGTAGATACATAAGGCCGCTTCTGTAAAGGCTTGACACCCCATCAAGTGAAGTCTGTTCTATCGAGCTCCAGGAGAAGCTGTCTCCCTTGTTCTCGAAATGGGCTCCCATACTTTGCACGGACATTGTGCCTCGGAATGGATAAACATGTCCTCTCAATGCCGGAAGCAGATGAGCGGCAAATGCATTGGTACAATGGACAACATGGCGGGCTCTGATACGCCCGCGCGGTGTAGTCACAATGTAAGGGTAGGCCTTTGAGATTTCACTCGAGTGTTCGGCCGATTCTTCGTGGTTGATTGCAATCACCGGTGTGTTGGCTTCAAGGGATAGTCGGTCGGCATGGACTTCCAACAGCCGTTGGAAGATTCCAGTAAACAAGCGATAAGGTGAGAGAGCAGCGGCTTCGTGATCAAATCCTCCAATAGCGCCTTTCACATTATGTTTCTTGAAGATTTATGAGTGCCATAACCAAAAGGATATATTTGGCCCGTTCGACTCACCTTTAGCAGGTTGTAGCCACTCACAACGCGATGGTATGCCTTTTTGTCAGGGAACGCTTCACAAAAAGCATCAAGAGAAGTCTCGGCCTTCTGCCATGATTCTTTGTCTGTAACGGCCATTATCTTGCGCACATCTCTCATCTCACTCTCGGTTTGTAGTTGAGGGTCTGCATTGCGAACCATCTCACGGAGTTGCTGAACATTCATCAAGCTGAATTGAGTCATTTGTATCGCGTTTTCCTTGCCATGTCGCTCAACCATCTCCATGAATGTTCGCCCGACAGGTGATACGAGCTGGCCACCGTTGCGCCCAGTGGCGCCGCTGACAAAGGTTCTGGCCTCTAAAACAGTGACATGAGCGTGGTGATCCATGTCAAGGATACCCTGGGTCACACTGCAGCCTGTGATACCAGAGCCGATCACGATGTAATCAGTGGTCTGTGGGAGAGTCGATGACTGGATGTTGGCAATTGTGGGATGCGGAGGCAGCTGCCATGCTGATACTGTTGGATTGGCGCTAGGAAGTTTTGGATCGTGAGTTATGGCTTTGTAAATTGCATCAACCACTTCCTGAGAGATACCTAGATCCAGCGGATTGACATTTTAGCTGCCTTTCTTTAGCATATCTCCTGTTTCATGTTCACACACCTTCGGTCAGGGCCATCTTTCACGTTTGAGTCGGAGTTCTTGTTTTTTTTTGGCACTCGAGTCTTGTGTTGGTCAACACTCAAGAATGTTCAGATTATAAAGTTGAAACGATCTCATCGAGAGTTTTAAAAGTGAACTCAGCAAAGCCTGGAGCTTGCTAGGAAGGCCGTTGGCACTCCATTGCTAGCATACTACAGCCGTGGCCGGAGTCCCGCTCCCCGGGATCCATTCTGCTACATGCGGAAATGGTATACGGGCGGAGATAATCCTTGTGGGGCACTTTCAACGCAAAAACGCCCTTAGGACGCGATACAGCGCATGGGTTCCGAATAGACTTTCTTGATCAGGACTTGTAGCAAAACGCTGGTCACAATACAATATCGCTTGAATTTGACCAATCGTTACTGGTATTCTATCAGGAAACTAGTCCATATAATGTTGAAAAGATATCGTCGGTTTCGAGGGCCCGTGCTAGTGCGATAAACGAGGAGGGGTTTATCGTTGCGATATCTATCGTCAACCCTATCGCAGGGATGGGCGAAATCGTTGCGATATCGCAATGCCGCAGGGTATCATCAGTAAGATCTCACATACTTTTACATCTTTCTCGTGAAAAGCATTAATTGTAGCGTTCTGATAGCGCTGCTAGGAGGCGTGTCAGGGTGACCAGAGAATAGAAATGCATGGTGGATCGATCAGAGGTTCAGCGTTTGAAACTGGAGGCACAGACCTGCTCGCGTTCATAGTAGCCACGCGATCACATGCATGTTAACATTCCAATGAGAGGCCACGGCAATTGGAAAACTAGAAGAACCTTAACTGTTTGGTGAAACATGAGGGATTGATCATCTTCACTACTCCCTATATCGAAGACTTGAATAGTTAGGAGGGTGTATTGACGTCCATGCTTTTCAGTACAAGATTCATTAAACACCATTTGCTTTCTGATTGTTCCAACTCGGTAGATTCTGCAACTAAGGCAATCAATTCTGTCAAACTTTATTTATCTCCGAACTAGCTGATATGATAGTAACGATGCCCCAGTCAATCATACCGCCGGACAAAGATTGGTGAAAACCGATTTCAGCTGGGAATAGGCCTCGAGTGCCGCTGGGCCGAGTTCTCTCCCAATTCCGCTCTGCTTGACTCCTCCAAAAGGTACTCGGTAATCACTTCCTTGATTACAATTAATCCACACCATGCCAGATCTTAGCTCGCGGGTCATGCGATGAGCGCGGGCAATATCTCTCGTACAGACAGCAGCCGCGAGCCCGAACTTGGTTTCGTTAGAAAGAGCGATGACTTCATCTTCCGTGCGGAACTTCATCACTACTCCAAGTGGTCCGAAGATCTCCTCTTTATACACCTTCATGTTTGAGTGAACATTAGCCACAATGGTAGGGGCAACATAGAAACCTTTTCCATTCGGACGGTCGGTAGCGGTCGTGCCACCAGTCAAGATCAGGGCACCCTCATCCTTGGCTGATTTGGCAAAGGACAGGACCTTCTCGCTTTGCTCCTTCGAGACTTGAGGTCCATGGTATGTGGTGTCCTCAAATGGATCCCCAACAATGCTGATCTTGGCCGTGAACTCGACCAATCGCTGACAAAATGTATCGTAAATGTCTTCATGCACGAAGATTCGAGACGTCGAAGTGCAGATTTGGCCCATGTTTCCCATGACACCATAGTGCGCGCATTGGATGGCATTCTCGAGGTACGCATCGTCAAAGACAATCAGAGGGCTCTTTCCGCCAGTCTCTAACGTTATGTTTGTCAGATTCTCGCTGGCTATTTTCATGATCTCCTTCCCTGTTTCGGTGCTACCTGTAAAAGCCACCTTGTCTACCTCGGGGTGGCGGACCAGAGCTGAGCCAGCTTCTTTTCCGTAGCCGTTCAAGATGTTGACAACACCTGGTGGGAATCCAGCCTCAACTATCAGGTTGGCAAAATACAATATAGATAGTGGTGTTTGTTCCGCTGCTTTTATGACAACGGTATTGCCGCAAGCTAAGGCCGGGCCCAATTTCCAGCTTGCCATGCCGAGCGGATAGTTCCATCTGATTGAAAAAATTTCAGTAAGCGGACAAACATTTCCTCTTCAGATAACAACAGCCGGGTAGGCAGCCTGCTCACAGCAGAAGACCGAGGGATGGTTGATCACATACGGGATGATTTGAGCACAGACTCCAATGGGCTCCCGAATGGTTTGCGCGGCAGTTGAACGAGAGGTTTCAATTGTTTGACCATATTGCTTGTCTGCCCAGCCCGCATAGTAGCGAAACACATTAAAAACCTCTGCGATATCGCCGAGCGCGCTTTTGTAGGGCTTCCCGTTGTCCATTGTTTCAATTGTCGCCAATGTCTTCTGCTCGCGCTCAACCAAATCCGCCAATCGCGAAAGTAGTTTACCGCGAGAGGTTCCGACTAAGCCACGCCAGGCATCATTTTCAAGCGCAGCTCGTGCGGCACCAACAGCTTTGTTCACATCGCTGGCAGTGGCAGCATAGACAGAGGCAATTTCAAGCTCGGTTCTGATATGACTTGTTAACTCAACTTCGCACAGTCGGCTTCGCAAAAAACATACGCCGGATTGATCGATTTTATCATCTGATTGTTCGAGGAACAAACCCAGGTGTTATTGATGAAAAGACCAACAGGCTGCATGTACGTCACGCCATTTGGCGCTGTGATGGACTCAGCAAGGTCAGACATATTAAACGAAAGAATCGTTTCACGGAATGTAGCGTTTCTGATGTTAGACGACCCCAGCGTTGTTGAATTATAGGGTTGGATGTCGATAAGTTCCGGGGCTTTCACTTAATTCTAGACAGTCAACGGAGGAACTGACATCGTATAAAGTTACCGAATCTAGCACTAGGGCCCACTCCCATTGATATCCAACTTTACGAACGGGAATTAGTCAATCCTAGGCTATAGGTAATGATCGTAAACACTCGCTCTTTACGGCTAATGATCTCGTATATTGCCACCCACCACAACTTGGGGCATCCCGTAATTCTAAGTCGCAACACATATTTCCAGTACACGGTTGCCCACTATTTCGTGATCTCTGATCACTGTCTAACTAGTACAACAATCTTCTTCAACTGATTCGCCGCCGCCATGCCTGACGTTGAATATTCAGTGGCACAGAATCCCAAAGATACAATAGCTCTTTGTGATCGTGATGGTGTTTCGAAACTAAACAACACCGACGCTGCCGACCCTTCGGTAATCGGTAGCATTGTCGATATTCCTCGCCAATTCAACCTGCTCAGCGTGTTTGCAATAGGCTATTCCATCTGCACGGCGCCCAGCGCCTTGATTCTATCACTGGGTGTGATTATCGGAAGTGGTGGACAAGCGACGTTGATATGGGGCCAAGTTGCGATCTACTTAGTCTCTCTTTGCATGGCCTTTTGCCTCGCGGAGTTATCTTCAGCATACCCAAGCGCCGGAGGCCAGTATTACTGGGCTGCAGTGTTAGCTCCCAAGTCATGGAGCAAAGCAAGTGCATTTGTCATTGGCCATTTGAGTTGGGCCTCTGCCGTGTGCGCCTGTGCATCTATGCTGGTCTCGCTGGCGGAAATGGTTAGTGCCATGTATGAAATACGACATGGCAATATTGAATTGCCCGCCTGGGTCAATTTCGTCATTTATCAGGCTATCAACCTTATCATGTTTGTTTTCAATTGCCGGGAAGCTATATTGCCGGCTTTGAGTCGTTTTTGGCTGGCAGTCTCTTTGGCAGCGAGCTTCATCTGCTTCGTTTCGATGCTTGCCCGAGCACCAGTCAAACAATCTGCGACCTTCATCTTCACCGACTTCACCAATCTAACCGGCTGGCCTGATGGCATATCGTTTCTCACGGGTCTTTTAGGCGTCAACTGGGGTTTTTCCTGTCTTGACGCTGTGACACACATGGCCGAGGAGATCCCAAATCCGCGGGAAAGCATCCCCAAAGCTTTGATTGGTACCGTCATTATCAACGCCGTGCTATCTTGGCCTATGGCAATTGCGGTGCTCTGCTGCATACAGAATATCGAAGGGGTTGCCAACTCGTCAATCGGTCTTTCGTCTCTTTCCCTCTTTATGCAGATATTCGAAGGGAGCACTGCAGGGCCTATAATGCTTCAGTGTATGCTGTTTCTCGGAGGCTTGGGGGCTGTCTTCAGTATCCACACTTGGCAGTCCCGGCTAACTGGAGTATCGCTCGCGATAACGGACTCATATTTGCAAAATATACCAAGAGAATTGCACCGGCGCCGTACGAGACCCCTTTTTGGTCTCATGTTTATTCGAGCATTTTCGTTGCATTGCTGGGTTGTTTGTATCTTGGCTCCTCCCTTGCCTTCAACGCTTTCTCAGGATGTCTGATTCAATTGCAATATGTTTGCTACTCGTTCTGCATTATTTGCCTTCTTGCTCGAGGGCGGGATTCTATCCCACATGGACCATTTTGGCTTGGGCGTTTTGGACATGTCTGTAACATTGTTGCAGTCCTGTGGACCTTATTTGCCTTGATATTTTATTCCTTCCCTCCTTACAAAGATGTCACCCCCAGCACGATGAACTACACCTCGGTAGTTCTGGTGGCATTCCTGGTTTTGGCGGTCGCTTTTTATTTTGGTTTCGGTCGGAAGAGGTTCAGACCTCCGACAGAGTGAACCGGTCGGGAGGTTTACTGTCACCTAGCTTGCCTTTATGAGTCCTCCTGTACAATCAGGTTTTTGTTTAAGATTCAATTAGTACAGTCTTTCGCGCAATTTGTAGCACTCGAACCAAATAAGAGAAATGCTTGCGTCTAGGAAAAAGGGAATTCCAAGTTCCAAAGACCACCCTCCCAGGTTTATTGAGGGCATCCTAAAAATTCATTGATGATCAATGTTCCCAAAGGATAGTGGCCAGTGTCACTGGAAGCAGCCCGATATGCTTGTTCGCTATCCATAACAAGGGATAGGAGGAGTCATTGCCAAGCAGCTGTCACCTACAAGTGCAATCTCAGATCTCCTTCGGCTGTACTACGAGATACTGGTTCAAGTCGTCGACCCGAAATCTATCAATTCGTTGCTCATACAATAGATTTAGAACTTCGAGCAGATGCTATTTATTCCATTGCTAAGACTGTGTGCTTGATCCACCTGCGAGACTTCCTTCTGCACGATTGCTCGTTGACTACCAGGGCTACCAGGACAAACTGAAAAGCATAACATTTGTCCTTGAGCCCCTTTGTTTTGGCCCAAGAACGCTTTCACTTTCATGCCTTCGTTTTCAGTGCCCAGCATGACTTCAAAAAGTCTTCAATAGTTGTCCTGCGGACATCAGGGAAGAGGGTACTCAGATCCGTGCCCGGAATGTCGTATCCGTTTCCAGCCGCTGCGAGAATCGTGCCAGCAACCACAGCATAGAGCGTTTCCATATCACCACCAAGCACCTCTTGCTTTGTGTTTGATGGCAAAATTACTGGTTTGCCACCTCGAATATTGTCCCTTAAGTCAAAAACTATTTCAAACTTTTGCCCTTTTAAATGCGCGTCAATTATGTAGACATGAATGTGAGCTGGATCATCCACACAACTCACCTGTTGCCTGCTCAGCAATACTAACAATATCCTTAGGTTGTAGTTTGTTACCGATGACAGCACTCTCCCGGGGCCATTGCTCACCCGGGAGGCATATCAAGCGCTCGAGGTATCTGGCCACGTCGCTTGAGTGAGTTAGTACAAGTGTCTGTGATCCGTCATCAGGAACATGACACATCTTGTGGTCAAGGTCAAGAAAGAGCCACAATGGCGTTAAAGAAGTTTGAATAGGCTTGCAGGGTAGCCCAAGATAGTCGAGAAATATACCATTTCGAAGCAGCGTCCAGCTCAGATGCGGATATCTCGCTAGTTCTTCCGCTGCTTCTACCGGCTGCAATTTAGGAGGGTAAACAAGGATGCTAGAAGTAATCAAGGCATTAGAGGATGTTCCCATAACAGTAGAGAGAAGTGGTAGGACTTACTCTTCCGGTAGCTTGTAGTCCAAATTGAACTCACTGGGAACGAATTTGGAAACCGTTCCTGCTATTGGTGCTATCTGTGTGTCCTTCGCCTTCGCCGAATACGCCAGGTATGCATCAGACCCGACGCAAATATTTCGTGATTAGAATCGTGGTTCCTAACCCTTGCATAGCATCTGGCCCTCTGCCGCTGGCCAGGCTCACTGGAGCGTGGTAAGGTTGAGCAGACAGTCAGTTGAGGCGACACTTACTAACGAAGTCAAAGGCTCTAACTCCTCCCAAATTCAGAAATATGGTTGTCAGTTGTGCAAGAATATCTACAGGGAATCTTGGAAAATTAACCGTACTACATGGGGGTTCCAGACGGCTTCGTTACTTTTGTGGATGAACGTTTTGAGTAACATCGCAGCTATTAACTCTATGACCATGTGTATTCAGTCACTTATCTACATTGCAAATTCTGACTATGCGCTGCCGAGGTGGCACGCATATCTTGTAAGTCCCCCTCAAGACTTATCTATCAATAGATTCTGTCTAATCTCACAGTAAATATTTATAGGAGTTGCCGTGGCTTCGTGGGCTGTCAACTGCTACTTCCCCGATTTACTCCACCAGGTCACCATCGTGGGCAAGTCAAAATGAAACATGGCCCTGAATCCAGATGCTGACTCTTCACACAGGACTTGTGTTAAAAAAACACTTTAAATTATATAACCAACTCAGCCCCTTTTTATACTAGGATCTTTAGGATTTTTTATGGTCGAAAGTATTGTTCTTAGGGTTCTTTATTAGGGACTATCTTTAATTAACCCTTATTGTTAGGGTTATTGGGGTTTATCTTTTGCTGATAATTTTGCCGGCAGATTTTCCTCTTGCCGAGTGGCCGCAATGGTCTTCCGTAGCTGGTCTTTCCTGCTCTTTTTTGAATTATTTAAGGGCATTTTCAGGGGCTATCGCGTGTACATGCAGATTGTTGTGGCGGTGGTCGGCCCCAACTTAAGGCCATGTTGGCTTTCCCACAGGTGTTTGCTGTAACATCTCAATGTTTTCGAGCGGTCACACCACCACGAGGGTGTAAAACCCCGTCGAGGGAAATAGATTTAGATGTAATTTAATCACAAAATCAAACCATAAAGCAAAGTGGCGTGCTGTTTGGTGTAGCTGGCGCGTTTTTTGTCTTTTTCAACACAGACACATTCATTAAGGTAGATACATCATTCATGCAACACTGTCTACACGACCGTGTTCACTGAGTCGCCACAAGCATCTTACAATGCGAGCAACAAGCCCGCACCCAAGAGGCCAGGCAACAGATGGGCGGGGTGACCGGTCGCCAACGCCGCCATCCCCTTGGAGGTCGAGGTGCTACTCGCACCACCGGCCGTGGCAGCTTCGGTCGTAACCCCAGACCCAGACTCAGATCCAGACCCAGAGCCTGATCCTGAGGTCCCCTTCGGCACGGCCGTCGCAGTCGCCAAATTCGCGCCGTTGCCGGTTGCCGACGTGACGGCCGACGGCATGAGCGTCGCACCGGGAACCGAGCCACTGCCCGTCCCGATCTCCAGAATCTCATCGTCGACGCCGTCATACTTGGCGTCCGCAAGGGAAATCTCGTTGTTCGCAAGGTCGTACACCACGTACGCGCCGCGTAGGAACGGGTCGCCCATCAGGTTGACGCCGGCCTCACTGTACCCGAGTCCGAACAAACAGTCGCCCTTGGGGGTGTGCGGCGTGATGTAGTTCTCGAAGACGAGTTCGCGGAGCGGGATGGTGACCGTGGCGCCGGAGAAGCTGAAGGTGAGGTTGTGGTCAGAGGTGGCCATGTCGCAGGGGATGTAGCCGGCGTTGTCCTCCGTGGAGAAGCCCGCGCCCAGCGCCTTGTAGATCGGCTCGACGAGCTCCTGGGGCAGGGCGATGCTCGCGGAGCCGTTGTCCAGGGTGACGGCGAGCGGGAGGCCGGTAGTGTAGCTCTTGGTGCCGGCGTCGGTCGTCAGGGAGATGTCGCTCAGGGCGATGGTGAGCGAGCGGTATTGCCCGTATTCCGGCACGATGGGAACGGTCTGCAGCTCGCCTTGGTAGTGAGCTTTATTGACGCCGCCGAAGAGGAGGTTGCCTGTGCCGTCGAGCTTGTTGAGCCACAGGCTGTAGGCGGCGGACTTGATGGCGCCGCTCTTCACCAGGGCGTCGGCGAGTCCGTCGTATTCCTTGTCGAGGTTGGCGGCGGCGTAGGTGGCTGATGAATAGCTGATTCCGAGGATACCGTCTGCGGGGTTTGGAAGTACATGATTAGCACAGCCTGTGGACATCTGGATGATTGAAGGGGTTGTTGGCTCGGCTTACGGGGGTTGGCGCTTGTTTCGGCCAGGGCAAACTCCATGTCCTTCACTGTCGCGCCGCCAATGACCAGCTGGTCGGTGGCATAGGGACCAACCGCCAATGTTCCGCTGACATATGTGGCATTCATCTCGATGTCCAGCTTTTTGAAGGTGGAAGAATCCTTGCTGTTGAACAAGCCGGTCGAGGAGCAAACGTCGTCGTCTGTCGAGCAGTAACTGGAGCTGGGGATATTCACCCAGATGTCACTGCTGCCAGTATCGAGACTCAAAGAAAGGTTTTGAGGCGGGGTGCCGATGGTGATGTTCACCATGTAGTACATATTTTGCTAGTCGAGACTTTAGTAGCCTTCTCTTCGTTCCCAACCATCTTCACGGAAACCTTTCGCATACCTCATTATACAGGCTCGTGCTGGCAACCTTCGAAGCACGCTTCTGCAGCTGAGGCCCTTGGTGGCGCGAGATTGGGAGCCCCAGAACAGCAGGCTCATCACGCCTGTGCAGCGTAATAGCATTGACGCATTGCAAAGTAGCCAAAGCGGCGATCGGCAAGATAGAAGCCCCCCACATGATCGACAAACTCCACGACGATCCCAAACGTCGTCAAATGGCAGGTGCTGTTCCGCAAACGATCGATACCAGCTGCAGCACGAAACACAGAATGCACAATCTCCAAGCACCACGCAGGACAAAAGAGAAAAAAAATGCGCAAGCCAGGAGAAAGGGGAGAATCGGGCGTGACTTTCTACTTTTCCTAGTGCCATGACCCTTCGGCTACTACAGGTACTAATGCTCCTGAACCCATGGGGAACAAATTATTTTGGAGCATAATCTCCGACAGATGGCCGTGATTCGTTCCTATGCTCGGGGTCAGGCGGCTGTAAGCTCTCGATATGGTTTGGCGCTGACTGGAAAAGGAAAATCTCCACTTGTTGGTTGTAAGCGCACTGATAGTGCAGTCTTTAGCGTAATTAATGGCGTGATTGAACCAGTCACTGAGTCATGGAGCATTTTGGAGTGATATACAGTAGCATTGCGGAGTTCTATCCTATTGGACAGGACTTGCTGTGCACTTGTTCAACTTTGTTCGACTGCGGAAACAGCCGTGGAAGCCTAAATATTGTACCTATATATTTATACAGAGATTTTAATGCACAGCACAACAACAAACTGCATAGCATAACTGCATAGCACATCTCGGGTGGGGGCCGCTCAATGCAATTGGTCAGCCTTGCCATAGTGGATCCGCATGCCTGGAAGCGATCTACAGATACCTTAGAACTTATCGCCTCTGCTCTGTGTGACCCTGTATCATTCACCTCCTTCCACTGCATCTTGAATATCCACTCCATTCTTAATCGTACTACTGCTCAAGCCAACGAATTACTAAGTCCAAATAGAGAATTAATTATACATCATCAGGAAGTTAGGTATAGCTACCTAGATCAAAAACTGATTTCTTACATACATCCTACAGTTGTATGCATCAACGCCCACATCACTATATATATGTAGTATGGCTAAACTGCTCTTATCCGCTCCTTTGACCTACACTCTTCCCAAACATTACTACTTCTTATCGGGAAACCTCAACGAGCTTTTCAGCTGTATGGGGAAGTTTGTTTGAGTGGCATAGTTGTTATACGTTAAGACAAGTAAAAACAGGAAAGCCGTGAAGCGAAGGAATATCCGCCACATGTTTCAATGCCCGAGCACCACTGCCATCAACTGCTACGACACAAACCCTATTCCATAGACGACAAAGCCGCCAACAGCACAAAATCACTACTCACGCTCCCAAGTCACCGTATGCAAGCATGCCCGATTATCCCCAAGCGGGATACTCATAATCCGGCCCCCCTTCCACCCCGCATACCACAAGACGGGTCGCTGTGAAGATGGTCTTGCGCTCCTGCGGATCCCCATCTGTGTTCTCGGCCCCGTCATGCGCCCAACGAGCAGTTACCTCTTCATACCGGCTGGGAATCTGATCGTCGGCGGCCGGAACCGCGCCTCGTACAAAGGTCGTCTGCCCCGTGCCCGTGTCGATTTCCACCCCGACTTTCGACCCGTTGAGATCCCCGATGCCATTCGGGTGCTCGGGATGTCCCGTGGTGCGGTCGGATGCTTGAGCCGACGACACGCTGCCGTTCCATCGCCACAGGTCAAACCGTGGCTGAAGCTCGAAGAGAAGCCGCGGCCGCGCGATTCGCGAGGGCTTGATCTTGCCCGGTGCCTGTCCCTCCGTTGCAGCGGGGCTCTGCGTGCCTCTGGGGAAGAATGCCCCCACAACCACCGGGGTGGATTCCGGAGCCTGGTGCCCGAGGAACAGGACAAGCTGCGCCCGGCCGCTGGGGTCGTCGTGCAAGGCTTGCGGGAGGATACGGCCCAGGTCGAACCTGTCCGTCAAGTCATGAGATAGCGAGTCGTAGGACTTGTGGAACGTGATTGCCTTGACTTTGCGGGCTACTTCGCTTCGTCGATGGGCCTGGAACGGAGGGATGAACAATGAGGCTGCACGGAGGATCCCGTCCATCGAGGCGTCCGGTGAGGGCTCGGTCACTTGCGCGGTCGGTATTTCCGCGGATGATGGGGAAGGTTGGAAAAGTACTGCCCAGAGCTGATGGAACGATTGCTCTAGATTGGGCTGGGGGGCGAAACAGGATTGTTAGATTCAGGCTGGCATGGATGGAAGTACAGCAACCGGGCTCGTTCTTACCAGGATCTCAAAAGCCCTGAGCACGGAGTCAGGGGCCAGGTACTCGTCACCCGGGTTGGAAGAGAGTGAGTGGGCCAGAGACTTCGCCAGCGCTTCCTGCTCTGGACTGGATTCCTCGAGGGAGCCGTAATAGATATCCCGGCCCCAGGTTGATTTGTTGACTCTGACCCGCATCATCAGGGAGAGTAACGCGGTCAAGTCGTTGGTCTTCGTCTGATACTGGTTCGTTCTCCCCTCGAGTAAACGCTCCGCCACCGGCTTCAGCTGCTCGAGGGATGGATGCAGTTTAGGGTGGGACGGGAATATCGGCAGTGTCGCATCGATTACATCGTCGATGACGAGTGTGTCAAAGCCAGTGACATATGGCTCCGAGCTTGACGGAAGATCGACCAGACTGATGCTGCGGAAGATGCGATTCGTCCTCAACCTGCAGTTACACGGCTCATCGAACCGGCCCCAGCTGTGACCGAAGTCATCCGATACAAGCCCGAGGACACTCGTGCCTTGAAGAATTAGGAGGATGAAGGCGCGCTCAAAGCCTGGCAGCTCCAGCTTCCTGCTCTCAGCACCGGGGAGCGGGAACGGGTGGTAGGCGAAGAAGCAGAAGCACGACCACAGGGCATCGATCGCAGTGTCGGGGATAGTCGCGTCCGGATGGGTCCTGGCTAGGTGGTTCTGGAAACTTTTTTTCGACCAGTCTGGACCAGTACCTTCATCAGCGTCTATTTGTATAGGCTAGCTTGTCGGACGTGGGTAAGGAATCACTTACAAGGCTGCTCCTGGGGCGAGTCCCGGATGCTGGACGCGTCGAAGACTGCTTGTGGTGTGACGGAGGTAATCCCTTTCCCTTCATGAACCAGGCAAGTGCGCAGGTCAGAGAGAACAGAGTCTATATCATTCTTGTCAAGACATTGATTCATTCGCTGCCTCTGCTATTGACGGACTGACTGACCCGGAGTGATAGTGCGAAGAAACTGAGCAATTTTCTTCTTCCGATCTCTGAACATTAGGTGAAATGCTGCTTTTCCCAGGAGGTCCATCATGAACGATGGTTTGTGCTTTCCTTGTGAGGAGGTGGTGTGTAGAAAGGGTGAATTCAAACGGACTTGCAGGCAGCAATGACAACGATAATTTTATGGAGTGGGTAACAACAGGCTAAAACATGGGGGCCACCGCAAGGCTGCCAAGCCGGGGGCGGAGCATTACCGTACCGTACAAGCTTTCCATATTACTGTCCCTACCTGCATGAAGGCTGAGTAAATATTCCTTGATCGTATGTACTGTACACTACTGTAGGTAATAAACTGCTAAGCCTACAGCCACTTGGTAGTAATCATTAAAACCATTGAAAAAGTCCAGATTCTCTTCAACTAAGATACATAAACACACAAATCACACATCTAAATCACATGATCTATGACCAAGTATGTACACTACTCTCTAAACTACTCTTAGACAGATAAGACCCTCCACAACAATGTTATCATCCGACAGATAGGTTCCCTAGAGAACCTCTCCATCCGGCCTCGAGCTACCTTTGTGCCCGCTAGGCCTTGATCTTCTTGTACAGCTTCATGACGAAGTCACGGCAGTTGTTGGTGAGCAGGTTGTAGCCCTTCTTGTTCATCTCGGTGACAATCTGCTGGCCCTCGTGCTCGATGGAGTTGTAGTTCAAGCCCTGCTTGATGAAGCCGAGAACCTCGTACTTGGCCTTGTCCCAGCTGTACCACTCGGTGCCGCTGCGGTCCGTCATCACGATCTTCTTGCCCTCGAGCTGGATGTCGTAGCACGCCGAGTCAAACTTGAGGAGCGTGCTGCTGCCGTCGGCGCGCGACGTCACGTACCCGACCACTATCAGGTAGTGGTCCGGGTAGTTCTTGCCCGAGAGCTCGTTGCGCTCGCTCCCTGTCGGCGTGGGTTAGCTTGTTCAGCACGGTGGTATCCGAACGTCCGGTGGGGGGGCGGTTGAGCCAGGGGGATAATTGGTACGTACGGATCTTGATGGCGTAGCCCTTGCCGACTTCAGGGGTCTTGCCCAGGGCCTCCGCCAGCTTCTTGTACTTGGGCTCGGTCTGGGTGGTCCCCGTCCGCTTCTCCGGCGTGGAAACATCGCGGGTGGTCTTGGATGCCTCCTCGCTGAGATCCACGTCATACGGGACGGTGATAGGTTCCAGCTCGCGGGCACCGATGGGGAGGTCGGCGAAGTCCCGGGCACTCAGGGCCCAGTCCTCATCGATTATCTCATCCTCATCGTCGTCGCGACAGAACTGGGATCGACTGGGTTAGAGCTCAGGAACACAGGAAGAACAGCCAGCACTCATGAGTACTCACCTGACAGTCGGGAGCACGAGCGACAACCGGGGCGACGGTGGTAGAGATCTGCGTGGTCTCCGGAGCATCGGCGAGAGCCACGGATCCTGCTTCAACGGGGATGGCGGCGGCTGAGACCCCGGAGCTCAGGAGCAAAGACGCCAACGCGAAGGCCTTCTGCACGGTGATCTTGTTGAACCACATTCTGGCTGAGATGATAGAAATGGTCGAAGTATATGGACACAATGAAGGATGAGATTGGAAAAGAATGAGCGAATCGCACAGCAATCCGTGGAAATGAGTGTGATGAGGGAAACAGCAGATGAATGAGTGGATAATGATCGAATGAGTGGATGGTAGAAGCAATGAGGAGGAGCAGACATCTCATTTATAGATGTTTGGCTTGCCCGAGATCTTGAGGCATTATATTGGGCGATTGGGGCGGTTTCAACAACTACTCGAGTAGGAGTGACATATCGAATCGAGGGTGAGGTTTACAGAGTCTTGTCTTGGGGGCCGCGTCTGGGGGCCAACAATTTTTGATCTGCATCAGGAAGGGCTTGGAGGCTCCAGGGCGAAGATGATCTCTTCTTTCACGCCAGTGAACTCCCGATATTCATCAAAATTTTGAAGGTAGGTCCAAAAAGCCTATGATTTCGAGTGGTAGTAGTGGTCTTGATCGCGATGTAAATCGTAGGCCCGCTAATACAAGGCGTGTCCGTCGCGACGAACTACAGGCAGATCTTTCACGCCCTATGATGTATTGACCACAACAATACATGTGGCATGATAATGATTTATACTAGACCTGTTATAGTAAGCAGCATGAATCCGTTCCTGCAGGGAAAACAGCCACAATCGTCCGCCGGCTTCCGGGAATTTGGCCCCTACTGTGGGACCCGGAGTAGGAATACCTACACTTACCGCCAGTAAAGGTTCTCTAGGGGCAATCACCCCCAGAAAAGTACGTTGAAGAGTAATAAATCAATTAAATCCTCACTGGAAGCTGTGAGTAGCCGATATCCTCCCCGTTGTGTTGCTGGTGTTCGTGAAATGAAGCGGATACAACTGGATGGACCCGAGTGGCGGCAACAAGGCTGAGCCGGCTAGTCGACAAGCCCTACGGAGACCATATTTTGAGATTATAAAAATGTTGGCCAATAGGGGCATTCTTTGAAACTACTGCAATCATGCGTGTTCTTAATTTGTCAACAGGGAATTAAAGTGGGTAGAAAATGCAGGTGGGTGGAGATGGAAGCCTCCAGCAGCAAGTCAGCGACACGCTGGTGGAGCGCCAAAGAGAGGGCGGTTTGTGACAACGGCTAATCTCAGGCTGTTGCCTGTTCTTCTCTTTGGGGGCCTTCCTAGCTATTCTCCCAAAAAGATAGAGTCAAATACACTCAACGTGGCTGCGCCATGTGTGCTGGCAAGGTGGTGGGTCCTATCACGGGCTAATGCTGCAATTGAGTATGAGATGGTTTTGTAATTATAGGAATGATGAGCAGCAGATAAGGAGGCTTCACGCACTGGAGCGGCTTTTGATAGGCTGCTTATCATCCAAGTATTCATCTTTCTATCTATTTTCCGCGATGTGTAGTAGAGTTCTGAATCGACTTGTTTATAACTGACCAGACTTGAATTGGCTTGAATGTAATCTTTGAACGTAGCCAAAACTGGCAGCCGTAAGGGTTGGATAAACAAAAGACGGTACGAGAATTGCGGGTTACCTACCAGTTTGTGGTGACAGCTTCATTTCACTTGTGGAATCAAGGCATAACACTCGTCCAGCTAGCTCAATGACTTTGACTATAATTCCTAGATCGCTCCAAGTAGGCTTCCTGCACAGATATACACAATACATAAAGGCGGCCGTGCTATAGGAAGGCAGGAAACTTAAAGATGTCTTCTACTCCGGGAACCCATAACAGGCCCAACCTCCGCTAGAATGTCTAGGGTCATCCACGGCCTCTGTGAGCCAGGAAAGACAAAATGCAGCTCGACAATAGCCGGTACACAGTCCCTATCACAAAAAGCATCCTAAAGCACGATTCTGTGAGGATTCTGGAATACCTATCGCGTGAGATGAACTTACCAAAGATCAAAACCCGTCCTTCCCGTGGAATATCCCGTGACATCTGCAGCGGCCTGTATGTCATACAGATATGATAACTGCCGGTGGTCAGCAACATCACGCTAGTGGGGATCTACTCCGGAACCCTGGGAAACAAGCTGAACTACATCGCGAACCTGGTTTACAATATGGACTTAATTAAAGTATACAATTTTTAGGTTTGGAATATTAAGTACTGGAAGAGCAACTGCAACCTGGAATCTGCAGAAAGACTAGTCCAACAGTTAAGTATTAAACTATTCTTAGCTATTAGTCTTACCCTAGCCATCTCAGTCTCTATTCTAGTAGGTCTTTTTATTACAGCTGGGGGGCTCGGCGACAGGGTCACATTGGTGGCCCTGACGATCATGGGCCTGTTCTCCAGCGCGGCCAGTGTCGCCGCCTGGTGGGCTCCCAGCTTGGTCCAGCGGAAGGCCAGCTGCACGGTCCCGGACGCCGACCAGCTGATCATCACGCGCGGCGCGGCGATGGTGCTGGTCAAATGCAACGAGGAGGTATGCCGGGAGCTGTACGTTGGGCGGGACCAGTGCGCTTTCACCTTTGGAGACAGCTGGCATCGGATCCTGCTCGGGGTCAGCACGCTCCTCGTCATGGTCTCGGTGGTTTTTCAACTGCAGCTGGTGGATGCAGCTGGCGATCGGCGCGGGCTACTTCGTGCTGAATATCCCATATTGGCTGTTGGCGCTGCTGGTCAAGCCGAAGGACATGTGAGATCTGAGCCGCTACACGATCAAGAAAGACACCCGGGCCCGTAGCATGCCAACCCCACGATGGATAAGAACTACACCCAAACCCTGTGGCTGGCCATCTGGCACACGCAGACGACTGGCTGGGTGAAATGGGCCAATGCGATGCCGGCCACCGAGAAATGGGCCATGTGGCCGAATTTGGCGAGACAGAATCTTCAAAACGCATCCTGAGATGCGGTCGCGGTCAAAAATGCCCTGTTTAATGGTACCCTGTCTGGGTCGGAAAAGTCCGAGGTTCGGTTGAGGCAGTCATCACGCCCTGGATCGTGAAGATCCCGAACCATCCGTGTTTCCGAGGTGTCGCACCTGATTGCAGAGCCCTAATTTGATTTACGACCAAGGCATGTTTCTTTTTTTTTGTGGGATCTTCTTGGTCGTTTTTTCTTTCTCTTATTCTTCTTCTTTTCCCCCAAATTATGCCTTCTTTCTTGGACCAAGCACCATGCCTATTCTGTGCCCATGATTTAGATGGTAGAAGCAACAGTAGACATTTCCGGCCTTCTACAATTGGAGAAACAATCTATTATCCTTGTTGCAAGTCAGAGGACAATAACAGATATCTGAAGATTGTCGAATACGCAAACCATGTCATGAAAGGAAGAGATAGTCTTCTACCCAGATGGATGGGACGAATGACGGAAATCAGTTATACCAGGTTTGGACCGTATATTCCACCGGTCCGTGAGTAATGCAGGGCAATATCAAACACGGGGTGACGACAAACAAGAAAGTCTGTCCTCCTGATATCCTTCGGCGACTCTAAAGCCCAGGACCATTCGACAGGTCCACTTTCCCAGGCCGGTGGTCTCCCCCCGTCATCCCAGAAAAGTACTTGCTCATGGTATCCTCCATCACCCCGCCCGCGATGTACTTGGAAAATGCCTTGCCCACCAGCTCCCCTTGGGTGATGAAACCGCACCGGACCAGGTCTTCCAGCAGCTCGGTCGTGGTGTGCTCTTTGATCCCGCGTTTGATCGCTCCTACTCGTCGAAGAACAACTCTTCCATCAGTCTCGTTGAAATGTGACCAGTGGAGGAACAACCGTTGAGGGAACCCCAGGAGGGGAAAAAGCGACTTACTCCGCAAAGCACGGTGGTAGGGCTTGTTGATCGTGATACAATACTTCTGGATATCCTTCGTGAGGTACTCGTATTGCAGCTCAATCTCGTGGCCCCAACTATCGACTTCGTATCGGCTCTCGTTCTTGAAGGTGAGACGGGGGTTGGAACCCTGCGTTGGTGCTTCTCCCTCGGATGCTGTTCCGTTGTCAGCTGGTGGGTCAAGGGCTTCTCGTCGATACCGAGGCAATACAACTGAGCCATTCAGCCTTACCTGCGGAGGGAGACTGGTCATCCGATGGCTGATTCGTCGCATCTGGTAGATGATCTGAACGTTTGTTCTCGACCGAGTCAACGGGCACTTCCTCCTGGTCGGCGGTAGGGGGCGGAGGCCTGTGGTGTGATTCGTCCATCCTGGCGACCAGGGATTTGAGGTCAAATCGATCCTCTAGATAATTGTGGCTTGTTAGCCACTGTAGAGCTCTGGCCATTTTCCTATGGTCTGGGTTGTCTCTTTTCGGTCTCTTTCCACACGCTGCCTGCTTTCTCAGATACCCTGCAAAGAGGCATACGTACTGTACACGATAATCCCCTTCTCGAACGAGGCGTTGGCCGAGTACGCGAATAAGAAGAACACGTCGACAAATCCCACCAGACGGATCTTGCCGGACCATTGCTTTCCGTTGATCTGGATTTCCCACGGATGAATGTCACTGGATCAGAAAGCGGTTGTCAGTTAATGCGTCTTTATAGCTATAGAGGTCCCTCGCACGGGGAGAAAGTCAGAGTCAATGAACGCACCAGTCGCACTCCAGCGTCTTGTCCTTGACGGACCGTCCGAAAAGTGCCAGCACGCGGTGGTAGGAGTACATCTTGGTGAAGAAATAAATCACGAAATCACGGGCATGAGGTAATCACAGCGGAGTGGAACAGGCTGTGCTTTGTCCTGCCCAGATCCTATCTATGGGGCGGTACAGCAGCGGCTCCTCGAAGCATATAAGCAAGGTATGGGGGGTGGTGGGGGGGGGCTTGAGGACCAAAGTGGGCACCGACAGCGAGTCCCTCGAGCTGACGAAACTCAGAGAAGAGAAAACTAAGCCTTGCCTTGGCAGGTTTTTCTCTGGGACCGGTGGAGGTAGCTACACCCTCTCGGGGATTAATCCCCCTCTTAGGTACCCGTTCCCCATCGGCTTCTCAGCCCCCCTTCTCCAGCTCAGGTTGCCTTCTTGTCTCCTGCAGATACGGGGACTCTACTGCGCGCTCTGAAATCAATTCGTATACGTGTGTGAGCTATTAAGCAGGTGTGTGGTAAATTACAGTCAGCGTTTTGTAAAGCGCCCTAGATTACAGGGCGTCTAGTCTAGCGTTCCTCCGGTGTGTCGATCAAGCGGACACCCCTGCACGAGATTTGTAGTTTGTCGACGAATGACAAGGAAGAACAGTTTGACCCACTGGGTCAGTACCTCCATGGCCTTCCGTAAAGCAGAGACTTGTATGCATACTAGTGGTGCAGCGCACGTCTGACATGTCATCCCCTCCCCGGGGGAGCTAGCATTGCATTAGCCCTAGACAAACTGCATACGGGTGGCGGAGAATTCGCGCGCGGCAGAAGCCGACCGAATCCTGGACTCTCCGAGAGTGTCCAGTACTTTTGTCGGATCTCATCCCTCTAGACCGGGATATTCACACGGCGTCGCCGGTGACGTGGTTTCCTGACATATAAGCCGCCGTTTTCTGGGGCTTGTACAGCCCGCTCGTTGAACATGCCGCAGCCTGTTTCCGTATGGACAAGATCTCTTATCAAGTTCCCGGTCATTCCATCCCACTTCGCTCCCGACCCAGGCTAGTTACTAAACAATTCCTGACTTTCTTGTTGATCGGCCATGGCGAAAAGTTTCGCTAGATTTCTTGCCGACCCGGTCAGCCTGCCCCTTCTCCCAAATATCCGCGACAACCCGTTCACTACCAGTCTCAACGATTCAGATCCCCTGAAGGAGGAATCGGCGGCGGCTGAGGACGGCGACACGGAGTCGCTGAAGATACCATCGCCTGATGCCAACAAAGACAGTAGCAGCGGCAATGTTGCCTTCGCCGAAGCCGTGAAGGATGGTGTGCTGCACACGGAGCTGGCGCACGACGTCATGAATCTCGGCCTGTCGACGGTGAAGGAGGCGAAGGCGCTGCAAGGGATCTTCAAGGACCCCGAGCGCACCAAGAGGGAGAAGCTACGGGGAGTGCTCAACTACTGGGTGACGCCGGGCACGCAGGTGCAGTGGGTGACCGACGAGGCCGACCACCGCTACACGCTGGATCTGTACCGGCTGCCGAACCGGCGTCCCGCCTCCATGTCGGACCTCTCCGTCCCCTACCGCATGATCGACCTGGACACGCGCAAGATGGTCGAGATCGGCGGCGGCGGCGGCCTGGCCGACGACGACCAGTACTGCATGCTGTCGCACAGCTGGAAAGGCACCGAGGTGAACCTGGACTGGTTCCGCGAGGCGCAGCGCACGGCCAAGGACGGCATGTCGGATGTGCAAGCCATCATGGACTACTGCGACGCGGACGTGGAGAAGAGGCAGGCAGCCGTCGGCGACTTCGTCGAAACCTCGCAGCTCGCGGAGTCACTGGCGAGCTTGCTGCTGCGGTATGTCCACGCGACCATGGCGGAGGCCCGCGTCACCGCCGCTCAGAAAGACCATGGGGAGGCCTGCGTGGCCGTGAATATGGGCCAGGAGGAGAAGACGCGCTACCTCAGTCTGATTGAGTCCTTTGATCAAGGCTGGCAGCCGACAGCCCTCGACGAGCAAATCCAAACCGCTGAGTCAAGAAGAGACGACGCTGTCGGCGAGTTGCGTGAGGCGAAGGAGGGCTTCGAGCCTTACGAAGAGTTTCTCGAAGCGGTCCGAACCAATCGACCGTGGCACTACGCAATCGAGGACCTAATTGAGGCCCTGCAGCGAAGAAGGTCCTCCCGCAAAATTCAGCAATCGGTGCAGCGGGCGTTGGAGATCTTTAACGAGAGACCGTTCTTACCATCCGGAAAACGCTACATCTGGCTGGATACCTGCTGTATCAGAAAGAGCGACCAGGGCGAGCTCACCGACTCTCTGGCGCGCATGGGGGAGTGGTATGCCAACGCGGACTTCTGCTTGGTCCATTTGGACACGCCCAAAGATAACCATGACTGGGTGAACGAATTGTATCTATGGCAGACCAATAAGGGGCAGGAGGAGGATCAGCCAACGGAATGTGAGAAGCCCTGTCACAAGAAACCAAGCCCGCATGAACATTTCGACGCGCTGGACGCGTTCCAGCATATTGCAGAATGGGAGCCCACCTGGTCCACTCGTGGCTGGACGCTGCAAGAGCTAGTGCTCAGCAAGATGGTCTACTTTGTGGATGCAAGCTGGCGGATTCTGCCACGCCAGGTGGACTGCTTGGGGAGATATTATGCCTTGTGTCCTTTCATCGAGATCTATCTCCGCAACCAAATCCGACCCTGTCTCCATGATCTTCTCGCATGGATAGACAAGAGCATCCAGGATGAAGAGCTACAAGCCCATCTATATTCCCAAGAGCCACAGGTAAGCTTAGCTAGGTGTCTTGGAGTGAAACCCATTTGAATGATGAATGATCTGCTCACATCTCCAAACAGCCCGATGAGCCCTACCAAGTGATCATTAACGCCCTCGACCGATTGACATTTCCGGTTCCCCGACAGCTGAATAAGAATACCGCCCGTATTCGCATCGGACAGGCTGTTCGAGATATTGTGATCAAGCTGCACAAAGAGGATTCTAAAGGGAGCCAGGCGTACGCGTTGTACGGCATTCTCAGAAGATTGGTCGAAGAGAACCTTGGCGCGCCACTCGAGGCTCAGACGGAGGAAGCCCAGATCAAACAGGTCATTGACCTCCTCTTGATGTCGCTGGTCGCATTAGTCAAAGTGGCCATTCAGCAAGATAGGCATGACATTTCCAGGTTCAGTAAGATCCAATGCCTGACCAGTTGGTCCGAAGGCGTCAGCCGGGACGATTTTTCCACCCACAGTATCATGAAGCTGGCTGCTGAGCGCCATGTCACTGTGCCGACTGACCGGGCGTACTCACTCATGGGAATTCTGGGAGTCAGATTCCCCGTTTTCCCGGCGGAGGGCCTCGAAAAGGCGCTGTCCCGCCTCCTGGACGAGGTGGTCATCAACTCCAGCGATGTCTCGCTCTACAACTGGTGCGGCAAGCACAATGCCAGCCCCATCCGCGGTCGCTCTCTGTACCCCTCGTGCATCGAAGCGTACTCGGTGGAGGATCGGTCCAAGAAGCCCGATAATGTTGACCGGGAAATTGTGCGCCATTTCCAGCACCGCCGGACGAAAGACCTGCAACAGGCCGGGGAGATCATCGATTTGCTGCGAGAGGCGACAGCCTATGTCAGATCCGCGGACCACGGCGATCTTCTGGCTCGGATAGGAAATCTCGTGGAGTTTGTGGAAAAGAAGACATACGAGGAACTCAAATCTTGCTTTCGCCCGGGCGATCTCGTGACGAGGCTGCAGGCAGCCAACGCTTATCTCAATCACAGGCAGGACGAAGTGCCGATCTCGCAAGATGCAGGGGACAAGATGGACGACAACCAGGAGCCAGAGAATGAAGAAAGCCCGGAGGTAGAGCTCGAGTCGGGGCCGACTAGCCCCAGCTCCGTACAGCCTCAGTCGACAAGCCCCTTTTTGGCCTTTTCTCCGTTCCAAAAACCGTCACTATCGCGGCTAGGGCGGGGGCCGGTGACCGGATGGTTGAAACCAGATAATGCGGAAATGATGGAAGCAGAGCAAGAAGAAAAGGCAAGGAGAAGTCGCGAGGAGCAGGAAAGAGAGGACTATGAAACCAGGCGACGAGCGGATATGAAAGCGGTCAGCGGTGCCATACAAGAGATCCTCGAACAGGCAACGAACACGATGGGCGCACAGAGTGAGCCCGGCGAGGAAGAAATCGCCACCCTGGCCGTCGAGAATAATCTCCCCAGCAACACCACCACGGAGATGCCCATTGACCAGCGGGTGGTCTGCCCGAATCCAATCGTCGTTAATAGCTCCGGAATTGAAGGAACCTTCGATATCCAGCGGGTGGTGATAACCATGTTAGAGCCCAAAGACCTGTGGCTGAAAATTAAGAGCGCCAGCGAGCACGAAAGGATTGACGGCTGGTGCACCATCAGCACGGGGTTTGCGGTGACCATGGTAGCCTTCTCGTGTGAGAGAGAGATTCTGAAGCAGCAGCTAAAAGTGGTCAGCGTCATCCAGAATACCGTCATCGCTGAACCGCACAGGGAGGGCGTCGAGACGATGATGGCGGCCGTGAGCGACCGCAAGGACCCGCGGCTGAGCCTGAATCGCGCCAACTCGGACCTCACCAGCACCCAAGGGGAGTCGCTGACGAAAAGCTACGGCAACTCGCTGGAGCAGCGTAAGGTATCTCGCATGATTGACTTTGTCACTGAGTCAGATCTACATCTGGTGGCCGGAGAATGGGTGCTGGCTCGCTTCTCGGGCGCGGTCGGCGCCAAATGGTTCCTGGCGCGCCTGGAGCTCGGCCACGGTCGAGCGTTCTACGCGCGTCGCATTGCCTGCGACGAGTTCAACTTCAGCATGGCGTTGCCCGAAAAAGGGCTGGTCGAATTTTGGCACACCTACCTGCGCGCAAAGAAGAAAATCATGTGCCAAGTTCTGTCGTTCACTCTCGATGCCCACCGGTCTGGCCGTATCACCGATTGGCTTGCGAATAGGCAAGATGAGGAGAATGACGACGATCAAAGCGACGATGGTGAGAGCGATGATGATCAGGGTTTTAAGGAGAAGACGGAACAGTACAAAAAGCTTGGGGGCTTCTCTAAATTCATGCGGCAGTGCGCCTATGGGGTCCGGGGCTTTGCGTTGGAAACGTGGGCAGAACATCTGGAAAGGCACCTCAAGGACAAGGCGCTGAAAGATGTGCCCGTTCGACTGCAAGCCGCTATTCTGGCCTTGCAGTCGAAAGAGGACTTGCTACCGACCATGTTTCATTCGGGACAGGCGGTACATTTTTTCTAGATAGTGATGCTTGTCGTCTGCCGCCGTCAGCAATGGCAGTGGATACAGTTGGAGAGTTTATGCCGCGCCTAGTAGGTGTCAATTTTGCGGCAAGGACGAAGCGGATGGTTTTTCACGGCGATTATGAAGTCTCAGGGGTGGGCCGTTTGGAACGTGCTCTTGAATTCTTGGTGGTTGGAACTAGCTACGTTCTCTGTGTGTGTAAACAAAAGGTGAAGGCCATTGGAATCACGCGGCCGGATTCCTCAGGAACGCCGACAATTTGGCAGCTCGACATTCATATTTCGGCGCGTGTAAAAGACCCACGAGTCTGCTTTCCTCAGATTAGTGAGCTCGTACATGTCGGGCGATTTGACAACTAGGAAGGAGAAATGGTGGTCTCGCATATTGGATCTGATTGCTGGCCGCAAAAGACCGCGCTCCTCGATATATATCACCAGCGCAAAGCCATTATATCTCCGACCCAGATCAATTGACATGAGTTAAGCATATGGAAGATCAATGATTGAAGAACAGCACTATCAGGGAGACAGAAATACTTCCATAGCTAAACGGAGCACAATCGCAATTCACTCACGGTTACCTGGATTGTTCAATGATTGAGGATGAGTACCTTACCACCAAATTCACTCGAATGTTGGGGAGAGCCTGAACCGTCCCGAGGATAGGATACGTCTTACCCCCCTCGTACACAAAGTATCATTAATCACCAACGTGAAGTTTCAAGTGATAAAATAAGAAGATAGGCTATGAAATGCAAAGGCATTGAGGATAATCAATGTCAGTAATATATTGTTGGGGGCACTTGCTATTGGCTTGTTTTTGTATCTTAACAGTCCGCGAGATTGAAGAAGCGACAAGGTTGTTCGCATCCACTGAAAAAGTTTCCATCCTTGATTTTCTTCTCGAAAAGCAACCAAGTCACTCACCTCCAGCCCAAAAAGATCACCCTTCAAGATGTCTTCGATCGACTACTCCAAATGGGACAACATTGACACCGACTCGGAATCGGAGAACGTCGCGCGACAACGGCGAGTTCGGGTACCTGGACAACTAGGCCGTCACCTACCTGCACATCGACCCCATCTCCGGGCTGGCGCCGCCGGCGTGGCAGGCGGGGCGGATTGGCACGGTGATCGTGGCGCGCAGGGACCGCAAGGATCTGTCGCCCGAGCACTACGAGGCCACTTGGATGTACATCGACTACATGATCGATTTCTTTGGGAACGGGGGCCCGCCGGTCGGAGCATCTATACAAGGAGAAGATTGAGCGGGGGTTTGTCGGGTACCAAAAGGAGTGTTGGGGGTACGGGCGCGAGTGGAGAGATGCGGCGCCGTTATATTAGGGATTTGCACTGTGTCGAACAAGTGGGGGAAGGCTAAGGTCTGGATGTACTGTACTACAGATGTGGAAATTGCAATATAGAAGATAACATTTTCATTTGTTCATTCAATAGAAAAAAAAAAAGGAAGGGGCACCTTTCAGACCTCCTCGACGCCCACCAAGTCAGACCGACCGAAGTCAAGACGTCACGACAAGGTAAAGATCATCACCACTCCCTGGACCAAGAGCCCGTCCAAATGGCGCGAATACGTCTGACGAACAGAATATTCCCAGCCACCGGCGCAGACACGGTCGAGTCGGAAGTAAAACGGCTTCACTTTAGGGCATCGAGGACATAGAAGTCATCAGCAAGGGTGAGGATTCTGTGGCTCTTTAGAAGAGCTCAGAGGTGGGACGTCTACTCTAAAGTGATTCTTTGAACTGTATGCGAGAGAATGGTTAGTGAGACTGTTCATGTTGAGTGCTTTGTGGTGGTTCTGGATGGAAGCCACCAAGGCCACCAAGGTAGGAGGGGGGATCACTCACGTAGAGTCGCTTGATTTTCAGAAGAGGATCGGGGGACGGGCGGCTTATATACCTGCTCGATTTTTCCCGGCCGCGCTAGTGGTTAAGCGAGCCACAAGCCCGCGCCAAGATACGTTACAGTACCTACCTGTAAGTAATTTGCCCTCCCGCAGAAAGCGAGCGACAGGCCGGTGAGTAATGTCACACAGTGTAATTCGCTAAAGACCACTGCATCCGTTCTCACCATGGATTTGGAAGAGGGGAAATAAGCTTGGAGCTGATTGGTGGGCCGTACAGCATCTCTATCGAATTGTTTAACTTTCGCACATCCATGATGTGAACACACCGCACCTCGGGCCCAGTGGATACGCATCTTCAAGGGTGGAAATACGACTGACAAGTAAAAACAATTCATCGCAAGTGTAGAAAAAGATGGACATACCAGTCTCCGCTGGAACTGGATCCTATCTCAACATGTATCACACTCACCTGTCTCTCAATCCTTCTGGACATCTACGAGTTTCAATTCCGAAGCAGATCAGAAGAATTAAGGATTGCTCTAAACAAAGCTAACCGAGTAAGCACCAATGGAACATCATGTCATATACTTATTATGTACCAGTATAAAGAAACACCTGTCTACCTGGCGTCCAGACACGACCTAGCGAAACGACCAGCCTATCCATTCAGATAGCTTTCACCCGCCGGCAACGGATACGAATCCAGTATATGCGGGTTCGCACGGAATTGCGGGCTGGAGACGATTTCCTTGACTGGCGACACGTCGCGCTCCCGGATAGACGACCCTCCCCGATCCTCGTCTTCGGATGAGGCCTCGAAATTCCGGGCCATGAATCCCATCAAGCTCTGCAACCCAGCCACCTGATCCTCCTCGGGTGCGTCATGCAAGGCGCGCAGCCCCTCCACGAACACGGACGGCATGTAGTACAGCACCACCGCGGGCCGACCGTTATCGGCGTCATCGTCGCAGCCATCGACGTTGAGTCCGCGCACGAGAGCGTCGCGGGTTGCATCGGACAGACCATGAAACGCCTGCTGAAACCGCTCGGCGGTCCGCCGATCCGCGACGCGGCCCATGGCGAGGAGGCGGAGCAGCGCCCGGTCGGAGGCGGAGGTTGCGACCGACAGATCCGGGAAGCCCTGATCCGCCAGGATCTGGCCGCGGTTCTGCAGAACCTCATCGTATGCATCCCGCAGGGAGGTGCGGCCCGCGATCACCCGCTCGAGAATGGGGAAGGCCTGCAAGAAGGACTGACACACCGGCTCTGTCATGCTGGTGGCACCTCGCGCGTCCAGGTGCGCGGCAGCACCGGCCACGTCGAACATGATCTCCATGTATTTCAGAAGAAAGGCTGAGGGGTGGCCCTGGAACCGAAGAATCCGCTGCAGGCTTCCGGGGACGTTCTCCCCTTGCATCAGCTGGGGGATATTCAGCGTGGCTCCGACGTGAATTCCCAGGATCACATCCTCGCGGCGGGCTGGGGACAGGAGCTCCAGTGGTCCGTCGAGTAGATTCAGGGCTACGGCGTCGGCGAGAAGCTCGTCGTGGTTGCCCGTGTTCGTGTAGGTGTCCCTGGGGGCCTTGGGTGATGGTGATGGTGAGGCTGATGACACAGATGCGCGGCGGGCGGCAATATCGCCGGCCAGCTGAGGATCCTTGCCAATGTCGCCCACTAATAGCGCCACGATCAAAGCCATCAACTGCTCAGCATCGGTGAGAATGGGGTTTGCACAGGAACGAAACCGCCGGAAAGTGCCGACCGAGAGACGGACTGCGGGGGACTGGTGGGCCGTGAACACATCATATTGATCGGCCATCAACCACTTGACCGCGAGAATGTTGGTGATGGTCCGGTTCACTTCGCAGAAATCCTCGCCGAACAGGAGGCGGGATGGGGTTAGTAGCGCTCCGTCACGCCCGTTCTTCGCCCTTATGGTGCCAGGCGGGACCGTCCCTTCCTCCCCTTCGCCCTGGCGCCGCGGAACGCGCTTCAACCGCTCCACTTCCGGGGCAAATTCCTGGTTCAGTAGCCGCACTAGAGCTTCGTCACCCAGAGAACTTAACTCGCCGCGCTGTACGATGCCTGTCAAAGACGACGATCGCGGGCTTGTCATCGTGCGTAAACCCCAGCGCGTGAGATGCATCAACTTGGGGAAAATCATCTAGTCGCAGCGCGTAAAAGAAAAGAAACGTAGGAGTCGATCAAACAATATACACCAAGGCGAATGAAGACTTAATAAAGAGGATTAGCTGGTAGGTATGGAGAGTAGCCCAAGGCCAGCCTCATGGCGGGGAATGCGCGGCAGTGAGGAGATCAGCCTTGTGCAGTTACTATAACCAACCAACTTGGACTTAGTTAGATTACACGGCCTGCTGACTCAGACAAACGCATTGTAAAATCAGGCCACTAACCAATCAGCGAGCTATCCGGACCTATCGCTCATCGGTAGCACCGAATCTCTATGTAATAAACGCACAAACCTCGTATTCTATACTAGTATCGCACCTTAGCCCATTGCGTTGAAGTTCCACGTAGTCTATTGCATCATACCTACCTTTCTGCCGGAGAGGTGCACACACCCGGCCGAGGGCGTTAGCCTCCGTCAGCCATATACAACACGGAAAAAAAAAAAAAAAAAAAAAAAAAGGACACAGTGGTGGGAAGGGAATAAGCCCTTGCCCTAAAACAACATCAACCAGACCGGCCGCCACCTACTCTACAATGGGAATAGCCCTGGCGCGCACTTCCTTCGACTGCTGCCCCTGGGCGACGACCGCCTTCATCAGCCGATCCTTACACCCGACCGCGTCCCACTCGATATCTTTGACGTTTTCGAGGGCCTCGGCCAACCATTGGTCCCAAGCCTCCGTGAGGGGAGCCACATCCCCGCGCCGTACCCACCTCGTGTCCCCAGCATGGTGAATCGCAAGCCACAAGGCCTGCGTGAAGTTTTTGACGGGAAGATGATTCAGCGGGACCTCGCACACATCGTAGCGCGTCAGGTCCCAGATGTCGCGCGGCTCAACGAGCAGGGCCAGCAGCCAGTACAGGACGTTGAGGACGACGTAGGCGCTGCCGACGGCGATCTGCATCTTCCAGCCGCAGTTGCTGAAGAGGATGACGGCGGTCATGAGCAGCAGGGTGCTGGAGGCCAGGAGCATGCGGTGGCGGAAGCCGGAGAAGCGGTACTGGCAGTCGTCCATGCCCGTGTACAGCTCGCGGCAGACATCCTCGTCGGCGCAGTGGACGATCACGAACGCCCCCGCCCGCGTCACGAGGGCCACATCCGCGGGCGGCACCTCGTTGCGGGCCGTGCGCAGCGACACCCGCGGCGACCATTGCGCCGACAGCGTCGCCGCACTCGTCGAGCAGCACATAGCCGTCAGTGCCACTAGGGCCACTCCGTCCCCGAGGACTCCACCGGCAATCAACAGCCCCGCGGAAATCACGACGGACAGTAAGGTCACCACATTCAGCCACGAAAGCGATCGGATCTTGATGGGGCGGAGAGGGGGGATTTCCTGGCCTTCGAGTCGAGTATGACCATGATCCTTATTGTTATGAGCGACTCGAGGGTCCCGGTGTCCGATGCGATACACTTTGACCGCAAACGGTGGCAGACTGGTGACATCGTCGTGCAATAAATTCGTGAAGTAGTTGAGCTCCGTCACAAAGTTCCCGGACTGAATGCCAATCACTTTGACGTCCTTGACTGCCGGCAGTCGGTGGGCGCGGTCGGTGCGCAGGAGAGTTTCGGGTGCGGGAAGCAGCCGCGGAATCGGGCTGAACGGCGAGGCGGTGATTGCTGGGAGATGCTTGTCCGTCGCTGACCCGCCAATCACTGCCAGTAATCCGACGATATCGAAGGACCAGCCGTCCGAGTCGGAGTCTAGGTTCGTAGGGAACCAGCCCATTTTGGTGGAAGAAATGTGGTGTGTGATTGAGAAGGGAGGAGGGAGGTCGGTCGGGGATTTAGACGGTATAAACGGAAGGAAGGAAAGGGGGGGGGGGAAGAGGAGCCAGCACAATATAAGGGCAAATTTCGATCCCACCTCGCAGGGGTCTACAAACCTCCCCTCCAACTGTACAGTACTAACCAAGTCAAGAAAAAGATACCATGCAGCGTGGACGACTAGTAGCCGCCGTCCATCGGCTAGCAGGGATCACAGATCACAGCGCATCTCCTCCCAGTATCGAGGCAGCCAGTCGACTGCCCCCCCCTCCCCATTGTGCACCTGTAGTTTCAGCCCTAATGCGCAGTTCCCAAAAGCTTTGATTGTATTGGAGAGATGGGAGCGTGACAAGGCCATAGTTCGTGACAATGACCGTACCCTGCTGACTAAATTGCTTTTTTCCTTTTCTGCTTTTTTGGTCTTTCTGCCTTAAGATCCTTTCTTTTTATTGTTTGTTCTTGGGGTAACGAGATTGTCCAGCAAGGGCAATATGGGGGCGTCCAGGTCTCGGAGGTCGGATCTAGACAAGCATTAGTGTGGCATACTTCGGTAGAGGGATAAATTCTGGTCAGGCACAGGTGCTTTTTAAAGCGGGTGCTATTTAGCTTAGCGCCCATGGTGCAACAGCAGCACCCATAGACAGTTTTGATTAGACCGCACCCAGCCTAGATCTATATTAAGACATCCATGAAACTAGCGAGATTCAATGACAGATCGGGTGGTGATAGAAGACCATGGAATCACGTGACGGACAGTTAACTACCAGAGCTATGAACAGTTATGCGGATGGAGAAATGAGGAACGGTCGCAAGAGGGAGACAAGACAGGGAAATTAATTTCAGCAACAGAGTAGAAAACTGCGAAAATGAGTGACCGCTTGGGTTTCCTGCAGACTGGGTTCTGGGGAAAACCATTGCTTTCGAGGATATCTCAAGGTTGTTTCACAATCTTCGGGGCCGTCCGGCCCTTGGGCTCCTTGTGGTCGCCGTAGGGAAACGGCAGGGCATCCTTCTCCACGGGCGCGCTCGTGTAGTACCGGTGCAGCATCAGGCCGCCGGCGATGACGGCGCAGACGGTGTAAATGGTGCGGTTGTTGCGGCCGCCACTTTCGACTCTTTCATCAGCAGAATAGGCAGAGCTTAGTGCGGGACGTACCGAAGGACCGGGGGGGCTCCGCCTGCTGTGAATGCTGCCATTCTTCTCTAGTCTCTTGGTAATTTAGATTGGATTGGGTCAATGAGGAGTTCGGTGGTGAGTGGCTGGGGATAGGTTAGATGGTGGCCTCGGTGTCGGGAGAGGGGAAGGGGGACGGGTGGAGCTGCGTATATATGTCTCAGGCGGGGATCACGCGGTTGACAGTTGCCACTCTCCACTACGTACCACTTACCAGGACACTCGAGGGGGTCTTTGTGTGGGGTACGAGTCTGACATCATTAGTCTCTTGGGGATGGGCCTGGACCGGAGATCGGGTGGTGGTGTAGCCATGGGTTGAATCCGGGGCGGGCGTGGCATCTGTCCTTGTGTCACTTGAGCTCATCACAACATGCAGAGTATTGCACAGAAGTACCTTGGTGAGCTAAGATAAAATAATGAGTAGGCTTTACGGCTTCATCTGACCCAAATAAGTGAGATTGATAGATCTCATTCAAGCATGTGGATCACTTTGCCCGACTTGGTCAGATCTACGCTCTCTTTGAAGCCACATTCCAGCCACACCTCGTACCTCTCGTGCCCCCTTTAAAACCCGCGTCAGCCTGCTTTTTTTTAATTCTTCATCCCTGACTTTTCCTACGACCACGGGTCAACCATGGGTCTCAGCGGTTGGACCGGTGCATGCGTGAGTTGCCCTCAATACTGTCGTGTCTCGTTGCTGACGGGATGAGGGCCAGTGCCTGGGTCTGCAACGACTCCTCGGCGCGAACCAGACATTCTCCGAAGGCACCGCAGCCTATAACGCCTCCCTTGCATCCTATTTCGCCCAGCAGGAATCGCAACTCTACCCCAGTTGCATCGTGGCTCCGACCACTGTCGACGATGTCTCTACTGCGGTCCAATACCTGACCGCCAATACCACCTGCGAATTCGCAATCCGATCAGGCGGGCACATCGTGGTCGAAGGGGCGGCTAATATTGCGGAAGGTGTGACCATCGACCTGAGCGGCTTCGACTCCATTGAAGTCAGTGATGACCGGTCCACCGTGACTGTCGGCGTCGGCGCCACCTGGGGTGGTGTCTACAAAGCCCTCGACCCGCTCAATCTCACGGTAGCCGGTGGTCGCGTCGGGCAAGTGGGCGTGGGTGGACTGACCACCGGGGGCGGTATCTCCTACTTTTCGCCCCGCTACGGCTGGACCTGCGACACGGTCGTCGACTTCGAAGTCGTGCTGGCTAATGGATCCGTCGTACATGCCAATGAACAGGAGAACCCCGAGCTTCGGGTTGCCCTGTGCGGAGGATCGAACAACTTCGGAGTTGTCACGCACGTTCAGCTGACGGCCATCGAGCAGGGCCAGATATGGGCCGGGTTGGCTTACTACTCCTTCGACACGGTTGACGAGCAGCTGGAGGCGACGGCCAATTTTAGCAACGCTGACACCTACGACGACTTTGCGTCGTTGATCATCAGCTTTGGCTTCTCCAGCACGCAAGGCGCCGCGCTTGTCAACAGTCTGGTGTACACGAAGCCGGAAGCGAATCCGCCCGCGTTTCAGCCGTTCACTGCCATACCTTCGGCGATTAACACGTTGCGCCTGACCAATATGTCCGATATCTCAACGGAACAGGGCTCTTTCCAGCCGAATGGCGAACGGTAGGCTTCCTTTTCCTTCGTCCGAAGTCGGTACTAACTGAGGTATGGCAATAGTCAGTTATGGCTGGCCACGACCTTCTGCACCAGCGTTCCCATGCTCAACGCGACCTACCGCCACTGGAACGAAAGCCTGGCCGCTGTCCAGGATGTGGCCGATATAGGGTGGTCGTTGTCGCTGGAGCCGTTGCCGCCCGCCATTTATGCCCGACATAGCGGTACTAACTCGTTGGGACTGTCAGAGACAAGCGGGTCGCTGATGATCGTGCTGCTGAGCGCTAGCTGGGTTGACGAAGCGGATGATGCGCAAGTGGAGAACGCAGCCCGTGCCCTCGTCGAAGCCATCGAAGATGACGCCCACGAGCAGAAGGCCTACTATCCCTTTAAGTATCTTAATTATGCAGCCCAATGGCAGGATCCGATCGCCAGCTATGGCGATGACAGTGTGGAGCAGTTGTGGCGAGTTTCCCGGGCAGTGGATCCCGAGGGTGTCTTCCAGCACCAGGTTCCGGGTGGGTTTAAGCTTCCTGTTTGATGAGCCCTTCCTGTGACAGGCCGCCTAGACTCGGTTCTTAATATTTGTTAAGATGTGGTGTCGGGCCGGCATAGTTACATAGCAGGCCACTTACATAATTGTACAAGAGCATAAGATGAGCATCAATAGACTTCCGTTCGCCGCTTGTCGGCTTCGGGAACGCGAGAGAAATGCATGTGCTGTAGAGAGTGTAGTTCGACAAAACAACCTGCAACGCGTACATCGTGACCAGAATAGGAACCGAGTCAGGTTTCTGTGTACGATAGAGGCCAACGCCGAAAATGATGGTGTCAAGACTTTGTCGGGTCGGATCCGGTATTGCCTTGAATTCCTTGGATATGGCAATTAACCTTTCGTGGTAACCTTATCTGCTGGCATAACAAGTCATTGACCTGCAAACGACAGGCATCATACGAAGGTAAGATTTGTCAAGGTGATGGCCGCACGCCACTGAAACCAGCTTTGCGTGGGGGACAGTATATAATGACTGTCGTCTAACGCGTAGTCCTTTGCCCTACAGTGAGTGGCCTTTCGCGTTTCATCGAATCGAACATAGTTTAACCATGGACAACGCACCAATTTTCCGAATACCACCACCTAAGTCATCCATTTTCCTTCTCAGCTTCCCCGCAGTCGGAATCTTGCTGGTCACCATCAACCGCGAGGAGCAAAGGAACTCCGTCCCCGTCGTCGGACACTCAGAGGGCTTGCAGATCTGGCACTGGTTCGATGACGAACCGTCTCTCCGCGTGGGGATAGTGACAGGAAAGGGCACCAAGGCATTTTGCGCGGGCGCTGATTTGCTGGAGCAGCGAGACCCGCCCAGTCACTTCAACTTTGCAGCCCCAGTTCCCGAAGATGGGTTCATGGGACTCAGCTTGCGTCGCGGGAAGAAGCCGGTGATCGCCGCGGTGAACGGGATCGCGTTTGGCGGGGGGTTTGAGGCGTGTCTGAACTGGTACGTAGACGCGTCTCTCAATCCGAGTTGCAAGAGCCGAAGTGCAATGAACACAGGTAATCATTTTCCATTGTGACTACCAGCGACCTCGTCGTCTCCTCCCCGGAGGCCGAATTCTCCCTACCAGAAGTGCACATCGGGGCGTTTGCGGCTGGCGGGGGGCTGGCGCATATCGTTCGGGCGTGCGGCCTGCAGATCGGGAGTGAACTGGCATTAACAGGAAAAAGAGTTTCAGCCCAAGAGGCAAAGAGTCTGCGGTTTATCAATACCATCGCCAAGTCGCCAGAAACGGTGGTGGATGAAGCAATCAAGTCAGCGAGGCAGATCGTCGGCGTTTCGCCAGACTCGGTTATTGTTTCGAGATATGGGTTGAAAGAAGCGTTAGAGGTGGAAACTATTGAACGACACACGCGCCGCACGACGAAGCAATATGGAAGAGCTCTCATGCAGGGCGAGGACTATCGGATTGGCGTGGAGGCATTTGCGAACAAGAAGGAACCGAAATGGGTGGATTCCAAACTGTGATCGGTGCGGTGAAGGGGTCCGTGTTTGATCATTGCTTATTTTGAGAGGAAAGATGACGAATTGAAGAATAAACGTGGTGGAGTGAAGAGCGAGTCAATGTAGCCAAAACCAGTGATCACCTGACCAAAAAATATGGCCTGTTTGCAATGTACTGGATTGTGACTTCGTCGTTGCTCGTTTTCTTCTATTGAGCTGGCCCTTTCGTAGTTCCTCCACACAATATCTATACTCCTCGCCTCTTTGTGCCCAGTCTCATGTGCTCCTGATTGGAGATTGCAGCTCTGGAGAAGCTAATATGAACAATGAACAAACGAACCCACCCTGAGGCCGATGACTCGCTCCAGAAAGCCAGTACGATAATATTGTCGTGAGCCGAGCTCGTTGGCTGTCAGCACCAAGTTCATGAGTCTGTACTTGGAAGCAAGCGCTACGGTGAATCAGGCGTAATAAAAAATGAGATAGTAGGTGGTGTATGAGAATCCGCTCACTTGTTTCCAAGATGGCTAATTTGTGACATACATGGATTAAAGACGGCTCCTAAACCTATATGCCCCCTTCGAAGACTTCGGCAAGATAGATCCCGGATCCATATCGTGATATCGAGGGTCCAGAGCAAGGCGTCGCCACCGTCCCAATGAACCACGAGAGCCTCGAATTGTGCCCAGCGCCCGTGGAGTCTGGCACTGGGCAGACCTTCAAGGTTCAGTGCTGGCTACAAAGATAGAAAGCACACCTCTTCAGCCCGGAGATGGTACACGAGGCTGTCTCCTTTTGTCCCGTGGGACTCTCCTATCGACTGAGCCGAACATCTTGACGAATGAGTACAAACCTCGGTTTGTGCCTGACCACTCATGAATGAGACGTTCGTTACTAATATGACCAGTGCAGTCCAGGACCTCAAACCAAAGCCAGAAGTCTAAGTAGTAAACATTCGTCTACATGCCTTCCAGCTTCCAGTTCATCTGAGCTTATCACGGTCGCGATGGCCCCCAAGGAATGTATAAAGCCGGACCCAACATCCTCACGACCCAACCTCGGACAACCGAACTCGAGAGCTGGACGTGGGGTGTTGCGAGTCTGCTGATAATGGCGTTCAAGGAGCTGGAGAAGCAGGATCCGCAAGCGAAGATTACCCACAAACTTATCGATTGCGGAAGTACCCAGGCTTTATGAAGGATCATAGAAGACATACTCTTGTGTCGTTAGCATCGTGACATCTGCCTAGAACCAAACGATGCAACCACCCTCCGTGAGGATTCCCACCGGCCACTTGGCTCTATGATCAGGTGTCATTGATGTTTCAGGCTGGGTGGGCCAAGTGTAGGCTCTTATTGGATTGGGGTCCTCCGTCGCTAGCCACGTTATTCAACAGTAAAGTTACTCTTGACTATCCTTCGCTTCACCTAGAGGTGCCAGTGGACCTATCCGAGTCAGGTCTTCTCTTTTCATTGCGATTAGCTCCGAACCTTTGAATTTGCAAGTCCTTCTTTGCGAGCCTTGGATGTTCATCCACAGGGGTGATTCAGCTTCGCCGCTTGAAAGCGACCGTGGGCTATTGCCCTGTTGCCCCTTCGTTGCCATGGCTGTTCTCTGCTAGCTTCGCAAAAGTTATCCCTAGATCCGACCAAAGAATAAATTGTCATTGCAATTGCAAGTTGACTAGTCTTTAGTTTTCATCATTGTCGCCATATCACCGCTCCTTCCGGTGCTTGTCGTATCCACCTCGTTGTGTCGGAACGCACGCCAGCGAAATCCTCAAAGCCTTACTGTTTGTCTATCTAGAAAGCGACACTCTTCTGATTGTCTACAGTTTATCTGCCTATATATGTAGTATTCCAATTTCCCAATTCCCAGATCAAGGATTGTTGTACCTTGGGATAGGCTAGAGAAGCTCTCCGGGGAGACAGTAGTATGCTCTGTTAGCCACCAATTCAAGATAGACAGCAATTTAGTGTTTGTTTGAAGATGAAACACTCGTTAATTAATTGCAACTCTAGTCGTGACTTGTAGAACACGAGAATGCAAGAAGTCCTCGTCAATCAATGCAATCAGATGGCTCTCTATTCGAACCGGGGTGTGGGAGCTTTCCCTTTTACAGAGGCTAAAGTACTCCACCGTATCGAAAAGCCCCACAACTCGCCCCACACTGATCGGAATCAGCTCGGATCAAGATTTATGAAATGCTCGACGCTTCTAATGATGAAAACCGATGAAAAAAGGATCAAAGCAGGTGCGTGAAAGCCAAAAGAGGGATCCGAAGCGGCTAGTCTCGAAAACAACCAGAAAAAAGATGAGTCCCCGCAGCCGGGAGTCGAACCCGGCCCTGCGCTCCATGAAAGTGAGGTCCAAGCAGGTACGTGATCCTACTTGAGGGTTCTAGCGTCTCGCCGTACTACCGCAACACTACAACGGGACTTGGTGAAAGTACAGCAGCTACAGGGGGGCATGACCCAGCAGCCGTAATCGATTTCACGCGGTAGAGGGCCCCCGCGCCATGCCATTTGTCTCAGATGGAGATAGAACATCCGGAAGGGTGTGCGCCAGCCATGGGCTTTTTCGAGGCGAAAAAATCCGATGGATGGGGATGATTTGGCTCGTTTTTCGTAATGGATATGCTGGACGAGCACTGTGAGGCTGCACAGGACCTTGGAAGTGAGAGATGGGGGCAGTAACTACATCACTCACTGTTTACGGTGCGCTGGGTCTTTGGAACCCCTTCATGGCGGAGTGGTTAGTTGTTCGGCTTTCCTGGTAAAGGCCGGGGTTCGAGCCCTTTGAAAGGCAGCAAGTTCTTCTTTTCGGCAGCGTAGCGCAGCGAAAGGATGGATGGTCATGATGAAGAAAGAGTAGGAGTCATGGATTCCCTCTCGGGGGGATTGCCTCATCTTTAAGTACTGCTGCGGCGGGTGGATCCGACCCGGGGTTGCGTAGTACCAAGCTCTTGGCGGGATAATGGGTGGGGCCGAAAGTTACAGCTAGTGTTCGTAATAGTGAGGTCGAAATAGCTACCTGTTACATTCAATCGTCAATACAGGCGATGTGGCCTTTTTAGTGCGCTGTCGCCAACCCTATACTTGGTAATCTAAGATAAGCTAGCCATCTAAGCCGGGGAAGCCATGTGACTGTTGGCCACGTGTTTTAAATCTGCCTCTTTTCCGGTGTACATCTCAAAGAATGGCTCTCTGTCGGTTGTGCTGCACTGCCTTGCAGGTAATACTGACAGATGAATCACTCCGGAGTGAATATGAAATTATTTTCCCCTCTTATCTCAGAGCACAACAATCGGGCTGCTGGATTTGTTCCAAAGTCATTGCCTGGGCCGAAGAAAACCAGCCGGAGCTCTATCGCAAATGGCGCGGCTCTTCGCTTTGCGCCACGTTCTCGGTGTCCACTGGGGTGGGGTACTATGAGCCCCCGTCGGAAAATGTCCCGTTGTTACCCTGTGAGATCGCCATTCGACCTAAAAATACAGTTGGTAACTATGAATGCAATGTTTTGGTGGGATTTATAACACGCGCTGATATAGCATCCGATGCATTCGAGAATTTTGGAAATGTCGAAGATCTTGCTGAATCCCCAATAACGGGAGCAGGAAAGGATAAGTCTATTTCCCGATTGTTGAAACTTGTCAAGTTCTGGTTGGAACGATGCACTCAGGAACATGTGAGATGCCGCTTGTCCTCCTCAGCCCCATGGGTTCCAACGCGCTTGCTACATCTCGTTCCAGGTGAGAGAGGCATGTTAGTCAAGATGGTCGTTACCAAAGATGCCGTGATTGACGGCCAGTACATGACACTGAGTCACCGTTGGCCTGTCAAGCCCTGTCGTCGTCTTATGTTGACTGCATCAACCTTTAGCCAGCTTCAGCGTGGAGTCAACGTCAGGAAACTTCCACAAAGCTTCCAAGAGACCGTAGAGCTTGCCTCTTATCTGGGGATCAAATATCTTTGGATTGACTGTCTTTGTATCATGCAGGATAGAGATGATCTTTCAGATTGGCATCGGGAGGCCCCTACCATGCATATGGTGTATTCGCACTCTTTTCTCAACATCTCCGCCACGTTTTCGTCCACCGGGTTAGAATCACTGTTCCATCAGGCTGAGACCTTCGCCGAGACCTGGCCCTCACCAATCGATATCAATGTCAGGGGAACCATGCGCAAGGTCTATGCGGTGGACGCGGATGTGTGGAATCGTGAAATTACAGAAGCGCCTCTGAACCACAGAGGCTGGGTTTTCCAAGAGCGCTTTCTCGCTCGTCGAATCGTGCACTTTGGACGAGCCCAACTCGGGTGGGAGTGTTGCGAAACGGAGGCGTTAGAAATGTTTCCGCAACGTGTGCCATTCTCTCTCGTGGCTGGGTCGGGTTGCAAGTCAACGGTGGTGGACAAGTGGACGAAGCCCCGTGTTGCCTTGAATGCTGATTCTCTGCCCAATCGTGAATTCAGACGACAGCTAGACTTGCGAAGTAACCTGATCGAGGCCTATTCCCAATGCCAATTCACGTTCACCAAGGACAGACTAGTTGCGTTCTCAGGGATCGCGATGAGTGATACTCTCGCCGTTGACCCATCGGATCTCTATATTGCGGGGATGTGGAGGAGCTCAATTCTATATAGTCTCGCCTGGCAGCGCAGTCACAGCAGGTGCCCACTTCTTGAATCGGCTCAAGAGCCGGTCTTCAAAGTGCCCAGCTGGTCCTGGCTGTCTTTTGATGGCGAGGTCATTTTCCCTACGCTTCCATCCTCTGCTGCGCTTTGTCCGTTGGCACGGATAGTTGATATCTCAGGTAAGAATGATATTTTATATGTTGAAAGATCTGTGAACCATAAATCTGATTCATGGTCGACAGTAATCGAATGTTCCATTCAACTAGAATGTATTCTCCTGAGTCTGGACTTGTTTTGGTCGACAGCTGGTAAAATCATCGGGATCTGTGTCACAGAATTAGGTCTGCCAATCATGAGCGAGGGTGCCAGCCTCAACGATGAGGACCCCATGGGAGTTGATGATAATTTTGGATCCGTCATTGATTTAGACGAATATTCTTCGTGTGAAAAGGATCAACACTTGGGTCTGCGGGCCGAGGCGAAGAATCTTTTCCTCGTACCGCTGTACGCATCATCTCACAGCCTTCGAGGCATCTTTGTGACTCCATCTGGAAAGGAAAAAGATACGTATATCCGCCTGGGGGCATTCGAGACTGGCTACCCTTCGCTAGTCGGTCAAGAGATGCGAGCCGTGGGGGGTCCTATGATGGATCCACTTTCCGGAGTGGACAAACGAACCTCAAGCCTGTTCAATTATATACAGGATTGTTCCAGAGGCTACGGAAGAGATTCGAACCATCCCGTTATTCAACTTGTCTAGCATATCAAGAAGTACCTCGATCATATCCAAGTTCTATCAGTCAATGCCCTGTCGCAGTATTTAGTCCATGACCATGATCAAAAGCCTCGAGTTCTGGCTATTCGAAATGGATAAATCTCCTTGTTACTGGCTTACAGGCATCAATAAGGAACATTGGCTAACTAGCTATGCAGGGATTCATGATTAGTAATAGTTTGCCATGGAGTAATCTTTGATAATACTATTTTACTTAGAGGTAAATGGGGATAGGTCATCTTTAGGTTAATTACTTACACGTATGATAAGCTAAAGCTGCAATTCAGAAAGCTGTCTGGCTCAGTTCTATAGGTGATATTCTTATATAGTTAGTAATATCAATTTGGATTCTAGCTAGGAATTTTACTAAACAAGGTCTTCTTAGGAGTAAATAAAAAGTAACCCGTATCTTAGATTAGAATAACACACACAGGGTGAACCCCTTGAGGGCGGACTAGTTTGACTGTCGAGCCGGAAGCTTCATTTGCTGCAGATGAATATAATATATATCTCGAAAAGATAGGCATTGTAGAACCTCAAGGAATACATCAAATCATTCAAATCTTAGTGTCTTCAGCCCGTTACCATAGAACTAAGTATGGATAACAAAAGTCATGCAATCATAGGATTTCAAGTTGAAGGGGGAATCAACAGCAGCATTCAAAGCAGGTCAGCGCCGCACATCTGTTCAAAATCATTAACAAGCTTTTCATGTTATCAAGTCATAACGGAGGCGGAGGCTTACACTCCGCAGCAAGTCCCACAGCACCCACATTCATCATCGCCCTCCCCACCTCGGAGTTGCATCTGCATAGCTTGAGGCTTCTAAGCATACCAAAATGGTTAGAGTGGAACACAATCGGAACTTCAAAGAGATTAAGTGTCATACAGGTTGCTCTGTGACAATATTCGAGGAGTCCATATTCTGAGACTGGGAGGGTTGGTGCATGGTCAGTGTTGACGCATCCCAGACTGGCTCCTGGGTGACATTTGTGCTCTTGCGGAACCAAGTGAACATATTTGCAGAACGAGTTTTTCCAGGATTATAGACGGGAGAGTTCGCTTTCGTATGATCATGACCTTTGAACGGATGACATCAATTCTTAAATATCTCAAGTCCCACAAAACAGCTGCCTGAAAATATAGAAACGCAATCCGCGGGTCCCGAGGCAACTCGGCCGCTGACAGGCTCTTTCCTACAAACTTGGGTGGTTACGGAAGACAATTGCGGCCACTCGGCGAAAGGGAAATCTGCCGGCAAAATTATACGTAAAACAAGATAAACCCTCATAACCCTAATAGTAAGGAATAATCAAAGATGGTCCCTAATGAAGAACCCTAAGAACAATACCTTCGACCCTACAAAATTCTAAAGATCCTAATATAAGAAGGGGCTGAGTTGGTTATGTAATTTAAAGGGCTTTTTTAAAGGGTAAAGAAGAGGGGATATTAAAAAAGACTAAAAATTAACTTAAAAAGTACTTTAATTGTACAGGCCCTGGGGGCCGGAGGGGATGGCGGCGAAGGTTTTCCGTAGGTGGTGGCGCGCTAACGGAGTGTTCCGTTAGTCGATACTTAACTAACCAACCTAGGTAATTACCAAGCTGCTAGTAGTAGTCACTCGAAACCTTTTTCATTTGTTGGACCAATCGCAAGTCCTTGTCCACGGAAACAGTACCTAGTCGTTCTTCAAATGCATTCAATGTAACTTGGGAAGAAGTTGCTGCCTAGGGGACTTTCCATTTTGGGCTGAGTTGTCTGACGGGTGAGAGCAAAGCGTTTAACCGAGCTGCCCAAGATCTCTACATGTCATATACATGTTCGCCTGATAGGCAAAGCCGCTTCTCTAACTGCGCCTCCACGTCGACAATTTTGGGACTGGACTTGGAACTGTGGCCACATGAGAAATAAAAATAAGTGAATGCTATGCTAGGCTACCTACCAAAGTTCACGCAGCCAACGCTGTGGAGTATATTCCCGCCACAAGAGCTTTCGCCTTCGTCATAAAGATTTCATTTCCGGCACAGCCTGAGTCTCAAGGTCGTGACAAGATATGTTTGCACTGTTATATTGCTTGGAAAGAGTTTAGTATGTTGTCCTTTCATAGAGGATGTAGGATTGAGGAAGCGGTACGTTGCCAAAGCAGGGCTTGCCGTAAACAGGCAAGGTAACATCTGAGACAACTACGACCTCCTGAATCGGTCGCACCACCAAAGCGCTTCCAATATAAATATCCTCTGACAGTAACAAACATCCTTGCACACCTATGGTGCTTGACCTGATGATCCAAGGACATCCATCAAGGCCTCGACCGATTTCTGATAGATTGCAAGTGACTGCTCTTTCAGAGCAGTGAGCTCCAGGTAGCCGGCATCCTCTGCAATAAACTTTGTGTACTCATCACGAGCGTTCTGATTAATACTTTTCTGGCACCTGCTTCAATGGCTTGCCGAAAGAGCCAATCCGGGACCGGGTGCATGCCATGGATGACGAGTGGAATTGAGGGACCAAGGGCGTCGGCAATGCCTTTGAGTCTATGGACATTATTAGTGGGCATTGCATTTTTATGAGCTGCATGAGCTGCATGGGTGTGTCTTACCGGTCAAGTTGCCAGTATTTCTCAGAGCCGCCCTCAGGGTAAGGGCCGTGAATATTGCCAAATGACGGTGCAATATAATGGACCCCCGTTTGACGGGCAAAGTCTGCTGCATGTTGTGGATCGGTTAAGATCTCTTCAAGCTCACCGGCGTCTGGAATACCATCTTCCCCACTGTTAATGCGACCCAATTCTGCCTCCACTGTAATGCCCCGTGCCTTGGCGAGCTCGGTAATTCTCTTACAGTACTGCATGTTTTCCTTGGGTTCTAGTCTGGATGCGTCCAGGGCCAAAGCCTGCTCAACGTCGCTAGAATCCGTGCAGTCAGTGGTCGAGGTGGACACCTATAGGAACCGAGGCATCGTGGGCGGCTTCAACTATGTACTTGACAAAATGCGGGCCTTGGAAATGCATTGACCAAGGGAAGATCTCAATCAATGCCGGGGAGCGTTTGGCCTCGGCAGCACGGATGACGGCCATAACGCTGTCATTGTTATAGCTATTCTCAAGCATCAGGGGGGTGTAATATGCTAGGAACTCGATTACAATGCACCAATTGAAAGCACCAACAGCGTATCCCCCCTTCGTCGCGTCATTGAGAATCTTCCAAGTGAGATTGCTCTCAGGGAAGGCGGCGTTGACCTTATTTGACGACATGTTTGTGCTTGTTGCTGTAAGTCTTGATCCTTTGTATTGATTCTCTTGTTTTGGGAGATAGATCATACAAATAAGCCATCCTAGATACTATAGATCCCAGTTCTCTGGAATGTTGACCTTGTGGCGAATTGCGGATTAGGGTGGAGAGAACGGAATGCTCCGTCTATTTGCCCCACACCGGATCGGCCGGGTGGAGATCTTCTCTCTCGCACCCTCCGCGTCTCCTGCAGACTCACATCTCCCTGCCCTCCTGCTGGATTACTGCCAGCATGACCCCAAAGACGTGCAAATCGACCACAGCAAGCACCCGAAGCGCTAAAAAAGTTCGATCCGCGTGCATCCGCTGTCGAACTCGACGTATCAAGGTGCGCTAAGTTCTTTGACGCTTCTTCTCCGAAACTCCCTTAAACCCCCCCGAACACAGTCAACTAATGGACAGAAGTGTGACGGGGAAACACCGGCCTGCAGAAATTGTCTCAAGGCAAGCGCCCCATGTATTGATGTGGATGCGAGGCTTGGCGATGCGTTATTACCTCGCAGGTAAGGGTGGATGCCCCAACTGTGCGCTTCGCCACCGTCGCTGACCTTGAACGCAGCTTTTCGGCAGACTGCGTCCGTCGTATTCAGTGGTTAGAAGAGATCATACAAAAACACTTGCCAGATATCGATCTCGCAGCTGGCCCGCAACTTGACGCGTCGATCAAGGCGGCCTTCGAGGTCGCGTCCCCCAAGCCGATCAGCTCCTCGAAAACTCCTCTTGGTTTCCCAAGTGAAAATAACGAGTGCTCTTTTGTTCCTTCTCCTGAGATAAATTACTCTTCCCAAACACCTTGTTTGCCCGGTGTCCCCAACAACGAATCGCCTCAGCCTGATTGTTGGGAATCGCCACCGGGCGATTCAGGTATCGCCGATGAAGTTCGTGCGCTGGCACAGAGCCTTGGTCAAGTCTCCCTCCATGAGGACTCCCGGCAGACTTACTATCTAGGTACCTCGACTGGCGTCCTTTTCGCGCATCTTATCGGTGCCAGTACAGCCGGATTTCGTGATCCCTCAGGGCCGGTAGTCATTGAAGAAGAAAATACCCTGGGAAATGTCTCCTTCGAGCGGCTGAGAACCACATTGCTACAGGTGAATGATGTCCTATGATGATGCTCGCAGTGAACTGACCCAAGATGCAGGAGTTACCTCCCCGCGATCGGTGTCAGGACTTACTGGATGAGTATTTCCGTGTCATCCATCCCGACTTCCCAATTCTTGATCCGGCGTCGGTCTCGAGCATCTGTGAAGCGCTCTACGCACTATCTTCAGTGACCGATCCTTGCAAGATTGGGAGCAAAGGGTGGCCCGTAGATCGACCCGGATTTCCCTACAACGGCGAGATGGAAATTCGGAACGGTCAATATGAAACATCAATTTCAGTTTATGCTGCGGCCTTCCACCTGTTCATGATTTTTAGCATTGCTTCCATACTTAAGATGCGTCGAAGGCAGCTGGAGGACTCTCCGCAGCGACTCTACCAAGCGGCTGTGTCTTTCTCCCATCATGTCCTAGCCAGACCCTCCCTCGTCGGCATACAGTCTCTTGTGCTTCTGATTACACACAGTCTGATGACACCATCTGGAGTCAATACATGGACAATAGTACATCTATGTATGGCAAATTGTGTTGATATCGGGCTACACCGTGAAATGGCCGCCAGTCCCTATAATCGTCTCCCAATTCATATAAGGAGAATGGTGTTTTGGACGGTTTATTCGTTAGACAGGTGAGCCCGCCATGCATTCCAGGACCATGTTCAGCGTGTACTAAGAGATCAGATCAATCTCCACGATTCAAGGAAGACCCCTCGGCATAGGAGACGAAACATTCGACCTCTCGCGTCCCGGTCTAGAATTTCCTGGCAGCACCGCAACCCCCGGCAGCCCGTTCGGGCCAAGCTTTGATCCCAAGGGCTTATGGCCGTACACAACACACCATCTCGCCCTAGACCGGTGGATCTCAGCCATCAAACTACTTCTTTATCGGTGTCCGTCGTCCTGCCAGCAGAACCTTTTTATGTGGCCCCCAGACCTCGAAAAACAACAGGCGATCCTCAAAGGCAAGCTTCAGGCCTGGTATCTCGAGATTCCCAACATCGTGAGCCAAGTGATTGTTCCGGATGAACCTTTGCGGGACAAACTCCGTCTCAAGCTCGAAGCCCGATACCATGCAGCTATGATGCTCTTGTTCCAGCCCTCACAAGCCTTGCGGAGGCCCAATGTTGAAGCATGCAAGATCTGCTACGGATCGGCCGTCCAACGGCTCATGATCTACTCTCAGCTATATGAGAACGAGCAGCTCTTTTGCGATTGGCGGAGCATGCAGGACATATTCCATTCGGGGGTGACCTTTCTCTACTTGCTTTACGGCTTGCCGTTTATACGACAGTCGGTTTCGCTTCCCGAAGTCTCCAAAATCATGCGCCTGTGCTCAAACCTTCTGAGCACGGGCGGTGAGTGGTGGCCTTCGCTGAAGAAAGCGAAGAAAAGACTTGAAAGGGTGGCCGACATTGTGATAGATAAGCTCTATAGCGTCAATGCTGCGGCGCTGCCGTCGCAGTCCGCACCGGATATGGATGGCGGGCTCGGTACCACTCAGCTGGGCGAGTCACTGCCGCAGTATTCTAGCTGGGAATTTCCTGATATTGCCGGCCTCCTTCAGCCGTCAAGACGGCGAACGGCATCCATGTCGATCTTTCCGGTGGTTTCTCCCCGCAGATCTGGCACAGAAGCCGAAGGAGACGGAGGGATGCCACAATTGTCGGAGATCTTCAACGAACAAGCGCAGTCCGACGCGCCCGGCTGGGGTAACCCAATACCACACCAGACAGAGGTATTCGATGATCCCTTCTGGGAGCTTGTACAGTTAACTTGATGCATGATACGGGTGTTTTCATGTCTACTCTGCCGGAGGTGCCGCCCTCATTGCAAGCATTATCCTTGATTTGCAAAAGTCTTGTCTGGCGCTTGAAGCAATTTATGCGGCCACACAATGATGCGTATCCAGCTGCTGGGGGGAATATAATGGTTGTCGTGGGCTTGTGGGGGACTATGGTTTATGCAGGAGATTGCTGGGGCTGCGGCAACCCGTCGTTTTGAGACCAAATGAATATAACTATTGTTTGGAGCACTGTGTTATCGTCCGTCAAGAACATGCGCATGATTGATGCATCACTTCAATCTTGCTACGTACCAGGTCAGCCCGCAACTGGGCAGGCCTTCACGGAACTTGGAAGAGGCAGCAACGGGCTTCGAGTGGTGGCTCATAGTATCAGTTACCATGTCATTCACAACTTGCACCAAAGTAACGAGGGCCGGAACCACCCAGTCACGGGACCCGCAAGGGCCCGTCTCGAGCGGTCTGCTCAACCAGCGCTGTAGTTGCCAGTTCTCCGAAGATAGCTCCGAAGCAGAATATAGCAGTCCTACATGGGCGGTCACTGAATTGAAGCCGACTGGAACCACACTACCTCACACGCCACGAGTAAATTGCACATGGGCAATCTCTGCATTCAAAACTGATTGTTCAACGAATGACTCATTTGTCTAACCAGGTCGACCACTACTGAGAATCACTAATGCGATCGATGACAATGAACAGCCAACGGAGTGTTCCATATTTCCTTCCTGACGATCAGCCGTACCGAGGCCAGACCCCCCCGCGTACCCCAGAATCGATCGGCAATAGGACGCGTCTTCTAACGTCATCGAGAAGTTTCTAGAGCGACCTCCAAATACTCCACTGCCTCCGAGCGCCTCTTGATGGGGGCTACAGTCAGTAAATCCTGCCGTGACGGAAGTTTCCGCGACCCCACAAGGGTCAGAATAGCCCTCCGCCGGCGACTGCGGGGAAAATAGCAAAGAGTATAGTGGCCGACCATTTAGAGGCCGTAACCTGCGGACCTGTCATGTTGAAAGATACGAATTCTGGGAGATGGTCAGTGCTCGGTGCGGCTATTTGGAGATGACCATCCACTGCAGCTCCGTGCCGGGTAGCCACAGCAAGACCAGCGGGTGTCCATCACTTGTGGATGGCCATGCTAGCGACACAGGAGTGAGGGTAGGACCCGGTTTATAGTATAATTCTATCGTGCTGATCCCTAGCTAGTACAGTACCTGACTCAACTGTAGGAATAGAAAGTATGCGTTCGAAAGTGGGTAAACAATGATTCCAAAATAGCAACATGGGACTCGCGTGGTTACTTGTGTTGACTGTAGTATAGGTGAAAACCATGCCATGACGTCATACTACCTCACAGGCCCTGATAAGCTCGAAGATCCAGTGTTCAATTTGGTCATTTCCTTTTGGTGTGAGTTGATACCTAATCCACAGGGCAACTTATCCGCGGGAGATAAGCAGCTAGTTTCCCCAACGGTCGCCCTGCGATTTTACCTCGGCTCAACCTGCGCTACCCCAGAATCCGACCACATTTTCGATTTACCCCCTCATTCCTTCCTCCTTCAACTCCAGCTTCCTGCCATTGATTCTGCATCCACCATCAACCCCCCATACACTTGCACCACGATGTCGTCGCAATCCTACACCTACGAACGCTTCAACATCACCTTCCCGCCGGACCACGAATATGTCGCCCACGTGGAGATCAACCGTCCTTCCAAGCTAAATGCCTTCATCGAAGCGTGCGCGCGCCCTTCTTTCCCCCTTCCCCGACCCTTGGGATCCACAATCCACAACCCCAACCTCAGCTCTAACCCCCCCAAAACAGAATGTGGCTCGAACTCTCCTCCATCTTTACGCGCCTGTCCACCGACCCAGCCGTCCGCGCCATCGTCCTCACCGGCGCCGGCCCCAAAGCCTTCACCGCGGGTCTGGACGTGCACGCCGCTTCAGAGGGCACGCTCTCCACCCCCTCGTCCACCGACCTCGACCCCGCCCGCAAAGCGACGCACCTCCGGCGGCACATCCTCGAATTCCAGCACTGCATCTCCAGCCTCGAAAAATGCGAGAAACCCGTCCTCGTGGCGATGCACGGCTTTTCGCTGGGGCTGGCCATCGACCTCAGCGTCGCGGCGGATGTGCGCGTCTGCACGGAGGACGTGCGCTTCGCCGTCAAGGAGGTGGATATCGGGCTCGCGGCGGATATCGGGACGTTGAGTCGGTTGCCCAAGGTGGTGGGGTCGTTTGGGTGGGTGAAGGAGGTGAGTTTGACGGCCAGGGAATTTGGGGCCGCGGAGGCGCTGCGCGTCGGGTTTGTGACGCACGTGTTCAAGGATAAGGAGGCGGCGGTGCAGGGGGCGTTGGCATTGGCGAGTCGAATGGCGGGGAAGAGTCCGGTTGCGGTGCAGGGGACGAAGGAGTTTTTGAATTGGTCCAGGGATCGGAGGGTTGAGGATGGTAGGTGTTTTCTTTTTTTTTTATTGTTGGGTTTGGTGGGGATGGGAAGGCGGCTGATGATATGATGCTAATCTGGTGATAGGGCTGCGGTATACGGCGGTCTGGAATAGTGCGGCGCTGCAGACCAAGGATGTTGAGGCGGCGCTGTTGTCGGGGATTCAGAAGCGGAAGCCGACTTTTGAGAAATTGTAGCTCGTGCAATCGAGGTGTACCTTAGATTTTGTACTGCTGGCATCGTTAGAAGCTGCTTGCATAAGCTTTGCGTCTCCGGAACGAAAGTATTGCTAAAGACTCAAGTGTGAGGTGAGAAAGCTTACTGTAAAGGCTGGGACTTATTCATAAAATCAATTCGATGGCTAGAAACTTTGTCTGATGTCTTCCAACAGTCAGTCTGCTATATAAGGATACGTCTTCGTTGCTGCACGCAGGTATGAAGCGAACGTGATTCGAAGTTCGAGATACTAGTCATGATAGTCATCCTGGCTACACGACGTCACCGGTCTCAGAGGCAAAGCCTGTATTACACTACAGACTTGGAGACCACTGATGCACAACATGCTTGGCTCGTATCGGCGTCCAGAAACTTGAAGGTACTCTACAATTTTCACCATGAACAGGCAGGATGCCTGTCACTCTCCCATGCAAAATCAAAATTCAGACTACATGAGCGTGAATAAACAGTCGAATACCTTATTTCAAACTCGCTCTGTCGTCTCAGACACAAACTGACTCGCCGAAGCGGATGCACACGAAAGAAATTGGCTAGTCTATCTTCACAACGGAGCATACCAAGCCTCAACCGTGCTTGACGGTCTCACATGGTAGTCTAGAGCTTGAGTGTGGAGACTGGAATACCATTTTGGAGAGACCCGGGCAGGAGGAGGCTGAAACGCTTGGCCCCGTCCCGCCCAGCCCAGCCGCCAGACTGTCGTGGGACCGTGGCGGCAAGAAGGTTTCATCTGATACTCTTGGTACAGGAGGTCTATCGTAGGAATATTCCCTGAGTCACAACTACGTGAGTCAGGAGTGTGTCACGGAACTTGTGGCAGGTAGAACAGCAGGAAGTTGGTGTTCCTGCCGCTTGCCCTAGGTCCTGTCCTGGGCAGTCCCGTGCTAGCGGAGAGCAGCCTCTATTTGTGCTGTGCTGTGGGGATTCCAAGAGCTTGGCATTGTCAGAACTGTTCCAAGAAGGAGAAATGTGTGCCTTTGGCTCTCTGACTCTGCAAGAGTTGGGATTGAATGATGTGGGCACATCATTTCTGGTATCATTGGCGCGGGAATTGTTCGTCTGCCAAGGCCTGTATTGTCCCACCCCGAGAATTGTCCGAGGACGGAGCTGTCAAGTGCTGAAGATGTTCGTGCTCTATTTATATCTGCAAGGTTAAGTTTCATCAGTGTCAAGTGCTAAGTATGAAGATACAGCACAACACATTCCCTGCCCAGACAGTAACTTATCTCCTGCCAGACAACGAAGTAGAGTACCAGCTAAAGAAAATCAACAACGCACCCTACACTTCATGTGTAAGCACGACAACAATCGGGCTTCGGATTTAACCACCGCGCTTGACGCTCACCCCAATCTGTACCCCGCTTCTTCACTCCGTCACACCCCCCAAACTTCAAACTAACGCATCTCATTTTCCGCCCCGCTAATCCCAGATCGAAACGGAACTACACCCTTTGACATCGACCCTGTCACTCCGTCACCCTGCCAATATTCACTCGACATCCCATCCTGCAGAACCGCATCTCCTTCCAGCACGTCATACCCACCCTCACAGGTGGGAAAAATCCCACCAGAATACACTCTGCACTCCGCACGGCCCTCCCTCCCCCTTCCTCTTGCGCCTCCGTAGACCCGAAGATATAGCACTTTGTACCCTTGAACCCTGTCGATCGGCGGGCTTGTTTGCGCTGCCGCCTCCTTTCAATGACTTTATTCGTTGAGAGGAGGATGCTGCAGTCCACGAGGGGAGTCAGTATCCGAGCATCGGGGCCATAAACCCCGAGCTTCCCGGGTATTGTTTTGGGAGGATTACCCTGAGCTGCGAGCTGCGTGCAGAATGCCAAGGTTGGAGTGCATTTACCCCATACTGAACCTGAGACTGGGGGTGTTTGACATGCTGGTTCTGGTCCGATGGCCGAGGTCGGTAGAAAGGAAATTGCCCGGGTGGGATGAGCTGGGTTGAGTGGGATTTTCCACGTATTGGTCTGGGTGGTGAGGGTATAAAAGGGGGTTGGCACTCGGTTGTATGAGTTCAATTCATCATTCACACAGAGAAAATTGACAGCCAATACCGCCGCAATGAAGACCGCCGCTCTCGCACCGCTCTTCTTCCTCCCCTCTACCCTCGCCACGACGGTCTATCTCGCGGGTGACTCGACCATGGCCAAGAATGGTGGCGGGTCCGGGACCAACGGTATGTCCAACCCCTCCTAACTCTGATGATCGCTGCTGACCGACCCAGGCTGGGGCGAGTACATCGCCAGCTACCTCTCCGCGACAGTGGTCAACGATGCGATCGCGGGCCGCAGCGCCCGCTCGTACACGCGCGAGGGTCGGTTCGAGAACATCGCCGAGGTGGTGACGGCGGGCGACTACGTGATTGTCGAGTTCGGCCACAACGACGGCGGCTCGCTGTCCACGGACAACGGCCGCACCGACTGCTCCGGCACCGGGGCCGAGGTCTGCTACAGCGTCTACGACGGGGTCAACGAGACCATCCTCACCTTCCCCGCCTACCTGGAGAACGCCGCCAAGCTGTTCACCGCCAAGGGCGCCAACGTCATCCTCAGCAGCCAGACCCCCAACAACCCCTGGGAGACCGGCACCTTCGTCGACTCCCCCACGCGCTTCGTCGAGTACGCCGAGCTGGCCGCTGAGGTCGCCGGCGTCGGGTATGTCGACCACTGGTCCTACGTGGCCAGCATCTATGAGACCTTGGGCAATGCCACCGTCAACTCGTACTTCCCCATCGATCACACCCACACCAGTCCGGCGGGCGCGGAGGTCGTGGCCGAGGCGTTCTTGAAGGCGGTGGTTTGCACAGACGCGTCGTTGAAGAATGTCTTGACGACGACGAGCTTTGAGGGGACGTGTTTGTGAGTGAGCAGAGGGGAAGGCAAAGGGGAGTGTTAAATGACAGGACTTATTGTGCATAGTGGTAGTTCGTGTATTGCAAATGGTATCTGAACTGGCTCGCTTATGTTCGTAATCGAGAATTGGATATATGAAAATTCGAGCATTAAGGTCCTTATGCCATCTCCTCCAGCGTGGTTTTCACTATTCCACGCTTCTCCACTCGGGTATAATATTGCATCAGGTTCGGGTAGGTAGTGCTGGAAAATTGACCAGCTGCTCGATTCTCCCAAAGAACGGGCCAGAGGGAACAGTCGTCAATTCCAAAGGAGGCACCACTTGCGAATGGCTGTGACTGGAATACTGCTTCCCACCTATTCAAATAGTCGACGCTTCCCGATCGATCCATCGGGTTGCGCCAAGTGGCTAGGAGTTGGTCGATCTCGACCAGGAGGCTCCCCCCGCGCAGAGCTTCCACGCCCGGTTGCACGAGCTCCGAGGCGTGAGTGGAAAAATATGCCAGGATGTTGGAATCGCCAGCAAGCTCCGCTCCATTACCATCAATGTAAAGCGGCAGATTCATGGCCTCAGCGCCCGTTGCGGTGATCGCATCGTAGCGAAGTCCGTTCTCGCCCAGACACAAACGCACCCGGAGATTAGCCACAGGGTCCGGTCCGACCACAAGCTTGGCGGTCGTAGCCGTAACAAAGTTGACAACATCGAAGCCCGCGCCGTAGACCCCGTCCCAGTCAAATTCGCTCGCGTGATTCTCTTGCCCAAACGCCCGAATCAAGCACTCGGTTCCCTCTGGGTGCCCATGGATCACTGCATGAGCACGATCCTGAGTTTTGGACACTGCACCTTGGCCCCAGATCGCGTCTCCAGTTGGGTTGAGATAGGTGCCAATGTGACGAAAAGTCAGGGAAATCCGCTGTCCGCCATACGCTCGCTCCTCCGATGACTTCTCGTCCGTGGCTCGCTTATCGGGGCGAATGCCGTGCAGCCATCGCATGTTCGTCTTCTCCCCAAGGATGAACAGTGATTCGTGAGGCATAGGGATGCGTTGCGTCAGGCGACCACTCTCGGTGCCTTCCGACTCCTTTCCCTTGGTCCGCAGCACCATCACGCGTTGAGCACCAAGACTGACATTGCATATGAACGAGCCCCGCACAATGTCCAGAGTTTTGTCCGAATGCTCCGAGATCCGGTCTTGTCCGTCGCGATACAGTTGGATAAGTGCATGGTTGAGTGGGTGGCCCAGAATACCCTCGACGACAACCCGTACCTCATCCACCGTAGAAGTGAACGGTTGCAGTGGCGGCGACTCATCCGCTGGGTGACGGTAGATCGGAATGGATCCATCATCCAGCGCACGCCCCTGTACCGCCACCAACCGCGGGACCTGCCCAGACAGATGATACATCTTCTGCCAAGCCACCTCATCCCGGATCTTCTCAAAGGCTTTCTCTGGCAACTCCAAATCATATATGATCCTGGAGTCCCCCTCCCCGATGACATCGCCCGGCCTGTACACATCGCGTTTCTTCGACTTCTCGCTTCGCCGCGGGTCTGTGCGCGCCCTCAACTCGCCCTTGGCATCCGATCTCTTTGCACGACGGACACGTGTACGGGCCTTGACAGCGCCAGTATCCGCGGATTGTGCCTCCGAGGCATTCCGAACTCGTGCGCGGGCGATATTAGCCAGCTCCTGCAGGCTCTGGTTGTCATGGCCGGAGAACTCCGCCATGAGATCTTCAATCCTGCGGCGCCGGCCGCTGCCCACCAAAGCCTCCGGGCTCTCATCCCTGGCCGCCGATCGGGATTCGGACCCGAACCCCAGTCCGTCCATGACGCCTTCAATTTCAGCACGATTCGCCGTTCGCACTGGCCGGGCGTTGCTACTCCTGGCGATCGCGTCGGTCTCCTCCCAATCTAGCTCCTCCAGCAGCTCCTGCGTGGTGATCCCGCTGGCGCCGAAGATATCCGCCATGCGACGCATCGCCTCCTCGTGGCGGGGGAAGCTGCGGTACCCGAGACAATCCTCGACCAGAGTGACTGAAAAGCCATGTCGCACGGCGTCAAGAGCGGTGGCGTAGACGGACACATTAGATAGCGACCCGCAGAGGTAGAGCTCGGTGATGAGCCGGGTGCGGAAGGAGAGGATGAGATTGTGGTCGCCGAGCGCGGAGTACCCCGATTTGACGATCAGGGTATCTGATTCTGAGTCGATGGCCGCGAAGACGGGTGCGGGGAACTGCGCGCCGGGCGTTTGCGGCACACAGCACCGCGGTGTCTTGGCTGAAAGGAAGGCCTCCTCGTCGATGGTGTGGCCATCGTCCATCTTCCAGTCGCCATCTACGGATTCATCCTCTGGTGTGCGCTTGGCTCGCGCGTCCTGGTCCTGTCGACTGAGCACCACCAGGTCCTGGCCGTCCGATGGGCTGATCAAAGGTTGCGAGGACTGGTAGTAGGAGCGCACCCACACCACGTCCCCATTTCGGCGGAAGGCGCTGGCGAGCTGAGGGATGTTCTCTAGGAAGTCAGCGGTGTTAGGGACGTGTAGGGCTCCATTCGATCGCACAAAGTCATTCTGGAGATCTAGGAGGAGAAGAGCTTTGCGGGTCTGGATGGTGGGCAGATTGCCGAACTGAGCGATGAAACTCATTGTGGGAACATGATCAGGAGGTCAAGGGGAATTATCACAAAACAGATCGATAAGAATGCAGCTAGGATAAGCAGGGCTGAAGAAATAAGGATCTTGGGTCAGATGCGGGGATAGCAGAAGGTGGGGTTGAAGATGGTAATAATCTGGTAGAGGGTGGAGGAACGATGGTCAGGAAGTGAAGATGCGGAGGGTGAAATCCACGGGCGGAGAATCCCGTCGACACCTGACTGCTGAGGCATCCGCTTGGAATACTTTTCCGATGTGTCGGCCGAATAGAGAAGCGGTGTAGCGGTGGAGCCGCAACAAACAAACAAACACGGATTATCAAACTGACCAAACAGGGCTCACGGGTCAAATACACCCAACAGGATAAAAGGAACAAACAGGGCGCACCAGTAATCTAGGCTCAACTTGCTAACTCTATGCTTTTTATCATAGACCGGGTCGGACAGGGAGTGTTTGATAGCAAAGTGCTGGTGCTCGGCCCGCATGAAGCGGAGGAATTGTGGCTTTAGAGAAGAGCCACTCCGGACAAGCCTATCAAATAGAAAAAAGAATAAGGCGCAGTATAGTGACGACCACGATGTCAGAAAGTAGTACAGCACAGAAATGATGCTGGGAATTGAGGACAATAGATAGTACTCAGATTTTTGGGCAACTCATTTGTGTGATGGAACAGCAGGGCTGAGAGTGGATACGTACTAAGTCTTTCTCTTTGTAAGCTAAGCTCATAATGAACGACCGACCATACCAATGTCACTACCTGATACTCAGATCAGTCCTTTTACTAGCAAAACCATCCACCACAATATCATTGCGCTCGATGCCCAGTAGACTCATGCTGATCCAAGTGCGATGACAGGGAGAAATTTTGAGGATCACTAAGTCCTTCACATCTTCCCGGGTGATACTCGCAACGCCAGGCAAAAACAAGCAATTTTACAACCATAGCCTCTACTAGACCATGTCGCATTCGTCTCGACCTCACTACCTCTTTCGTCAGCAAGTATTCTTCCACGCATACAATCTCTTCGACCACCTCACACACACCGAGTTTCTTGCTAGGTTTTCTTCAGTCATCCTGCTGCGACTTATGGCCACGTTTGATATCGTCGTAATACCGTCGCCAACCCTGCGCCCAAGGAGAGATCGGGACCTCATCCAAGCCGACATAGTAATGGTAGCTCTTCAGGGGCCGGTTCGGTTGGTGGCCGTTCCCAAAGCGGTTCTCGATTCTAGCCAAGACCCAAGGAAGGGCGATCCAAAACAACGAGCCTGCAGTGGTCTCAACCTGTTGCTCGCCCCCCTCTGAGACACCCCCGACCTCGCGTGAAGCACCCCGAAAGGTCAGCAGATCGCACGTCTCGTACGAACCTACTGCGGCCTCATGGGGCCCAGGTCTTGGTCGGATGATGCCCCATAGGCGAAACCCAGAATACAGGGGCGATCCCTCGATGAAGATCATCCTCCGCCCGTCAAACGTCCTCAGGAACCTGGCCTCCAGTTCTCTCTGCAGGTCCTGCAGGCGAGGAAATCCTTCGCGCCGGCAGAGTACGGCGCACAGATACCCTGCTCCAAAGGCAGTGATGGGGAAGTAAAAGTCTCTCGTGTAGTTAAGCAAGCACAGTTTGGCCGTTGGCGGCTGATGGAGGAGCATCCTTCTCCAACTGGCCTCGGGGCGCTCGTAATATTTTCTATGACAGGTGTCCAAAGAACTGAGGAATTCGGGCCATATCTTCTGGATGATGAGGGGGTTGGCGGTGCGTCGCTCGCCTTGGGGGGTGTTTTCAGCCGGCTGGAAGAATAGGGTTGTCTGCATCGCCCGTGACTTGCTGATCAGGTCGTGCCAGAGGTAGCACACTCGTGATGAGATGAGTAAGGTCTGCATATCCATGTGGAGGAGGATTTGCTCCACCAGCTCCGGGATGCAGAATATTCGATGGGGTGTAGGTTCTGCCATGGTTACTGTCGTTTGGAGTGACTATATTGATGATAACACTTGGTAGTTGATGAGATGAAGTCTCCTCGTGGCGACCGAGTGCTGGAAATGATAGCTGCGAAGCGCGGTAGGGAGAGTCATCCTCGGCGTCACCCTTCCGACATCGATAGACTTGACCACGGTACCAGTTCAGTCGATGCAAAGCTGTGATGCACTTATGATGACGGCGAGCACATCGTGAAGAAATTTCCTAAGCAAGGACAACGGTATTTCGTTTGTCGACCATGGAAGTACGACGCAGCCGTGACTCTGAGAAGCGTCCATCTCAGGTTCAAATCACAAGCATCTCTGTGACTCGAGCAGGCATTTATCTAGTCAAAAATGACCATCACTGCAGCTCAAGTAGAGAGAATAGACGGGTGAGTACTTGAGATCTCTTAATCTGCCAGGCAGCAATGGAGTTTGCGAGCTCCCAGAGATCATCGAATTTGATGCTACGAGTTTATCGATTGTTCCATCTATACACTCTGTCGCACGCAGGTACGAAACTCGCATACCTTGGCTCGGAAACAAGCTCCCTCCGAGCATCCAATTCTTATCAACCTGGTAGAACAGTAGCAGAGGTCGGTCATGACTGCTATCATAATCCTTGCCGACCGATAAGCCAGATGTTTGCTGCTTTGTCGCTGCATGGGTTATCGGTGCTCCCGCGGACGGCCGTCGGACGAATGTAAGCAACATCGATCACAAGCCTCGACTGATAACGCCAGTATCTATGACCTTGCAGACATCCAAGTACTCCATATCTCTAGATACCAGCATTCATGGGTACTTTTGCTTCCTGCCCTCATTCATCCTTGAGCTGCATATTCCTACTCCCACTACTGACACTCCCTTCAAGCGACGCAAGCTCTTTAGTGGTTAGAACCTGCAAATCCACTCGAGCCATATAACTACCCCGCATAAACAGCACGGATCCAACACGGACGCAGCACGGAGCTGCCCAGCAGAGACCATCTCGGAGACCACAGCTATCTCCAACTCCTCTACAGACACCAGGATTACATCCCACTACTGCACGCTGCCATCCCAGAAAGGAAGCCCATCTCCCGAATTGCACCAAGCACGTGAAAGCGCCAGCCTTTGCCCGGTATACATCCGATGGAAGTATACATCCAGCCACGTGCCCACCACACGGCCCAGCAACCACCTACGCACAAGCCAAGAACTGCGACAAGTGAGCCATCCCCCAAACTCAAGGTTCCCAGCGCAAGTACCGAGATTCTCCACAAATCAGTCCTGATAAAACTTCCCACGTGTTAGCCGTTACCCCTCTGATCGACAGTGACTAAACCACTGTATAGACTACGCGTAAATTAAACTAAGTGTGCGGACTTCGAAGAAACGCGGCGCGGATGTGCGAGCGCTCGGCGAAGCTGCCCGTTAGGGCTAATGGCCCGGATCTCCGGCAGTGCCCCTCTGTTCGACTGCAGACTAGACTAAACTAGACTAACGTGTTAACGTTCCATACCCCCTTGCGAGCGCCGTGCTGCGACTTGCCCTAACACATCGTCGAGCTGGACCGTTTGAGAGTTTCTCGATGGTCTTGGGCGCATATTCACATGTTCTGGTGCTCGCAGGTGCAGATCGGCTGAGCTTAGCGCAGCAGCGTAGCAAGAATTTTGCCGGGAGTGGGGGTCCAAGCGTTAAGCAGCGCATTTGTGGGAGTACAGTACGGAGTACAGCATGTTGGACATGCGACGAAAGTTGATCAGATTGTTGATGATATCGAAGCAGTCCTTGCAAAAGTCTACGGGCAAAAGCAAGCGGAGACTTGCCCCTTTTTCTTTTCTCGAAGCATTCAATTGAGTTAAACCGATTTAAAGTCTATGATTGTTAAGAATTAAGAGTGGGTCCCCAGCAGGCTCCAATCCGTGGTTTCGGCTATCAATCTGCGACAACCCGTGAAACGTGGGTCGGGGGTACTTCGGCGGACGGTTGACTAGAAAAGTTTCTCTTTGAGACGGTAAGAATAGGAGACAAATGTCGTAACGTAAATTCATTCCAATTATATCCAAGATATGAAGTATGTACATGCGATGCGAGCGCCTCAGTCATTACTCCTATCCCTATTTACTGCGGCTAGCGTCCGCATCGCCGGGAGCAGCAGCGCGACTAATCGCACGCGCTGATGTGCTCGAAGTAGAACTTGTGGGCGGAGACACTGTCCAGGAGCGTCCCGTCGTTGCCCGCGGTGGAGTCCACTCCAGTCACCTCGGTGATGTCCGAGGTCGTGACGGTCACGTCGGTGTCGCTGGTGATCCAGTACTCCGGGCTGAAGTGGTGGTAGCCGAGCAGCTTTGGCGGGAGCTTGGGGACGATGTCGTCCGTGTGGGTGACACGGTAGTTGCTGCCCTTGCTCTGGTCGGTGATGTAGTCGGCCAGGGCGAGGTTGCCGATGCGAGGTTGGCCGAAGTTGTACTATTATCATCAGTGCTGAGATCGAGCCTGAGGCGGGGTGGGCTAGACTAGGAACATACCAGGTCAACGGTGTAGCCGTCGTTGCGGAGGACGGTGGCTCCAATCGCGGCGAGGGCAGCACCCAAGCTGTGACCGGTGAAGACAAGGTCGTAGCCCGAGTAGGTGGTGACAGCCGCCTCGACCTTGGAGGTGATAGTGCTGGCAACTGTCTCCCAGGCTTTCCAGAAGCCACTGTGAATCTCGCAGTCAGTGCAGATGCTGCTCGCATCGGTAAGACCGAAGTCGAGGTTGGCGATCCAGTTGGAGAGATCAGAGCTGCCACGGAAGGCGACAACAATAGCTTTGTTGGTCGAGTCAACAGCAACGAAGCCCGCCGTGTCGCCGAATTCGGCAGTTCTGTGGTTATTTGTCAGCCGACTCGGCCAAATGAATTATACGCTCAAAAGACTTACTCGTTGAACTCGTCAAGGACAATGGGAGCAGCAGCCACAACCAGAGGACAGTTGTCGGCAGAGCAGGAGAGGGCCGTGCTTGCTGAGTCAATGTTGGTCGAACAGTAAGCGGCCGCGCTGTACTGCGCAAAGAGGTCCATCTGGTCCAGCAGGGTGGTGGAGACAGCTATGACAAAATCAGCGTTGTGGAATAAGACTAGGTTGACACAAGCACGTACATCGACGCTCGATCGGCGCGGGGGCAGCCTGAGCCAGCAGGCCGAGAGCCGCGACAACCCCTAATTCCCGGGTGTAGAGCATCGTGAGTGGAAGAGAAAGAACGGGGAATTTGGGTTAGGGAATGATCTGCCTGGATCCTGGGGATATCTCGAAGAGTGGCGATCAGCCATCCTTTTATAGAAATTCTTCCCCTTATCCCTTGCGGGAGGGGAATTCGTCGGGGATCTGGCGTAGAAAGTCCGAGGGATACGAGCCACTCCGGTAGAGCGGAGAAAAAGCAAATCCCCGGGCCAAATTGAGGTATTAGAGAATTGAAGGCTATACCCATTGCTCTTAGCTTCAGGCCAAGGATTCAGGATGGGCTGGATGGATGGGGTTCCAGGGGCGGCCCCCAACAGACGTTGCTCCGTCGGAGGAAGATAGGGCTAGGCCGCCGCGTGAAAAAAGGAATGCAACCGGATTGCACACGGCCCAACTTCCATCGCGCATTGGCTTCTTTCTTTGTTAATTGCCACGCGTTTGCAACAGATAGATGCACCGGTAGACGTGATAAAATTCTTGAGCATTGGTGTCAACCCTTCCGGATGGACCCGCCCGGCATTCAAGGCTAAAGCGCGATGCTTGTTCAAGCCTGGTTGCTCTTCAGCCGGAACCGCGTGATTGACCTCCTGCATGAACGGGCCGGAGTGTGCATCTTGCAGAGCAATCAGACAAAACTTCTCTGAGTTAGCGTCATTGGCGCGGGCTGTCGTTCTTCCCGAAAGGACCCACCCCATTCGGCTTAATTTGGCCTCTATAACGACGACTGTTATAGTCCTCGCGGACACTTCTTATCCACCAGTGAAGTGATCACGGGGCAGCTTGCAATTTAAACTCTGCTTCAGAAGTCAGGAAAATCGAATTTTCTTCCAATTAAGCACGCACGATGGCCGTCTGACTGTGTCGCCGGAGTCAGGGGCTTGACGCTGTGCCTTCTGCTGTGAGGAAGACCTGTGCCTGAAAGTTACCGGCCCCATGGACACTGCGCCACCAACTAGTTATTAGGGCGATGTTGAGGGGAAGCTGATTTTGGCCTTGGAACGGTTAAGCTGATCTTCAGGGGCATGGTGCCTGAGGCATCCGGTTTCCGCCAGCAATGCGGGTGGAACGACTGTTCTTCCAGTTCCGAAATGACCATCAATGACCAATCCATTGCATCTTATTTCTTGCATGACTTTAAAATCTCTCAATGAGGTAAATGCAGCGTCAGAGTATGGAGTTTGGTCTGACATAGACAAGGTCTTGGAAGTTGCTTGCGTACGCCATGAAGCATCGTCAATTCCCAAATGTCAACTCAGGCGAACCCGAATATATACATTTTCGCCCAACAACTTGCCCACAATTCTACGTCGAGATGACAGCCTTATTCTACATGGAGTTCACTGCTCAGATACGTATACCTACGCAGAGAAAGAGCGTTGACATATTAATCTTCTACAACAAGATTTTCTTTTGAGAATTGTTGGAGGTCTATCATCCTCTCAGTCTCTTCGCTGTAGTTATGATTTACTGGCCGGGGAGGGTAGTATATCGGGACCACTCGTTTCATATTTAGAACGCACCAACAGCCCTTGTCAATGAAAGCCAGAGGTATTATTAAAAGCTCTACATTTGAGTGAGCTGAAGAAAGTGATTGCAGCTGATGTGAGAAATTCTGAATTCTCGAGAAGAATGAACTGCTCCTAGCTGCTGCTTCTGCTCCACCTAAACCATGCGGATGAGTCAAATGAAGAGTGTTTTTTTCGATACGCAGCGCATAGATGTATCCAAGGGAGATTTTATCTCAGACAGAAAGCATATAGATACAAAGCGTACACTTACAAAGCGTACAGATGCATCAACGGGAGATTTTATCCTGAATACAAAGCGTATAATGACAAAGTATATTGCGGATCAGTGTTACGGAAGGTACATGGAGACGAGTATATAATAAATAGCTGCTCTGGTACGGAAGAATGACATCGATGTTGGGTATACACATCGTCATCGACCACGGAAGGTGAAGAATTTGCAAGTAAGTCACCTCGTTGAGTCTGATACCACTTCTCCAAGGCTACTCAACAGTCCATCTCCGAAGAAGGACTGACTTGGCCTTTATCACTTCTCGATTCGCCTCGATCAAAGATTGCACAGATCTCCATCAACCTCGCCATCCATACCTTGTCAATTACCATCAAGCAAGGCTTCAATTCATCGCAATGGCAAAGCTTACAGACATCCCGCCGGAGCTAATGTTGTTCATCATAGAGCAGCTCCAGGGGTGGCCAGCCGACTTGAATGCACTCGTGCGGACCTGTCAACCGCTATACAACCAATGGCTTTTTTCTCTGTACAAGCACAACCAGAACTGGATCGGAGCGTTGCTTTCGGCCGCTCAAAATGGTAACTTCCTGACCGCTAAGCGAGCAGTGGAATATGACCCGATGCGTGACCCTGACTACGATAACAGCGAGGAGATCTGGGATATCCGGCGCACATTATGTATAGAGACCGAGGAAAACTTCTGCTTTGATTACTACGAAGTGCCCTACCCGCAACATAGCTTCGACCGAAATCACCCCGATGACAAGATCTGGCCGTATGGTGTAGACGAGTATGATCTGACCAACGATCGCTACGATCGGTTGACTCTGGCCGATAACGCCAATATGACACATGTCGCCTACGCACTTGCCGTGGGCAACGAGAACTTCGAAATCGCCTGTGTTCTTTCGCCCTCCGGCCGGCACATCGACACGGTAATCTCGAGATGGGGGCGCACGGCCTTACACTACGCTGCTTATTGTGGAAGTGAGCAGGGGATCGAGTTTCTGCTGGCGCGCGGCGCTAATGTTAACGCGACGGATCGGTGGGGGGAGACGGCGCTGATGATAGCTGCAAGAAATACGAGCGCATCCTGCTTGGAGCTACTTCTCGCATACGGAGCGGGAATAGACATGTGGTGCGACGGACGTACGGCGCTCTCAAATGCCATATTGAGACATGGAGATGAGACGGTTGACATCCTGGCGCATGGGGCCGACGTTAATGAAGGCTCCCATAAGCCATTATTATTGAGCATTGCTTCGGGCAATTGCAACCTTGTCTCGCGCTTGCTCGCTCGAGGGGCAGACCCCAATGCCGTGACTTACGACGGTAAGGAGACGGCACTAACCCTCGCGATCCAGCAGTCGTGCGCGGAGGAAGTGGTTCGTATGCTCCTTGAAAGTGGAGCAGACGTAAATACAGCTAGAGATGGGATTACGCCTTTGGAGTATGCCGTCAAGCAGAAGCAGGATGAGGTGGTTCGCATGCTGCTGGACCGTGGAGCCGACGTGGATGCTACCGATAACCTGGGGAGGACCGCGTTGATGCATGCGGTTTGGTCGGGGTCGCGGGACTCGGTTGCCCTGCTTCTTGAAAGGGGGGCCGATGTGGAACACAAGGAGACTGGCATTTACGGGGTCACTTCTCTGATGATAGCAGCGCGTTTTCAACGTATCGAGGTCGTGACTCTTCTTCTTGACAACGGAGCAAACATCAATGCCTATGGCGGGTTCTGGAAAACAACCCTAATGATAGCTGTTTCTGAAAGCCGCATTGACAAAGAAATGATACTTCAACTTCTCCAACGCGGGGCGGACATCACCATGGGGAACGCGTACGGGACTACGGCACTGGACTATGCCTTGAACAACAGATGGGCGCCTGAAAGGGAAGAGATTGTCGAATTGCTGCGCGAATGGGAGGAGGAATGACGAAGTCACCTTGCCCTTGCTTGCGCCATTGTATTCTGCTAGTCGTTCTGATTGCAGAAGAGTGGCTTTAAACCATGGATAGTTGCAATATTAGTTCCTCACTTGTGCTAAGCCAACAAGTCCATTGCTTCGACCAAGAGCTTCCAATTATTAATATTCCAGGCTCCGGTTCGCATCATGATTATCTGTGCATAACAGTCACCCAAAAGCCTCTCACGTACTGGTAATTAGTAAGCGGAGGAGCTCCCCATTGAATTGCGAGATGCTCTTGCTATCATGACCGCAAGGTCTAGTAGTTGGCCCAATGTGTCACATTCGGGCGACAAGCTAGTCACTGCAATGGAGGATTGGATTCTCCCTGCCCAGTATCTCAGGTTACACATTTTGACTGCCAAGGAAAGAGACGTCCGATCCCGAGACCTTATTAGAATATTTCCCGTAACCTACCTTTCCAACAGAACTTCACTTGTATATATTTGCCAAGCAAGTTGTCGTCATGTACGGATCAAGAGGCAGTTGTTGATCCCGCAGCCCTACAAAATCGCCCAGTAATAATGATATCCAGGTATTCGCCAACCTGGTATCTTGTCGAAGCCATGCCGCGGGTGGTAATCTTCTGAACTTAAACCTGGTAGACCGGTGATGTTCAGCAAAAGCCTATTATGTGCGTGTATCCTTTCAGTTGTCAATCACATCTCACCCCAATGGCCTGCATCCCTGCCCAAGTCGGAACTCAACAACTATATCCTTGCATGTATCCGGAGTATTGACTGACTTCCGCTGCATGACCACCAGTCGAGACAGCAATACTCTCCGAACCCTGCTCCGGTCACGATGATAAGTACTTCCACCATCTCCCTCCTCCCCTTGGCACACCCCAAGCCCAAAATGGAGACTCTCCTCAACCTCCCGCCCACCCGGCTAGCCCTGCTGCTCCTCACGCTCACGCTCACCAGCATCCTCCTGCTCACCCGGCTCCACCGCGCCCACACCCGCCGCCAATTCGCCCACCAACAGGGCTGCAAGCCCATCACGCACTACAGCAACAAAGACCCCATCCTGGGCCTCGACGAGATCTACCGCGGCCTCACGACCGCAAAGCGCCACAAAGCCCTGGAATCCATCACACAGCGCTTCCAGCAGCACGGCCACACCTTCGCCTCGCGCCGCCTCCTGAAATACACCATCGTGACCATCGAGCCCGAGAACATCAAAACGATCCTCTCGACCCGCTTCAAAGACTACGGCCTGGCGCACCGCCTCCCAATCTTCCAGCCCCTGCTGGGGGAGGGGATCTTCGACACCGACGGCGCGCACTGGGCGGCCTCGCGCGCGCTCATCCGCCCCAACTTCACCAAGGACCAGGTTGCCGACCTCGCCGCCTTCGAGGCCCTAATCCCCTCCTTGCTCGCGCACATCCCCCGCGACGGGGCCACGGCCGTCGACCTCCAGGATCTGTTCTTCCGGTACACGATCGACCCGGCCACGGACTTTCTGTTTGGGCAGTCGGTCGGCAGTCTGGCGATGCAGCGCAGCGAGTTGGATTTCGCCCAGGCGTTCAACTATGCCCAGGAGGCGATGACGGTGCGCAGCGATCCTGGGGCCGTGTGGGCGGTTCTACTACGATAAGAAGGCGGAGCGGTGTAATCGGATCTGTCGGGAGTTTGCGATGCCCTTTGTGGAGGAGGCGGTTCGGGCTGTGCAGGACGGTGGGAGTGGGAGTGGGGTCATGAAGAACGTGAAGTATGTCTTCTCGCATGAGCTGGCCTCAAGAACGAGCGATCAGCGCCGCATCCTCGATGAGCTGATGAATGTGCTCCTCGCCGGGAGAGATACCACGGCCAGTCTGCTGAGTAACATGTTCTTCATGCTGGCGAAACATCCCGAGGTGTGGGCGAAATTGCGGATGGAGGTGGTGACGGCGTTGGAGGGCCGGTTGCCCTCATATGAGGAGCTGAGGGGGTGGAGGAATTTGCGGTGCTGCGTTAATGAGTGTGAGTTTTGATTCCTGGGGTTGGGTCTGGCTGGGTGGGAAGGAGAAGGGCTGATGCTGAATTGGTTGTGATTCTAGCGCTCCGGCTCCACCCCGTCGTCCCGATGAATGATCGCGTCGCGGTAAGGGATACGGTTTTGCCGGTTGGAGGTGGTCAGGATGGACGTGCGCCGGTCTTCGTGCCCAAGGATACGATCGTCGCGTATAATGTGTATGCCATGCATCGGCGGAGGGACTTGTATGGGGACGACGCGGAGGTCTACCGGCCGGAACGGTGGGAGGATGGCCGGCTGCAGCCGCGATGGGAGTACCTCCCGTTCAACGGAGGCCCGCGCATCTGCATCGGGCAGCAGTATGCGTTGACGGAGGTGGCGTATGTGACGGTGCGGCTGGCGCAGGAGTTCGCGGGGCTGGAGAGTCGCGATTCGGGCCCGTGGGAGGAGTCGTTGACGCTGACGCTGTGTTCGCGCAACGGGACCAGGGTGTGTTTGACGCCGGCCTAGCTTTGCTTCTTTTCCGATGGGCGTGGGCATAGAGTGTAGTGTAGCGAGTACAAACCTATTCCAGATCCTATCGCTTAAGAGTTCACACGCATTGGTAAGTGTTACGACGCATAGAAGCTAGCACTAATTCCCCCCTTTCATTCTCACCCACGTCTCATACTGATCCTTGATCACCTGCTCGACGGGCGCATACTCCATCCCCAACTCCCTCACACTCCGGCTGTTGTCCACCTTGAAATCAATCCCAATGTTCCTCGACACCCAGCTCCACGACACCCCGATAAACGGGCCCGCCAGGTACACCATCAGCTTCGGGAGATTCCGCGACGGCAACATCCTGGGATCTTTATGGATCGGCCGCACGATCGTCGCCATCTCCAACAGCCCCACCGTCCGGTCGCCCGCAATCAAGTACCGACCGTTGGCCGTCTTGCTTGTCCCAGCCTTGACGTGCGCGGCCGCAACATCCCGCACGTCGACAACAGGGTAGTACAGTTCGGGGGTGCCCTGTTGGTTCTGGCCGGAGAAAATGTTTTCAATCGTGAACAGGCTACCCGAGGTGGACTCGGTGGTGAGTGGGGGGCCCAGGGTGAGGCCCGGGTTGATGACGACGAGGTCCCATCGTTTGTGGGTTTGGCTGTCGTGCAGCTTCCAGGCTTCGCGTTCGGCGGCCACCTTGGAATAGTGATACGGGTTGTTGGTCTCGGTGGCGGTGTCGTTCCAGTAGGCTTCGGTGAGGGTGCTGTCTTTCATCAGGGTGACTTCGATGCTGTCGCTGTACATTGCTGCGACTGCAGGGCCTGAGTTTGAGTTGGTTGCGGGTTAGGTGAGTGGTTGACTTACTCGAAGAGGTCAGGACGACGCGGTGCACGCTCTCGCATTGGTCCACCGACTCCAGCACATTGCGAGTGCCCTGCAAAGCGGGCTCGACGCATTCGTTCACTCCGTTTTTGATCTGTGGCGGTGCCAGAAATGGCGATGCGATGTGGTAGACAACACTGCAGCCCTCCATCGCGGGGCGGAAGGAGCCATCACGGAGAAGATCAGCCTCGAAAAGGGACAGTCTGCCTGGATACCGGGCTTGGAAGTCGAGGAGAGGCTTGCATTTGGCGGCGTTTTTTAAACTGCGGACGGTGGTGTGAACGGTTTCGCCCTTCTCAAGAACGAGCTTAACAACGTGCAGGCCTCTGAAGCCCGTGCCACCGGTGACCAGCGAAGTCGGCATTGTTAGTCTGGGTGGTTCGTGTGGTGCTGTGAGATTGTATTGTAATATGAGCCGCGGTGGTCATATGGTGGGTATCGTCCTGGGAGGGGATGCTCCTTTTAACTCGGTTGGGGGTTGTGATTAGGGCCGGTGCCGTTACAAATGCTTGAATACGAGCCACAGAATCTGTGCTACGTGTTGATTTGATGTGATTCCTGGGAGAACAGGCTGACCTTGGCTGTTGTCATTTTTCGGGGGCCAATGCTCGGGATTGAAGCATTGTGCGGACTGGGCGGCAGTAATGATATCAGCAAAGCACAGATGGGTTACACCCTCGGTTGACAGTGCATATATATGCCTTGACCTCGAGGCTTGGTCCTCGTTTACTTTTTCAATCGGGCCAGGCCAGCCCTCAGTCTATGATTCGAACATTGACAACCCAAATGGTGCGGTCTTGTCTACGACGGAGATTGACGCTTCCAACCAGGGATCGCTTCGTTTGGAATCACCCAGAGCAGATCGGGTGCCCGGTTCCATCATAAAGTATCAGGAGAAAAGTATTCTGGTAGTCAAAAGGAGGCCCTACGCGACCAGTTGAATAGGCTGAGATATGAACACTTGTTGCAGATGGATGAGTCTGGAAGAAGCTGCATCTCCAGCTTACCAGGGATGGTAAGTAACCGCCGGATTAGTGGTCCGAGTAGTCAGTATCGAACAGTCGATTGAAAACCAGGCTCTAGACTTCGAAATAGTCAACCAAATAAGTGAGCTCGCCACGCAAGAAATGGGACGCTGCTGGTAGCGAGTACAAGTGGCCACTTCTGGCGCGTGGTGTGTATTGACTATGCGGTCATGGTTGTGGATTTCAAGATTCTTCGCTGGATGTCAAGTGGATACTTTGCTGGCAAACCGAACCCTATACTTGATTCACTTTCAACCAGTCGTCATTTAAGTTTTGATTGGTCTCTCATACGCCTTATGCATTTTCCTTATGGTTTATCATCTCTTCATTCTTCTCTTCTATATCGAATATTCTGCTGAAAGTGCACAGTATCGAAGCCTTAAGATAACTCCGTGACCGGGTCATTTCTCCTACGTAGCTTGACATGCAGCGGGGGCTTCTCCCACATGATGTATACCCGTTGCTTCTCAATGGCAAACTCATCGTTCAAGAGGTCCAAATCAAAGCGACTCAGGAGCCGGGCAAGAATCAACTTCATCTCCGCATACGCCAGCCCCATGCCGATGCAGTTCCGAGGACCCACCGAGAAGGGTTGCGAGGCTTCGAGATGATCGTTCCGCGCCCATTCCGGACGCTCCTCTGACGGCAGCCAGCGTTCCGGCGTGAAGTCTTCAGGACGCGTGAAGTTATCCCTATGATAGCATGCCGCGAGCGCATAGACGCTGATGATGGTACCCCCGGGAAGGAACTGCCCCGCCACCGAGGCGCCCCCGGCGGGCACCTCTCGGCGGAGGTCGGAGGACAAGGGAGGATACATCCGTAGCGCTTCGTCAATGACCGCGCTTAAATACGGGAGGCGGGCGACGCGGGCCATGGTAATCTCGGACTCGGACGCAAAGGCCGTCGTGAGTTCGGCCTGCAGCCGGACCAGGGGTTGTGGATTGCGGAGCAGGAGGTAAAGACACCCGGAGACGGCCGTCGCAATGGTATCACTCCCAGCGGGGATGACCAGAGCGGCGTTGACCTCCATTTCCTCCACCGACATTGCCCCTGCCTTCTCGGTGTTTTGCCGCGAGATATAGGTCCAGAGGTCATGGCGGCCTTCATTCGGTGGCATGGCTAGTCTCTCTTGCACTTTGGCGTAGCTACGTCGAAGGTGTTCCTGGCCCTTTAGCAGGTGTCGGATCGGGCCCAAGGCGAGCGCGAGAGGGAAGAAGAGACCCAGCATGCGGGCAGTCAGGAAGTAGTGTGTTGACTTGAAGAAGTTCATCAGCAGCGTCACCCACGGATGATACTGCTGGCTCTCCAAGCATTGGAAGGAGCTGCTGAAGGCCAACGTTCCAATGAGGTCGAAAGCAAGGAATTCGACCCACTGCACCATATTGACCGTCTCGGCGGCGGCGCAGCGTTGATCTAGACGCTTCAGAAAAAGATCAATATGGTCCTGAAAGTAATGCTCTTGCTCACGCAATGCTCGTTCCGCAAAGGCTCGATTAAGGGCAGCGCGCTGGCGAGCGTGTTCGGGGCCGTTAGCTGTCAGGAGGTCAGGCACACCTGGCCGCAGGCGACGATACCCGGACTTCTTGAACTTCCTCGTCCCCAGATGCCCGTAGATCTCCTTCCACGCCGTTGGCCCTATGAAGGAAACCATCTCGGGGTTGACCCGGATGACTGGACCATATCTGCCATGTAGATCGCGCACAGCCTGAGCTTCTCGACCGCGAAAGCTTTGGAAGGCGCACGGAAGATAGGAGAACTTTCGTGTTGCCGGCCCTGGCACTGAGGCCAAGGGGCTCAGCCAGAGCATGTAAATGGCGGAGAGAGCATAATAGACTAGGTACTGTTGAACCTTAGCGTTGTGTGTGTGTGTGTGTGTGTGTGTGTGTGTGTGTGTATTGAGACACTTGTGCAATCTAACCAAGGACACAACTCACCGCAAAAGACAGCCCAAGAAGGACGTGGAAAGGCATATTATCGATTGCTACTGGTGTGCAGCATTTGAGATAACCAGCGCTAAAAGTGACTAGGTCTTTTATGTACAGGGACTGGCCGAGGGAAGAAAAGCGCCGAGAATAAAGAAAGGGGAAAAAAAGGCCCCGCGCGAAAGCCGGAAACCATCCGAAAAACCACCCGGAGATTGGAACGCTAGCCGCCCCCGGCCTTCATCGGCTCCCAGCTATAGTACAGAGCCACTTTATATAGTGAGCTGTTGGAATATGGCCTAAAGTGAGCAGGTTTGGCATATTGCTCATTGTTAGCTTTCTCGCAGTTCACCATGGGCACCATTGACACACATCACCATCTGATTCCCCCCAAGTTCACCGAGTGTAACTGACACCCCTCCCTTCCCCCCCCCCCTCCCCCCCCCCCTCCCCTCCCACAGCGACAAAAATCAAAAACGGTACTGAAGCTGACAAATTCATATAATATCCAGTGTGGAATGCCAATCTTGAAAAGGCACGGGGATTAAAGCTTCCAACTTGGACCAAAGAGAGTACTTTGCGGTCGCTAGACGACTGCAATATTGCTACGGCGATCCTCTCCCTCGGCCATCCCATTCATCCCTACGTGAGCGACCCAGGGCAAGTAGGACCCATCTGCCGTGAGATCAATGAATATACAGCCCAGTTCCGTGACAGTCACCCAGACCGCATTGGATTCTTCGCGACATTGCCACCGCTCGACCAGCCGGGCGCCTGCATTGCGGAGATCCGATACGCCTTCGAGGAGCTGCACGCGGATGGCGTCGTCATTTTTACCAGCTACGCCGGGAGATATCTAGGCCACCCTGAGTTTCGCGATGTATGGGCCGAGTTGGACCGCCACCAGGCTGTAATTCTTATTCATCCAGGGTTTGAGGGCATGGCCCCAATCGAAGAGCCACGTCTCCTGGCAGCCCCGGTGCTGGACTGGACCCATGAGACAACCAGGACCGCCATTCATCTGATCACCACCAACATTATTCGCGACTATGCCCGATGCAAAATCATTTTATCTCATGCGGGTGGCACGCTGCCCTATGTGATCAATCGAGCCGCAGTGCTGTGCAGTCGGCTGCGCATCGGGGACAAGACGGAGGAAGAGTTCATCGAAGAAGCCCGGGCCTTCTATATCGATGTCGCATTTAGCGGTTATGAGCCTCAGCTGCGACTGCTCAAAGAATTTGCCAAACCAGGCCATGTTTTGTTCGGAAGTGACTATCCCTGGGAGCACGCCGATGTCATGCAGGTTCAGCTCGCGGCTACAGATGCTGTTTTTGCTCAGGAGACGCGTGAGGCTGGATTGAAATTGTTCCCGCGGCTAAACCAGCAGGCGTCTTGACTGACTGAGGGACTGATTGATCGAATGAGCCCTAAGTTGCTGAGAGAGGGATCTACATCTGTATATATTGTTGGCGGCCTTGCGGCCTCAATAGCCCACCCAGGTCTTATTTAGCCTGAGTTGATCACTCATCCACGCTCCCGAGAAACATATAGTCTGACTTAATAGTTCCTTGTACTTGGCCTCTGTTTCTATTCCCCACTCCTTTTCACCCCCTGCGATACTATTGCCGCAGGCCGATCGCGTAGCCCAGGGCCGGCGATTCACCTTGAACCCAGCACGACAGATCGCCTCGGAGGGTCAAAGGGCTCCTAAATCATTCTTGTAGAAACATACTTATGCATAGAACAACAGAGCGTCGTGAACATCAGTCGACTTACTGCCAGAAGTTTGAAATTCAGCACCAATTTGGGGGGTTAACGCGAGTAGCTACCCCGTTCTAAGCACATTTCCACCGTCTCACGTATGGTTTGATCTAGTCCTTTGTAACCAGCCTGCCCCCACCATTTGGTCAAGAGACGGGCCCCCAGTGTGTTGTCCACTGTACTCAGGTCCACCAATTGATCGGGGTCGGCCCTGGGCAGCATGGCGTCGGGCAGGACCCTCCGGATTATGTCAACCACACGGCCCCAGGTGAAGGGTTCGTCGCAGGCAAAGATCCGCTCGCTAGCCACCGTCACATCGATTGCCGCGGCAACATGGATCCGAGCGTCATCGATGGTATCGACCATGTACACTATGGGTCCATTGGTCAAATCAAGATCGGAAGCGAGAGTGGCAACAACAACATACCTGATGGAATAGGCGGAATCTGACCGTTGAGGATAGTCTGTACATGTAGACCACTGATCCCCATGGACCCCATGACTTTGCCCCAGTTCATCGCTGGGTTGATGACATTGACCACAAACGGTGGGTTCCGCTCTGCCACGAAGCGCCAGGCAGCTCGTTCGGCCTTCACTTTGGAGGCCACGTACACCTGGTACCCCCACTCAAACCCCATCTTGCTCCGTTCATCCTCGGACACCTCTCTCTCCACAAGCTCTACCGCCTCTTGATTCCAGGAGTCGCGATCGATTGCGAACTGCACCCCAGGCCGGGGCTTCGAAGCCGCCCCGCTAGTCGAGGTGAACACGACCCGTTTCACGCTGGGGTGCAACAACGCGCCTTCCAGAAGGCCTACCAGAGCGTTTACCGTGGTGGGAATGACCGATTCCGCATCTGGGGAGAAGTTGGTGATGGAGGCGCAGTGGATGACCGCCGACACGCCGGTCAACGCCGCATTGTATGCACCCTGGGCCCCCATCTCTGGCACAAGGACAATCTCCAGGTCGGGCGATGGAAGCAAAGAGCGCACTTCATGGGCTCGGGCAGCCGTTCGCACTGTCCCGCGCACACGGAATCCGGCTCGGAGCGCTTCGTCCGCGATGTGAATTGCGATCATTCCCGAGATGCCGGTGACGAGGACTAGAGAGCCCAGCGGAATGGCCAAGTCGCGACTGTGATCGATGAACCGGGACATGATCGTATTGTCTCAAGAACAACCGACCCCTCCTCTATGTTCAGTGCTGGATTGAAAAACCTGTAAGCCCCAAGAGTCTCACCGAAGCTGAGGTGTTGTAGAGGTGCCTGTTTCCGGCGAGTTGTGGGCGTCGGGGAGATTCTGCAAACCACCCGAGCACACTTGATTCCCCCCCTCCCCCCCTCCCCTTTCTCCAGGCGGCCCAAGCGCGGATATAATTCAGGGCACTGCAGCCGGCTCGCGCCCGCTTGATTAAAACTTGCTGTTGCTTACTTTACCTTCGTTAGCCTCGTTGTCAACATGCACCCACTGAATAACACCCCGGCACTTTCCAGCACGGAGACGGTGAGAAACGACCCGCGTCCTCTTCCTCTCGCGAAACGCATAAGGTTTGCTTTGCTGACGGTGCCCCTTGTTGAAAATCGCTAGTCCGGCAGTATCTACGAATTCAACCATGTGGGAATCTCGGTGCCCGACTGCGATGCCGCCGTCGCCTGGTACACATCGGTGCTCCACTATCGGCTTCTGAAGCCCGTTTTGCACGTCAAGCGCGAGCTGCTTCCAGAAGCCTTCATCTTCAAGATTTTCGACAGTAAGCTCCAAGAGTTCAAGATCGCCTGGCTCGGGACTGGTCGGAATGGTGGTGGATTGGAGTTGTTCGAGTTCATCGAACCGGCTCACCGTGCGCCGGAGCAAGAAGGGATCGACTACACCCGTTGCGGCGTGTTTCATATCTCCCTCACGGTTCCCAACCCAGATGACGTGGGCCAGCAGGTACTGGAAGCAGGCGGTACGAGGATAGGACACCCGGTGACCATGCCTTCCGGCGACCGGGTCGTGTACTGTCAGGACCCCTGGGGCAACACGCTGGAGCTTTTGAGCGCCCCCTTTGAGCAGATCATACAGACCGGGCCCCCGAGCGAGCCCTAATTAGTGCCTACGGTCGCGGTATCCCCCTATGTTCCTATGTTGCTAGTCCAGCTTGAGGATCGCGATGAATGGAACGCAGAACACGCCGATGTTTCTCGTTACTCTAGCGGGGTGTTTTTCCCGACTGGTTGGTCTCAATGGTATGATTCAGCTATGTAGTACAATGGCACTCGCGTCTTGAATCATGGAAGGCAATATCACATCTTGCTGCGGAAATTGACGGAGGCCTGGTCCTCCTGCTTCCGTAGCCGAATTCAGAGGCTTTGAACGCTTGCCTCAAGAAACAAATGCGCTCCCATCCCTCATCCACTCCCGAGTCGCGCAAGTGCTTGGTGGCGGACCGCTTAATCAGAATTACACGTCGCGAGGGCCGAGTAAGTTCTGGTAATCAAGTTCCTGTATAGGGTGCATGTGTTCTGCCGGTTATAAAAGGTGGAAGACGAAGATGATGACGACGGCATGGAAGAAGCAGGGGAGGAGTAGGGTGGGGCACTGTTGACCTCGATGGAAGATGACCGGGTTCGTGGTTGCATCGATATGAGCTCGTGATGTACCTTCTTGGCAATCGTGTTGAGCGTGAGCAGCGACTCGCGGAGGATCGCCTGCACGAGGAGCTTTTTTTCGCCCTCATTTAGGGGATAACGATTGACTTTGGCCATTCGATCGCAGCCCGTCACGCGAAGAGCCGCGAGCGACCTTTCCTCCCGGCTGCCTTCGGTCAATTGCGGCATGCGGTCCTCCGGAGTGGAGAGAAGGGTCCTGCGGAGAACTTCAAGGAAGTCTAGCAGGCGCATTTGAGACTGGATCAATTGAGAGGTGTAGGGCGCCGACTGCGTGCATCTGTTCCAACACTGTGAGGCGGCGCTGAATGATCTCCGCAGCGCTTCCACAGCATTGAGAATCTGCACCACATCAAGTGAGGAATGTTGAAGATCGACCTGAATCTCAGTAAGCCCTGGCCGGCATTTGCAGCTGGGGAAGCTGGCCTCGAATTCCATGGCTGTCGGGTCCGAAGACAGCATGGTGGCAGCTACTAGAGGTGAAAAGAACAGTAACTCGGAATGTGAGGAAATGTGGGAGTTGCGGCTGACCTGGACAGAAGCTTTCTCCTGCCTAGTACCGGAGGGAACGGAAGGTTGAACCAAGACAGAAAGAGAGAGAAAAAAAATGGGAGAAAAGAGACAATATCCCGAGGGCATAGGTAGGTTGCGAAACACAGTGAAAAACCCACCGGCCGGATCCGGAGTGCTGAGGTCGCGTGGCCTCAATAGAGGCACGCCATACTGCTAATGCAGCTAATTCTCGGCGGGGGAATTAGCTCGGGACAAAACCGTCCAAAACCCCCCGACATATAGGTGTTGGCATTAAGAAAGCCATCATGCAATGGCCCTCATAAAAATGACAAGGGTCGAGGAAACAGAAGGGTAGAATGCGTGAAGGCGAAAGAAGTGAAGCACACACATAAGCCTAGATCTTGTTAAGAGACTTTATATAACTGCCTCCTAACTAGTCCTCTTGGCTCCTGTCATTTTAATCCACACTCTCCTCACCATGGACCCTGAAGTCAAATCTCTGCTGTCGAGGGTGACAGAGACTGGGAGATTGTTGGAGGAGCTGGCCAGTTTTGACCCAGATAGTGCGCGATGTCGTCAGGCGCGCAGGGAGCTCCTAGCTACGACCCAGAAATTGACTTCTGCCCTCCAGAATGAGGGCCAGATAGTAGAGCAATATCTCTATGGGGTAAGACTGGCTTATTCCATTCTCCGACACACTGATGCAATGACTCTGACGGCCCCTGGCTCCACACACTCATAGGTTATCGATTCCCTGCTGTTGAAGGTTGGAGCCGATTCCGGAATTCTCCAGAAGGTAGTTGCTAGCGAGAAGCCGGTCTCCCTCCATGACTTGGCAGTAGCTACAGGTGCCAACGAGACCCTGCTAGCACGCATTATGAGAGGTCTTACGTCAATCCACGCTGTCGACGAGGCGGGGTTGGAGGTCTACAGCTCCAACAAAGTGACTCGGGCTATGACTACTGTGAAGGGTATCTCGGGACTCGATCTGTTGTGAGTTCATGCCATCCGCCGATTGCCTCGATCCCTCCATCCTTCACCCCCGAGAAGCATCTCCATTCCTTTGCTCACATGTATCGACGGGGGACCCAACAATAAAGCCACAACGTGATTCACGCTGGCTGGATGACCATCCCCAAGTTTTTGAAGGAGACCAAGTATCAAAATCCGACCGATCCCGCCGCGATGCCCTTCAACAAGCAATTCGACGGGGTCAAATATTTCGACTGGCTCGCGACCCAGCCCGATCTGCTCCATTCGTTTCACCTTTTCATGACCACCCAGCGCGTGGGCCATGTCCAGTGGCTGGATTTCTATCCGCTTGAGCAGGAACTGGTCCCTGAATTCGACAAGCAGGACCCTAATGCAGTTCTCCTGGTGGATGTCGGAGGCAGCGTGGGTCATGAGCTCAAGGCCGTCAAACAGCGGTACTCCAATATCCCTGGCCGCATGGTGCTGCAGGACCGTCCGGCAACCATCGAGCGCGTGGAGCTGGTTGATGGCATGGAGGCCATGGCGCACGATTTTTTCACCGAGCAGCCAATCAAAGGTAATTGATCCCTGGCCTGCTGTCGTCGTGGTCGGAATACTGAGCCCGGTGGAACTGACTGGCCGACTGACTTACTTGCGCCGCAGGAGCCCGTGCATATTACTTCCGCAGCGTCTTGCATGACTGGGATGACGATCGATGCCGCATCATTCTCAAACACATCCGAGATGCCATGAAGCCCGGTTATTCGAAGATCTTGATCAATGAATTCAGCATCCCTCTGGAAGGGCCCTGCTCCTTTGCCACGCACTCCGATTTCTTCGTGATGGCAGTCAACGCCGCCGTGGAACGAACAGAGCGGCAGTGGGCGGAACTAATTGACTCCGCCGGGCTGAAGATCGACAAGATCTGGACTCTGGAACCAGATTCTGAGAGTATCCTAGAAGTCAGCATCAAGGGGGAATAGTTCACTTCTAAAGACACATGGACAGGACCAAGAGAACCAGGTAGTCTGGTAGCTCTGTTTGATTTCTAGTCCTTAACAATTTCAAAGCTTTTACAACATCCGGGCCCGATTTCGTGATACATACATAGTAAACCTGCCATTGGTGTAGAAGCAATATAAGAGCCAGCGCGAAGCCCGATCAACGAAACCAGGGGTGCAGGAGGGCTTGCGCAGCGCTGATGCGCTGCTCAGGGCACAATCGAAGCATTTTCTGTAGAAGGTCCAGAGCCGGCTCGTCGATCTGACCGAGCACCAGTCGGATGTCCATCCTCGTTCCTTGCGGGTAGAGGTTGGGCCTATATTCGGGTAACCGGGAGACCCCCGGCCATGACTCTTCCGTGGGGGTGCCCAGGAGACGGAAGATCAACTGAAGTTGGTTGTCATTGGAGGTCCCGGGAAAGAGTGGCCGGCCGAGATACAATTCAGCCATGATGCAGCCGACCGACCAGAGATCGATGTTCGTATTATATGCCCTACTTCCCAAGAGCACGTCGGGCGCTCGATACCACAACGTGACGACTTCGTTAGAGAAGATATTGACCGGCACTCCAATCGCGCGAGCCAAGCCAAAGTCCGCCAGCTTGAGCTGACCGGAACTACTGATCAACAGGTTCTGTGGCTTCAGGTCCCGGTGAATGATGTGATTCTGGTGGCAGAATGCTGTTCCGCATAGCACTTGGTGGATGAACGATTTGATAGTGGTCTGATCGAGCCTGCCTTGAAGACCTCGAGTATCCATGTACTTTTTCAGATCTTGGTCCATGAATTCAAAGACGAGAACCAGTTGGTTATCCCTTTGGATGACATCGTACAAGTTGAGAATATTTTCGTGCTTGAGTTCCTTCATCAAGGAAATCTCGCGAATAGCTGTTGACGGTGCCCCTTCCTCCGGATCTAGATGAATCTGTTTCAGAGCTACGATCTCCCCCGTCTGCCGATTGCGTCCTTTGTAAACCTGTTCAGTCCAGGCACAGGTTGGTGAAGTGGTCCTATATGTCAAGCATTGTGGGGAGATTGAGGATCAACGCACGTTTGCGTAAGTTCCTTCGCCAAGCTGGACCCGCCGTGATCAAGATCAAAGGATTTCAGTCTCCGCGCAAAATGATAAAGGGGATATCCTGGACGAACCTTGTCTAGCTGTGTAAAGGAGTATTTTTGCACTCGGATCGATTCCATGGTTGGCGGGGTATTCTTTCTGCTTAATCCTGGCTACTTCCACTCAGTGGAAAATCGGATGGCCCCAAGGGGAATTCGAGTAGAATCAGGGAGCCTCCCCTTAATAGCTTATAGGTTCAATTGATAGTAACGGGTGATATATATAGAGAGGTACTTTGTGCGGGTGGAATCGGGCAGCAAGGCCCTAAGAAAAGGGGAAGTGGGGTTGGGCCCGAAGATACATATTTTTACGTAGTACTAAGTAGACTACGTAGAGAGCTAGCTATTTACAGCGCCTGGGGAGAGTATTAGTTGACTGGTGAAATGGTCCACTGGCCGGGAGCCTGGGGGCCACTAGGTATTACTATACTGAGTTACGTCGCAAGTTACTCGCCAACGTTCGGAGGACCTATCTAGTACGAAGTAGTAGCAGAAGGTAAGTTAACATTGAAGTAAAATAAAGAGGATCTTCAAATCATTGATACTAGGAGGTGTGTTTATTGCAAGAATTATGACCCTCTTGGAGTTGAAATCCGTCCCGTTTATAACGAAGTGTGAAAACAATGAAAGTTAGAAAAGAAAAATATTCTAACCCGCGGTGCTGATGGCCAGGATGGTATAGTACCTTCTCAAGTGGGTTCAAAACCACTATATTGAATGATTGCGGACTAAATGTGTACCAGACAAAGTTCGCGCTATATCTCTGGAATTTGCCCCCTCCACCCGGTCAACACTACCCAGGAGTAACTGTCCGAATGGACGATAGGACGCAGCAGCAAACAATTGAGGTGGGGTAGGTAAGCCACCAGGACTGCTGTTCCCGGCCTAGTGCTTACGTTGCCACATCCCGACCAGTCAGGGCTGAAATTTAGACGCGTGTGATTGATCAAGCATTCAAGGCGGGCGAGCGGGTCAAAAGTAGGTAGTACAGAACTGTCCAGCACGTACCTTAGTAATTAGTACCTGAATATAACCGTACATTTCATATGACTAACGGAATGAGGTTGTACCAGTACTCTGTGGTCAGTATACTGATTATCCAATACTTGAGTACAGTACTGTGGTGTAACGTACCATACCGTCAATATTCCTATGATGCTTGGAACTCTCCAATACCCCAGGTGTGAACCGAAGTAAGCATATGCGCCTAGAAGTTTGTTTGTGCACTCTGTTTTCCGTACATGAAAGTTGCAAAGCTGCAGGCTTATTCTGTACCTAACCACGAGTAGCGTAATCAAAGCTGATATTTATCTCAAAGGGGAAGCTAAAAGCAAACAAGGAATAAAAAAGAAGAAAACAATTCCCTCTGTACCTTTCGATTGGACAACAGACTAGGGGTTTTGGGGGTGGGGGAAACAAGCAAATAAATCCCTTCATCTCAAACCCCCTTTGTCGCCACCTAAGCCTCATTGTTTAAGTCACAATCTCGGACAACTCTCACGCGAAGGAATTTGACCAGTCTTTGACCTTTTATTCCAGCGTGGTTAGCATCCCTGCAGTGACATCAACTTTCTCCGCGATTCCCGAGATTAAGAATTGTAAATGTGCAGGTGGCCCGGGAGCTGCCGCTTCGTGTTTCTGCCGGAGAAGCTGATCCAGGAAGCGACCAATCTCTTTCACTTTGATCTCGATCAGCCGTCGCAAAAATACCGTTTTCGCCGGCCCCTGGATAACTTTGGATGCGAGTTCCAGGTGTGCTTGGTCGAAGGTTGATCGGTTCTTCGGCTTGGAGCTGGACGAGACACATTGCTGTTGGGCTGCCTCTTCGACCACGGTGTAGTAACTGCCTATGATCTCTCCGGCAATACACGCCAGAGTGCATCGAGAAAGAGTGTCGTCCTTACAAATGGCGCAGTTTTGGTAGCTCCGCCACGCCCACAGGAGCAGGCGCTGCAAGTGCAGGTGGCGCTCGAGGAGATGGCCCGGTCGCAACTGACGCATGACTGCATGATGGAGCTGCAGTTGAATCATGGCGAGAGGGCAAAGGCACTGAGTAGGCTCATTCACTGGATGAGACTTACAACTTGAGGGGCCCAGCTCGTCCATCTGGTTGAGCAAGATTAGGGAGCCCGCGGTCGAGGCCCAGTTTTTTAGAGCCACGCAGTCGTGCAAAAACCGGTTCTCCTGAGGGAGCATGGTCTCCTGAGGGAGCATGGTCTCCTGAGGGAGTTTGGTCTCCTGAGCGAGCATGGTTTCCTGAGGGAGCATGGAGCCCACCGTACTCAGCGACCTGGGTGAGACGAAGGGTTGCTGTCCATCCCCAGTCGTCAAGTCGATCATGTCCGGGTAAAACCCCGTCTCTGAATCAGAGAGAATAATGTCGAGCTCGGGCTGTCGCAGGTCGACCGACTCGAGATAATCGAGGGGAAAGAGGAGAGAATCACCCGGCTCGTTGAAGGAGTGCACAGTCTGGTCCAGGGCCGCACTGGAGAAATCCTTTGGCGAGAAGGGCTTGGTGAGCAATGGTTGCGAAATATGGCTGCACTTTGGGAAGTGTTTGCAACGCTGCCGATCTTGGTCCGAGCCACTAAATGAGACGGATGAGGTGGACTGAAGTGGACTCACTTTGCTGCTGCCACCCCTCGAGTCGCCCGCTGCAGTTCTTCGGCGAGGCCGCCCAGGGCGTTTGGTTGGACTATATGTGCACACCGTACCACTTTTCTTACAGCGGGAACAAGTCGGCTTCTCTCGTGTACACCGCATTTTCGAAGCATAGCATAGGTCACAAGAATGGCGGAGCTTGAATGGAGCGAATGCGGTCTCGCCTCCAGCTGCGGTAGTGGCCGCCGTGGACTGCTCCATTTCCGCCATTGGGACCCAATTGGGGGCTGCTGACAAGGTCGGACCTACTATGTATTCCTCGTCGGCTCGGTCTCCTTGCTTGATTGCTGCTTTCCTACGCCGCGGAAGTACTTGTTCTTTAAGTATCCTATGCCTTCGACTTCATCTCCGCACTTTCTCCTGCTTATGTTTCCCCTTGGACCTATGACAATGTCCCTGTGGATAAGCCAGCAGTGGTGAGATCTTATCACTAAGGTGGGCGGGGGAGGCCTCCGGGTAATCATGGATGTACATGTAATTAGGCCCGAGGCAGTGAGACCAACGAAGTTGCTTGCAGCAGTGGAGACAGCGGGAGAAGGACTGGGGTAGGCGAAGTCGTCGGTGGTGAGGTAGGGGGTCAGGTAATATGGGAAATAGCCCTGAGAATGAGGAGGGGACGACGCATGTCTCGAAAGCAGGTTTTCTGTCTCCATACGTCGTACTCCGTTCTCTGTACTTTATCAGTCAGTAATGTTTGCGTTTGGGCTTTCTTCCCAGATCGCCGCTAAGGCTTCCCATTATTGCTTTAGCGCGATGTCTGTCGCCCTTCCTGTATGGTCACTTCGAAACAAGCCCTACAAGGATCATCTGTGCCGCGCTTGGCTAGAGAACATAGTGCCAGTGCGTCTCTCTCCCATGATCAAGCCACAAACATATTAATCTCACTCGGTTCCATTCATTCTGATGCAGTTCGTGCCTACGATGTAGCCAACAGAAATGCCCCGAAATCTTCGATTCGTCGACTGGTTGACATGGGGTTGGTCTAGACGAACTTAGCGCGGAACGCCCTTAACCACTGCCCGTCTAACCCAAAGCCCTTCTCCTAGGTTGGCTCATTTTCCTTCGTTATTAGAGGGGTATATTCGCTGTCGGCCAACCACCTACAACTGTCATCAGGAAGGCGTATCCTCGTCTCACCAGCGCGATCGAGTCCAAACCAGAAATGCAGCCTCAGGATACGATCAAGTTTGAAGGTGTGGAAGAGCCGTCCGAAAGGCTGGGAGCAACTGAGGATCATTCTCCAGAACTTGACTCCAGTAAGGAGTACCACGACTACCCAACCGGGATCCGACTGGGTTTAATCTGCCTCAGCCTATGTCTATCCATTTTTCTGACGGCACTGGTATGTTCCTTTATTTGCGTTTCCCTATTCTTCTTGTCAGAGTGCCTGCTCGCCGGTTGTATTGACGCTTCTGTCAGGATAACACCATCATCGCTACCGTAAGTCCGCCAGTTTCCCACCGAGTAGCGGACGATGCATAATTGAATGACACATATTTGCAGGCAATTCCTAAGAGTATTCAGTACCCCCTCTGCCCCCCAACCCTCCAGAAGCTTCAAGCCCGCCGATAGGTAGCTGACGCGCGATGCAGTAACCGACCAGTTCCAGAGCCAGGGAGATATTGGATGGTATGGCAGTGGTAAGGAGATAATGGATGTACGCGTTCGTCTGTGCTGATTACGACTGATCGTACAGCTTACCTCCTTACGCAAGCCTCATTGCAACTGCTTTTCGGGAAGGCATACACATACGGCTCAATCAAATGGATATTTCTAATGGCTATTGCGCTCTTTGAACTTGGTTCCTTGGTGTGCGGTGTGGCTCCCAACTCGACAGCACTCATCTGCGGTCGGGCGATTGCTGGGCTGGGTGCAGCGGGGATCTCAAATGGGGCAATGATCAGTAAGAGGATTTTGTTCGGGGGGCTTCTTTAAGAACTTAGCTTACCCCATTCTCCCTGAACCGAATTAGTTGTGACGTACTCGGTGCCGCTGGTGAAGCGGCCGATGTATACGGGGCTGATTGGCGCCATGTACGGCATTGCGTCCGTTGTCGGTCCCATCCTCGGAGGCGTTTTCACAGACAAGGTGACATGGCGAGTGAGTACAAGTGTCTTTCAGCCTGCGTCGGAGTCTTAGCTGATGATGATCTTGCGCCCGCGCGTTGAAGTGGTGTTTCTACATCAATTTGCCGATCGGGGGAGTCGCCGTCATGTTGATCGTCATCTTCTTCACAGCTCCTCAGCGTTCTGCCATCACCGACATGAGCTGGGGCGATCGCTTAAAGCAATTTGACTTTCTGGGCAGTTTAGGTGAGTGAGGTCACAACCGTCATGGAGAAATGCATCAACGATAAGGGGAGGCATGCTTATCACCAAGGCAGTTTTCATGCCGGCTGTTATCTGTGTTCTTCTCGCGCTCCAATGGGGAGGTACGAGCTATCCCTGGTCCAACTGGCGCAATATCTTGCTCCTGGTCCTCTTCGGGGTTCTTGTGCTCTGCTGGCTCCTTCTACAGTACTTCAAAGGTGACTCAGCCACGGTTCCCCCTCGCCTAGTGGCGCAGCGATCGGTTGCTGCTGCTTTATGGTTCAACTTCTGCATGGGCTCATTCTTCCTCATTCTGGTCTACTATGTGCCAATTTGGTTCCAGGCCGTCAAGGATCAGTCCGCAATGGGGTCCGGCATTCGGACCCTGCCATTTATTCTGGGACTGGTCTTAGTGTCCATTATTGCAGGCATTGGCGTGACTATCGTGGGTTACTGTGCGTACTAGTCGGCCCCTCCTAGAGGCGATGCTTTGCTGATTTGCCTGCCAGATGCTCCGTTCATGATTGCATCCTCGATTGTATCGTCCATTGGTGCTGGCCTCTTGATGACCTTTAGGCCGAGCACCGGCCATGCACACTGGATAGGATATCAAGCGATTGTAAGGGGTTTCGATCCCCACCTGAACTGTATCGATCAGGCTGGGCTGACAACGATGTGCAGGTCGGAATTGGGGTTGGATTAGGCCTCCAGCAGCCTTTGGTTGTTTGCCAAACAGTCCTCTCCTTGGACGATGTCCCAACCGGCACGGCCATGATGTATTTTGTGCAGACCTTTGGTGGTGCGCTCTTCATCGCGGTAGCTCAGAATGTCTTTCAGAACCGTCTCAAAGAAGAACTGATCAAAACAGTGCCTGATGTTGACCCCAACGTGGTGGTAAGCACGGGGGCGACCAGTCTGCAGGGATCTGTCAGTGCTCAGGATCTCCCTCGAGTTCTCAGTGCGTATAATGCTGGACTGACCCGAGCGTTCTTGGTTGCCACTATCATGGCTGCTCTAACCCTCATCGGCTCTCTTGCAGTACAGTGGAGGACCATAAAATCCACTAAGTCCGAGGCCAACAAGCCTAATACGGACCTAAATGAGAGTGTTGACAAGGACGCAACTACGGCGGCCGTGGGCGATGCTCCATAGTAGCCTACTATCCCAATCCCCGCTTGCCTGCCACTTCCGGTCGTTCCATTACCCTGGTTTCAGCCTGTCCTTCTGTTGAGAATCCTAACTATTTGGACTTGTCAATCAGTTGACTAATGCCCTAGTCCTAGCACTACTTATCACACAGGCTGGGATCATGCTTCCTTTTCGGTTTCTCGATTTCGTTGTTCTTGTGTGTTGTGCCTCATAATCTCTTCTCTGCGCACAACCCTTTTTATTCCCATCGCTGCTAGGCTGTGGTGATTACTATCTGTCTGCTAGTTTATCTTCTACCTCCACTGCAGTGCTATTGGCTGGAACCCGTTCAGTCAAGGGCATATATATCTACTTCTTAGCCGCCCAGGTGTTTAATCTGACAAAGCCATGGGGTCTTATACCCGCGAGTTTCTTTTTTGTATTTTGTCAGTCTCTTTTGTTAACCAACAAGCTTGGCTCTACTCAAAATCATAGTCCTGCCGTGGCATTAAGCATTCGATACAGTGTTCGCCTAGACCCTTCTAGCGGCATAGATACAGCAACACGATGCACCCTAGATTTAAATCGAGGCAAACACCCGTCCCGTGTCATATTTCACTTTTGACTAAGGATATTACTGGCATGAAGCCATCACGTGGAGTCATTATAACAAATTTCCTGATCATATGGTTCACTCCACCTCGCGCTTGCAGTCAAAACCTGATGAGACCGTGCTGCTGCTGGCCCGACTATCCCACAACGTTGAATAAGAAGTTATACCCCGGGGCCACCTGTTCATCCCACTCCACCATTCCAGGCTTCAGGTGCAGGTCGTAGATGTGACGGGCATGCTCTAACTGTAGCATTCCCGAGGCAATTTCCTGTCGCTGGAGCTCTTGGTGGAAACGCTCAGCCGATTCGAACCGGGCAACTTCATCTTGACGCCCATGAATGATGAATGTAGGGACCCGGTAGTTGCCGGCCAACAGTTGTGCAGTCGGACAAATCCACGCTTGCCGCTCGTTACTTGGCCATCCCTCAGCGATCAAGTCGCCCACCCGTCTGTGCCGCCGCCGCTCTGCCCCAGACCTCCCCCCATTCAGCATGAGTGAAAGCCCATATCCTTTGACCTGTCGACACAGCGAAAGCAAGAGTTCCGACCGAGGGTCTCCGGGCTTTAGCCATCCAAAGGAACCCGTCTGGCAGCCACTCTCGGACTCATTGACTTCGTACTGGGTTAACGGATTCATTGCCAGGGGGATTTCCATAACCTGCTGGTCGGTGAACGCATGCACAGGCGGTAGCTGTGGGCTGGCAAAGACGTCCGCCGTCGAAAGGAAGTCGCATGGGGAATAGAAGGACAGGATGGCGGAGGGCAGCCGTTCCCCGGCCGCAGCCACTGTCCATGCAGTCGACATGGCGAGTTGGCCCCCCGTCGACCAACCAACTAGAACAATGCGTTCGGCATCCAGCTGAATACCTCGCTGACGGAGCATGGTCCACTTTGGCAGCGTGTGGCGCGCCCAGAGATACGCGTCTCGCACATCCGCCATCGCGCCGTCGATGATATTGACCTCGGGACAGAGTCGATAATCGATACTGACCGGCACAAAGCCATTGGCAAGAAGATACGCGGTCTGTGCAGGACGCACCGATTGACGGGAGAGCGTCATGTGCCCCCCTCCGTGCACCATAAGGGCAATGGCCATAGGGTTCTTCAAGTTGACATCGGCCATAGAGGGAGCGGGTAAGAAGACGTCCGCCTCGAGCTCCACCTCGTGCACGATCTTGTAGGTAACAGACTCCTTGATCATCGCCATCTGAGTTGTTGCTGGGGCACGAAGGACGGGACTCTGTCCATCGTTAGGGCCTGGCATGTCACATGCCTTGCAACCTACCAGCAGCTGCTGGGTGTTCAAATCCTCGCTGCGGCCCTCAGAGACCAGGACAGAGCCAAATCCCGCCCGATGCAGAGATTTCACCCACTCACTGGCCGCACGGAGCGGATAGGTGAGCCCTTCATCCGCGGCTAACCACCAGCCATCGAGCAGACCAAAGACCAGGTCATACCAGTCGATGATGCGCGTCACCTCCGACAGGACAATAAGCCCCTCAGGGGCTAATATATCTCGGATTCGACTGATTGCGAGCACCCTGTTTCGGGTGGCATGGACGCAGTTTGTGCCGATTACCATGTCAAAACTCTCCCTCATATGGGGAAGTGAGGATTGTTCAAGGTCGAGCCTCTCGAAATGCATCCATTTCACCTTCGCAAAACGCCTGCGGGCTTTGGCGACCATGCTGGCCGAAATGTCGGTGAAGGTGTAGTGGACCGCAACGCCACATTTGGCCAGGGCTTCAACAAGACGAACCGTGGTCCCCCCGGTGCCGGCTCCGACTTCCAGTATGCGGAAGACAGCAGCCTTCGGTTGAGAACCGCCTACGCACCCCGTGACAAAGTCTACCATTTGATCCGTGGCGGTCGAGAGCATGGGAGAACAGCCATAGTATCCTTCCATGATCTGACTGGCAGCCGGTGACCCGAAGAGTAGCTTGACAGGGTCGACACTCCCTTGAAGGACGGTAGCCAGGTAGGGGGCAGTTAAGGCCAGCAGGCGGGCCTCGATGGCATACGTGGGACATTGGGCTACAAATTCCGCATGTAAATGGTCCGGCGGCGGAATAAGATCTTCTTTGGGCCCGCGAATTCGGACGCCCTGGCCTCCCTGGGCGACGGCTCCGTGTTTCATTAGTATGGCCCATAGTCGCTGGAGCAGTCTCCGGTACTGGGGCAGAACGTCGATGTGTGGAATCGGTTCTCCTGGCCTCAAGCTCTGCAGGTCCACCCCAAGGGTTGCAAAGGCCTGTACCACGTACGCCAGAGTCTGCTGATCTTGGCGAATGGCGACATCGTCCCAGTAGGACGTATAGCCCCGCCGAGCGGCATGGTCTGCTAGCTTCGCGTTGCTGTATCGCATGCCGCGCATAGGATCAAGCCGTATCCGGGGCCCCGAGGGGCCCTGTTCTAGCGAGGGGCGAATTGGGGTTGGTGTGAACGGAACCAAGGCAGTAACCGCAGGGCAGTTGTTGGAAGGAGGCTCTGGTTTTGATGCTTCTTGACCGACTGTTGGGAGAAGGGCAAGCAAATCGACAATGGTGGAGCTGAGGACGATTCCCTCGCTTGGAATAGGGAGGGCCGCTGCATCGGATACAGCTGCGACCACCTCCACCAGCGCAAGCGAGTCCACTCCAAGCTGTTCCAGTGTCATATCATGCTGGACCTGATCGACCTCGATCCCAGTCAGTTCTGATATGACCTGTTTGACCTGGGCGATCGCCTTCACCCCTCTCGTCGTGTGTCTCGAGGGTCTTGCGGGTGCCGTGCATGACTTCTGGGCTGTGGCCTTTGGTGATTGCCTGCGCGGCGGTGATCGCCTAGCGCTATGCGCGTGCCCGATTTGCGTTTCCAGTTCTTGGACAGTGATAGTCAAAAGGTCCTGACTGTCCAGGGTAACATCACATAAGGCGGCTAGCTCTCCAAGCATCTCGACGGCTGCGAGCGAATCTAGACCCAGATCCGTGAGTACGGCCGTGTTAAGGATCTTCGATGCGGTGGCGCCGGTGTAAGACTCTAGCATCGCTCGAACGTCCGGTAGAGACTGCTCATCCTCGTTCTCGTCCTCGTCTTCATCCTCCTCTGGGCCCGACCCACTGCTCAGATCTGGTGTCATCGGCATCTCTGCTTCGCTGCTGTCTGTCATGAGCCTTCCGTCCACCGCCACAGGAGCAACCGCGCGTGCTTGATGTGCGGCGGCAGTAGTGCGATTGGCGGTATCGAGGAGTCGCTCCAGTCGACTGATTGCAATCTTCGTGAAGTGACAGCCCGTGATGGCAGCGATCAGCGTTCCCCGGGATGAAAAGACAAAGACATCACCCACGGCTTTTCCGGAGCCACAGTCCTTGTATGATACATAGACTTGGGCCGGATTGTGTTTATCGCCATCCCCAAGGGGCAAATCACACTCCCTAGACAGGGTACAATTGTCGATACCCGTGCAAACCATCACCTCGTCGACGCCAACCAACTCGCTAGTATTCATCAGGAGCCCAACCACCTGGATGAAGTTGTCCAGGCTGACCGCATCGCACCGTGCTATAGCTGTGCTCTCGTCCAGTCCAGGCTGGCCCCCCGGGATGATCACCGTTGCAAGACCTTCACTGCCTCGGATGCGAATCTGGGATATACCTCGGAGAAACTCCGCATACGTGACCACGCGGGAGAATAGCCCGTACGCGCGTTTGGCCTGCATTCGTTCCACGTCACCCGAGTCCTGCAGTGCCTGGACGTGTCGACCTACCAGCCGGCCTACTGGCTGCAGGTTGGAGGAAGGCTCCCGAGTGACGCAGCCTGTGGCATGCAATGTGTGGTTAGTTGAGAGCGGCTGGCTGCGGCTCCGCACCAAAAACATATACCGACGGCCAGCCGCATCCGGGCTATCTTCGAGGGTGAGCTCGATCAGTGCCGCACCGGTTGCAAGCGGGGCCTGGATGCTGAGGTCCTCGAACGCCCATTCCGTGCCCTTCATGGGATGGCCCCCCTCTTGCTCCCCAATCAGGTCGAGTGCCATCGTAACACACTCGAGGTAGACGGATGCCGGACACAACGGGCGTTGCCTCACTGCATGTCCCGACACAATCTTCCGGAAACGCTCGCTCATTCCGTCGATTCTGAAGTGTCGCACTCGGTCTTCAGTACGATCCTCGGTCGAGGGTAACAAGGATACGAGTTTTGATCGAGGTATCGCATCTTCCTTTGCGTGCCTTGCGTCTTCCCTCGCTGCTACTGCGGTGTGCTGGTCGAGATGCTGCTGTATCTCGGCTGCTCGATCGATATTATCCAACCATCCCCGGGTCGCCTCAAACTGATACGGGGGCAGCCAAACCTGGTCATGTGGCTGCAAGAATAACCAGTGAGTAACCGGCACGGACAGGGACCAGAGGCTGGCTATAGTGTGCGAGAGCGCATTCACCCCTTGCACCCCGTCTTTGGTGGCCATGGCGCAGAAGGCATGGGTTCGGCTCGTGGCCGCTCTTTTCGTCATTTGGATGATGGGGGTGTCCATTCCTGCTTCCAGCCAGATACAGGCGCCTAATTGGGCTTCAATCCGCCGCACAGAATGTGCGAAGAAGACCGGTTCGCGTGCGTGATCCCCGGGATTGTATGGCAGCGGCGTATCTCGAGCCTCACGGGAACACGGGTACATCGGGATCTGCGGGGCGCTCCAATGCAGGGACTCACCGAGTCTACTCAGGTCCTCGAGAACTGGTTCCACAAGCATGGAATGGAATCCGTGGCTCGTATCCACCGCCACGGACCTGACGGGGGAAGCGAGCAGCCGGGCTTGGAGGGTCGCCATTGCTCGAGTCTCCCCCGAGACCACGTAACTTTTCTCGGCGTTATAGCAGGCAATTTCCAGAGGCTGGCCCTCAATCAGGGCCTTGACCTCCTCTAGGCTAGCAAACACTGCACTCATCTTACCCCTGTCGCCCCCCCATCTGACCTTCATCGAGGTAGCGCGCCCTGCTACGAGTCGCAGCATGTCTCGGAGAGATAACATGCCGCTGACAGCCAAGCATGTGAGCTCGCCCAGACTATGCCCAATCAACCCCGTGACGTCGAGTCCTGCATCAATCCAGGTGAGGGCGCTTGCATACTGAACCGAAACGAACCCCGTCTGGAGGACAACGATGTCGGACAGGTCAGCCGTGTCGAAGACTGCAGGTAAAATGGATGGGTATCCCAGCTCTTGGAGGGTGTTGTTGCAGAGGTCAAGGTAGGCGCGGAAGGCCACGCAGTGCTGATACAAATCCTGCCTTAGCCCAATAGTTTCCCTACTCTGGCCACCGAATACGAGAACAATAGGAGCCGGCGACGAGGTGCGTTCGATGATGGGCGTCGGGGCGCCATCTGCCAGTTGGCGGGCGAGATCCTCCACACCCTCTGACTCAATGATACTGGCGAATTTGTGCAGTGGCCGCTTCTCGGACAAGGTATATACCAGAGCTGCCATAGCGGGCGGGGGGGTTTTTCTCCGCAGAAACGCAGCAAGTGCCTGCTGGTAGCGTCGGAGACTCGACTCTGTCGACGCACTACAGATGACTGGATATCGCCAACGCCTCTGGATTTGTGCCTGCTGCTGCAGCGGCGCGGGTTGACGTGGAGATTCGCAGCACACGATGGCTGCATTTGAACCAGCCGCCCCGTAGGAGTTCACGAGGGCTGCGAGAAGGGGAGCCGTCCATGGCTGTAGTGTGCTGCAGAGGCGCATCCGGTCAGGTGCCAGAGCGGGGATCGTAGGGTTCCAGGACGTGTGACTGGCTTGTGGGACGAGCGAGCGACGTTCCAGCATGCAGATAACCTTCAGTACCCCTGCCACTCCGGCGGCGGTCTCACAATGACCGATATTGCCTTTCACCGAGCCAATTGTAAGGTCAGTGCTTCGTGTCGAGCCTCCCAGCACAGATCGAATGCTTTGAACTTCCAGGGGATCCCCCGCCTGGGTTCCTGTCCCGTGGGCTTCCACATATGTAATCTGGGTTGGGTCCAGGCGAGCTTGGTCCAGGACGGCACGGTAAAGCTCAACCTGGGCCTTGGGCTCTGGCACCGTAATCCCACACGACAACCCCCCCTGGTTGGTTGCTGCCCCGGGGATGACAGCCATGATACGATCCTGATCCATAAGCGCTTGTCTCAGTGGTTTCAGCACGACTAGCCCGGCCCCTTCAGCGCGGCAATACCCATCTGCACGTTCGTCAAAGGGTTTGCATTGCCCGGTAGGGCTTAGGAAGCCCGCCCGCGCCAGGTCAAGGAAGTTGTTTATCCCAGTGATGAGGTTAATACCTCCAGTTAGCGCGATGGAACATTCGCCCCTCTGGATCGCCTTCACTGCACGATTAATGGCGACCAAGGATGAAGAGCAAGCCGTGTCGATTACCTCGGCGGGACCCCTCCATCCGAAGTAATAGCTCAGCCGCCCACAAAGAAAGGCCCGAATCGTGCCGGTCGACGTGTATGCCGTCGGCGCATGAGCGTTCGTATTGTCCAGATATTCCACGAAACTGGCCCCGATGAAGCATCCCACTGAGTCGCCGCGGTCGCGCCGGTGGGACTTTAGGTAGCCACTGGACTCCATCGCTTCATAGGCCAGCTCCAGCAGCACTCGTTGCTGAGGATCGATGTTGGACATCTCCCTCTTGCTAATCCCGAAGAAAGCATGGTCGAACTGATCGACCCCGTCCAGGAAATTTCCGTAGAACTGCCGCTGAACAGCAAAAGGGCCGCTCTGGCGCGCGCGGTAGGCACCATGAAGATCAAACCGGGACCTTGGGAGCATCTCGTGGCGATCCTGTCCCTCGGACAAAACCTCCCATAGTTCCTCCATGGTATTTGCTCCAGGAAGCCGACAGGATGCGCCAACAATGGCTACCGCGTCGTCTGGGTAGGACGGCAACTTCTCCTGACCAAGCCTTCTCTTCGGTGCCCCCCAGTCCTGCTTCTCAATCCTAAGCCCTAGCTTGTTAAATGGCATCAGGGGGACTACGTCGCCCACGCCGAAGGAAACGATTTGGTGCGCGGTTTGCCCGGTCTCCTGGAGCCCCCTTGCGACATTGCACAGCAGCTGATACCACTCGCATCTGGAGGCAAGCACTGTCTGAACAATTTCCTCGCTCAATGATCCTCCGCTAGTAATGAGGTCTCCCGTCCGATTCGATCGAACTGGGCTCTTTAGGTGCTCCGGTCCCGGGAGTTGCAGCATCTCTGACTCACGGCAGACCCCGACCAGCTCCCTCGCCAGGTCCATATTTTCCGGGTTGTGGGTCTTGCCTCGTATATCCATGGCTTGCAAGAGCAGTCCCAGGTCCGATGCGCGCTCCTGGAGCGCTGCCAGCTCGTCAACCGGACCTACCAGGCTAACTGACCGCGGGTCTGTGATGGCGGAGATGTAGGTCTATGGCAGGTCGGAGAGAGGGAGAGGAGCCTTGCTATCAGTAAACTTTTCTCTCTCTCTCTCTCGTTCTGGATTCACTTACATGACGATAGTGTCGCACCAGGTCTTCAGCTTGGCCTTCCGACTTCAGGCGAACCACGATCGTCGTCGCTCCAGGCACTGTTGAGTCATCTCCTAGCTCCGCGTACAGTCCGATGGCATACGCGAGACGGATGGCGGTGCAGATCAACGGCCCAACCTCTGTTTCGCTGGCCGCACACGAGAGTGTAAGTGCCGCGGGGAGGCCTCCACAGTAGCCCTGCAGGCCGCCTGCAGGTCGGACCTGGGCGATGACATCTGCATGCGTGATCTGCTGGCTCTCCAAGTACTGAAAGTATTGGGCGACCTGGAGGATGACAAGTCGGGGCAAGGCGACAATACCGGACTGCGTGGACGCAGCAGCATCTCCGTCCCCAGTCACCAACCATTGGATAAGGTAATCCGTATATTGCAACGCCCGGGGGAGGCGATCGATTGCCGCGTTCTTCATCGCGAGCAATGTCTGCACCTCCTTCAATGTGACGACCTCTGTTATCAGACATTGGAGAATGGGGTGGGTAAGAATAAATTGCCGTATCGACTGCAAGTATGACGCCGAGGGAGCACGGCTCTGTGGGCAAAAGACACCCACGGAGATGGTCATGGTGTTATAGGAGGGGGTAAACGTTAGAGCTTGGGGGCGTCAATGCAGTAGGACGAATCAATAGCTAGCTACCTATCTATCGGTCACCGAAGAACGGCAGAGGCGGCAGAGCCTCTTTAAGGTTAACTCGGGTTGCGCCTATTGTATCATTGTTGACCACGCATCGGAGAATTTTGGACTCTATTTCCCAACATGGATGCGTAGCCTCCCTCCCCTCTCCGGCCGGTTTTCTGTCAAAATGGCCCGATTGGTATCTGGTGAACACCCCGTTCCGCTAGCCCTAATTGACTTCGCCCCTTGCCCCTCCCCGCCCATTCCCTTTCTCTCTTTCTCAGCTTCTTCGCCTTCTCCTTGCTTTTCGTTACAGTCTATGCAAACTTCCATTTTGCCCAATTCTCCCACCTCGTTGGTTCCGACCGAAAAACAATATTTATCGAGCTGCCATGATGCAATCATTTGAGGTTCAGTATCCTTCCCATTTGAGCTTTGGATGGCTAGTGCCACTGCTCGTTCTCCCTTTCTACATTTTGGTACGTTGGTGTATGGGCAACAATGACGATCAAGGCGTCAATCTGGAAACCTGAAGTTCTGATCAATCGTCGGCCAGGTGCGGTTGATATATCTGCTCAAATTCCATCCCTTGTCCAAATATCCCGGCCCACCCCTGTGGGCCATTACTCGAGCACCGTGGGCATACCACGTCATGAGGGGGGATCTCTGGCTCGCGCTGGACCGGTTTCATGACCGATATGGCCCCGTGGTGCGTATAGCGCCCGATGAGCTTACCTACATCTCCCCGGGCGTCTGGCCAGAAATCTACAACGCACGGCCACAGTTGAACAAAGACCCGCACAGCCTGACACCTCCCTTGAACGGGGCCGACTCCCTCTTCACGGCTATGGGCGAAGACCACCGACGCATCCGCGCAGCCTTCGTGAACGCTTTCTCTGACAAGGCTCTTCGGGGGCAGGCGGTCATCATTGAAGATCACGCGAGCCAATTCATAACCCGGCTCGCTACCGAGGCTCGAGCGGGAAATCCGGTTGATATTCAGCGGCTGGTCGGATACGCCACCTTCGATATCATCTCAGAGTTAACATGGGGAGAAGCGCCGCGGGCGTTGCAAAGCAGCGAGCGTAGTCCGGATTGGATCCAGCGGTTCTTTCTTCATGCCCAGTTCAGCACCGTCCGCAACTGTCTGACTCGCTTCTCCCCGCTGGACAAGATTCTGTGGTATTCCTTTCTTCGGATCACCTCGCGGCAGCGCATTCAGAACACCCGCCTGAGCACGGAACGCATTGAGCGTCGTCTATCCACCCCCTCGACACGGTCTGACTTCATGACTCCTCTGGTTGGGAAGATCACAGAGCACGGGGATGGAAAAGGTATCACCAAGAGCGAGGTTCTCACCAACGGACTCGCGGTCGTTATCGCCAACTCCCAACTGTCCACCATTGCGATCACCACCGCCATTTACCTTTTACTGCGACACCCCATCCAGTACGAGCGACTTCTGGCCGAAATTCGCGCGGCGCCGTTTGACTCGACAGCTGCTATTGACGTGTCCGCCACCGCATCCCTGCCGTACCTGCGGGCTGTGCTTGACGAAGCCCTGCGCCTCCATCATCCCACCCCGGGCAGCATGCCGCGTGTCGTGGGTCACGGAGGGCTGATGGTACATGGCGAGTTCGTCCCCGCGGGCACGGTGGTCGGAGTGAGCCTGTGGAATATCCAGACACGCCCGGAGAACTTTCACCGACCCCGGCAATTCCATCCGGAGCGATTCTTGCCTCCGACAGACCCTCGTTATGACCCGGCGTTCAATCGCGACTGCCTCGACGCCTATCAGCCGTTCTCCCTCGGGCCCAGAAAATGCATTGGATACAAGTGGGTCGCCCCCCTGTTATGGTTTTGCCGTCACTCTGTTGCATGTGGATATACTGAACTGAAATTGGCATCAAACCAGAGTCTTTCTTGCGGAGGCCCGCGTTTTGCTCACCCGTTTGCTTTGGACATTTGAGCTACAGCTGGAGGATGCACATATGACTACCTGGCTGAAGCAGCGTGCGTGGTTAGTCTTCGAGCCCAAGCCGCTGAAGGTTCAGATCCGCCATCGAAGGCCGCTGGCGGCATCGTAGGACCTCCATCAATCTCTCTGGGCAGGGCTTCGGGTGAACTTTCCGGACAGTCATATTCTCGATGCTAAGTTGGCTCAGGCTTGTGATCTCTGGTGTCGGGCACGAATCGGATATGGCTGGAATCGCAGTTGTATCACAACTTTACCTCCTATGACTTTCTCACATGAATTACCCAATCGATGGTGTCGGCGCGTGTGGCCTAATATCGCTGGGTCGCGTGACGCGGAGACATGAAAACACCGCATAGCCGTAGCTAGTTCCTTCAAATACACCAATCAACGAAATTGGTAGGACTTCAGATCTCAGGCCCTTGACGTACATCCTCAACAGATGGAGGCTGACGGCACTAAAGGTACAAAGATATATCTCACGGGATTTGTCTTTTTTCTTTTTGGCCCGGCTATAACAATGGCATATTCTACCAGGTACCAGTGTACTAGCCACTATATGTTCTTCGAAGAAAAATAAAAAAGGGAGAAGAAAAGAAATGAAAAGACAGGAAGAGGACCTAACAGACAAGAAAGAGCAAAATACGCTAATGAGACAAACACCCCATATTTACAGCTGGCTCTTGAGCAAAGAGACATCCTGCTCCAGCGCCAACTTGCTAATGTCAGCACTGGGGGTCTTGCCAGTCAGGAGCTCGGAAACCACCTGGCCCGTTCCCAAGGCCAGCGTGATTCCCCACGGGCCATGGCCGCTGGCCACATACACCTTGCCGCCAGCGCTGCTCACAGCCCCCGTGACTGACGAGATGATCGGAGAGCCTGTTGTCGAAACCGGCCTGAAACACAAGCCCTCACTCACAATCTCCAAATCACTCTTCGTCGATGCACCACTGCCTGTCAACAGCCGGGCCACCTCCCGCAACCGCTCCACCTGCTGCTGATCCCGCAACTTCGGAATCTCGCCCGCCACCTCCGGCAACGGCATCTTATCACTATTCAGCCCCGCGATGTAAATCTCAGGGACCCCCTCGTGATTCACCCGACCGAGCATCTCCGGAGCAAATTCCCACTGCGGGCCGGGGGCGCAGAATATCGAATGGTCCTTCTGCGCCACGGAGCGGGTGTACCGCGGCGAGCGCACGATGACACTATACCCGGCGAGCCCATTAATCCCGACCGCCATCTTGCGCTTGAACAGCGTCTGGAACACGCGGGGAGTCCAGCACCCGGCGGCAATGACGACATCCTTGCAGGGCAACGAGATCTCGACGGGGGTGCTGTGCACCGACATGCGCTGCTCAGCCTTGACCGCCTCAATCCGGCCCTCGCGGTCGACCTGGAACCCCGTCGCGCGGGTATCCAGCAGAATCTCCACCCTGCGCTCCCGACACTGCGCCAGCAACCACTCCACCAGCGCCTTGGGGTCCACCTGCGCGCACCCCGCGTCACTCGAGATCTCCTCCACCACGCACTCGCCGGGGCGATTCATCCACGTCGGCGTGCCCTTGCCATCCAACCGCCCATCCTTCTCCCCTTTGCCCTCGCTGGTGACGCTAGAAGACGGAGAAAACTGCTTGGCCACCTCCGCTCGACTCGTTCCGGACAGCAACCAATCCTCCCCGCGCACCTTCCCGCCGGTTTTCCGGCCGTGCGCGTCGAGCTCGTCCATCGTCACGCCGAACGCCTGGCTAGCGCTGTAGCCCCATTTCTTGCGGCCGTCGTGCGCATCCGCCAGGGACTGGTGCAGCCGGAAGGAGAGGTCGGCGAGCGATGTGACATCGTCCGAGAACCAGTCCTTGGCGATAAAGCCGCCCGAGAAGCCCGAGGCGGACTGGAAGAGGGCCGAGGCCGAGTCAACGATCTGAATCTTGCGGGTCGGGTCGGCGAGCGAGGCGTAGTAGGCCGTTGAGAGGCCGATGATGCCGCCTCCGAGGATGATGAGGGACATTCTTTCTTGCTTCTGTCGTGTGGGTGGATTGGGTTTGATGGCGAGGGGTTGTCTTGCGCTAGGTGGTTTAAGCCCAACAATCACGATTGCGGTCTAGGGCAATGGTATGCTGTGCTGAAGAAGTCGTGAGCAGCACTGGGTACGAATCCAGCCTCAAGCGCGCGGTTATATACTCGCCCTCTTTTTCGTGGGCGGTGGCAGGAGTTTTCCGGCGCCTCGCAAGATTTGGCCCGTTTCGGAGGCACGGTGCGAGGGCTGCTCCACTCGATTGTGGAGTTTACCGCGGGGAAAGTAGGGTTGCCCTAGTCTGCTTTGGGGAATCGGTTCCCTGTCTACGCCCTGGGGGTGACAATGAGAGGGGGTCTAGATTTTCGGCGGGGGGAATTGTGTAAGTTGATTAGGGATTAGGTGGAGTGTGATCTACTTCAAGGTTAATTTGTGGTTGAGATGGAATGTTAGGCTGTTGCGTGTCGTATGATGAGCACTATCTCATAGGGCGGGTGCGGGATGCTGGTCCGGAGGGGTATCCGACCGAATGAACAATATCCAACAAACGAAACACAGCCAACAATTCGAAAACAGCATTCACATCATTGCCTAATAAACACTACACGCATCGCACATATACTACATCATGATTCATCAATTATCAATTTTCCAAACCAGCATCTTCCCCTGCGCAGAATCCCTCCCGAGCCCATGCTAGACGCACCCAAGGACCACGACACGCGGCCTCCGTCCGGGGCCCCCGGCTTTACTCATGAGGATGAATATCCTCGCTCTGCTCGGTGCCTATCCCGACCACCCACATTAGCCAACATCCCAATCTAACAGTCACAGGATAAGCATACCCATCGCCCCCTTCGGATCATACGGCCGGAACGACTGCGCCCGGTCCGGCACCTTATTACCGGTGAAGCCGGTGCGCTCGCCGCCCTGCATCTGCGGCATGTCGGCGTCGGCGGACTGGTGGGCCGCGCGCTTGGCGGTCAGCTCCTCCCAGCGGCCGTCGGAGCCGAGATCGTCGATTGACTCGACGATGTCCGCGCCGGTGAGGTGGTAGGATCCTGAGAGTTTGCGGGGGTTGGATTCCATTTTTTTGGGTTGGGGTGGTGTTGATTGTTCAGGAAGTATTATACTAAGGCAGCATTTGCATTGGATGGGTTGAAGCGCAGCAGCAAAATCCGGGGTCGAGGTGGTTTAAGTAGAGCGGGGAAATCGAAACAGTAAAGATGGTACGGGTTGCATGACGTCGTGGTGCGATCAATGCGGTTGATTTAAGAGTGAACCGTGGGTGGTTGCGGTGAGTGCGGAGGCGCGATTGGTGCGGTAAGGGACCAGGTGACACCTTGCAGGAGGCTGAAGGGCAACTTGGAAATTGCCTCAGGGTGCGAGCTCTACCCGAGGTCTGGATTTGGTTGGTTAGGTGGGTGAGATGTCTATTGGCGATTGGGTTTTGGTGGGATGTTTCGCAGTGGGCTTGAGTTGGATGTTAGGGCTCAGCCACGAGAGTAATGCCAAGCATTACAGGGTCAGATTTATGCTGAGGGCGAGTGTCTAAGAAAGGTGGTTTTTTTGGTTTGGATCTTCTTTCGCTCTGGCTAGTGAGGTCCTTGTACCCTGGAGAAACGACAATCTCAGTGATTCTTTCTTCTGAATGATCTGCGTCAATGGATGGGCACACGCTATCTGAACGGTGACGGTAATATGCTACCAACCATGACAAAAAGCACATCCAAAAATGAAGAAATACTGAACGAAGAGAAGTTCCGAGACATATGAGAGCCTAGCGGAGATCACCACGTCAGTGTCTTGTCACGAGATCTATAAAAGCACGACGTGCTATGCTCCTTTCCCCTATAGAAAGTACCCCCATCCTGAAATTGAAACTTACCATAAACACAAACACGAGTATCCAGACCTCAAAATGGCAACACCACTTAGAACCCTCTCCTCCGACGACAACGTGGTGAAGTGGTTCGAAGAGGAGAACATACGGTATGCCTACTTCCACACCCCCGTCGCCGAACTGTACTGGCTGGTGAGCACTAACCGCCACACGAACATGCCCGTCAAGTTTCTCATCCCCGAAGAGACCATCGACCAAGCCTGCGAGGTCATCACTCGTCATGGGCTGGTCGCATGCCCGTACGGAGTCGACTGTCAGTTGACACGCTCGTTAGCCCAGATCCCCAGCAATACTGATCATTACCACGCGGCTCTGCCAGCCGACGCCGGCGCTCAAGGCCAGCAGCCCCCCGACGCGATGGAGATGGACCAAACGCAGCTAACCCAGCCCCAGCCACAGGACCCAGATGTAATGGACCTCGACGAGGATATCCCCGCCTTCCCCCCGCCTAGCAGTGCGGGCGCTCCCAACGAAGCCTGCGGCCTGACAATCCTCCTCTACCCGCAGGAGGACCTGTTCTGGTTCTTCCCCGCCCCGCCGCGCCGTACGGAACTCGACAACAGCTACTGCTACATCGAATCGCGGGAGCCGATCATCTGCCGGCTCTGGAACTGCCCCGTGGTCACCTACACGCAGCGGGCGTGGGCGGAGACGGTGCTCATCAACCTGAGCCGCGACCTGGCGACGCGCGCCGGCGTGCCGCAGGCCTACTGGCACGCGGAGCTGAAGCACATCGCCATGTTCTGGTACAACGACCATCCGTCCGTCTACCAGACCGAAACCCCGACGGTCGAGCTCCACCCGCGCAACATGATCAAGCCCTACACCACCATTCTGAGCCTGTTCCGCGAGGCCCTGTGGTTCTACGACCGGGACGGGTTCTCGGACGCGGTCAAGGCGGAGCTTCGCGAGATGTTCGACGAGCTCGATCTGATGGGTCTATTCCCGCCGGGCCCGGGGAGGAATGTCGATCCGTGCATCGACCACACCTTCACGGGGCATGGCCCGGTTCCGGCGTATTTGGAGGGGTCGGTGAAGGGCATTCGGCGGGACTTTCGGCAGCGGCAGGATGATTCGGCCTGAGACGCCGTCGCCTTCGTCCTGGTGTGTAGCGAGTAGCTTTTGTTTTTGGGAATATAACACATTTAGACTCCAGCCATATATCTGTTCATCTATCCATGTGATCTTGAAAATAGCAATCTCCCAAGCACAAGACAACCCCCACCCCAACCATTTCTTTTCAGTTCAACCAACCGTCAACAACCGCTCACAAAATCCCCCAAACCCGCGCTCCGTATCATGCACATGAATCTCCAGAATCCAATGCCTCTCCCACCCGCCCTTCCCCTTCCCGCGCATCCGCTCCCCATTCCCCGGGGTGATATACAAACTAACGCGATCATTCGGGATGCGCTCATGCGGAAAGCTGCCGACGAGGTGGCCCGCGATCTCCGCCCCAAACGCCCACCTCCGGCCCTCGCGCGCCCCGGCCTTCTGGACTGTCTGGCTGGCAATCGCATACAGCTCCGCCCCCGTGATGTCGGGCCGCCGATCGAACTCCGCCTTCACGGATACCCAGATCCCTTCGAGGGCATCGCGGAGCGCTAGCTTAGCGGGGTCGTTGCCCAACACGTAGGTGCGGCCGAAATCCGCCTCCCATTCTTCGAAGACTGGGCCTAGGTCGATGACGAGGATGTCGTCGGGGAGGAGGATTCGGTCGGGTGGGTTGTCCGCGAAGGGCCGTAGGGTGTTCGGCCCGCTGCGCACGAGGCGCTTGTGCCAGTGTGTGCGCACGTTGTGGTGCTCGGCCCCTAGGCGGTGGATGCTGTCGCTGAGGGCTTTTTCGGTGATGCCGGGCACGATGAGGGGTTCGATGGCTGCGAAGAGGCTGAGGGCTTGGTCTTGGGCGTGTTGGAGGGAGGTCGCGCGGTGGGTTTCTTCGGGGCTTGTCATTTTGGGGGTTGCTTGGCGGTACTGCAGTGGGAGGTGAGTTTTGTTTTGGCTAGTGGTGAGGGGAGAAGTTGTTTGACGTGTGGGGTGCGGGTGTGGGGGTTTTTGTATACGCCGCGCGGTGATCCAGTAGACAAGTGGTGGGGTAAAGTGGGCGGCGCCCGATGGCGTGCCGTTATCGGATCGGCGGGCTTATCGGGTTAGTGCTGGCGGTGATTACCTCTGCTTTAGCGGCGGGCTTATTGGGTAGTCGGGCCGGATCGTGGGTTGCGGTGATATCGAGTAGTGGCTGCACACTGCAATGTACACGGTAAATGACCTCGATTGTGTGATATGTTACTCCTGCATCTCGTCTTCAACAATGTTCCCGTAAAATTGGCTTCATGAGATTTTGTTTTTCAAGATGGAAATGATTGCAGCATGAAAGTGGTACATATAGAAATGCCCCTTGGTAGATACAGCGAATGAGGCTAAGCCTTCGGCATGAGGTCGGACAGGCGTTACATCAACTAGCGTCGCTCCACATTTCTGTCGATTGTCGGCATTCCCTACGTCTGTCAGCATCGATGGATACTTGCATACCATGAAACCTCCATCATTTCATGATTGACAGATTCACTTGGTGGTCGACTGCTATGTCAGAATAACAGATGAACTTTGAGGTACGGATGGAAGCATTCGGTATTATGGCGCCTGCCGGCTTGCGATTGATGAACCCTACACTAAGATATGGACCGCCAACGCTGAATGTGGTTGTGTTCGCATGAAGCTCATGGTATTGGTGATCGCCCGGAAATCAAGTTCGTTGGTTGGAACCACCAGTAAATGCATATCCGTCAGGTATCAGGTGGTAAAGATTCAACTAACAGGGCCAGTGGAGACCTGTCCGATTCGTTGTTTCACGCATTTGAACTTTCTTCGAGTGATCAGACTGTGGAAGAAAACCCCGGAAAGACCAATGCTTCGATGGCGATGGCGTCGAGATGCTTCGGGTATAAATAGCTGCCTCCAATGGGGATCGATGTAAGCGAGACTGGGGCTTTCAAGTATCGTAATACAGGCGACAGTCAAGAGTGCCAGCTGCTGTGAACTGGTGTGCAGCCTGGCTCAGAGACTTAGTGTCGATCACGAATGCCAACTTCCTGTCGGTAGAGGTGCGGGCCGACCGTGTACAACCCTCACATCGAACACTGCTATCCCATTCCTTGCTTCCCATGTGGACATTGCGGCCGGTGATCCTGGTTGCGACAAGCACCACAGCACAGGCATCGGGCGTAGCGTGCCAACTGAGACCCCTAAGCCCAACCGACCCTCCCTGCCTAGTATGCCCACTCCCCCACAATAACGAACTAGCCGCAAGCACCATTCCAATGTCCGGGTATAACAGTAGACAATCACTCCGACTCCGATTCCTCCGGCTGCATGACCTTCTCGTCGAGTTCCTAGAACGATCAGTACAACAGGTCGACACAACCCGAAAACATCTCCTACCTTTCCCAGTCGAGCTTTGAGGTTCTGGAGCTGACTCTCCTTGATCACAAGGTGGCGATCGTCATCGAGGTCTTCGACAATATAGTCGTGACGCTCTTCGTCGTATTTCAGGATGATGGCTTTCACGGACGGATCGCATTCGATGAGGACTCCTGGGTGACACGATGATTAGTTGGGACGAGAGGGGTTAGATACAGAAGAGATGATGATGATTACCTCGAACGGCGCGTGGCATGATGGCTGTGTTGGCGTTGAAGTTGGGTGAAGTGGAAGAAGACTCGTGTTGCACTGAGGGGATGTAGGTTGGAGGGATAAATGGAGCGGCGCGACCGAAGATCTCCGCAGGTGCTCTGGTGCCTGAGGCATCGAGAAGATTATGGTTCCCTTCACTGCCCGTCACTGCTCGTTACCGCTTACCGCCCACCGATACACTCTGGCAGAATGACACCCACCGCCTTCAATTATACTATGTTTACATCAACAGGAAGTACAATTTCACTCACACATACTCATCACTTATCACTATCCACCATGCATGATCACTCTGTTGTCTGCACAGATAGAAATGAAAAGCAATCACAGATATGCCTATCAACTTCATGACAAGCAGTTATCTGCAATACAAATCTGACACCGACACCGTAGCAACATGGCTAGTTGCTACTGCTAAAAGCTGTGGCTTCCCTGTGGATACACTCGGGGCTTCAGCCAATACAACCTCTCCACCCTCGACTGAGCCCACCGGTCCTTCCAAACGTCTTAAAGGCAAGGCGAGAAAGTTAGCTCGCGAGGCTGCCACCAAAGCCGCATCCAGTGGCTCACATTCCACAACATCCCAAAATGCTAAACACATTCTCGCCTTGAAAGACTTCGTTGACCTGGCCGAATACATCACTGCATCAACCAAGCCGGTGGTTCGCGTGCCAGCAAGCTTCGTGACGGTCCTTGACCGAGCCATCTCAGTGCGACGCGAACATGGCAACAAGGCCCGGGCGAAGCGTCCAACAAGCCTCGAAGCGCGAGAATCATCTGACCGACACGAGTATTTCATAGGCATCCTAGAGCATGTTCGGCAGGCTCTGCAGCCTCGGATATCAGGTGAAAATATAGAAGACCCGTTGACCGATAACTCCCTAAATCACAGGGCCGACAACCTGGCGAACCGGTTCGAAGGCTTGGAAGTTCATGAGCCGTCCGACGCGTTCTTGCAGGCACCTGATGTTACCATTCCCGCCCCCGCAGCCGGAAAGTCGGAGGTCAACTATGAAGCCGAGCGCCTCAGAGACTACGAAGAAGTGTTCTTCGCATTTAGCCTCTTACTTCAGGACCTGAGAAATATCCGAGCCGTCATCGCACGGACCTGGAAGGAGTACAAACTTCGTACGTTTGACCTGGTGGCGGTGTCCCTTATGACGAACTGTGCCATCGACTTCGCCCGACACCTGGAGGAGGAAATTCAGGCCCTTCTGAACGAACACGGAGGGTCGACCGCGCTGTTGGTCGGACTCTACGAGGGGATCTGTGACATGGTCGGCGACGATCCGACGCACCGCGAGCGGCCCGGAGACCCTTTAAACTTCCGCACCTACCACATTGCCGAGTCACTATTCATACCGGCTTATGTCTCCCTGAACTCATTCCATCCGCTCGTTGACGGACAGAGCTTTCTCCCATGCAGAGAAAAGTCCTTTGCCACCTGCGACCGGGCGAGCGATTGGGCGCAGAAAAGTGCGAGGGACAAATTCGAGGAGGACAACAGGGTGATGTCCGAGGTACTCTCCGAATTCGTGTATCTACATCTCCTCCTACCGCAGCCGGAGCCACACGAGGACGAGATCACGCGGGGGATACGCAAGATGCTCGACACGCACCAGATTCCCCTCTGGCTGGTGTTCGCGAGCCAAATCTTCCTTGACATTCACCATTGCCTTGAGGGGGATGTGGTGAATGGGTTTGCGGATCTCACCAACACCGCCAAATGCATCCAGAGCTCTATCGAGCTGAACCAGGAGTTTTTCGCCGATCTCCGCATCGTAACGTGGCCTGAGCAATATGACGCACGGATCCAGCGATTTCTCGAGTTCCTTACCGCGTGGGTGGATTCTGACTTCACGCAGCCCGCAAAGGAGAGGCATCAGGTCTGGAGGCCATCGGATAGCTTCAAGCTCATGAAGTGGCACCCGCTGTTCTGTGGGATTCTGACCTACTATGTCAAGGCCCGCTTCCAGGACTTCGCCATGGCTTTTCAGGGCACATGGGGGGCGATTATGTACACCGCCCACCTGTACAACGCCCTGCAGCAGGAAGGCTTACTGACGAGACATTGGGCGGACATGGAACTTGTCCTAAGCTGGCATAAAGAGATTTTCGTCGGCGCCCCGCCCTGTCAGCGACCTGACTTTCTAAAGCAGTACAGTCTCTGCATCGGCTGCTCTGCGGCAGCGTTCGCTCGCAACCGACGAGATAGCGCTAGACTACCCGAATCAAAGGCGGGGCCAAGGCGCATGAAGCCTGTCGCTCCCGTCTCGCGGATGTTCTTCAGTCGACACTGCGAAGGACTGGCACCGAGTGGATTCAGCGGATCGGACCTCGAGACAATTCTCTCCAGGTCCGCTATGGGGAAGAAGGACGAACAACAGGATGGATCCTGTTCAACGCAGCGTGGCACCCGGTCCGGCAGAAGCAAACCGCCTACCAAGAGGCGCTCCGCTCGACAACTAACCATCGTCGAATTACTCGAGACCTTGCGAGACACTGTTCACAACGAAGCGCCGGAATTCACATTCGATTATCTGGCATTGCACAGAAACTGCTGGAGGTTACTTCGTATGGTCCGGGACATGTGCGATCCCCATCTGCGCAGGGTACATGGGGCTGACTACCTCGAGGATGAGACCGAGCTGCCGTTCCTCGTTGGCTACTTGTTCATGGCTGCTGCGGGGACAGACGCACTGGGCAATACCCTAGCCGAAAAGGACGAGGTAGTCAGCGGCCAAATGATGACGTGCGCCGCCACTGTGGTTGAGGGTATGATCGAGTCGGAGGCTGGATTGCTGGCCGTGAAGCTTCTTGGCCAGCAGGGCTATCAGATCGAGTTTGAGGAGAAAGAATAGGTGCTCGCCACGCTCTAGGAATCGGATTTCTCGCCAATTTGCATGGGAACTCCTCAGAGACAATTAGATTCTAGTCATATTGGTGGCTTGGATGCGACCGGAAGTCCGATGGTGTCGTCTAAGCGAGCCGACGGCGAGGCTTATGTCTGACAGCATATGATGACGCGTAACATGATTGCTTTGATCGATGATTGCTTTTTGTCAGCTGGCGCGGATTGTCCATTAGCGATCTTACGACTTTATTACAAGGCCGAGAACCCCAATAGACCAGGTAGAGAGTGGATCAGGTGGAGAATGGAATTGATCTTGTGGTACCTGTTCACTGCGTGTGGAGGCGAACTAGTTTTATCTCCGAGACCCGCTCGGTCTTCGACCTGCCAAGTAGTTTTCGCTATGTAGAGATATCTTGTTTGCTTTAAGCTCCGAGGGGGACGCCACTAATGTGACAACGAACACTCATTCAGCATCGGGGGTGTCTCCCACCAGTAAGACCCATCCCAGTAACAATAGCTCGTGGGCGGAAGAGAATATACCCCTTCCACAGTCAGACTCTCATCCCCCTGGATGATCCCCCTGGATGGAGATCTTATATCTGCTAATCAGTCCGACTGTGGGTCGAATGTAGTTGCACCCCTTAGAGCATTCATTCTTCTGTCAGGTCCGTTAGGTATTACCTTCACAGATACCATGCTAGCCCTTCCAGCAATCGCAGCAGTAGCTGCAATCCTCACCAACGCCGCCGTGGCTGCTCCACTGATGGACACGCTTCTCGAGATCCCCGAGCTCTCCACGTACGCACATGTGTACAATAGGACGGGGGGCATTGTGGAGATCAACCCGATGTTCACGAAGCGATTCAACTACGACACCGACACGCGCAACTACACCTTCCTGGCCCCGACGAACGCTGTACCTCTCCTCTCCTCCCCTCCAGACCCTCAGACTCCACGCATCTAACCATACCATGAATCCCGACAGGCATGGGCCAAGATCCCCCCCGCGATCTTCGACATCCTCCTAACCCAACAAGCCTACCCGCTCATCGAAGCCCTCCTGCGCACGCACATCATCGAAGCCCGCCTAACCGCCTCTGAACTCGTCAGCGTCTCCGCCACCAGCGGCGTAGGCGGCATCTCAACCGCGCTACAGCTCTCCAACACCACCGCGCAATTCCACAGGGGAGTGCTCACCAAGACGGTGCAGGGATACTACATCGACGCGACGAATTCCACAAACGGAACGGTGCGCCTCGACGACCAGGCCGCGATCGTGCAAGCCGACCTGCCGGCGGACAACGGGCTGATCCACGCGATCGACCAGCTCATCGACCCGTTCCTGGTCTACGGTGGCGGGCCCAGCAACCGCACCACAGCCCCGTCGTACGAGTCCACCGATCTGACCATCGGCGCGTTCGTGCAGACCGATGCCCGTCTGATTAATGCTTCGCAGATCCTGTCGGTGAATTCCCCGGATACCGTCCGGAGGCTGTCGCGTCAGTCTTCCGACAAACAGTTCTTCGTCGTCCCGCGGAATGAAGCGTTCCAGCTGATGCCTGCCATTCTGCCTGTTTACCGTAAGTTCACTGTCTGGGTGCTGGGATGGATGCTGATGATGCCCGTAAAGATACGCTGGTCTCGCCGTACAAAAGCCCCTTCGACACGCTGCTGTGGCAGTACGGCTGGGTCGACAGCGGCGGCGAGCGGTTCGACAGTCGCGCGCTCAAGGGCAACAGCTCGCTCTCCGTGGCCAGCGATGTGACCGGGCTGAATATCACGGTGATCCGCGAGGATAGTGCGGCTGTGTTCGTCATGAATGCCGGGCTGGTGACGCAGGTCGAGACCGCCAATGGGTTCCTGTGGATCGTGGATCGGTGGTTGGATCCTCTGTACCAAGCGTTTGGGCCGGTGGATCGCTTTGGGGCGCCGGAGTGGGCTTAGCTACTATGTACAGTGTATTCTGGGCTGTTTGGAGGGGGAGGGGTAGTTTTAAGCCAGGTGGGGAGTTATGTATCTCAGATACTGAGGTTGTTATTATGTCACAATGGCATTGGGTCTAGTCTCGACAGCAGTAGCAGTAGACGCCGTCGCTGCAGCATTGCGGATAGCGCCCGTGGCAGCAGACAGCCGAGGAGCACGGCGAGGAGCATACGTAGCAGGCTGCGTAGTGATCAGGGGTTGTGACTGCTGGATGAGGGGGACTGAACGAGACGTACAATCTTCCAGGCCTCCGATGGGGGTCTTGTCTGCGTCCAGAGCATCGATGTGCTTGTCTTCGAGTCTTTGCATTAGGGCTGCATTGTGAGCAGATGCCGCTGGTCAGCAATGGGGCGCTTACTTATCCTGCTGTAGGGGTCCGCATTGGCCATTGAGAATATATAACCAACGGATAAGTAGATGAGGACAGTCTTCATGTCGATGGTATTCTCAGCGCGAGTGGGTATGTCTGAGGGTCTTCAGCCTCTCTTTAGAATAGCATATCGGCCCTTTAATACCCTCGAGTGGTGGTCATGTGCGGTGTCGCATCCAGAGCGAGTCATCTGCCGGAAGCCGCCCTTCTGACCCACTACCCTCCTCATCAGAGTCGACTGATCTGCGTACACTGCTTCTTCAGGTACGAAATTGCTGGACATGCAGGGTCTTCTATCACCGTGACCCTCATAATGCCAGATGGTTCTCTCACATTTGGGGCTAGTATAGTCACGTTGCACCAAGATACCCTCTCCGCAGCGCCAAGACAACTCCACCGCCCTGCACCAAGGGTCTAGCCAGACCTGACACAACGATCGGACATCACATATCAAGTGACAAAAAGCTGACATCATACTGATTAGTTAAGTTGCCAGCATCACTTCGCGCACGCTGACTCGCCGTCTCTCCCGCAAGGTTCTGAGCTGTCAGAATGATGGCAGATAAGCGGATGCGTCGGGTCTGCTATCTCCCACTCTCTGTCAATTCTCGGCCTGGGCCGACCCCAGGGACAGATGTCCGAGCGACGCGGGGCGTCTGCCATTGGCCGGCGATCACTTATCGGTGCCAGGATATGGCGACGCGCGCTGCCTGTTTCTGCGTGTCGGATTAGCAATGCTTATTCGTTGCACTCCGTACAGACCCCATCCGCCCATCCCGCATTTTTCTCCGCAGATCACATCATAGATGCCCCTCGCCGATAAAATGTCCTCGCGACGCAATCCGCTCCTGGAGCGATACTTCTGTCCTCAAGAATTACAATGACCGCTGCCACTCATCAGAAATCCGTACCGTCAGAGCAGACGCCCCTTCTGGGCCGTTTGGAAGAGGTGCACGATGCGCCCCGCGTCCCGGTGACGGTCTTCCAGGGCTCGGCGATCATGGTAGCCATGGGTCTGCTGTTGTTTATTCAAGGTACAGTACTGTACACACTCGTGTTTCAGGGCTGCACAGAGGCTGACCGAGCAGCCACCCAAATCACCGCCATGACCACCGCTCAATCGGCCATTGCCACCGAGTTCGACGCCTTCTCCGTGGCCACATGGTTCAGTTCCGTGTTCCTGGTAATTTCCCTGTCTAGCTGTGCAGCCACAAGTCAATGCGGAGCTAACCAGGCAGATCGCGTACTCGAGCATCACGCCCCTCTCCGGCCGACTGTGTCAGATCTTCACGCCCCGCGTCTACGTCTTCTTCACCTCGAGCCTGCTGGCATTGGGCCTGTTTGTCACCGCGGCTGCCCCGAATCTGGCCGTTTTCCTGGCCGGACGAGCCATCGCGGGCTGCGGCGCGGGCGGACAGAGCGTGACGGCGCTGGTGCTGGCGCTGGACCTGACGAGCAAGAAGCGCCGGGGACTGTTCCTGGGCCTGATCAGCGCGGCCATGACGACGGGCATCGCGTCGGGGGCTGTGCTCTCGGGCCTCCTGACCACCGTCTACGGATGGGTGGGTTGCCCTCCGTGGTGTATTGTACTTGTTCCTGCTGCTGACCGTACCGCAACACAGCGTCTCATCTTCTGGATCCAAGCCCCGATCACCCTCCTCCTCGCCCCGATCATGTTCTTCGCCATCCCTCTTCCACCCGGGAACAAGCAAGGTGAGCAGGATGGGCGCACAATACTCCAAAAGCTAGCCCAGGTCGACTACGCGGGCGCGTTGACCTTAGTAAGTCCAAACCAACCCTCGTTACCGTCCCGGGGGAGAACCCCCGGACCCCCCTTCTTTTCAACTTCCCAGTTACCTCAACCCTAAGTACTGGGGGCATATACCGTCCCGGGGGAGAACCCCCGGAACCCCCCTTTCTTTCAGCTTCCCAGTATACTTCAACCATCTAAATGCAAAGCTAACAAAGCAGACCCTCTCCGTAACCCTCCTCCTCACTAGCCTGGCCTCTCCGACCATCCAAATAACCCCAATCCTGGGCTTTTTATTCACCACCGCCCTCTTCCTCACCATCGAATCCTACTACGCCACCCAACCCATCATCCCACTGCACCTCATCCGCCAGCGCCCCGTGCACCTGACCTGCCTCGCCGGCCTCCTGACAATGATGGCCCGCTGGGCCGTCCTCTTCTACACCCCCGTCTACGCCATGGTCGTGCGCGACTGGACCCCGGCCTCAGCAGGACTGATCCTCGTCCCCACGAACGCAGGCTTCGGCCTCGGCGGCGTGTTAGCCGGGTGGCTGCACATCCGCCAGGCGCAGAGCTACTACCTCTCCAGCCTGCTAGCCTACACCCTCTTCGCGCTGGCCGCGCTCCTCCTCGCCCTCCTCGCCGTCCCATCCTCCCCCGTCACCGGCTTTGTGGCTGCCACATTCCTCCACGGCCTCGCCGTCGGCGCCCTCCTGAATTACACCCTCTCCCACCTCCTCCATCTCACTCCCCATAACATGCATTACCTGATCGGGGCACTGGTGGGCATGAGCCGCGGGTTCGCGGGGAGCTTTGGCTCCGCGATCGGCGGGGGCTTCTTTGTCCGGGAGTTGCGGCGCGGGGTGGTGCAGGGGTTCGAGGAGTACGGGGTCGACGGGGAGAGGGAGAGGGAGCTGGTGCGCAAGTTGGTGGGCAGTCCCGCGTTGGTGAAGGGGTTGCGGGGCGTTGAGAAGGTGGTGGCCGTGGCGAGTTATCAGGCTGCGTTGCAGCGCCTGTTTTTGGCGAGTTGTGTGCTGATTCTGCTTGCTGCGGTGGCGCAGGCGGGGACAGGGTGGAGGGGCAACGGGGCTAAGGCTGGGGATGAGGGGGAGGAAAGGGAGGGGAGGGTTTAGCTTGCTGTGCTGTATCTATGCTTAGCGGCTGGAGAGCGTTCCCGGGGGAGAACCCCCGGACCCCCCTTTCTTTCAGCTTCCCCGTATAACGCAACCTTGGCCCTTATCTATAGAGGTAAAGGGCGGGGCTTGAGATAATACTGCACAGGGTTTGCGGGTGCCGGGAAGTTGAAAAGAAGGGGGGTCCGGGGGTTCTCCCCCGGGACGGTATATGCCCCCAGTACTTAGGGTTGAGGTAACTGGGAAGTTGAAAAGAAGGGGCGTCACAAGGCATTTATACTCCAAAGCAGCATCGAGATGAAGCCTTCTTAGAGAAGACATTTCGATCATCTTGAAGCCATGACAGAAAAGACCTTCAAATTATTGCCGACATATGACCCTACTAGGTACGTATCCGTATAATGTATAGTAGAAGGAGCATACAGAGCAAACACGGCAAACACTAACCCTCCGCAATGCCAAGCCAGCCTTGTCCAATGGGAATCCAAGAACCGTGTCCAAGCGGAGCCGGGGTCAAATCGTCCAAGCGGTGCCAACAGTGCCAACAGGTCAAAACGCACGCCAATTACAGGCCTGGAAGTCCAGGAAGTGTAGTATAAGTCGCCAGTTCTGCTCTCCACAAACAGCGAAATCACTTTCGATCCTCGAGACGGACTACGACCATCATGCACTACAACCGCATCGCCGTCTACGGCCACCGTGGCTGGGCCAGCTCGGTCATCGTGCACGCCCTCGCCTCCTCGGGCGCCCCGATTAGGGTTCTCCACCGGCCGGGCTCCGACATCTCGACCCTTCCCGGTAATGTCAGCGCCGTCGAAGTCGATGTGTCCGACGAAACGGCGGTCATTGCTGCCCTCGCGGACATTGACATCGTCATGTGAGCATTTCGACGGCCTGTTCACCCTCATCGGCCAACCTCCATACCCGCGCCCTACCCTACACCAAACATACAGCTAACGCAGCATAGATCCCTCGTCGGCCACGAAGGCGTCACCCGCCAACACCACCTCGTCAACGCCATCCCCAAAACCTCAGTGCAGCTCTTCGTCCCCTCCGAGCTGGCCGCCCGCTACGACGCCCAGGGCCTGCGCATCCCGGTCAACCAGGCCAAGAAAGCCGTGGAACTCGCCGCGCAGGCGACGGCGATCCCCATGACGATGGTGCTGGTGGGCAACTTTGCCGAGTTTGCGCTGGCGACGCCGTATGCCGCCTCCCCTTTTCATTATTCGCCTTCAGTAAAAGAAAGAAAACTGATACAGCGACAGGGCGATGGGCGTCGACTACGCCAACAACCGCATCATCTTCACAGGAGACAGTGCCACCCGCCCTGTGAATCTCTGGTCTGTCTCTATCTGAGCGCGCAATGATCTGCTGTCGGATTAACTGCGGATTAACTGACCCTGGAGAATAGCACCCGAGCCTACGTAGCAGCCGCGTATGCCTCCATCTTCGCGTCTACCCCGCTCGACTGCCTGAAACACCGCACGCTCACGCTCTCGGAACTCCGGCCTACCGGCGATGACATCGCGGCCGCGCTGACGGAGCGGCATGGGGCCCGCACGCGGCGCGCAACGGAGACGATCGACGCGGTCGACGCGCAGATCGAGGGGTTTCTGCGGGCGGGGCAGCCGTTTGCGCTGGCGTTCTACTGTCGGAGGATCTGGGGGGCGGGACTGCAGACGGGTATGGTGGGGGAGGATATCTGGGAGGTGCCGGGGTATGTGAAAGCTGGGGTGGGGGAGTTGGTGGTTGGAGGTGGATTGGGGGCGTATCGGACGTTGCCGCGGGAGGTGGCGGGGGTTTTTGAGGAGAGGTTCGCGGCTTGTGCTTGAGGTTTGATGGACTTGCTTGCGAGAAAGGCCGCCTTGTATCTATCACGTTCTGCGCAAGGTCCAGCTCGGAAGGGTTGATCTATCACAAGCTAATGGGCGGTTGCACATGTCAGTTTCATCGCTGAGGGTGTGGTGTTACACGTTTTTTCGTTTCCATATGACCTGCACACTTTTGGGACCGTGTAAACGCACCTGCTGCTGGAGAGGGGCCTCGAGCCGTCTTGGTGTGGTATACCAGCCTTTCCCCAGTCCCCACATCATATTCAGGCAGTTTCGTCCGAATCCACCAGCAAACTCAACCGAACGCGTCCTCCTCATCATGAGGTTCTCGTCCGTCGACATCGCCACCTGTCGCTTCCTGCAATGCCACGCGCTATTTGTCTTCCAGACCCAGCTCGACCCATCGCAGCTAGAGGAAGCCTTCCAGCGACCATTGAGTTGAATGTCCATGATTGGATTCTGACGAGTAAGGATCGCGAGGGCCGCGGGTTTTGTCTGTATGGGTCGTTGCATGCGGAGCCTTGGGCGCAGCTGGGGCGGGTTGGTCGGAGGTTGGTGGGTGGGTTTAATTAACTGTGAGTTAGGTGGTGATGGTGCGGATGGAGAATCGTTTGTCTTTGTTTTGGTTATGATGGCCTTGGTTATCTTGGAATGAGCGGTGGTAGCAATAATGTACTCCTGGTTGTACGGGAACAGTATCTGTCGGTGAGGTTATATGTTTCCTATCTTATTCCGTTTCCCATATGTACATCGACCCGCGGGGAATGATTTGGTATGAGTTTGATAATTCTCGAATCTGATGATAGCAAGTTGATGAACCAAGTCATCTTACGCGAGGCTTCGAGTCGGTACTGTACAGACTCTCTCGCGCACGAGAAGCTCTCCTGTCAACCGAAAATCGGAGCAGTCACGATACAAACATTTCTACCTTTCTGCTCAACTGTATACTCGCCCATACCTGTCTAGGACTGCGAAGAAACAACATCGGACCAGATCAGGCTGCCTCGCACAAGGCGACGATGTCGTCAGGGATGGACGGCCTCAAAATGTCAATCAACGACGCCAACGGGATCCAGTCCAGCGTGCCGTGAATTGTCTCGATGGCCCGTCCGCTGTACAGAACCCGGGCGTAGTGCTCCGAGTCGGTCGTCTTCCTATTCTAATGTTTAGCATTCGCTTTGCAGTCCCGGACTTCCAAGCTTTTCTAATTGATTATGAATGGATGCCACGTACCAAATCTCAAAAGCGACGTTCGACCCCATCCCCGGCCAGCGCAGCGCTCGAATCCCCAAAGCACCTAGCATGGGCCCCAAGTCCCCGTCATGCACGAAGTTGTGGCTGTAGACCAGAGCCGAGCTGCCCTGGGCCACCGCTTCCAGGTGCTGCACAATCTCGCTGATGAACAGCCCCTCCACAAGCTGGATGTATCGCGTGGCGTTGGCATTGTGTCTCCACCAGTAGTTCCACTCCCAGTCACCAGCCCGGAAAACCTCGTCCGCCTGCTCCTGGGTCACGCACTGGGACTCGTCCTTCAGGCTACATGGTAGTTGGTAGCCGTTGCACAGTCGGCCCTGGAAGTTGTCGGCGAAGTGATCAAAAGTGGAGGTCCAGCTCGAGGTGTTGGCATCGAACATGTCGGCCAGCGTGGTGCGAAGCGACGCCGTGACTGCCAGATGCTCTTCCCACACCGGAGTGGACTCAATGGCGGACAGCAGATCGCTCCGTGCGGAACAAGAAAACCCCTGGTCGACGGTATCGATGCTAGACGCCTGCTGGTGCAGCGGCAAGGACCCCGGGTAATCCGGCCACATCCCTCTCAGCACTCCGCTCGCAGATTCCTGCGTCAGGGCGGAGCTACTGCTGCGGAGCCACACTTTCCTGCCATTATCCTCGTTCGGAGCCGACGGGATGAGCTGCAATCGCTCCTGGTACACTTCCCGAAGATCGCGACCGTGTTGGTAACCGTCCAAGAAGCCTCCAACCGTGAGTTGGGGATACTGGCAGGACCCATTGACGTAGCTGTCTAGGAACGGGTTGGTCGGTTCGGAGTATGACTGCGCGTATACGGGGAGTGGAGAGGGGCTTCCGGACGTCGGCGCAAGGTATAGGAAGGGCTGCACGTTGTTGCAGTTGTATGCTTGGTTCTGCGCCGAGTTAGTTGGTGACTGCTGTACTTGCAAGTATCAAGATGGAAATACCGACCTCGCCGCCGGGAAGAATATTGTAGGGGGTCCTGCGTTGGTGTCGCTGCAGGTATTCGAGGTAGACCAAGCGACCGGACACTGACCCATTGGCAATGGGAGGCGGTAGAGTGTAGGTGTCGGCGCGGGGGTGCGGCATTGAGCAATAATTGTAGACCTCCTCAGCAGACGGCGGGCTGGCCTGATCGGCGGGCGCGGAGTAGATGCCCCCATAGGTACCCAGCGATGTGTTGGTTATGAAGGTGGTGTGATTGAGTGGGGGATAGAAAGTGTCGCGCGCCGCGACCGAGGAGGTCAAGAGGGTAAACAAAAGGGAGATCATGTCGCTGAGGCCTTCATAGATGCTGATCGACATGGCCACGCCGTCGAGACGGGCGCAAATGGTAGCTTTTATAGCACGTCCGCCAGATTCTCTCAGAACCGTTCACGAGTCGGTCTTTTAGCGAGGGAGTTCACGAAGGGGTCGGATTCTGAGGGTGGAGGTTGCGCGTTGCGGGGATCGACAGTGAGCTGCCACTCCCAAACCGCGATTTCCCACGTGGGCATGGCGGTAGCCGAGGAGATGGCGATCGGATTCGCACGTCCATGATGTAAGTTATCAGATAGGCTAGGTCTTGGAAGTGAAGAACAACGGCTGTTTAGCGATGGACGCTAGTTCACCCGCGGACCAAGCATGGGATGATGAATGGGAGAGGGGGAAAGGAAAAGGGAAAGGAAAAGGAAAAGGAAAAGGGCAGTGGAACTGAGCACAGTTGGCGGGTGAAGGTGGGCGGGCGAAGGTGAGGAACGGGCCGGACGATTCCAACTCCAGTCCGAGTCCTCCGTAATGGCCGTGACTGACTGACTACAACAAACCCCGCCCCAATCTGCCTCGATCTGGTATGGTACGGTATGGTGGGCAGTCACGTGGCACAAGATAAGCAAAGGAAAAGCAACTAACGATGGCAGGTCGTCTTGGATGCTTGGATGGACTGATGGACTGATGAGTCGTTGGACTGATGGACTCTGTTCACAGCCTCCCTCACCACCAAATCATGGACATGGATGGGAATCATCTTTCCCCTCCTACGTCTTCATCTGCGACTCCGGCTACTCGGCCTCCGCAGACCATCGGTGGATCTACCACTTCTCCTCCATACTATCTGCCTCTCCATCCCCATCAGCAGCAACCGCCACCCTTCCTCCTGGTGAATCATGTAGACAAACCGCAGCTTCTCCCCCAGGGTCAGGAGCAACCCGTCTTCATCAAGAACGAGGAGGATCAGTCCCCATCCGAGGAATCCATGCAGAAGTTGAAAGTCACCCTGCCGCGCTTCCAGTCAGGCCGACCGATATCGCCCGCCACCTCCGACTTGAGCGACTCCTCCACTCCCGCCTCGGATGACAAGGCTCTGCTCTCTCTTCGTCTGCCTTATGATACCTTTCTGAAACCAACCCTGCAAGGAAGGAGTCTGGATGCCATTTTGTCGCTCCCCGTCACCTTGCGCAACAGTCTGCAACCGTACTTCCACCACTGTGAGTCTCCTGCTCACACACCAGATAGAATGGAGGTTTCCTAACTACCGCAAGTCTCCACTTCGTGTGCGCGCACATGTTTTCCCTTTGGCTCCGAGGAGTTATGCTTGTGGTGGTGGCAACAGGCCATGAATCAGCCCGCATTCCTGTTCATCCTTCTCACCACCAGTGCCATCCATAAGTCCGCGTCGGAGACGATTGCAGGCGGCGTCTCAGTAGCCGCCCAGCAGTCCGCCCAGCACGCCCTTCTCTTCCGCGTCAAGGCATATGAGTTTGTGCGCCAGATCTTGAACGAGTCCGAAACCGCTGCTCTGGAGACAACCGCGTGCGTCGTGGCCCCATTAATTTGTGTTGAGGTCAGTCTTGATGGTTCTGGTTTGGAACGCTGCTGATTGTCGATTATCTAGGCGGCCGACGGAAATCGACAGGCTGCAGATGCTCATGTTCAAGGGCTCAAGAGACTGGTCGAGCTACTTGGGGGTATTGAAAGCCTGGACCATGCAATGGTCTCGCTTTTCTATTCGTAAGGCTTCCTGTTGTGGAACCTGACCGTCTTGCTGACTTTACCCGACTCAAGTGCGGTACATGTGTATGGACTTCTCACCGGCTCGGAACCAGCCTTCCCCATGTCCGAAGAATGGAAGCAGAGAGTCCTCCAAGAGGTTTTTGCGGTCAAGTCCGAAGAGGATTCTCGAGGCCAATCATATTTTGGTAACCGCTTCTTCGCCTCGTCCTGGTCCGCGGGACTTGACCCCAGTCTCAAGCTTCTTCTCCAACATTTTCAACACTTGATGGTGCACTACAACTACGCGCAGTCATCCTTGTCAAAATCATCGGAGAACAACTTCGCCCTCCTGACCGCATACGAGCTTCTCGCCACGACCTACGTTCTCACCCCGTCGGACTTTCAGGATACGCTGCGCATTGCGATGCGGATCTATCTTGCGCTGCGACTTTGGACTTTTCAGGGTTTGCCATGCATGAAATTTGTGTCCGAAGAGCTGCAGCACAGTCTGTATACAACACTCCACCTCCTGCAGAGAACGGCTCCGGATCTCTTGTTCTGGATTCTATTCGTGGGAGGCCTCTCCTCCGTGGGCCACCAAACATCCGCATGGTTCAAGACCTACCTCTCCATCACCGCCGGCCAACTGGCCGTGTACAACTGGGATGCCGCATTGGCTTTGCTGGAAGGCTTCTGTTTCATCTACCGGCCAGCAGACACGATGGCTCGGGATCTCTGGAACGCCGTTCAGCAGCGTCAGGAGCAAGAATTCTATCCGCAATGACAATCAAACCACCATCGATGAGATGGACAGCTGAACTAGTTCGATTGCATAGAGCTAAAAACGGGCTTTGGTCTACAACCCCTCCGGAATCGAGCTGCGGCTAACACTAGCGACGCCGACAGAGTGCTTAGCGACGTATGATCGATTCCTTGCGCTCACCCCCGCTCACTCTTAGCTGCTTTCTTGTGAAAGACCAAGGCACATCCTTCCTCTCAGTTCGGAGTGGTTGGTCGTGAGATTGATTCGAAGCTAAGGCAGATCTAGCGACTCGCTATCGCCCAACTCGGGATGTGGAAATTTTTTCACAACAGCTCACGACCATACTCCTTGAGCAGCATAGCACAGGAAGGCGGGTGGGCCCAGTTGATGGCTGGCATGTTGGGGGCCAATTCTGCCCCCTACCTGTCAGTAATCTAGTACTTTTAAGAATTCGTCGCACAGTTGCAGCATTCCAAGCTTTTATACTTCTTCCACTTTGACGTCGCCGGTCTTCTGAAGGGAAGAACGACAGAAAATCAACCTTGGCGATTTTGCGATCCAAGGATACACGGGATCCAAATCGTCCCCCGATCACTGACTTCAGCTCGTCGGGGTGTCGAAGGAGTGCGCGGATTTGAGTCCGTTTATTCTACTGCGTTGCGGAGCCAGTCCAACGATTATCCGATCAGGCGCTTACTGGAAAAGGGTTGATGGCGGGGTCGCGGTGTTCTGCTCTCTAGTGCGGTGCGGTTTTGTCTAGTCGCGCCATGATAACTTCCGGCCACTACCGGAAAGCCAGTGAGGCCTCGAGAGGCCTACCATGTTCTTGCTACTCGTACGACCGGTGCATTTGGGTGTTCGTCGGTGTTTGCTACACTGTGGCCAGCGTGCGCTGACTGGTCGAATGTTCCTTTCATCAGACCCAACTTGGGTACTACCCGACTATCGGTGCAGGCGGCGCGGACTTCCTGCGCATTTCCTACATTTAGTGCTTACCAGCGTCTGCTAGGATTCAGGCGGAGGCTCTTATGCGCCAGCAGTTGAAATGCGACCGTCCAATGGCTTTGTATGGCTCGCGCAATTCCACCTGGCACACCACCCATATCCACGATGTAAATGATAAAACCCATCGGACAGGGCATTCGAGAACATCATGGTTGGTCAGAAGGCATGCACATTTTGCGCTTCTAATTCAACAAACGCAGTTACTGACGAGAGACTGTAGGGCGATGGCTTCCAAAATACTTTGGCCTTTATGTTTCGTAAAGTCAAAATCATTCCGATGAGATCTGCACCCGTCCTGAATTGTGTAGAGATTACTTCTGGTCACGAAAAGAACAGTAGACCACCGATCGGATGAAGAGTGTGATGCACCACTGTATCAAAGCCGTTGCGGATTGGATGCAGCAATACGCTAAATGCTCCGGACATGGAGACCGTCGGCGTGATGGAAAAGGGGTAATTCAGATCCGTGAGGCTTTTTTATTGCCTCCAGCGGGCACTATTCATATATATTTCTACCTGAGTACAAGTGCATGTCAGATCTCTAACTTGTGTCCCATATTTTCCCTTCTCTCCGTGCGATGCTCATTGCTTCAGACAGGGACTGTTTCATTCCCCACCTTTCTGCAACGCATCAGGTCGGTGGGAAGGGGAGGGAAGGGGAGGGGTGGTACCGTTGTAGGGAGAGACAGGCGGAACTAGAGGGAAACGAAAGTTGCAGTGATCTAAGAATAAATTAATTAAGTTAGGCTCGCTCGCTCGGAGACGAGGCCCAGAAGTGGAAGTGACAGCAGACAGGGATTGTTCGATGCGGATCCAGATCGCGTCGGGCTCCCCTGTAATCTTATCGCCTCAATTTGCCTGCCATGATCCCCCTTTCCGAGGGGTGGTTGATTGTTGCGAATGTTGAATGCGCCATTCAGGGTAAACATAAGCCCTGAAGGTGCAGGGTCCACGGTGGTAGTGGGAGTGATACTGGACAACTGGGAACTGAAAACTGCCATAGGATCAGTTCTAAGCGGGCGAGAACAATGACGATACAATGCGATGGTGCTGGTTTCCATTGAACTGAAAGCCCCTTGACTGGGTTCGAACCATGGAAGCGACAAGCCAGGGATTCGTCATTTGTGATTGTCGCAATCTCACCTTCAGATTGCAGACCGCTAGAGATTGGCTGCCAACAGAAAAGTGGCTCGGCCAGTGGATGCTCGTCAACCAATCAGTGAATTTGCTTGGCTCTGCACCGATCGACCTTGGCCTGGCGGTGGGTTTCTGCCGTCCACACTCACTGACACGGTCGAATGACCCAACAACCAACACTCACTCTCGGCTGTTGTTTTTCATCGCCATCAGCCACTATCCACTATCCACCAACGCAACCATCCTCTAGCTTTTCCCCATGCACTACCTACTCATATCTGGGAGGTTGGTCACCAGACACAAGCAAGCAAGAATTTCTCCCTGATATGCCTAGTCAACTAAATATAGCGTGGAAATGGCAGCAGATCAGCAACTCTGGTTTGCCACGCGATTTGCCGGGCACCAGCCCGGGTGGGTCTCTTCGTTGATAACTTGATATTAACCTTCATTACCGGCTGGGACCAACTGACCCAGGGTCCTCCCCTCTCCACTATCAACGCCTCTGGGCCGCGTTGGAGGGAGAACATAAACTCTCTCCCATCGCCTGCCCATCGCCTGCCCATCGCCTGCCTGCCTATCACTTTCCGTTCGCTTGGGGACGACTGTCCCGCCTTTCTTTTCCGACTGTCGTCATTTTTCAGCGCCACCAGCCCGTCTCCACTTGATCGTCGCTTTCCTCTGCCATGTCTTCCTGACATCTTCCAGCATTATTAGCGAGTCCGAATATCTAATCAGCACCTCTCCTCCCCGCTCGTCCCGGAACATAAACACAAATCTCGCCATGGGGCGAGAAACTGGCCATCGACGGCGCCCTTACCCGACCATGTTTGCCCGCAAACCCGCCAACCTCCTCGCGCTGATCCTTCTCTTCGTCATCGGTGCCTCCATTTTCAAAGTCGAGCTGGGAAACGGTCCCTTCGACCCGCGATCGCTCTATCGCCTGGATCGCCATCATAAAGAGCCCGGATACTGGGATTGGGAGACTACGACACGCTTCTCGCGCACACAGAACTACAAAGTCGACGATGACCATATCTGCGATTCTTTCCCGACGTATCTGCTCCCGCGCATCCAGGTCGTCCTGAAAATCGGCGCCTCGGAGCCGCAGGACCGCGTCAATGCTCATTTGTCGACCGTCACGCGGTGCATTTCCAACCTGATTGTGGTTTCCGACCGGGAGTCGGAGCTGCAAGGCCACCATGTACACGACGTGTTGGCCACGCTACCCGACTCCTTCCGAGCGAACGTGTCCGACTTTGAGGCGTACGATACACTGCAGAATGGCAGACTGAAGTCGGTGGCTGGTCCCCAGGGGTGGCGACTCGACCGGTTCAAGTTCCTGCCCATGGTGGAGCGGGCGCATGAGATCAACCCGACCGCCGACTGGTTGGTCTTCATCGAATCCGACACCTATGTCGTCTGGGACAACATGTTCCGTCTGCTCGACCAGCTCAACCCCTCCGTTCCGTTGTACATGGGATCCCCGTCCCCGGGCCGACCACTGGACCACGACGAAATCTCCTACTTCGCCTACGGCGGATCCGGCTTCGTTCTTTCCACCGCGGCGGTGAAGAAATTGATGGCACGAGAGACTGGCGCACACGGAGAGTATACACAGCCGCCCCTCAGCGAGCAATACGAAGATCTGGTCAAGGCGGACTGTTGTGGGGATTCGATCCTCGGCTGGGCCCTGCACGAGAAGGGTGTTGAGCTCTCGGGTTTCTGGCCCATGTTCAACCCCCATCCATTGCATGGCATCCCGTTCGATGATGTGCACTGGTGCCAACCCGTTATCAGCATGCATAAGACGCTGGTTTCGGACATGGCTGGGTTGATGCACTTTGAAAATCAACGCGATCGCAGTGTACGTAAAGCACCTCCGCTTTGATTGAGATCTTGACTAATATTTGCCTGGTAGGAACCTCTTCTGTATGCCGACTTGCTCGAATACCTAAAACTGGGTACCTTCGATGAACGTCTCGACTGGGATAACGGGGATTGGGGCGGCTGGCAGGAGCCTCCCGAGTCCCCCAGCCATGCCTCCTTCGATGCGTGTCGCGCTGCGTGCCACGACCACCCGGAGTGTCTCAGCTTCACGTATGACTCGACCGGACACTGCGTCTTCGTGCGGACTGTGCGACTGGGGGCGAAGAAGTTGTTGGGGGACGCCAACACCCGGCTGTCCTCGGGATGGGACCTGGAGAAAATCCAGCAGTGGCGCAATACCCATCAGTGCGAGAAGCCACTGTGGGTGAAGCCAAGCACGACGCGCAAGTTTTGAACGGCGGGGAGAGTTTATCAGGGAGGCAACGGCGTTGGGACTTTTCTGGGATGGGGTTTCTCACGGCTTTGACGAATGTAAATATGAACTGATACCTCAGCACTGCACATGTACATCTTACGATAATTTAATTTGATACCTACCGCACACTAATCAATCCATTTGTCTGACGAGTTGACCAATTTCGAGGGGACAATCAGCAAGGGAGGGGGGGGTAAGAACTTATCGCACCGCGCGCCACTTGCCACTTTACCGGAAGGGGACAAAGTTGCGCGGTGCATTGCATATCTTATCGTCTGCAGTCGTTCGCTTATCGCCTTTGCCAGGCGACATCGGACCAGTCACTATGGCACGGTGCGGTTCCGCGACTATTGGCTGCCATTCCGCCATTTCCGAGGTTCCGATGCAGTGTAGTTCAGTGTAGGTGTAGGACAGTGGAGTGCAGTGAGGGTCTCCCAGGTGGTTCCGAACTGGGAAGGAGATGCGCCGACACGAAGTACTTCTACAATTCATAAATCCCTCCAGCTTCCCCGCATTCTCTGCTGTCTCGAGCTTCCTTTTCTCTTCCTCTTCTCACTCACTTTTTTCTGTCTTCTCCATCACACAACACAGATCTCGCATCATGGTCTTCACTCCCCATCCGTTAGCCATCCTCTCCGAGGAGGAGACCAACATCGCCCGCGATGTTATTCTTGCCCAACACCCCAACACAGTCATTGATTTCCGAGAGATCTACTTATCGGAACCCCCCAAGACGGAGCTCCTGGAGTTCCTCGCCCTTGAACACTCCGGTCGCCTCAGCCCGACCTCTCCTCGTCCAGCTCGTCTGGCCTTGTGTCAGTACGATGTCATCGGTTCCGATCACATTCCTTCCTTCAACGAGTCGGTCGTGGACGTTGGCGCGCGTCAGCGAATCAAGCACAAGATCGTGGGCAAGAAGCACCATGCTTCGTTGACTTTGTAAGACTGTTGTCTGTCGTCCTGCTGGCGAGCCATGCTAACCACCGTTTGTTGCTAGGAGCGAATTTGATACCCTTGTCGAGCGTTGTTTTGCCTCCCCTCTCTTCCAGAAAGCCCTTGAAGACTTCGATCTGCCTGCTGGCTTCGAGGTGACAATCGAGCCCTGGCCCTATGGTGGATTGGACTACACCGACGAGCCGCGCCGCTACTTCCAGGGGCTGTGCTTTGCGACCAACAAGAGCACGAACAACCCCGATGCCAATTTCTACTCCTACCCGCTGCCTTTGATCCCGGTGATGGATGCGCTGACCCAGGAGATCATCCGGGTCGACCGTCCGGCCACTGGTGGCAAGGGCGACGGCCTCACCCAACAGACTTTCAAGCGTGACATCATCGGCCACTGCAAGGATTCTGACTACGTGCCAGAGCTGGTCCCTGGCGGGATGCGCAAGGACCTCAAACCGCTCAATGTGGTGCAGCCGGAGGGCCCCTCCTTCAAGATCACCAACGAGTCGCTGGTCGAATGGCAGAAGTGGCGGTTCCGCGTCGCCTTCAACCCTCGCGAGGGTGCCACCATCCACGATGTGTGGTACGATGGTCGCAGTGTTATGCACCGTCTGAGTATCAGTGAGATGGTGAGTCGATTGGCTGGATGTTGGAGACTTTCCGAGTGCTGACTGCAATAGACTGTGCCGTATGCCGACCCCAGACCTCCCTTCCATCGCAAACAGGCCTTTGACTTTGGCGACGGTGGTGGTGGCAACATGGCCAACAACCTCTCCATTGGCTGCGACTGTCTAGGTGTGATCAAGTATTTTGATGCGGTCATGACTGGTGCAGATGGTAAGGCGCAGAAACTGCCTAATGCGATTTGCTTGCACGAGCAGGACAATGGCATCGGCTGGAAGCACTCCAACTGGCGCACGGGTCGCGCCGTGGTCACCCGTCACCGCGAGCTGGTGGTGCAGTTTATTATCACGCTGGCCAACTATGAGTACATCTTCGCCTACAAGTTCGACCAGTCCGGCGGCATCACCGTCGAGTCGCGCGCAACGGGTATCCTGAATGTGGTGAACATCGATGCGGGCAAGACGAGCGACTACGGCAACGTGGTCAGCGGGGGTGTGCTGGCGCAGAACCACCAGCACATCTTCTGTGTCCGCATCGACCCGGCCATTGACGGAAACAACAACTCGGTGCAGGTCGAGGAGTCGCACCCGGTGCCGATGAACGAGGCCACCAACCCCATGGGCAACTACTACAAGGTCACCAACGAGACGGTGGAACGGGCGGGCTGGCTGGACGCAGCTCCGGACCTGAACCGCACGATCAAGATGGTTAACCCTCACAAGATCAACCCCATCAGCCAGAAGCCGGTGGGCTACAAGTTCATCCCTCTGGCGACGCAGCGGCTGTTGGCCGACCCAAACTCGATCCAGGCTCGGCGGGCGCAATTCGCCCAACACCATGTCTGGATCACTAAGTACCGCGATGGAGAGCTGTACGCTGGAGGCCGGTACACCCTGCAGAGTCAGGAGGAGATCGAGGGTGTTTCCGACGCGGTCAAGCGGGGCGAATCGGTCAAGGACACCGATGTGGTGGTCTGGAGCACGTTTGGCATTACGCACAACCCGCGTGTTGAGGATTGGCCTGTGATGTAAGTTCGCCTAGACATTTTGGGGATTATGGATTGTAGATACTAACGAGTGACAGGCCGGTCGAGATCTTCCAGCTTATGATCCGCCCTGCGGACTTTTTCACAGCCAACCCCTCGTTGGACGTGCCCTCGGACCGCAATGTCTCGTCGCGGATCGTGGATAAGGAATGCTGCCGCAAGGCTCACATTTAGGGTGGGGTGCATGGGATGCATGATTTATGATACGAACTGAACTGTATATATATTGACGTTGTCTATTCAAAATAGTTGGTTGATCGGCACGTTTCCATGAGGTCCCTAGTAGCCTAGTAGTTTTGATTGAAGAAAGGTGGGGCATGCAGGGCTGATATAAGATTGCTGCCTAGAGTCTGGATAGTTGCGAATGACGACTTAAATTGATCGTCGATAGTTGCAGCGTCGAGAAAAGAATGCAGGTAATCAAGCTCCCCCGCCAGCCTCGGATTTGCTCGGAACGACGGGAGGCAGGCGAAATTCCCATTCCGCGGTCCCGTCGCCCGCGCCCCCGATCGCTTTCCGAACTTTTCTTCCTCACCCTAACGCTGGACTTTCTCATCTAGATTGCATGCAAGACCCTGCTGTACACGATTCGGAACTCGGTATCGTGTTATGATTCTTGGGGTTGTATGATTGTCGCTATATGTGATACCGAGATCAACACTTCTGGAAAAAGGTGATCCATCCGATGGATACCGAACAGCACCAGCACCAGCACCCGCAGCACCAGCATGCTAAGCGAGAGCTAGACCGAGGGGGAGGAGCAGAAAAAGACAAGCAGCAGTCCCCGGAACCCCCTCGGAGCAAGAAGCGGGCTAAATATACGTCGGTTGCTTGGTAGGTAGTCCTTCCCTCCTCTTCTTTTGTATTTTCTTGTTCTTTTCCCCTTTTGACTTTGAGCAAGGGGTCGAGGGAGCATGGACTCTACGCTACACTAACATGCGCATACTTGCTCCCCCCCCACAAACACACACATACACACATGCACAAACCACCCCCTTCACCACTTCTTCACCACGCCATCATAACCACTGCACCCCGCAAATCAAACCATGCTATAGCCACGGCTAAAAGAGGACAGCAACGAATGCAAACGCCGCAAACTCAAATGCAGCGGCGAGACCGTCTGCTCGCGCTGCGCGCGTGACCAGGTGCGCTGCGTCTACGCGCCCAGCGTGCACGCCGTGCACGCCTTGCCATCCTTGCACGCGGCGCACTCGATGCATGTTGATGGGTCTGGGTCAGGGACGGGGGCGGGGGCGGGGGCGTATACTTCATTGCCGAATACGCCGAGGCCTAGGGAGGAGGATGGTGTTATGGATCGGTGGGTTGATTCTTTGGTTGCGGGGGTGTTGTGGGTGATGCTGACTCGGGTAGGATCCTGTCGACGCGGTTGCGCACGGTGGATGCGCAGATTGAGGCGCTGCAGCGGGAGATGCGGGCTTTGGTGGGGAGGTTGAGGGTTTTGGAGGGGAATTCCCCAGGGATGGGGATGGGAGCCACTGCTGTTGGTGGTGGTGGTGGTGGTGGTGCTGCCGCCGTAACAACCCCCGCCAACCACATCCCCACCGCCGTCTCGACCGTCTCCTCCACCTCGGCCAGCGCGGGCCTCCATCGCATCATGAACCGGCCCAAATCGCCGACGTATATTGGTCCCACGAGCGCGGAGTTTGGGATTGCAAACAGGAAGCAGTCGCATGCGGGGGAGGCTGAGGAGGAGGAGGATGAAGAAGATGAGGACCTGGAATCCACCGCCGCGCCGAGTCCCATCCCCGTTGCCGACGGCGAGGGCGATCCGCTCCGATGTCTGGGGTCGACCGAGGCGTTGCGCCTGGTGACGGTCTACGAGCATACGGTCGGGCTTATCTATCCGTGCGTCGATCTGGACAGCGTGCGCGCGTATGTGGTGGATTACTTTCGCGACGATCTGTCGAAGTCGCCGGCTGTAGGGGTCGGAGGCGGTGCAGAGGATGATTGGTTCTTTGCGCGCGATGCGGAGGTGTTGAAGATTCTTCTGGCCACCGCGTTGTTGGCGGAGTCGCATGGAAGGAGTGAGCGCGCGGCCCTTTTGGCAGATCGCGTGGAGGATCAGTTCGGGATGCGTATGAAGGTGCCGGAGGTCGATATGAAGGAGTTGTTGATTTTGGCTTTACTTGTGAGTTACTTTCCTGGACGGTGCTCGGACAAGTTGCTGATACTCCCTGGGCAGTCGATCTTCCACTCCTACCGCGACGACGAGGTCATCGCCTGGCGCACCATCGGACTCGCTGTGCGCGGCTCCATGCAGCTGGGTCTGCACTGCCAGGAGACCTGGCAGAAGACCGGGGGTGTGTTTCCTGGGGAGCTGCACCGCACCTGGGCCAGCCGCCTGTTCTGGTGCATCTACGTGCTGGACCGCAAGTGGTCGTTCGGCACGGGGCTCCCCTTCGCCATCCAGGACGCCGACATGGACACCAACCTGCCCGAGCCCGACACGACCACCCCGTACCTGACATGCATGATCTCCTACGCGCGCCTGAGCTCCAAGATCTGGGGGCTAGTCGTGGGCTGGCGCACACGGCCCCGCGCCGCCACCACCGACTACTGCGCCTACCTCGACTTCCAGGTCCAGCAATGGATCCAGTCCATCCCGCCGGAGCTGCGCTTCGACCCGGCCCACCGCGCCACGGCGCGGGGCGACTCGCCGACCCACGCGGACAGCATGATGACCCTGCAGGTCCTGCTGGCGCTGCAGGCCAACCAGCTGCGCATCCTCGTCTACCGCCAGTACCTGCTGAGCGGCGAGAGCATCGAGGACAGCGTCGCGGGCGCCTCCATCGCCGTCGAGACCGCGAAGAGCACCGTCCACATGCTGGACTACTTCAGTCGCGTGTCCGAGATCTACTACCAGCGCCCGGAGCCGTTCAACTACTTTCTCATCTCGGCCCTGGCCGCACTGTTTCTGGCCGTGCTGCACGGCCCCGCCCGGTTCTCCCAGGTGTGTCGCCCGGAATTCTACAAAGCAGTGGAGATGGTGCGCCGGTCATCCACAAGAGCACGCACTTCGCGCCGCCTCCAGAAGATCATCCGCAGCTTGAAGATCATCCGCTTGAACCTGGGGAAGGAGGCGAAGCTTCACCCGTCCCCGAAGGGTGGAATTCCCAGAGAGATGCCCGGGGAATACGCACAGGGATACACTAACATCCATGTCCCCTCGATCCGAACCGGACCAGAGGGTCAGACGCGGACGCAATTGCATCCGCAACCCACGCAGAGCTCGTCGCATGGAGTGTGGTCGTTGGCGTCGACGGCGACGGATTCCACGCCTGCTGTGGAGAACGGGTGCGAGGATCTGACGACTTTCTTCGAGATGGCGGGCGGGCTGTACTTTGATCCCAGGGTGCAAGCGGGCGGGGAGGGCGTGGCGGTGTTGGCCGAGGGGTTCGGCGGGGAGTTGGCTGCTGAGGACGAGGCGTTGACGAGGGTTATGGCAGAACTTTTATAAGGATGTTATTGTTTGAACCGAGGGGGTCTGGGGGTCTCCCCCAGTATCTCTAAATTATATGAAGTGTAAGGATGTGAGGTGGTTACAGGAGTATGATAGACGAAGAAGGGGGTTGGGGTAGTAGCAACAGTGTACAGATTAGGTGGAAGTAGGTAAAAGGAGGGGGGTCTGGGGGTCTCCCCCAGTACATCTAAGCCTTGATCTACTAAACAGTGTATAAAGTTTCCATATTCGAATAGCTTGTCATCCGGTAGATCCCAATCTGAAATGATTCATGGAATCAATATACCCGAGGTATATCTATGCCATTACTCCGTAATCTTCAAAGTCAGCACTCCACCGGAGCTGCAGCTACACACTCAACATCAGCCACCCTGCTGCACCCCACATTTCACTCTGTAAGCCGACAACTGGTGGAACTCAATCTTGAACTCTCTTTTGCCCAATGCTTGTCCCGGTGGGATGACCAGTCACCATCATCCGAGGTGTCGATCTCGGAAACTCCGCGAAGTACTGTACAAGCTGATGAGATCATCGGACATGCGTGTGTTGCGGGCTTGACTACGGAACTTCAGGCACGTGCGCCTGCGCAGTTCTGCAGGATGACAGCCAAGGCGGGCAAGGCACAGCGACCGAGATGGTGTGCTCGGACAGCGATTGCATAATATGGCTGTAAGACCTTCCGTCTGCGCTTGTGGCGCATACTCCTGTTTCATACCTCACTAACACATTCTGGATGCCACATCCATCCATCCGACAGGTACGCTGCCGTTAAACCCCTTCATTTCCACCATTGTTTGGGTGCAATGTGCAAGCTACTTGGTATAGAACGGATTTCCACAGGCAGTCATGGGTCTTAACTGTATCGGTAAGACCGTATTCTCGGAATTAGTTGCATGCTTAACCTTGTGTGCCTCGGTCCTGCCAATCCTCGGCCAGCTTAATCTCAGCGCTATGCTCCACCGCAACTATTTAAAGATGGAACACACGGTGAGTTTGACAGCACAATAGTCGGTCCACGTGTTTCATCAATGAAGTGTACCGACTCGACTCTGCACGGATGCTTCCCCAAATGGATAAAATGCCGGCACACGGGCCTCTCCAACTGTCGATACGAGCAACTTGTAGAAAGGCTGAAGAATTGAGGCATGGATCTGTCTCTGTAGGATTGTCGGAATGGGACTTGTAGGAGTGTGCATGTAGATACCCCAGACTTTTGCAGACTTCTGCAGATATGGCAGTGCAAAGTGCAAGGCTGTGGTTAAACCGCCTGCCCACTACCGGATTACCCCACACACTAAGAGTGCCGACATGCACTAGTCGAGTCAGTCCCTCATCACTTGCCCGTCAACACTAAGGTACTCCTCCACCAGTCACCTGCAGCCAGCATCCCCCTCCGGGATTTTGCTATTTCCACTACGCCTTTTGAAACCTCCAAAGTATCACGGAGCCAGCTCCGTATCTTCTACTGTCTCAACTGTCGCCCCTGTCGACACACGCCGCACCGATCCGGCGGCACGACAACCCCTAAGCGCTGGACGATGGACAACCTATATAACGTCCAAGATGGCCGAAACCAAGCAAGAAACGATCGTCACACCTCAAACTCGCAATCACCATGTACTCCCTCCTCACGGCCCTGTCGGTGCCGCTCCTGGCCGGCCTGGCTCATGGCTACGCCAATCCTGGCTCCTGCTCCGGCTCCTGCAACGTCCATGACCCTGCCCTGATCGTCCGCGAGTCGGACGGCACATACTTCCGTTTCTCCACCGGTAACGAGATCTCCTATGCCTCCGCCTCCTCCATCAACGGTCCCTGGACCGCCATTGGATCTGTGGTGCCCGCTGGTTCCAAGATCGACCTGTCCGGCAACACTGACCTCTGGGTATGTCGCCTCCTCACATCCTTGCATTGGTGTATGGCTGCATGACAGCATGAATGCACACTGCATGGCTGTAGACTACATCACTGCTCACTGCTCCCTGCTCACTGCTCCCTGCTCACTGCACACTACACACTGCACACTCCACCATGCTAACCAGCGCAGGCCCCCGATCTTAGCTACGTCGATGGAACCTACTACTGCCTCTACTCCGTCTCGACCTTCGGCTCCCAGGACTCCGCCATTGGAGTGGCCTCGTCCACCACCATGGAGCTGGACACCTGGACCGACCACGGCTCCGTGGGCGTCGCCTCCTCCTCCTCCAAGAACTACAACGCCATCGACGGCAACCTCCTCGTGGACGGGAGCTCATACTACCTCCAGTTCGGCTCCTTCTGGGGCGACCTCTACCAGGTTAAGATGGCCTCCCCCCTCAAGACGGCCGGCTCGGCCTCCTACAACATCGCCTACAACGCGACGGGCACCCACTCGGAAGAGGGCTCCTATCTCTTCAAGTACGGCAGCTACTACTACCTCTTCTTCTCGTCGGGCACCTGCTGCGGCTACGACACCTCCCGCCCGGCCCAGGGCGAGGAGTACAAGATCATGGTCTGTCGCTCCACCAGCGCGACCGGCGGATTTGTAAGTGCTCGACGGAAACCCCGTTGAGGCGAGGCTGACCCGCGCAGGTGGACAAGAATGGCAATGCGTGCACGGAAAGTGGTGGCACAATTGTGCTCGCCAGCCACGGCACCGTCTATGGACCGGGTGGACAGTAAGACCCCTCTCCGGACGGACATGATGAAAATTGCTAACTGGAATAGGGGTGTGTACGATGACCCGACCTACGGCCCTGTCCTCTACTACCACTATGTCGATACTACCATTGGTTACGCCGATGACCAGAAGCTGTTTGGGTGGAACACCATCAACTTTTCGAGTGGTTGGCCTGTAGTGTAGGTGATTCAACTCGGGGTGAATCAAGTTGGAAATAGGTGGAATGTGGAATGTGGAATGTGGAATTACCGATGTAAATAGTTTAGTTCTGGTACTGCATCCCAATTCAAGAGTGAATCACTGTGCCAGCAATTCCCTCGTCCCTGCCTAAGGCGTCGCGGTCGCGCCTGCCGTTTCAGCCATGCCGCTGCTTCCCACCACATCCATCCACTTCTCCATCTCCCTCGTCAACACCTCAATCCCCTCCCCCATCAACTGCGTCAACGGTTTGTTCACATTGCGGCGAAGATGCTCATGCCAGGGATCCAGCACCAGCTTGTTGACATTGAACTTCGTGACTCCCACCTCGACGCATGCTCGACACAGCTCCGGGGGGAAGTCGTTCGTTCCGTGCAAGACGAGTCGCGCCCGTCCGTTCAACGTTCGACGAACCTGATGAAGCCTACACGAGTCAGTCCGGAACACCCAAGCCTCCCTCTCAGCGACCAACCGATCCATGTCCAACTGTGGCCCCCTTGGCCCGTACTCCCCATGCAGGTTTCCCACGCTGGGAGCCAGAAGATCAACGCCAGCGTCGATGAACTGTTCCACATCTTCTGAGGTGGTGAGAATTCCTACAGCTGCATTAGCATAGACTGACAACTGCGCCTGAGAAGGTACCCTCTAAGTCGCCCGTTCCCACAATCCCATCCTCTCCTCCTTCGATGCGCCCGGTCTCGGCCTCGACCGCGATTTCCCGCCCGTGACAATATTCTCGCAGCGCCCTGGTCTTGGCGAGGTTCTCTTCCTTCGCGTAATGACTCATGTCCACCATGATGGAATCGAATGGAAGGTTGTCCGCGACATATTGGATCTGCTCCGAATCCTGCGCATGGTCGAGATGGACCGAGACCAGCACCGAGGCGCTTCTTGCTGCAGCGGCGGCCGCGTGGATCAGCGACGGGGTTTGCTCGAGCGATGAAGGAAACAACTGCAGAATCAGCGGCGATCTGCGGTTCTCGGCCGCCCGCACAAACGCCGTGATGTGCTCAACATTGTAGCTGGCATGGTGAGCCTCCTATCCGGAACATATATCCCGCACCACTCACACAATGGCCGCCAGGACGCCATAGCGACCCTTCTCGGCCGATGCCAAGATCTGCAGCGTTCGATTCTGCCCCCGCCAAGTCATTTTGGTTGGTGGTGATCGCCCTCGATGACCGGCAGATTTTCGCCGGGTCCAACAATGCTCATTGTCCCTGTCCAGTGCGTCTCACAGTCGGCGATATAAAAGATTCTAAATTTATGCTTAACTGTTTGCAGCAACACTTAGTCAGTCAGTCACAGCTAAACTAGCAACCCCTCCCGACCGCATGACATCGTGCATGCACCCCGACCATGGTTGACCCCCTACCTCGATACGAGTCAGTCCCTTACCCTTCCGTGAGCTTCCACTGGCCGAATCTCAACCACTGCATTGGCTGACGAAAGGTGGATTCCTGTTCGGCTTTTTTCGCTGGCTCCACTCCCGCGTGAGTCGGCAATCGTTGAACCTCGACGCGATCTGTCACCCCAGCCCACCCCAAATTGTTCCAGCTTCCACCCCCTGTTTTTGCCCTTGATTATTATTTTTGTGTACGGTAGCGCAAAGGCTGCATATTGCCGCTCATGCTTCCCGGATGATGTGAGTGAGGCAACATGGCCGATGCTACGCAAGGGAGTTCGCGTGGCATTCGGAAGCCGCGAAAATCCCGCGGCCGTGGATTGCGGGCCACCACTGGATGGTCAGTCTTCCTAATAATCCTTCCGATCCGTCTGAGCACTGTTTCTCAATCCTTTCCGCCTGTCCGACCGACTGTACTGATGGTAAAAGTCTGATCTGCAAGAAGCGTCATGTCAAATGCGACGAGGTTCGTCTTCCGACCAATCTGCGGTCTGCTTGTTGCTGACATGAACGCAGGCTCGCCCACAATGCGGTCCGTGTGCCAAAGGCAAGCGTGACTGTGTCTATGGCACTGGCACCACGAGTGATCCTCAACCTCCCAGCTCGGGACCAACCACCGCGCCTGTGCTCGCCATCCATGAAGCGCCCTCAACAGAGCGCCTGCCGGTGCGAAGTCAAGTGCATGAGCCCCTGCAGGTCTTGGTCGATGCTTGCCAGCATCAACGTCCCGCACCCGAAACAGGGCCCTTGGCTCGTCCCGCCCCCATATCAGCATCGCCAGGTGTCTCGACGAGCCAGACGCTGACACCGGCCTTCCCATCCCATCAAAGTACCCATCTCACTTCGCCACCGTCGACTCACGATTTAGCACCGTCTCCTGCAACCGATTCCTCCGTCTCCTCAAGACTAGCCCCTCTCAGCTGGTTCGAATTATTGGCTAACGATGCGGTCAATGCGGATCGCAGCCTGGTCCTGTCTCCTGCGCCGGGGGACTCGTACCGACCGGGAGACCATCCCACCGGAGTGGTATCCTTGAACAACTTTCTCCCACGCTCCAGGAGGGAGTGCGAGAGTTTTCAGGCGGCAGCTTTCAGACGCGACCCGGAGCTGGAGAACCGACTACCCACGTCAACCACCGACGAGCAGCCCGTCCGCCCCGATCACCCTTCCTCATGGTCCACCCCGGCTCCAATCGAGCTGACAGAATTGGAACACCTGCTCTTTAGCCACTTTGTGCGGAATGTGAGCCGCTGGTTCGACTTCTACGACCCGGGGCGCCACACAGCGGCGATAGTCCCTCAGCTTGCCGTAAGAAACACGGGGCTGATGAAAGCCCTCCTAGCTCTTTCGGCCCGCCACCTGTCGATTTGGCATGCGCGAAAAGACCAAGGGCGGGGTGCTGGTTTCGTTATCCCTGGATCGTCGAAAAATTTTGCGGATTTCCCGGCTGTGGATCGCCACCTTGCCGTTCAGTATTACTATGAAACCTTGAATTACCTCAACAAAGCGATGCAGTACCCGAGCTACGCGTCCAGCCGCGAGCTGATATCGACTGCCTTGCTGATCAGCACGTATGAAATGGTGGATGGATCCAACAGTGACTGGGAACGACATCTGAAAGGGGTATTTTGGATACAACGATTCCAAAATAACAACGGCGACTGCGGTGGCCTGCGCCAAGCGATCTGGTGGATTTGGCTGCGACAAGATGCCTGGGTCGCGATGCGCCACCGGCGGCGGTTGTTCAGTTTCTGGAAACCCGAGCGGCCCATCTCCTCCCGGACCGCCCCCGAGCTAGCTTGCTTTGCATCTTATCTGCTTGCCCAATGCATCAACTACGCCTCTCAGGAAGAAACGATGTCGAAGGACATACAGAGCCGGCTGGAAAGAGGTAACGAATTACTCTGTATGCTGCAGGAGTGGCAGGATCACTTGCCGGCGGAATTTAACCCCCTTCCCACTGTACAGTACACGGATGTCTTCCCACCCATATGGGTGCATCCTCCCCCGTACGCAGCTGCTCTGCAGATCCATAGCCTCGCTAAAATCCTTGTTATCTCCCATCGCCCCCCGACCGGTGACTTCCAGGACTACCGGGCGGCACAGAAAATCCTGACGACCGCTGTGAACACGATTTGCGGCATTGCGCGGACCGTAGCGGAAGACGAGCTTGCCGGTGGACTCGCGGCGCTTCAATGTTTATTTGGGGGTAAGCTCCCTCTCCCGGTGCGAAGGGCGACTCACTGACTCATGTAGCGGGAATGAGTGTCCACGCTCCCCATGAACGAACCGCACTACTGGATCTGATCGACAAATTCGAGCGGCTAGTGTGCTGGCCCAGTTATTCGCTTCGGGAGACCCTCGCGGCGGAGTACGCCAAAGAGAGCCTGGCTGGATCCGTGGGATAAAGTTCTCGGGTTGGACCTCGGCAATCTCCCTAATTGATCACCACGGCCGATCCTCGGCTATCCACTCCCCCACATGGCTTGCGACAGACACGCCGTCATACCAGAGAAGACCCATCACGCCAGGGAAAGAAACTGAATAGTGTGGCTCGGGCTATCTGATTGTGGCTGATCTTACCTTCCAAACCCATTCTTGAGACCTCCGGGTCCGGGTCAACGGAATCAACTCGGGTCAAGATTTGGAGACCATCTGCGTGGACACTGACCATGCAGGTGTTGTGTGAGACTTGGGATGAAACTGTGTGCCCACGATCGACTGTACAATAGAATGAGCTACGATGTATGAACGGATAGACCCTTGTTGGACGTGGTCGCGCGTTTATACACGCCGATGGCTTAGAGACTGAGTATTCTAGTCTAGAAATCCTATTTCTGGGTCTGGGATGTACGTTACACACGACAGAAAATACCAGTAGGTAGCATCCAGTCAATCGTCACTGTAGTGACTGTAGCGATGGGTGGCTAGCGTTTCGTAAGGCTCGAGATCTCTACCTCGAGCCGAGGCGTCGGCGGACCCGGAGTCGATCCCCGATCGCGGGGAATTCAAGTGATTGCATTCTCCGCCCTACGGCGCAGCGAGCAGCGAGCCAGGGCTACGTGGACACGGACCCAGTGGACGTGACGTCAACGTCAAATCTAACGTTAGCCGTAGCAGACCATTTGCTGGACTAGTAGCCTCGAGTCGAAGTCGACAGTGGTGCTTTATCTCGCCACGTCGGAGGGACATATCTGTGAATGGTTCCCAGGTCAGCGCAAGCAGTGGGTACAGGTCCTCAGGGTTGACCTTATCCTACAAAACTTGAATTTCACTCCTCGCTCGCACAGCGACCGCAACACCACCATTCCACTCCCGACCGATCCGCAGAGTCATACCTCCATGGCGTCCTCCTCCAATGCCCACCCCCCTCGCGACGAGGCCCCACTGACAGAGACACCCTCACCCACCCCACCGTTCGTCAGCACGATGCCCCCCGCCGACTTCAGCTGGCAGATCACCCTCGCCGGCAAAGTCATCGCCATCACCGGCGCCAACCGCGGCATCGGGCTGGGTATCGCGGAGGTCTGCCTCGCCAACGCCGCCCAGCACGTCTACTCGCTGGACCGGATGGAACCCGGCGAAGAGACGCGGGCGCTGCAGCAGCGCTACCCGAACTTCCACTGCTTAGAGGCGGACGTGACCTCCGAGACGAGCGTGGCGACGGCGCTCGATCGCATCGTCGCGGCGACGGGCCGCCTCGACGGGCTCGTCGCCAACGCGGGCATGACGCAGCACCAGCCGGCGTTGCAGTTCGACCGGGACGAGGTGGAGCGGCTGTTCGGCTTGAACGTCTACGGATCTTACTTCTGCGCCCAGATCGCGGCCCGCAAGTTCCTCGCGCTGGGCATCAAGGGCTCCATCGTCATGACGGCCAGTATGACCTCTTACCGACCGAATCGCGTACGCTACGATCTGCCCTAGACATGTCCGCATCCGTCGCGCTAATTGAAGATGTGTAGGCTGCCCCGTCCGCGCCCTACGGCGCTACCAAAGCGGCCGGTGAGTTTTCTGCGCACCCCAGTCTTCCAAGCCACCAGCTGATTTGGATGTGTGGGGGCAGTGCGCAATATGTGCCATACCCTCGCGATGGAATGGAGCCCCCATGGCATCCGGGTTAACAGCGTCTCCCCCGGGTTCGTGCGCACCGCCATGACTTACTACGTCGAGACGGCGCCGGACTGGGCCCGCAAGATGGAGAACTACGGGGGTATGCCGCGGCTGGCCGACCCGCGCGAGCTGGGCGGTGCGTATGTCTATCTGTTGAGTGATTGTAGTTCGTATACGACGGGGATTGATATTCCGGTTGCGGGGGTGGTTGGGGCTTGGTAGTTTGGGGATGAGATTGGGAGGGGAGGGTGAGGGTGAGGGCGAGGGTGGGCACAAGGCTGGAGTAGTTGTGGTTGTGGTTGTGGTTGTGGTTGTGGTTGTGGTTGATTATTTTGGTAGTGATCATCAGGGTACAGTCCAGTACAAGACTATGACTCTTCTAATGCAGTCCTGCATGTGTGAATGCCAGGGGTCCAAGGCGAGCCAAGAAGTAAGCGGCATGGCTGTTCGTATTCCGCTGGCCTATCCGCGACGACGGCGGGGGTGCGTCCAGCCTCGCACGCGGAACATCCACACGCCTTGTTTTGCGTCAGGGTCTGGGGCGTGAGCGGTTTGTCACTGGCCGTGCTGTCGGATACGGGGTGAATGCCTCGAAGGCGAAGACAGCCGATAGGATGGGGGTGGTTCAAGTGGTTGCAGGGCAATGTTGGCCCTCACATGATGTCTGGCATGTACTGTGCCCTACCCTGGTCGGCGCTGCGGCTGAATCTACCCACGCTGTGTCCTTCATCTCCTCGATCCCCCCCCCCTCTTCAGCTCCCTCCGTCATCCATCTAGACCAGACCTTTAATGTAATCCCATCCTTATCACCAGGTTTCATGGCGCAAGAAATGGACAACCACGAATTCCCCTTCCTCGAGGAGGTCTTCACCCCGACGGGACCGCCCAAGATCGAGTACCTCCCCCTTCCCCTTCGTCTTCCCATTAACCCCCATCCACGGGAGAGAGTGACGTGTTAACAAAGCGAACAGCTTCGTCTTCGTCCACGGCCTCAACCCCCGTGGTCGTGTCGACCACCCCTACGAGACATGGACCCACGCCAACGGCACCTTCTGGCCCCGCGACTACCTGCCCCAGGACATCCCCCAGGCCCGGGTGTTTGTGTATGGGTATAACTCCAACATCACCAGTCCACAGAGCATGTCCACCGCCGGCGTGAAGGATCATGCCAATACGTTGTTGAATTTGTTGGATTTGGAGCGGGATCCGAATATGGTATGTGCGCTTGTCTGGTTGGGACTGTAGTTGGGAGGGGATGAATTGAGGCTGGGTCGAGTGGGGAAGGGAACTACTAAGGCTGTGCTGACTTGGGTAGAATGTACGACCGCCGAAGATTATCTTCGTGGGACATAGTCTGGGAGGGTTGGTGATCAAACAGGTGCGTTTCTCGTCATCTCCTGTGCTGGGACCATCAGGCGTGGCACTGAGATTGTGTGCTGATGTTGCCGTGGGCGCTGCAGGCCCTCTTGAACGCCCACGAAGACCCCAAGTACAATGCCATCCGCAACAACACCTACGGGCTGGTCTTCTTCGGAACCCCCCACCGCGGCACCAAAGGCGTTGAACTCGGCAAGATCGCCGCCAAGGTGGCGCGCTTCGTCGCCAAGGGCCATGCCAGCAACGACCTGCTCGACAGTCTCGAGCACAACTCGCTCTTCACCCGGCAGATGACGAGTCGCTTCTCCCACCAACTGGAGGATTACCGGGTGATCAGCTTTGTGGAGGGGAAGGAGGTACTCCTTGGTGGCGTGGGGCCTGCCTCTGTCAGTCATGTATGTATCCTTTTGAACCTGTCGACTCGGTCTCGACGGACTTGCATCGAAACTGTCCAAATATCACGTGCGCTGATGTGTCCAGCTCGTCGTCGACGAAGAATCCGCCGTGCTGGGCCTCCCCGGCCAGCGCGAGACCCGCCTCAAGCTCGATGCGGACCACTCGCAGATGTGCAAGGTGGGCGCCCGCGGCGCCATGTACAAGATGATCAAGGGCAACATCAAGCAGATTGCCGACCAGGTCCTGGCCACCGAGCAGGGGTACATCCCGTCCGCCTCCCGTACCACCACGACCTCCCCACACCCCGCACCACCGCCCATCCCGCCCCGCCTCCCCGTCAACAGCAGCATGCCCTACCCCTCCCCGCCGAGCCCCCCGCCCGGCCCCAAACGCGTCACCGGCGCCTTCTTCACCGCCGTCGACACCGACCCGCGCTCCCTCCAAGCCGCCGCCCTCAAGAACAACTGGCAGTGGGACGAGGCCCGCAAGCTCGAGTACGCCATCTTCCAGGAGCACCTGCGCAACCTGGGGGCGGACCACCACAGCACCTTGGAGGTGGGGTACCACCTGGCGGAGATCGACCTGGAAACCTCCTACTACCCGAAATCCGCCGAATGGGCGCAGTGGGTGGCGAGCAACGCGCAGCGCGTGTTCGGCGCCAAACACCCGCTGGCCATGAAGGCGGAGAGCCTGCTGGGCGAGGTGCTGGCGCACCAGGGCAAGGGCCAGGAGGCCGAGTCGGTGTGCGCCAACGTGCTGGCGCGCCAGCAGATGAGCATCGGCGAGGACGAGCTGGACACGCTCCTGACGCGCCGCCGGCTGGCCGTCGCGTACGGGGTGCTGGAGCGCCGCGCCGAGGCCGTGCAGGCGCTCGAGAAGCTGACCGAGCGGCTGCGCCACGTGCTCGGCCCCGCGCACATCCGCGTCTACGGCGCCCTGCTCGACACCGCCGAGCACATGGTCGCGCTGCGCTCCAACGACACCACGCAGCTGGTCGCGCTGCGCTTCACCCCGGCCGGCGACGAGATGGGCCAGGCGTTTGCCGCGCTGTCCCAGGAACTGACCCAGATGCTGGGCGCGTCGCACCCGCTGACCATCAAGAGCGTGCGGCTGCTAGCCGCAAGCCAGATGCTGGAGCCGGACGGCACGGCCGCGGCGTCGGAGACCTTCCGGCGGGCGCTGGCCGCCAGCGAGGAGGTGTTGGGCCGCGAGCACCCGGAGACGATGGCGATCGTGGCGCTGATGGGGGTGATGTATGCCTCGCAGGGCCGGATCGGGGTGGGCGCGTTCGTGGGCGCGCACCGCTCGCACACGGAGCTGGCCGTCCCCTGGCTGCTGCGGTATCTGGGGTGGTGCGAGACGCGCATGGGCGTCGACGGCGTCGAGGTCCAGTCCGTGCTGGACATGCTGGCCAAGCTGTACTTCGAGGCCCGGGATTACGTCCAGAGCCAGGAGTACTACGAGCGCCTGGAGCGGAGCTATCGGGCCGCTGGGCGGGCGATGCCCGAGCAGAGTGCGAATTGGTTGCAGCTGTGTCGCATGAATACGCGGTATTTGACCCCGAAGAAGGAGGTTGGGTTGCAGGGGCTGTTGAGGCAATTTCAGCGGATGTAATCCTTTTCTGATTTGTGAGGGGTTTGTTGCGTTGTTGCGTTGTTGCGTTGTTGCGATAGGTGGGAATACCATGTTGATAGTGAAATACGTTTTTTCTTTCTTTCTTTCTTTTTTTTTTTTTAGAGAGAGAGGTTATCGTACAGATGGCATGAGAAACCAGCAGGTGCATATATGCGGAGCAAGTATGAGATATGCACGAGCCAGAGCATTATCACGCTTGCATAACTGCTGACTGCTGCATACTCACTGCATGCGGTGCCATCCCCCTGAAACAGCTGATAGCATTAGCCTCGACAAGCTTTGATGTCGCGCCCAATAGGATCCAGTACCATTCGGTGAATTGATGCATATTTTCACCCGAAAATTTAGGTTCTTATGTAGCCGGAAGCTCCTCCTGCACGCGGGAGATATATTCCCGAGGTAGGCCGAACCACAAGGGTATTCTGGTCGGGCATTTTCAGATTTAAGCTTTGCGCGATCGAGATTTACCGATGTTGCTTGGGCCAGGGATTATCCTGTGCCATGGCATCGCTGTTCGGGTGGGGAAGATCCTCGAGGTGACGATGCACCCCGGTGGAGGGCTGCAATGACGTATGATTTCTGGCCCAGTATCTCTTCCACTTGACGTATTTACTTAGTTTCAAGTGACGGATCTAGAACGTACGACCTGAGCAGGTTTGTTCCCTATGCGTTAAGTGGATCTGAAATCTACACCAAACGCAACCACTGACCCCGAAAAAATGTCGGCTCAACAGTAGATACTACGACAACAGACTACGAAAGGGACAAGCAATCAATCCAAAATTGTATTATGGTAGTCCATTCAAGGAGCGATTATCGTAGGGCAGGCCCTATCCTATCATATGTGTATCATACAAGCGCAATCCGCGTCGTCATAAGATTATCATCATCGCACATCATCGACATCATCGACATCATGCAGAGCACCTAGTTGGAGATCTTGTCGGGAACGTTGCGGCTAGGCTGGATTAGCTTGACCCTTATTGAAGCGGGAAGAAAACTTACCCGGTAGAGCTCTCGAACTTGTTGCGCGCAAAGTCGGTGGCCTTCTCGTTGGTGGAGCGCAGCTTCTGGGGGTCGGCGCCGAATCGGCTCTCGATGTTGTCGACGCCTGTTGTTGATTGTCAGTGAGGGGGTTCAGGAGTGGGTAGGTGCATTGCAGATGCAAAGCAAGTCAAAGGCAGAAGCAGGAATTGGCAAAGTCAAGGACCCACGGGACAGTGGTGAAACACGTACCCTTATCGACGTAGTCTTCCTGGTTGTTGTTGTTGCTGTTGCTGCCGCTGCTACCGTGGCTGCCGCCGAGCTTGGATGCGAGTCCGGAGAGTTTGTCCATTGTGGTTAATGTATGGTTTGTGAAGTTGAGTAGCTGATAGTGCTGTGGTAGCTCAGTGATAGACTGAGGATCAATTCACTGCTTTATATGTGCAGTGTATCGTTGGGATCGGCAAAGGTTGCAATGGTGGTGATGTCATGGAGATGGTGGGTGACGCTGGTGACGCCATTTATGCTATGCACCGCATAAAAGGATTATGCCTCTTGGCTGACATCGGGTTGACATCAGCTGCACTTATGTCAGCTATGCACCGCCACGCTTATGCACCAACCATCGGCACCAGCCACAGCCCAAGAGACCCCGCTGAGTCAGCGCCAGTCGCTCGGGTTGCCCGATTGGGCATGGACCACTGGGCACCTGGCATTCTCTTCTCCTCATTCCCACTTTTGTTTTGTTGATTCCACGCACGAACACCCAATCTCCCCCCATCTCCACTGTTGTTCACTGCTTTCAGGGGTTGAGGCTCCCTAGTCTCTCTAGTGCTGTTCGCCTGTTCTCCTCTACATCCTCCTCTGTCCTTCGTACTCGTTAACTACTCCCTCTCATTCGCTTATGTCCGTCCATAGCCGCCCACACTGCTGGCACTCTGTCTGGCTGGATCCAGGTGCTGGTCCGTGACATCATGATCGAATACATAAACATCCCCATCCAGGGATAACGTCGGAGCAATGCTGCTGCCTGCGGTTCCGATGGAGCTGGCGGACTCACTGCCACTCCGGTCCCAATCACAATCTCTTGGTCGCAAGTTTCTGACCCCTTGGGCAGTGCCAGCCGGCAGTCGGCTTCTAGCCGATTAGTGAGCAGTCATGCAGACCCATCTTTCAGCTCAATTTCTTTCGGCCCCAGTGGAGCTGCATCGCCCAAGGCTTTCCGGGGGGTCCGCAGATCGCCTGGTGTTCTCGAAGAATATAAGGGAATTGGGCATTTCGCTTTTGCACCATTTTCCTTCCTCTTTTCTCGCGACTTGATCTGCCTCTTTCCTCCCCCCTTTACTGGTCAGGTTCCTCCCTGTCCGCACTCCCCTGTCGATCATGAAGCTGTCTCTTGCTGTCGCGGCAGCGGCTGGCGTCGTCCAGGCCGCCTCGCTGCCTCCTGCGGCGGTCGAGGTGGCTGTTCGGGCGCTTCCCAATGCCCCCGAGGGCTACACCCCCGACAACGTGACCTGCCCGTCCACCCGCCCCAGCATCCGTGATGCCGACAATCTCTCCACCAACGAGACCGAATGGCTCCAGGTGCGCCGCAATGTCACCCTGCAGCCCATGAAGGACTTTTTGGGGCGGTTGAACCTCAGCGGCTTTGACGTCGCCTCCTATCTCAACACCCACGCGAGCAACATCTCCAACATCCCCAACATTGCCGTCGCCGCCTCGGGGGGTGGCTACCGGGCGCTGACGAACGGCGCGGGTGGCCTGAAGGCCTTCGACAGCCGCACGGAGAACTCCACCAACACCGGTCAGCTGGGTGGTCTGCTGCAGTCTGCTACCTATGTGGCTGGTCTGAGCGGTGGTAGCTGGCTGGTCGGGTCGATGTTCGTCAACAACTTCTCCTCCATCAGCGAATTGCAGGCCAGCGACCGGGTCTGGGGTTTCTCCAAGTCTCTGCTCGAGGGCCCTAACTATGACACCATTCAAGTCCTGAGCACCTACGAGTATTGGAAGACCATCACCGACCAGGTGGACGGGAAGTCGGGGGCCGGTTTCAACACCTCCTTCTCGGATTACTGGGGTCGTGCCCTTTCCTTCCAGCTGGTCAATTCCTCCCAGGATGATGGCGGTGCTGACTACACCTGGTCCTCCATCTCCCTGATGGACGACTTCAAGAACGGCCAGTACCCCATGCCCATTGTCGTCATGGATGGCCGTAACCCCGGCGAGGTCATTGTTGAGAGCAATGCGACGGTCTACGAGGTCAACCCGTGGGAGTTCGGCTCTTGGGATCCGTCTGTCTATGCCTTCGCTCCGTTGCAGTACCTCGGTTCGAGGTTCGAGAACGGCAGCGTGTCGGAGAACGGCACCTGCGTGCGTGGCTTTGACAATGCCGGTTTCATCATGGGCTCCTCCTCCACTCTCTTCAACCAGTTCCTGCTGCAGATCAACAGTACCGACATCCCCACGATTTTCAAGAATGCCTTGACCGACATCCTGGAAGACCTGGGTGAGCGGGGTGACGACATTGCCGTGTACTCCCCCAACCCCTTCTACGGCTACCGTGAGGCTAGCGAAGATTATGCCACCGCTGCCACCTTGGATGTTGTCGATGGTGGTGAGGATCTTGAGAACATCCCATTGCACCCGCTCATCCAGCCCGAACGTCACGTGGATGTGATTTTTGCTATCGATTCTTCTGCTGACACCGACACTTACTGGCCCAATGGAACCTCGCTGGTGGCCACCTACCAGCGCAGCTTGAACAGCTCCGGTATTGCCAACGGCACCGTCTTCCCTCCCGTCCCGGATGTGAACACCTTCGTCAACCTGGGCCTGAACAAGCGCCCGACCTTCTTTGGCTGTGACCCGAAGAATCTCTCCGGTCCTGCTCCGCTCGTCGTGTACTTGGCTAACTCGCCCTACACCTACGAGTCGAACTTCTCCACCTTCAAGCTGACTTACTCGGACGAGGAGCGCGACAACGTCATCACCAACGGCTACAACGTGGTCACCCGCGGTAACGGGACCCTCGACTCGAACTGGACCTCTTGTGTTGCCTGCGCCATCCTGCAGCGCTCGACCTACCGCACCAACACCACCCTGCCGGACATCTGCACCACCTGCTTCAACGACTACTGCTGGAACGGCACGACCAACAGCACCGTGCCGACGGAGTACGAGCCCACCCTCTACCTGACGACCAGCGGCTCGAGTAAGAGTATGCTGCACCGCTCAGCGGCCGGTTTGGCCTTTGCGGTGACTATGTTTTTGGCTTATTAGATGGGAGTGATTTTTGAGATGGAGACTTCATGTACAAACGTTGATAGTTATGGATATCTGTTGATAGTAATGGATCGATGAAGACACGATTGATTTTTGTACTGCTTTGGTGGTTGGAGATGAGGTACATCTCAGGTACATCTCGAATGAAGATTTCGGTGTTATGTCTTTTGAGATCCGGCACGCTTCTACTGACGTCATGGGCGTCAGCACCCTAGATCTGTGTTTCTCAACCATGTCCTGCTCAATTTGGGATTGTGTTTCATCTCCACGGATGTGTATCCTTTCATTAAACAAGAAAGAGGCACCGGAGATACCAATCTTCATACATGACGGCTGGTTTAGTTCAGCAGCCCCAGCCATTGTATATCAAATTGAGCACGATACACTTCGAATGTCTTCTAATAAAGCTGATAAGGTGCATCGCCTAGGGATAGATCCCCAAACGCCGCTCGATCGTCTTTTCACTCACCTTGTGAACAGAAATCAGACCATGCGACCGATGAGCCATGAGGCCAGCGACAAAGAGTAATGGATTATCTCGGTCGCCGGCATCACCAAACACCATCACAACAAAGACCTTCCTTATATTCTCCTTAACAGACAACACATGAGAACACTGAAAGACTTATGAACAAGAGCGCTTTCCTTCCCCCAACAAGCAGACATGCGAGATATAAACTCCCTTCTCCACATATCCCTCTTCCCCACCCATCAGCCAATATCCCATATCCATATCAAACCCAACGTCCCACAACCAAGACACATAACCAACTCCAAACAAAATGTCGCACCTCGCCCCCGAGATCCCCTGCTGGCGCGACCGCCTCACCAGCCGCCTACACCCGCTCGGCAACTACGGGCTGCTCGACATCGTGCAGCAAGTCCCGTCGGGCACGGATCCGACACACACAGTCGATATCCAGACCTTCGTGGCCTTCATCCGGGGCCGGCCGTTCTTGTGGTTCATCCATGGCCCCAGCACCGACCCCGGCTGGTACATCACCACGCTGCTGCTCTTCTGGCGCAGCGCGCTGGCGGACCCCAACTACCGGATCCCGGCGTCGATGATGCTGGCGGGCGGCGGGTGTCTCGGCGGCAACCAGGTCATGTTCTGGACGTTTGAGGCGCGGACTTCTGACTCTAGTGGCCAAGAAGGCGGGCAGCGCGTCGCGACCCGGTGGCAGCGGCAGGGCCGGACCCAGTTCGATTGGTGGGCCGATGAGTTCATCACCACGCGGTTCTTCTCTGATGTCGCCGACAATGCGAATGCCGTCGTTTGGCCGCCTCCACCTGCTGCTGGTCTGCAGGATCCGGAGGGAGAGGGAGAGGGGGAGAGTGCGCTGGAGTCTGAGGGAGGTGGTGATACTGCTACGCTCGTGGAAGTGCATCCCAGGCTGCGCGCGAACACGGTTTGAACGATAACAACGATGATGTGGGGAAACCCGCTGCTGCGGCGGAGACTTGGCATAGTTGCCCATCCACGGATTACTTCTCTGCGGAGTCGAAAGGAGGATAAATTGGTATTCTGGATAGCTCCTGTTCTGGGATTCTGTGTCGAGACTTGGTACTCCGAGCCATGGTGTTGCTATTGCTTCTCTAAGAAATAGGTGTTACACTTCTTGTTTACATTTGTACGCACTTTGATGTGACATTCCTGGTTTATCCTTGATACAGTTCATAGGCTTCGCGTTAGAATCTTGTTTGTTACTGGGAGGTTGTCGGGTACAGGGGATTGGGGTTCGATACACACCACGCCGTCTGCGCAGTTGGAAGAAAAAGGGAAGAGCGAACAAAAACGAAGACATGATTAGAAAGGGCAGAAGCAGACGGGCGGTAGTAGAAGAACCGCCAAGGGGGGGGGAAGGGCAGCATAGCCGCCGCCAGGGCGCGGTGACCAAGTGCTGTCATGCGGACCAGATTGTAGGGCTGGCCGCTGGGGTTGCTGATCGACGATGTCTGTACAATACAGAAGAACTGCTTGGATTCAGGGTGGACGGTGCTCGGATCGTACGGCACGAACTCGGACATACTGCCGCCGGTAGTCATCCCAGAAAGGCCGGCCTCAGAGGACGGGAGCACAGTGCCCATGGCGAACAAGGTAGTCAGATATCGGGAAGGGGGTTGGGAGAGGCGGGAAGAAGCTGGACAGAGCTGGACAGAGCTGGAGCCCGAAGAGAACTGTAGATCGCGGTGTACAGCGGGTCTTGTACAATGGTGCACCAAGCCTGATGGGAAGAAAGACAGAGAAGTTGACTGAGCAGGGGAGGAGAGGAGGAGGAGAGGAGGAGGGGAAGATGGATTGAATAGACGAGAAGCGGCGGACGGAAAACCAGACTGGTGCCTTGTTGGGAAGTGAACGCCTTGATCTGAAAGCCGTCCCTCTACAAAAACCTGGCTCCCTAGTGTTTCTTTCCTTGATAGCTGCACCACCCAGCAAGTAAGACCGTCTAGCAGGGCGAACAATATCTCTAGTTGATTTTGACCATGTCCTTGGCTTACTCTTCGTTGGAAAGCCCTGAAGTACATCTGCCAAGATAGGGCAACGGAAAAGCATCTCAAGCTGTGGTCAACAAAGCCCTGGTGCTAGCCAGAGTTTTCTTTTGGAAGCACGGCCGGACGCTTCAGAAGAGCTTTCGCGGGCTGGTGCGAGGGCTTATGCATTCTATTCTGTCTCAATGGCTGGAGCTCATACCTCTGCTGTTTCCCAAACAATGGCAGGCTGCTTTACGACCAGTAATTGATGATGACCATGAGGTATTTGCGGCATTTCGAAGTTGAGAGAAACGGACAGTGTTTATCTTACCCATAAAATAGCCGTTTTTATTGACGGCATAGACGAGTTTGAAGGGGACCGTGTCCATATGATTAAGCCCCTGAAAGATTGGATCTCTTGCAGGTCAGCCGAAGTCAAGATTTGTGTCTCTAGTCGAGAGGACATTGACTTTCAGGAGGCCTTCAGAACGGACCCGATGCTGTGGCTGCACGAAGTAACTCACGAGGATATTCTAAGCTTTGTCCAGCACCGTTTGAGCTCGAGCGAGCTATATCCCAAGCTGGGAACATCAGATCAAAGGAAGCGCCTTGAGATGGAGATTGCATACAAATCTGAGGGTGTTTTCCTCTGGGTCAAACTCACCGTCCAGAGAGTCGAGCACAGATTCTGAGTGGTGATGCCCTAGAAGATCTAAGAAAGCGCGTGGACTCGCTCCCCAACAAGTTGGAAGATCTGTTTATGGCCATATCTGTCGCCATAGATCGGGATGAGCCGAAATTAGCATAATCGATGATCCAGATGGCTCTCTATTGCCCGGAGGATTGGCCACTATTTCGCTTTTCATATCTACCGGAATATCTTGCGAACCGTAGGTTTGCGTTGACGAGAGACTGTAGTGTCAGCATGGCAGGTGTCAGTTCACGGCTGGATTCAGCCAGAAGGAGGATATATAGCAGATGTGGGGGACTCCTCGACATTCGTCCAATAAATATCTGGTCCGGCGACGATAAGAATAAGTGGATGGTGAGAGATCCAACCTTCAGTACCACTGCCACACTTATACCCACTGCCACACTTACACATCGATCGATCCATGAATTTCTGTCTAGCGAAGTGGCCAGAATGAAACTTGAGCGCTACACCAGAGACTTTGATGTCCTGGATGCATTGTGCCAAACCTTGTTAGCCCACATCCAAAGCGGCACCATGCCGGAAAATCACCTTGAGTGCTCGATCATTTTCATTCTATTTCTGTATGTGAAAGATGACGGAGTCCTTTCATCTGTACACAGCTTGATGGAAGGCTCTCTTGTGCAGCGTGACAGGTCCACTCAAGCGACCTTTTGCGCCTTTTTAGAGGCATTCCGTGATGTGTGTTGCCAACTCAACATATCCGAACCTCCTCGAGTATGTCTGCATTTCACAGAACACGGTCGCAACGAAGCCAAGATTGAGCGGCGAGATTGTTTTTGTATTGAGTCGCCCAATCATGGTTCCTGTCCTGGCGGCCTTATATGGCATGTTCTGGTATTTTAGTCCAAAGATCATGATGGCTCAGCTGATGGAGCATCTTCCGCTCGTCATGCATCCACTACGAATGTATGGGATGGTTGAAACGATCAGGGGATACTTGAAGCAGGGAGATTCGCTGCGCGACCCGTCCAAGTACGACTCCACCATCTCATACGGCGAGTATTTCCAACTTTCTGTTCTCAGCCGGTATTTCACGCGACAACGCTGGCGTCCGTTCCTGCCCCTCAAGGTAACCTAAAATCTTTGGAGCTCCGGGATGAAACACTTTTGGCGCAGGGAAGTCGGTGGCTCACTTGTCTTACCGAGAAGTTTGGGACCCGAATCTCCTTGCGACAACTTCTGGAGGTCCTGTTCCCTGCTCAATTTCTCACTGCCTTGCAGGAGCTAGTTGATTGGCATCTTGCACATGAGGAGACACTGACTTCAGAACAGCTGATTGAGATGAGAGAGCTCTTTGGACCGAAGGTTCAGCCTTTGCTCACTCTTGAGGCTATTGAGGAGCTATACTGGGAGGACTCTAACTGAATATTGCATTCGGCTTCCATTGACACTCGACGCTGTGTTATAGAATGTCAGGACAGAATCTACCACATTCTAACCGCTTTTCCATTTCGTTTCGGCGAAGTAACAAAAGTGCGCCGTTTTATCTATCGTGTAAGGGAGAGTAGAGTACGATAAATTCGATATCTGGCGCCCTGAGATAGGACAGACGATAGATTGATACCAAGAGCATTGTTTTGTATAGAATATGCAGCAAGCAATAGAGATATTTGTAGTGTCTATGCTCGCCATAAGTGTCGGGGATGACGCCAAATGAGGTTTCATTCCCCGCCCGATATCGCAGCTGCCGACCGGGAAATGAACCCCTCACTCATCTTATCATCTCCAACCACCGCATCTTCATTCTTCTTCCAACATGACTGTAGATACGCCCTCATTTACCGCTATTCCGGTCCTTGACTATGCTCTCGCCACTTCACCCGCCACAAAATCCCAGTTCCTCGCCAGTCTGCGCCATGCGCTGGTCCACGTGGGCTTCTTCTACCTCATCAACGCCCCGATCGCGCCCGCCGTCCGCGACGAGCTGATCAAACAAACCACCGCCATCTTCGATCTGCCGCTCGAGAAAAAGCTGGAGATTGAAATGGTCAACAGCAAGCATTTCCTGGGATACTCGCGACTAGGGGCCGAGACTACCGCGCGTCAGACCGACTACCGCGAACAATTCGATGTGCGCCTTCACCGATACACAATGAATTTACTGTACACTACTAACCAGTTTCGCCAGTTTGCGACCGAGCTCCCTCCCCCGAGTCCAGATGCTCCCCTCTACCGCAACATCCGCGGCCCCAACCAGGTGCACCCCCCAGACCACGACTCCCATCCAACAGCCCTAACTAACTGCACAGTGGCCCGACGAATCCGCCATCCCGGGCTTCCGCCGCGCCGTCGAGGCCTACCTGGCCGAAACCCATCCCCTAGCCGCCGCCTTCCGGGGCCTCATCTCCGAAGCGCTCGACATGGCGCCCACGGCACTCGACCGCTTCTTCGAGGACCCGATCCAGCAGAAACTCAAGCTGATCAAGTACCCGCCTCCCCGCGATGCGTCCGAGGCGCAGGGCGTGGGCGCGCACAAGGACTCGGAGTTCCTCACTTTCCTACTGCAAGCCACGCCGCACACGGGGCTGGAGGTGCAGAACAAGGCCGGGGAGTGGGTCGCGGCGCCGCCGCTGCCGGGCTCGCTGGTGGTGAACATCGGGCGCGCGCTCGAGGCGATCACGGGGGGCGTGTGCACGGCGACGACGCACCGGGTGAATTTGGCCATGGAGAATTTCGTTGACGGAGGTGGTGGTGTCGCCCTTGGGCCGCGGTTCTCCATCCCCGTGTTCCAGGGGATGAGCCTGGATCTGTCGGCGGAGAGTGGGGCCCGAGCCCTGGCGATCCCGGCGCATATCCGGGAGCTGGTGCGCGACGAGACGGTGCGGTCGGACGCGGAGGCGACGTTTAATCGGATCTTCAAGGGGAGGGTGGGCGAGGGCACGCTGATCCATCGGGTGATGAGCCATCAGGATGTGGGGCGGCGGTGGTATCCTGCGTTGCTGGACTGGGCGCTGGCGGAGTATGAGAAGTAGTCCCCTACTCAATAGATACAGCTTTGCGAGTGAGTATTTTCCGTCGAGTACAGTACAGAAAAAGACAATGGTCGATCATCCGTCAGCTGTCAGTTGCCCCGATCAGCTGGTGGCCCTGGGCATTGATCTGAAACTAGGGTTCGTATTGCGAGGTTAAGCTGCGCCTGCTCGTATTGCTTGGCTAGTTGTGCCCAATCAGGAGGACGGACTTCCCGCGATCGACGTCCCTGCGCTTGCCCCGTGCCCAGCGAGATGCATGCCTGCATGCTGGGCTGGGCTAGTTTAAGTAGCGAGCCCTCCCAAGATGTAATTCGCATGTCCCCTCGGACTTTTTCTTTCTTTAATGTGAAGGAGTGAATACTATGGCCCAGCCCGCCAGCCACGGGGGCGTATTCCCCCGCGCAAAGAGCGGACAATGCCGCGCCCACCACGCCTTCTCCAGCAGCACCGCGCGCATCACCATCGTCTGCTACGCGGTCTACTTCGTCCTGTTCCTGGGGCTGTCCTTCTTCACCGCTGCACGATTTCTCACCAGCGAGGGCAAGCGTAAATCGATAGCGCAGTGGCTGCTCCTAGCCGTCGCCGTAACATTCATGCTGCTGTACGCACTCACCCCCTTCTCCTAACACAAACCGCCTAATCGACGAGACGCAGCGCCCAAGCCCTGGCAGTACTAACGACCACCCTGGGCGAATGCGCCGTCCTCACCCCCCACGACACCACGCAGGCCCTCCTCCCAGTGACTTGGCTCCTCGCCCTCGGCAAGCTCGCCCTCCTCAGCCTGATCCTCCTCCCGCTCTGTCGCCGTCTGCACCACGGCGCAAGCCACAAGACCATCGATCGGTGGATCCTCATCCCGCATTCCTTCCTGATAGCCGTGCTGGCAGGGTTAATGCTCGCAGCGCTAGCGGTGCAGACGCGTCTCGTCGAGCGGATCATCCACCCCACGCGATACACTTTTACGGAGCTGCAGCGCTGGCAACGCACGGAGAAGAGGCTGTGGGTGGCCGTGTTCGTGGTGGAGGTGCTGGGGATGAGTCTTGCGGCGGCCCGCATCGGGTGGGCCGTGTGGTCGGCGCGCCATTTGCGCGGCGGGGTACGTTGTCCTTCCTTCCTTCCTTCCTTCTCATCTTTCTTTTCTTCCTTCCTTTCTTTCCTTGTGGTGTCCTGGGATCTTCTAGAGACGAGACGCTGCTTTATCATGTTGGGGCTACTTGGTATGGGGCTGGGCTAACGTCGGACAGGAACTCGGCTTCTTCATCCCCCTGCTGATCGTCTCCTCGGTGGGGCTGGCGCTGACGGATCTGGTCGGGTATGTGGAGGGCCCTGCATTTCGGACGGCTGCAACCGTCGAGCAGGAACGGAACATGGTGAGCGGCCAGCAGGCCCGGATGTATGTCGAGTATTTCTTCTACGCCGGGACGGTGCTCAGCGCGGGAGTGGTGGTGGCGTCGCGGCGGCTGGGGAGGGCGGCGCGGGTGAGTATGTCGAGTGTGCGCGCGAAGGGGTAGGGTCGCTTATACTGTGTATCGAGGTCCTAAGTACTAGAATTTACCGTCCCGGGGGGAATCCCCCGGACCCCCCCTTTTGTTCAACTTCCTGGTAACACTCAGTTCTAAGTATCAGTATTTACCGTCCCGGGGGAGAACCCCCGGACCCCCCTTTCTTTCAGCTTCCTGGGAAAGCGCATCCTGGTGGACATATAGTTTACAACTTAATGAATATAAGTGTTGGATTTTAGACTGTTTAGTGCTACTACAGAAAGCTTCACCAGGAAGCTGAAAGAAAGGGGGGTCCGGGGGTTCTCCCCCGGGACGGTAAATCTGGTACTAGGATTGCGGGGCCGTGGTAGACGTCTAATCCACCTCATCCGCGCCTTCGGTCGTCTCGTCCGCCCCGTCTAGCACAACCGTGAACCCGATCACGAGATACTCCTCCCCGGTGGCCCGGTTCTTCAGCACGTACCGCAGCACGTTGTTCTTCTCGCTGACATACTTGCTGATATTCAGGGTGATCCCGGGGACGTGGATCGCGAATTCTGCCGCCGTCAGCTTCTCCTGCCCACCCTCTTCAACCCAAAAACAACAGAGGGAAAGGAAAGGACACACACCCTCAAAATCCAAATACGGATTCCCGAAGTCCGCCTCATACACCCTGCCCGCCTCGAATCCAAACCCCCTCCGCCTCTCCTCGTCCCGGAAATACTTCGTCCGCGCCGCCGCATCCCCCGGCAGACCGTATTGTTCCCGTACCTGCACCCCGGACCCCTCCGCCCCCTCAAGGATAAGGCGATCCGCTCCCGGCGCTTCCTTCGATCTACTGGGGGGAATCGCCTCCCCGATCCGGAACTGGTTCCACGATGCTAGCGCAGGACTGTATAGGTAGGGTTTATCGTTGTACGCGTCGCCGTCAATGGAGGGGTCGAGCATTGTTTTTACGACCTTGAAGGCGGCGCCGAAGCCTGGGGGGAGGTAGTCGCGGATCGGGTGGTCGAAGTCGTTGCCGAAGAGGAGGTCGTCGCCGTTGATGTCTTTGTGGAAGGTCAGGGAGAGGGTGATGCTGTATCGGTTCGCGGAGGTGGCGGGCTGCGTGAAGTAGGGGTTCGAGGGGGGAGATCCCTCTGGGTATCCTGGTGTTGCCCACGCTCTTGCATTAGTTGTTTTTCTTTTCTTTTTTCCTGTTGCATGAATTGTGAAATGGATGGGAGAAAGGGGGCAGTACCGGTGTACTCCTTGATGCGCACCCAGATGTCGGCGGTGAGGTGCGGGCTGCGGATGCGGATTGGCGAGGGTCCGTTGACGTGCACGAGTTGGTGGGTGGAGGGGTCGTAGCGCGGGCCTGCGGTGATGCGGAGGCGGTGGTTTGGGGCTTTGTTGCTGGTGAACATTTTGGAGGTGGTTGTGGGTGCAGGAGATGGGATGGGGTTTGAATGATGTCTGTGGACGATTGTTCGAGATGAGAAATAAAAAGGAACTGCGCTGCTTGCTGGTGATGACGTAGGCGGGGTAGCGCTTATCTTATCGCCTTGCTCAGATCAGTGTTGATCGACCATTCACGTGAATGCCATCCATGGGAATGTGACAGAATTGTGACAGTGACAGTGTTACTCAATATTACACATATATGCTAATTGTGCAATGATTACTATGCGCAGCGCTCGTCTACCTAGTAGTGTCAGAGTGCCCTGTTTCGCAGTGAAAGCTGGCCCGAAAAGGAAAAGTGGATGCCGGCAGGGCTGATATCATACTTACGCCGTGTTGACACCAGCCGTTTTAAATATGCCTATCCACCATCCCCAACCCTCTAGTATTCCATCCTTCAGCACATACACATCCATACATAATTATAATGCAGTCAGTTCTCCAGCCCATCATCGGCCCCAGAAAAGAGATCCACGACCTCACCGGTCGCGTGGCGCTCGTCACCGGCGGTGCCTTGGGCATCGGGTAAGCGACCCCAATTATCAATTGATAATGCTGAGCTAAGAATGCAGCTACGAGGTCGCCCGCGCCTTCGTCCTCAACGGCGCCCGCGTCATCATGGTCAACCGCAAAGAGGAACAGGGGCAGTCGGCCATTGAATCCATCAAGAAGGAGGCCGGCGAGGGAGCCCAGATCGAATGGGTGTCCTGCGACATGGGCAACCTGAAGGAGGTGCGGGAGGTATTCGAGGGGATTCGCCAGCGAGAAGAGCGCTTAGATCTGGTAGACCCACTCCCCAAACCATTCCTGTAGCTATTGTGACTGTCGTGGAGAGAGACGCCACTAACCACCTTGCACGCGGCACAGCTCATCCTCTCCGCTGGCATCAACGCCAACCAATACGGCGAGACGGCCGACGGCATCGACCGCCACTTCCAGGTCAACTGGCTCGGCCAGTTCTACGTGGTCAACCAGCTCTACCCGCTCCTCCGCAAGACGTCGAAACTCCCCGACACCCCGGCGCCGCGCATCGTCTTCGAGTCCTCCGAGCAGCACCGCAACGCCCCGCCCAACGTGCACTTCGCCTCGCTCGCGGAGCTGAACAACCCGGAGGTCGGCAACACGCAGCTCTACGGCCGAACCAAGCTGGCGATCATCCTCGGGGTGAAGTACGGGCTGCGGGACCGAGTCATCAAGCCCAATGGGGATAACATCTATGCGCTGTCGGTGCATCCTGGTGCTGTACGTTCCCCTATTCTCTGGTTGGGTGGGTGAAAGTGTGCAAGTGGTGCTGACAAGGGCAGGTGAACACGGCGATGCAGCAACAGTGGAAAGACGCGTACCCCGGGATCGTCGGGAACCTGCTGACCAAGGTGATGCTGGCGGCGGGCCGCAACGTCGAGCAGGGCTCGTTCAGCGCGCTGTGGGCGGCGACCAGCCCCGAGGTCGAGGACAAGGGCTGGAACGGGTACTATTTCAGCGATGTCGCGCAGCCCGGCAAGGAGACCGGCCAGGCGTCGGATCCGGTGCTGGGGGCTGCGCTGTGGGATCTCAGCCATCGGCTGATCCGGGAGAAGGCGGGGGAGGATGCGGTCGTGGATTGGGGGAGTGCTTAGGTGCTTAGCGTGCTCAGCTGGATTGGGGGTGATTGTGTAGTGGTTAATGTAGTTTTATTTATAGCGTTGACGGTTATCTTGATTAATTCCGGGTCTTCAATTGAGTGTTATCAGGAAGCTGAAAGAAAGGGGGGTCCGGGGGTTCTCCCCCGGGACGGTAAAGACAACCCAAGATACTGATAATAAACGATTCCCGGGGGAGAACCCCCGGACCCCCCTTTCTTTCAACTTCCTGGTACAAATGTTTGCCCACAACAGAATGACTTCATCCCCACCCAAGGACCGCTTACTCCTGCACCACCCCTGTAATCCGCGCGTAGACCGTCGGAAACCCCCTGCGCGTCACCTGCAGCACCGTCTCGGCCACCATCTCCATGTCCTCGGGCGTGGTGTCGAACAGCTCGAACTCGAACCGGCGCACCAAGTACGCCAGCGCCAGGTACAGCTCGTTGTACGCGAGACTAGCCCAGTGATCGACTGTTAGCTATCCATTCCCTAACACCCCACCCACCAAAAGCACAAACGCTATAGAGAGGGCTCACTTAATCCCCACACACCCGCGACTCCCCTTCGAGAACGCCACCATGTACCGCCGGAGATGCTCGCTCTTCTCGCCCTGCAGCCACCGCTCGGGATCAAAGGTGTCGCCGTCCGGGAAGAGGGTCGGATCGCGGTGGATGAACCATGCGGAGGCGCCGAGGACCGTCTAGCTTATTAGCTCGAGTATTTTCACAGGGGAGGATTTGAGGGAAATGGGGTTGGGGGATGGGGGATGGGGGATGGGGGATGGGGACATACACCAGGCGGCAGTTTGTAGCCGTTGTAGACGAGCGTCTCGGTTGGTGCGACGCGGGGTAGCCGGATGATGGGCGGGGCGAGGCGGAGGGATTCGGTGATGATGGCCGTCTGTACACCTCGCTTCATCAGCATCGTTCGGGAAAGAGTGGCAGGTTGTGCTCATGGGGCGGGGCGGGACAGACCAGAAACGGCAACTTCTCCAACTCGGTCCAACTGGCCCTACTCGTCGGCGTCGGCAGCACCGTCCGCAACTCGGCGCGCAACCTGTCCACGTACTCCCGCCTGCTACCTAGAATGTACGCAGCGTACGTCAAAATACTCGAGGTCGTCTCCGTGCCCGCCAGCAGGAACTGGACCGCCTCGTCCTGGAAGCGGGCGCGGGTGCGCTCGCTGGCGGGGATGCTGGGGTCCGACAGCTGTGCGAAGATGGTCGCGTGCTTCGCGGGTTTGCGGTCCGCGTCTGCGGCGTCTGGGACGGCCGACTGCGCGGACAGCGCGTAGATACTCCCCAGATAGTCGAGGGTGGCGGCGCGGCTCGGCTGGAGGGCGGCGAGCCAGCGCGGCGGGATGCGGCGCAGCAGCGTCGACAGAAGCGGGATGAAGCGGTTGAGGTGGCTGGTGGCGGCCAGCTCGTTGACCAGGTTGCGGATCTCGCTGCGGAAGGTCGCATCCTCGAGAAACCCCTGGCTCTCGCCGTAGGAGTAGTAGGTGATCACGTCGGAGGTCATGGCCGCGAAGGCGTCGTCCAGCCGGACGATTTTGTTTTGGTCGTAAAACTCCTGCAGCCGCTGCATGAGCTTCAGCACGCACCGCTCGGTGATTGGCGACAGCGACTGGATCGACCGCTTCGAGAAGAAGTGGCTGATGGTCGCGCGGCGTGCGTGGTGGTGCGCGTGGTCGATCGTCGAGAACAGCGAGTCCGGCATCCCGAACTGCGGGCCGTACTGCGGCGTCTTGTTGCGTCGCCGCGTGCTGCCGCTGTAGATCTCTTCGTAGAAGGTCGGGTCGATGATGTGCACTTCATTGGGGCCCACGCGGACGATGGGGCCTGGGGGGGAGAGGGGGTTAGAGTGGGGTTGCAAAAGGGGACGCGGGCGTGGTGAGGAACGTACCATACTGTTTGTGCATTTTGACGAGTTGGAAGTGGTACTGGCCGTGCTGGATGCAGTTGTAGTAGAATTCGTAGAGACTGCTGATGGCTGCCAGTCTGGGGCCTGGCACCTGGCGCAGAGGATGCCAGTACAGGCGGTACAGGGTCTGCAGGACGAGATACGCCAACAGCCCGATCCCCAGTCGGGAAACATTCGTGGCATTTAGTAGCTCCATGTTGGCGCGCGTGAGTGTAGGACACAAGTCGGTGGGGATCGTCGGCGGAGAGCAGGTATATATAGCCCTCCCCGCCGGGGTTGGAATAGGAGTCCAGAGCGACGAATGACCGGCTATCTGTAAGACTTCATCTGGACCCCCGTCACAATGGTCGAATCACCGGGTGGATGGACCCCTACCACGGATGCGAGATGGTTTTCCCACTGCGTGAATGCTTTACTGTAGCCCTATCATCGTGGTCGGGTTACTCTACCCCGCCTCCAGTGTCGGAAGATAAGGCCATTGTGCAGTGCGGTCCAAGCTCCGCGTGCCCTAAGCTGTCACCTTTATTCTAGCTGCATGTGATGACTGCAGGGTAGTTGCAGATGCTACCTCATTACATAGTATCTATTAACAGTTTAAGTGAAACAGCTGAGGGGTTGTCTGACCACGTCATAACGCGGGGTCGATTGACGATCAGTGAACGGACCGCTGCTTTCCCTCCCCCAGCACAACACTTTCTCCTCACTACCTTACCTGTACCAAAACAAACTCACCCACCCACCACAATCACACCAACACAATACTCATACTCATCTCCTACTCCCCGAAGAAAATGCCCTACCCCCGCCCCGACTTCACCCGCCCAACCCCAACCTGGCACCCCCTCAACGGACCGTGGACCTTCCGCTTCGACGACCGCGACGACGGCCTCACGCAGCACTGGCCGCACCACGGCCTGCCCACAACCCCACCAACAACAACCATCACCGTCCCCTACGCCTTCCAAACGCCCGCCTCGGGCCTGAACCTCCACGAGCCCCACGAGATCCTGTGGTACGAGCGACGCATCACCGACATCCGCTCGCCCGCGCAGCTGAAAAGGGGCGACCGGCTGCTCCTCCGCTTCGGGGCGGTGGATTACGAGTGTTCTGTTTGGGTTGGGGGGGTTCATGTGGGGGGGCATCGCGGGGGGCATGTTCCTTTTGATCTGGATGTTTCTGATGCCTTCACTGACCCTGGGGATAAGGAGGAGGGCGAGGGAACCAGGGTGACGATCCGCGTGCGCGACTCGCCGACGGACCTGACGCAGCCCCGTGGTAAGCAGTTCTGGGGTCCGGTCGCGGAGGGGATCTTCTACACCCCTACCAGTGGCATTTGGTTGGATGTGTGGGCTGAGAGTGTTCCCTGCACCAGAATTGGGGGGCCGAGCGAGGGGACTGTCTTGCGCGGGGATGATATCGAGGGTGGGAGGTTGCAGGCGAGCGTGGCGGTGGTGGGACGGAGGGTTGGAGCGAAAGCGGAGGTCGAGGTGGAGACGAGGTTAAGCGGAGTGAGGGTTGGTTCTGTGCGGGTTGCGTTGGGGGATAAGGATCGGGTGAATTTGGATGTGGATGTGCGGGTTAAGGATCCGGGAGTGATGATGGGGCAGAAGGGGCTTGGGGTGGAGGGGTGTTGGCGCGATGGGGTTGCGCTGTGGGCGCCGGAGCACCCCGTGCTCTATGATGTGACCATCCGGTTGTTCGATGCAGACGGGGGGGTGGTGGATGAGGTGGTGACGACGGCGGGGATGCGGCGCATTGACTGGAGCACCGGCGATGGAACGTTCCGTACCAACGGGAAGCCGTGTTTCCTGGTGCTGGTGCTGGATCAGGGCTACTGGCCTGACACCGGGTTGACGCCGCCGTCGCAGGAGGCGCTGCGGACCGACATCGAGCTGGCGAAGAAGATGGGCTTTACCGGGTGTCGGAAGCACCAGAAGGTCGAGGATCCGGTGTTTCTGTACTGGGCCGACCGTTTGGGGTTCCTGGTATGGGGGGAGATTGCCAATGCGTATGAGTTTAGCGATGAGTACGTCGCGCGTTTCAATAGTGAGTGGATGGAGGCGGTGCAGAGGGATATCAACCATCCGTCGATCGTGGCCTGGACGCCGTTCAACGAGAGTTGGGGGTATCCTTCGTTGAAGAATAATGTCGAACAGCGGAACCACATTCGTTCGGTGTACTATATGACCAAGTGAGTGGTTGCATGGTGGCTATAGAAGGTCTACTGACATGGCAGAACCCTCGACCCGACTCGTCCCATCAACGACAACTGCGGCTGGGAGCACGTCCTCACCGATCTCACCACCTACCACGACTACACCGATTCTACCGAGCTTGCCGCCACCTGTGCAGACCTTACACAGGGTATTCTCGGCCCTAAGGCTGACCATGACATGTTTGTGCCGGCCGTGAACGGCGATGCAGGCGCCAAGCACACACCTGGCGCTCCGGTCATCTGCTCCGAGTTTGGTGGCGTGAACATCACTCCTGCCCAGGGCACGGCCGCAGGGGAGCGGGACTGGGGCTACACGACGGCGAGTGATCCCGGGGACCTCCTGGCACGTCTGGAACGGTTGGTGATGGCGGTTGTCAAGGGGGGACATACGTGTGGGATGGTTTATACACAGCTGTAAGTCCGCGCTAGCCTCCCATCCAGGCGGAGCTTTTTTATCCGTTGAACCAGGCTAATAGACGATCAGCTGTGACATTGAACAAGAGGTGAACGGGCTCTACTCGTATGACCGCAAGGAAAAGGTGCCCGCGGAGCGAGTCAAGGCAATCATGGATGCAGCGCAGCGGCACTACCATGGGCACGTAGGGCCAAAATAGGCATACCCTAGTCTAATTAGTAGAAGACAATACTTTATGTGCTCAACACCGCAGCCCACAATGAAATACCATACACTTTTCACAGCGCTACCCCGTCACAAAAGATTTGTCCCTTTCCCACTAGGTACGAATTGGAAGACAATACTCCATCCGCCCAACATCCCAAGCCCACAACAAAACAATACTATACAATTTTCACCCAACTATATACCGAGACCACAACAAAACAATCTTATACCTCTACTCCCTCCCCTTCCCCCAATCTCGCTCTCCTCCACCCAAACCCCCACAAATACACCCCCCACAAACACGGACTGGCGACCACCCACACCGCCGCCATCGCCACCGCCATCCACCCGACCCCAATCCTCTCAATCACCGGCGCCGCCCCGGCCGTCGCCCCAGCGCCCAACAAACACCTGACCAAATTATTCGCCGCCACCGCCGTCGCGGGACTCCCCCTATTCAGATCGACCATGAGGGTGCTCAGCGCCGTAAACGCCCCAGTCAGGAGATGGCTGCCCACGAACAGGGTCACCACGGGCCCTGCCAACGGCACGTGGTACTGCATCACCCAGCCGTACGCGACGAACACGAGCGCCGCAGCGTAGGCGAGCGGGATCGTGACGACCAGGCGCGCGCGCTCGATGTCGAAGGCACGGATGTCCTGCTGCTTGTTCTTGATGATGCGGAGCTGCTGCGCGTGCGCGTGGCGTCGGAAGGTTCGGTCCAGGAGGAAGCCCACTGTGTACCGTGAGGTGAGGCTGCCCAGGCCCATTGGGAGGTAGCAGAGGCCGATTTGAATGGTGTTGAAGTGGTAGTGTGTTGCTAGGGTTGTGGTGAGCGTGGTCAGGACGGCGGCCATGCCGGCGTAGAGGAGGGCGCCGTAGATGAGAATGAGGGCGTTTTCTTTGTCGAGGACTAGGCGGGCGGAGCGGAGGGGGTTGAGGCGTTGGGGTTTGGAAGAGGTTGGGATTGTGGAGCTGGGGAATGTGGTGGTGGTGGTGGATGTGGTGGTGGTCGGTGCCAGCACGCTGAAGACGGGACGGTTCCATCGCGCGGCGGGGATCGAGCCGTTGCCAACGACTGCGCGGCAGGTTTCGGGCAGAAACAGGGCGATGGCCGCCAGGAACACTCCAGAGAGAATGGTCAAGAACCAGAAGATCCAGCGCCAGCCGCAGAAATGGTCGATCAGACCCCCGATCACTGGTCCCAGGGCCGGACCCAGGGTCAGCCCCATGCTGGCGTAGCCGATGTATTTGCCCCGTTCGGCCCGCGTGGAGACGTCGGCCACGACGGCACTGCCGAGCGCAATGGTGCCGCTGCTGCCGCACGCTTGCAGGCAGCGGAGGACCATCAGGGCGGCGTAGTTGGTTTGCAGCGCTAAACCGATGTTGGCCCCGAGGTAGATCACGAAGCTAATCAGGTAGGCGGGGCGGCGGCCATGAATGTCGGAGAAGGAGCCGATGAAGGAGGGGGCGATGCCTTGGAAGATCTTATCTCGAGGTTAGTAATGGCGGATGTGGTGGTTTGGGATGAGAGGGGGGGAGGAGAGCGAACGAGGTACATCATGACGGTGAGGTTGATGCGTGTGGAGGAGACGTGCATCGCGTCGGCCAGAGAGGTTAGGGCTGGGAAGTAGACCGTGCTCGATAGGGGAGAGATTAGGCCCGCAAACGAAGCGGTGATCATCAGACAGACTTTCTTTCGTTCGGAGAGGATGCTGTAGGGGGCGTCTGATGAGGCATCGCCTCGATTCTTCTCGACGTCATTTGGAACGTCTTCGGTGGTGGACAGCGGTGGCTTTTCTTGGTCTTCCGTCGAGGAAGACGCCATGATAGCGATGATACGGTGCTATCTGTCTACAATGAGCTCCAGTTTCTCTCCTTCATCTTTATACTCCCAGCTTTGACAGATCAATGCCCGTTTCCGGCCCGTTTCCGGCCACCAAGTGGGTCTGCTCTGTGCTCGCACCAATCACACTCGTCATTCATCCGGTCGGAGTTAAGACTGGCGTTCTCCAGTGCCCGGCCCAGGCTAACAATAAGAGCATAGCGTCGAGGAAACGAGCAACGATTTATAGCCGCGAGGAACCCTCTTGCGGGGTTTATCGCTCTCACATTCCCCTCCGATCGCAAACGCAACTACAAACATGACCTGCGAAGCCTGCCGTACCATCCCCCCCGTCGTTGCCGAGGGCTACACCCCCAAAGGCACCTACGAGGGCGTCGCCGGCCTCAACACCTGTGCGCGCCATCCACCTTTGTTATCGTAACCACCACTAACCACCACAGACATCACCGGCTCGCAGGATGCCGCATACGGTCTGATCGACATCTACGACATCTTCGGCCTCTCCAACCAAACGCTGCAGGGCGCCGACCTCCTCGCCGCCCGGCTCCACGCCGTCGTCCTCGTCCCGGATTTCTTCCACGGCGACAAGGCCGACCCCGCCTGGCTGCCGCCCGACACCCCGGAGAAGCAGGAGGCCCTGACCAAGTTCATCTCAACCCGCGCTTCCCCCACTGACGCGGTCAAAGTGTTGGAGGCTGCGGTCGCGGTCTACCGGGAGCGATTCCCGAGTGTGCAGGCGTGGGCTGCGACGGGTTTGTGCTGGGGTGGGAAGGTTAGTTTCACACACCCAACGTTGTTCCATAGAACAACATCAATAACGATGACGATGAATATAGGTGGCCGTTCTCGCCTCCGGACCGAACACGCCCTTCATCGCATCTGGCCAGGTGCATCCAGGGTATGATTCATTCTTCTCCTTCAATGCAAGACCCCGTGGTTGACAAGTGCAGACGCATGGAAGCGGCGGACGCGCAGCGGCTGACGATCCCGCACGTCGTGCTGGCGTCCAAGGACGAGCCCGCCGAGGTGGTCGAGGCGTATGCGAAGACGATCGCCGAGAACGGGCTGGGCGGGCACGTGGAGACCTACAGCACCATGTGGCATGGCTGGATGGGGGCCCGCGCCAATCTGGACGGGGAGGAGAGTCTGGCCGAGTATAAGCGGGGGTACGTATTCTGTCCTTGGACTTTTTTGTTATATAAGCATACTGACTTCGCGATAGGTATAATCAGTTGGCGGATTTCTTTGAGAAGTATTTCCAGCAGGTTGGTGGGGCTAAAATCTAATAATGGTGTGTGAGTTAGGCGTGGGAAATATATAGATATGCTGGCATGAAGTCAAAACACGGAGTGGGAACTCGGATCAGCGATGTCAGAACTAGTCTATTAAAGTAAAGCGATGCTCTTTGGGAAGTTGAAAAGAAGGGGGGTCCGGGGGTTCTCCCCCGGAACGGTCTACCCCAACGGTCTACCCCCAAGCACTCGAGATTGAGGTTATTGGGAGCATACCGTTCCGGGGGAGAACCCCCGGACCCCCCTTTCTTCCAGCTTCCCAGTAACTTGTCCCTCAATCCTAATTTCCATGATGAATAATGCATCATTTATGCACGCATCGTCAAATCCAGTGCAGGACGCGCGGCTGACACATCGGCTAGCAGGGAGAGTGTGTTCCACCACGATTGGCCAGACCGGCCTCGCAGCTCCACTGCATCCACCAGTCAGACAACGGTTTGCATCACGGGACTCCAGTCACATGACCATCATCGGCAGGCCTTGCCTGCTAAGTAAGTTCCACACAGCAGCCTCTCTCTTGCCCTACTCTGCGCTCCCCGTCTATAACCCGTCTCACTATTGCTTCGACGAGCACATCTTCCACCTCTAGCCCCCGACTCCAGGTCCAGTAAGATCCCTAGATCTATAGATAGCCCCAAGCCATACCGCCATCCCGTCAGCCATGCCCCCTTTACCCGTCTGCAACCCCGTGCCAAGCGAAGCGAAGCTTTGCAGTGGGGGCGCATCCGCCGTTGTTTCACCTGGTCTTCCAATAACTGGCGGCCAAGGGGGTCGACAATAAAAATGAATCATGGGATGATGGCTGCCAGTTGCCCCGTGGTTCCATCCCATCTTTTCCCCCGGAACTGAACTTTTTCTCCTTTTTCTTTTTTTCTTCTGGCAAGTGCCTGGCCTCTGCGCCGTGACCGTGACCGTGACCGTGGCCTCTCTATTTTTGTCGCTCCCCAAATAATGCTCCTCGAGGGACACACCGCGGCCTCACCGTCGTGATCGTTCGATTTGCATCCTGGCTAGCCTCGTTATTCAGCAATTTCCCCTCCCCTCATCGCCACGAACCGCCGGTGGGTCGATCGTGCGGTGTTAGTGACTTCACTTGTTTTTCCCCGGCTGGTCGTTTTTCTCCACGTTCCCTTGGGAGTTTCTTTTCTTTCTTTTCCTCCCCTTCCCGGTCCTTTTTCTTCTTCCTCCACGGGGTAATATTGAACCGCTGCTTGGCTGGAGGTCAACGTACAGCATGTGAGTACTCCATTCGTGTGCCTGGCATCACACCGACAAAAACCTCCGACTGACCGCTCTTTCCGACGCAGGAACCTCACCTAACACCGCGTCCTGATTTATGCCGACACATCACCACCACCACCACTACCGCCACTATGTCCAGTTCAACCGAGACCCTCGACCCGATCCACTCCAAGACGAGCTCCACGCCGGACTCCCACCCCGCCGATAACCACCCCGACCATGACCATGGCGTCGACGAACGGCCGTTGACCGGCCACGACGCGCCCCAAAACGGGGGCGGCTCGCACCAGTGGGGGGTGCTCTTCAAGGCGATCAAGGACGGCACCTCGCACCTGGCCGAGAAGCTGGGCCGGGACCCGGACGGCGGCGACGGGCTCGACTCGGCCTGGCACCCGGAGGACTACGGATATCAGGAGGACATCGAGATGCGCGACATGCTGGCGCCCGGCGAAGGCGTCGCGGACGACTCGTACGGCAGCCAGCTGCAGTCGCTGCTGGGCGCCGACGCCGCCATGCTCGTCAACCGGCTGGGGCTGGCGCGCGAGCTGCAGGCCGGCCTGCCGCCGCGCACAGCCGAGGAGGAGGCCGCCGAGAAAGAGGCTAGCCTGGCGGGCGGGGTGCTCTGGCACCTGCTGGGCCACCAGATGGGCCACGATCCGGAGAAGACGACGACGAACACGACCACGATGACGGGCGCCACGCTCGTGGGGACGACGCAGTCGGAGGACGACGCGCTGGGCCCGCTGCCGAGCGAGCTGCGCAAGCGGCGCAAGAAGAAGTGGTATGCGGATGCGGACCAGGACCCGCGCAGCGCCAAGGAGCGGCGCAAGGCGCGCGAGGCGCGGCTGGCGGAAAAGATCGGGTCGCTGCTGACGCGCCAGCGCTACCTGATGCAGCTGTGCCGCGTGATGATGAAGTGCGGCGCCCCGACCCACCGCCTCGAGGAGTACATGCAGATGTCGGCGTTTGCGCTGCGCGTGCACGGCCAGTTTTTGTATATTCCGGGCTGCATGATCATCTCGTTCGACGACCCGCTGACGCGCACGGCCGAGGTCAAGCTCGTGCGCATCATCCAGGGCTGTAATCTCGGCCGTTTGGGCGAGGTGCACAACTGCTACAAGAACGTGCTGCACGGCAAGTTGTCGGCCGAGGAGGCCCTGCCCGTGCTGGACGACATCCTCACGCGGCAGAGCAAGTGGCGCACCCCCTGGATGATGGTGCTGATTGCCGGGCTGATCAGCGTGGCGGTGGGGCCGTGGGCGTTCGGGGCCCGCCCCATCGACATGCCCATCATCTTCGTGCTGGGCCTGCTGATGGGGTTCATGCAGTACATCCTGGCGCCGCGGTCGGCGCTGTACTCGAACGTGATGGAGGTGTCGATCGCGATGCTGGTCTCGTTCCTGGCGCGCGCCTTCGGCAGCATCCGCCACAACGGCGAGTACCTGTTCTGCTTCCCGGCGATGACGCAGTCGGCGATCGCGCTGATCCTCCCCGGGTACTCGGTGCTGTGCAGCAGTCTGGAGCTGCAGTCGCACCAGATCACCGCCGGGTCGATCCGCCTGGTGTACACGATCATCTACTCGCTGTTCCTGGGGTACGGGGTGACGGTGGGGCTGACGATCTACGGGCTGATGGACGACCACGCGAGCGAGCAGACTTCGTGCTCGGCGGAGAGCCAGCTGATCTACGGCAACACGTACATCCAGCACTTCGTGTTCGTGACCATCTACATCGCCTTCGCCGGGATTGTCAGCCAGGCCCGTCTGCGCCAGCTGCCCTTCATGTGCACGCTGGGCGTGTCCGGCTACGTGGCCAATTACTTCGCTACGACGTACCTGAGCAGCCAGATGGCCAGCATCATCGGCTCGTTCACGATTGGCCTGCTGGCCAACCTGTACAGTCGGGTGTGGCACGGCCACGCGGCGGCGGTGATTGTGCCGGGCATGTGGACGCTGGTTTCGTCCGGGCTGGCGTCGAGCGGGTCGATCGTGGCGGGGCTGCAGTACGCGAAGGCTGTCAAGGAGGGCACGGCCAACGCCTCGTCGAACTCGATGGTCGAGTCGCTGTTGAGTCTGGGAGTGAGCATGGTGCAGACCGCGCTGGGGATCACGGTCGGGCTGTTCCTGTCCGCTTTGGTGGTGTATCCCGGCGGGAAGCGCCAGGGCGGGTTGTTTAATCTGTAGCGTGTGCATCGTTGCATAGCTTGTCTTTCCTCTTCTTGTCTATACTTTTCCTGTCTGTAGTTCTTGTGCTCTGCATCCACGGGCCTCGTGGCATTAGCAATTGCATTGGCATTGGTGTTGATCCGGCTGTCGCAGACCCCCTTCTTTCAGCTTCCCACCACCCTTCATTGTAAATACTGGGGAATGTACCGTCTCGGGGGAGAACCCCCGGACCCCCCTTCTTTTCAACTTCCCAGTAACACTCAATCTGATTCCACAGCAATCTCAACCCAATGAATACGTACTCAAATGATCTTTACCAGGAAGCTGAAAGGAAGGGGGGTCCGGGGGTTCTCCCCCGGAACGGTATACTCCCCAACTACTAGTCTAAGCGGTGTTAAGTCTATAGATTGACGGTGCTATATGTAAATCACTCTCTACCGTTAACCAGATGTATTCGTACATCCATCTGTCCCTCGTGGAGACGAACCTACTCAAACTCCTCCTCCCTCTCCCTCTTCCGATCGCCCAGCGTGGTCCCAATCTGGCGGACCACCAGCCACGCAGGGAACACGGAGACGGCCCACAGCCCGAAGTTGAGGTACGTGCCGCCGACCGAGGCCATGATCCCGACGCTGCTCAGCCCGTACTGCCGCCTGTCAGCATATCCGCCACTCCTGGTACACCGTAAAGCAACTCACCGAAACCGCCTGCACGGCCGACTCGGTCCCGCGCAACAGCGCCGACAACCGCACGACCTCGCCCTTGTTGCGGGCCAAGTTGCCGACCACGAAGTACCTGCGCCGTTAGCATATCGCCCTCACCCTGAGCAGAAAGCGCAGGACCACTCACAAAAACATATAATTGACCTGAAACATCGCCACCCAGAAAAGATACAGCACCCAGCCCCTCGCGAAGCCGGGATCCGCCCAGTCGAGCGCCGCCTGGTCCTTCTCCCGATAAATCGAGGTAATCACCGTCGCCCACACCCACACGCCGCCCTGCAGGGTCATGACGACCACAAAGACCCCCCGCGCCTTACCCTTCAAGCTCCCCCTCGCATGATCCAAAACATACCCCAGCACATTCCCGGCGATGAGCGCCAAGCACCCCGACAGGAAACTCGCCAGCGCGCGGGCGCGCACGCTGAACCAGAGATCGAGGTACGTGAACATGACCGCCTCAGTGTAGATGGCCTGCGCGATCAACGGGAGAATCAGCAGCACATTCCGCGTACACAGCAAGCGCACCGTATGCTTCAGCTCGGCCCACACTCCCTCCTCCGACAGCCGCAGCTGCACGCGGACACGATCGCGGCGCTGGACCTTCTCCGGCGGCGTGAGCAGCATCCCCGCCACCGGACCGCAGGCCTGCAGGGCCACGAAGATCAAAAAGACGGCGTAGCTCACGCTCCCCGCTGTATTGCGGTCCACGTTCAACCCGAGGTTAATGGCACCCCCCAAAATCTGGCCCCCCACGCGGAAACTCAGCCACAGGCCCAGGAAGAACCCCTGCCGTCCGGGCTCCGGGTACGCGAGCGCGATGCTGCTCTCCGCGAGCCAGAAGATGCCCGCGCTGAGGCCGCACAGCGCCGCCCCCAGGAGGAGCAGCCACGAGCTGTGGAAGCGGTTGTTCGTGTACAGCCCTGCCGCGTAGGGCGCGTAGCCGATCGTGCCGAGCATGAGGGTGTATTTCACCCCGATGAGGCGCACGATGGCGCTGCCGAAGAGGCACGAGAGCACCATGAGGCAGAAGGTGAGGGCATTGGCGGCGTCGACGAGGTAGGGCGATTCGGACCCGCCGCCGCCGAGGCTGTTCATCGCGGTCCACAGCCCCGGCGCGAGGAAGTTGCACAACCCCAGAATTAGGGCGTTGTAGGTCGTGCTGCGGTACCATTTGGGTTTTGCCGGGGGGGTTGTGTCTTGGTGGGAGGGGGAGGAGGAGAGGTACGGCGGTGGGCTGGGCGGGGACGGGGTTGTTGCGGTTGGGGGGGATTTTTCGGCCATTGTTTCGAGCTGTATGAATGGTGGGGAATGGTGGTGAAGGAGCGGGAGGGTTTTCGCCGGAGTATACCAGTGACGGTCCAGTATCGGCTGGTCTAAAGAGGAAGAGGGCGAGCGGTCAAAAACAAGAAACCAGGGATGGCCCCAAATTGTTATATACCGCACCCGACACGCCTTGCATCGTGCAGATAAGCGTGATCTAGACCATTACCCAGAAAACGGGTCTCGGTCGAGAAGTTGCGGTTCTGCATGTTGCAGGATGGGGTGGGAATTACGTGCTCGCACGGCATTTTAGTCTGCAGATGTAATCCTTAGCCTCGATGTCATCTTTAATCTACCATCTATTGCTGGATAAGGAATTAAGCTAGCCCCACGCGCCAGATAGCGGGAAAACAATTCCATTCGCCATGCGCTAACCACAACCGTCAGCCCAACTGTCACCCGTCCCATACTGGGCGATTCCCGGGGGAGAACCCCCGGACCCCCCTTTCTTTCAGCTTCCTGGTAAAGCTTATCTATACTAAGTGTTGAACGGCGCAAGATGTACTGTAGGATAGACAAGGCATCCAGGGTAGACCCTTTATTCCCTTCACGTGGTGGAGAGGGGAACGTGAGCTTTACGCAGTAATGTGGGGTAATGTGATTAGGGCTAGCGACCACTGGCTAGTCTACTGTACTGTGGGAGGACACTATACTAGGATTGAGTGTTACCAGGAAGTTGAAAAAAAGGGGGGTCCGGGGATTCTCCCCCGGAACGGTACATTCTGGTACTTTGAACTGAGTGTTACCAGGAAGCTGAAAGAAAAGGGGGGTCCGGGGGTTCTCCCCCGGGAATCGTTCGCCATAGTAATTAGATTGAGTGAAACTAGCAGGCTGGACCTATCAACAAGATACAGTAATACAAAAAGAAGCTACTCGCGATCCTCAGGCGTAAACACCAAAACGCGGACCTCGATACTCTCCCTCGCCTCCTCATCCTCGGTGCCCGGGATGACAAACGCCGTGTGCGGCACGCGGCGCGCGCGCCCGTCCGTCTTGCTATCGTAGCACTTGATGAGCGTGACCCAGTCGGGCGTCTGCGCGTGGCGGTAGTACCATTTCGTGGCCGGGTTGGCGCGCACGGCGTAGGTCTCGCCCTCGCGGTCCGGGTAGATCAGCTTGATGGGGACGAGATCGGCGTCGTCGACGGTGTGCGCCTCGGCCACGGCGAGCGGGTCGCGGCGCACCGTCTTCAGCGGCCGCCAGACGTTGATGATCTGGTGGCGGCCCTTCAGGAGGTTCTCGGCCTCGTCGGGGAGGTGGTGCGACACGCGCGACACAGCCGCGGGGAAGGACTGGTCGATGTGCACGCGGTGCACCGGGGTGCGGAGCTGCGCCTGCGCGTCGGCGGCGGGGCGGCGGATCGTGTGGTCGAAGATGTAGGTGCGCGTTGCGCCGGTGCTGTACGGGTGTCAGTTTGGGTTGTGGGAGGGGCATCGGAGAGGGGCATCGGGGAGGGGCATCGGGGAAGGGGAAAGGCGTACACTTCCTTCAGTAAGCGGTCCACCTCCGGGTAATACACCCGCTTGATCTGCTCGTCATCCAGGAAGTCCTTCTCTGCGCTGACGTGCGGGTGGAACTGGAAGCCGTTGCCGTCCAGCGTGTACTCGGCTTCGCGGCCGCTGACGTCGTGGATCGTGGTCGGCACGGACTCGGACGGCCGCTCGAAGGAGTCGGCTTTGCCGGCGTAGTTGGGGCGTAGGTGTGAGCCGTCTTCGACTTCCTTGATGTAGTTTAGGACGGTGTGGACGTCGTGCGGGGAGTTTTCCGGAGAGGTGGATTGGGTCTGTGGGGGGAGGGTATTTTTGGCGGAGGCGGGGAAGGAGGGGATGTCGCCGGTGGGGAGGTGGACTGCTGCTGTGGCCATTTCTGTATGTGTGATTTGAAGTGTGGTATAGATGGCTGTGGTGGATGTGATTAGAGCAGACCTGGGATCTACACCGCATACCCCGGTTATATATCTCATCGACATCCCTCATCATGTCCACGCCTGCACGCACGCAGCATTTGTCAGACAGAGCACGTCATACCACGCTGATAAATCCAACCCCCCTTTAACGACAATGGGTCGTCACATTTCGCACGGATGATGCAAACAGCATAGGATCGTACTCGTCGACATCCATGTGATGTCGGGGTGCTATCGACAGGGATGTCTGGGAGGGTGCCAATTACAAAGAACGCGGGGAATGCTGATTTCTAATCCGCTGCAAGGAATGCATCCGACTGCTCCGTCGTTTTTACCGAGGACCTCTACCATCACAGCGAACGCTACTAATGGAGAATATGGGACTTTCATGCTGGGAACGGTGGTCTGATTCTCAATCTATCTAGAACTCGTGTACACGTACTAGTTTGGTATGGGTTGCTCCATCCTCGGTCACGGCTTTCTCCTCCTCCAGATGATATCCGCCCCACCGTGGCAACAGGACCGTCCAGACGTACCAGTACAACACTCCAAACACGATTCTACATCCGTTAGCATAGGTTAACAGAAACAGGGGCAAGGGGAGGGAATAGGGCAGGAACATACACGCCAGTCCCAACAATCGCATATGTCGCGTAGAAGAAGCCCACGTCGCCCTTGCCGCCCTCTGGCGGGAAGAATGGCGACGCCAACAAGACCAAGGAGATGAGCACGCGCAGCCACACAGCAGGCAACCACGCCCTGAACGGGCGTGGGAGGTCGGGCTCCTTGAAACGGAGCAGCAGAAGTCCCAACGTAACAGCTAGACTGAAGAACTGGCCCGGATAGCCTTCGACATCCAGGATGAAGTTGTAGACGTCGCCTTGGGGCGGAAGGGCAATGACCAACACGGAAGGGATGTAGTGCACAATCAGTCCGCCTAGCGGTGCTCCGAACGGTCGCGAGGACGAAAGGACCTTCGACCAGGGGAGGAAGCCTTGGCGGGCGATCTCTTGGTTGACGCGGGCCTGATGACCATCAGCATTACACCTACAGAGAGGGTGGGCAGCATACCAACGCAAAAGTGACGACCATGACGTTGCCAGCCGCAGAAATTGCAATGGCCAGAGGAAGCAGCGTCCTCCCTATCTGATTCCCGAACAGCCGCTCGAACAGCAGCGCTGCCACGAGTTCTCCACTGTTCTTGATCTCCTCGATCGGGACCACCAGAAAGTAGGAGATGTTGGCCAGAAAGTACAGCGCCCCGGCCGTCAGGAGCGCCGCCGGGCACACCGTCTTGAGGGTGCGCACGGGATCCCGCACCTCATTCATGACGTTGTTCAAGTTACTCAGCCCAGCATACGAATAAATGACCTTGAAGAGCGATGTCGACAGCAGATTCCAGCTCCAGTTGGAGTCCTCCCACAGCGAGTCCCAGGAGCTGAACACACTCCCCCGCTCGTCCCCAAACGACGCATCCGTCTCGCTGGGCGGACGCACGAGAATTACCCAGATGCCCGTCAACGAGATGGCCCCGACCAGGAAGATCTTCAGCCATCCCAGCACGTTCTGCACCCAGATGCCCGTCCGCAGGAAGAACCCGTGCATGATTGTGACAGCAGTAATCAACCCCAGCGCCAGGACTTTGTGCTGCAGCTCGGTCGGTTCGACATTGAACGCGAAGAAGGTGTACTTGGCGAAGACGATGCAGTTGCTGGCCGTGAACCCCAGCAGCACCGCCTGCACGGCGATCAACGTCGAGGCCAGGAAGCGCGGCCGCGGATAGGTATACTCTAGATACACCTGCGCATGTCAATATCGAACCGTCCCCTCCAGATAAGGCAAACTACCTTATCGCCGCCCGAGCGAGGCAGCATGCACCCGTACTCCAGCGACACGGCCAGCCCGCACGCGGCGAGGACGGTGCCCACCCCCCAGATCAACAACGAGAGGCCCACACTCCCGGCGGACTTGACGATCGAGCCCGGGGTCGCGAAGATGCCGCTGCCGATGACGCGGGAGATAACAAGGATGTACGCGCTCGTCCAGGTGAGGGTTTTGGGGTTGTTGGTGGCCGGTCGGGCGGCGGCTTCGGGGTCGGGCACCTCGTCCGGGAAGACGGGTGTGCTGGAGAGGCCCAGCAGGGGCTGTCGTTCGGCTTGGGTCATGGTGGAGCGGGGGCTGGATTGATGATGGGGTTCCGTATCCCCTCGCGATGGGAGGCTTTAGATACAAGATAAACATAGATACCCAGGTAAAAGTGTCAGCAGCACTTCCTTTGCTGTGGTTGCTTGGAAATCAGCATCACACGCAGGCACGTCATTCTGTGCGCATGTTGTGTGTTCATCCCAGCTGATAACAACTTATCGCAAGGGAGGAATGACACAGCCCACAGCCTCGAAGAGGTGCGTGAGAATGACCTGTCCGAGGAGGTCATGCCGGAAATGTCTTTAGAGGTTACCTATCACCGTCTGACCCTCTAAGCTGAGCCTCCCGACCTGTCTGTGCTGAATATAAGATAAATCCAAGCAAGTCGTCCCAAGTCCAACCGATCCATAATCCCTAGCCCATGTTTCAGAATGCAGACACTCAAAAGCAAGACGCAGACGTCGTCAGCAGCGGTCGCAGTTGCGTGCCCTCGCCTCATCCGCCACGAATCACATCATCAGGGCCGGGATACATGCCATTTGCCTGCGGTGCAATTTGGTTGGTGCCGTGCATTCACCCATCCGACCGTGGCCAAACTTAGGGCTTTCTGCCCTCATCCGCGTGTTCTGCTGCCTCTCACGGATGCCCGTCCCGCCATGATGAGGCAGAGTGACGAACTGCGGTGGGCGAGATTAGATCCGAAGCCTGCAATATGGGAAGCTGCCTAGTTTTGTGTTGTGTTTTTGGGTATCATCATCCCTTGGATGCGACCGACGATCATGGCCGCATCCCGTCCGGATGATACCATCGCTGCGTGCTCAGCACGCCATCCCACCCCCGCCCCGCGCAATGCTGCCCTTCCCCAGGCGCGATAACTCTCTTTCTGCTGGGCGACTATCTCCAATCGATCGACCCTGTGGTCCGTGTGTTCCGGGAGATAGAGATAAACCTGCAGAGCATAGGTTTTCTCGGCCGGGTGACAAACGCATACATATCTAGATCGCGCGGGGTGCAAGTCGTTCCAACAAATTCATCCACCTGCCGTTTGTCGTACAGCACACACGCACGCACGTACACTCAGCCGGCACCATGACAACGATAACGACATATACTGTACCGCCCTCGCTGGACGAGAAGTACCCTCTCGTCTACGACAGCCCGGTGCGGGTTGAGCAGCGCTACTACCCGGAGAATGAATCGATCGAAGCCTCAGCACCAGCCCCAGCACCAACGCCAGCAGCGCCCCAAGCCACTCAGAGCGCCTTGCTCCTCCACGGCATCGGACAGCAATATACCCTCGTGACCGATCATGCCATCCCGTCCGTCCTGGGGAAGGAAGAGATCCTAGTCAAGGTACGTTGGTGCTTCTACGCTGCAACGGATTCTAGCATCTGACATACCCGCAGATCCAAGCGATTGGCCTCAACCCCATCGACTGGAAGGGCCCGTACGTTTCCTTTCGTCTCCCCCCCCCCTTACACCATTCCCCAACTGACCTGGCCCTAGGGCGTATAACTTCGGCATCCCCGCCCTCCCCTGGATCAACGGCCGCGACCTAGCCGGCGTGGTCGTCGCTGTGCGCGACGCCGCCCACCCGCGCATCCGCGTCGGCGACCGCGTGCTCGTCCCCTCCACCGACTACCGGGACATCCGCAAGGCCGCCTTCCAGCAGTACGCGGTCGCCACGCACTTCAACGCGGCGCGGATCCCCGAGCAGACGGGCGTGCACGTCAGCGCGTCGCTGGGGGTGGCCTTCGTGGCCTCCACCCTTGCCTTGGGCGTGTCTCTGGGATTGGACTTCTCGACGATCGCCGCGTGTCCCGGCCCGGATCTCGTGGAGGCCGTGCAGGCGATCGAGGCAGCGGAGATCCCGGCCGATGTGCGCGAGGAGTGTTTCTCGGCGGTGCCGGCGCAGGATCGCTTGCGGAGGGGCGAGTGGCTGGTTATCTGGGGGGGTGAGTTTGCGTTTCCCGTCCTAATTGGAGTCAAAGTTCTTTGGGCATGGTGTGAGGCTAATGCTCGATAGCATCGACAACCACGGGGATGATCACTCTGCAACTGGCTAAGCTAGCCGGTTTGAAAGTGATCTGCGTCGCCGACGTTGCCCGCCATGGGGCGCGACTGCACGTCCTCGGGGCGGATGTGCTGGTCGACCGACACGATCCCGCCCGCGCGGTGGAGATCATCCGCGGGGTGACGGGGGGCCAGCTGCGGTACGCGATCGATATTGTCGGGCGGGACACCGCGACGCTGCTGCAGGGGGTGTTGGATGAGACTGTGCGCGAAGATGGTTCGCATGCGCATCTCCTGGGGTTGACGGGGTTGCCCAAGGAGCGACGGGTCGGCATCAAGTACCACACTGTGCCCATCAAGCTGTTCCATTCTTCGCTTGGGGTGGGAGAGAAGATGGTCGCGTGGTTGGAGGCGTTGCTGGCGTCGAACACGCTGCTTGCGCCGGAGGTGGTGCGCCATGCCGGCGGGCTGGAGGGGGTCAACGCGGCGCTGGATACGCTGCGGCAGGGCAGTGTGTCGGGGAAGAGGATCGTGGTGGACTTGGAGGGTTGAGATGGGTTTACTTTTGGCTGAATTGTAAATAATGGCAATAGATTGGATGTGCATAGGCATAAAATTATACAGGTGCTTGATATACAGGTTATTTCGCTACGGAGCCGGCAGGCTTGGCACTGTCCTAGGGCTGCAGGGTGTATACAAGGACCAGGTAGTATGCCTTCACTTTTGCACTCTACAGTCGTCCTTAGGATAAATGTCTGTCCCTCGAAGATTCAAATGATGTTAAGTGGCAGCTGGCTGCTGCGATCATGCGCGTACCATCCCCATCTCCAACATCTCACGAGTGGCAGGTCAATCACCCGTGTCATCATCGGCACCGCATCTGGCGCAATCGAGGCCGCCTCGCACGTCTTCCCGAACCCCTCCATCGGAAGAACGTCGCGACACCACCTCTCGGGCGAGTCATGAGGGGTAATTGTGTGTCAGGACCGATAAGAATGTTTATCTTTCTCCAATTCCGCCGTATATAACAAATACCCGAACTACAGCACACCACCACCACCACCACCACAACACCCACTACTGCCCTCCTTCCTCCTCCACCCCATTTCCCTCTTCTCTACTCTTACTCAACAGAGGGAACTATATTTCAGGATAAAAGCTTCAATCAAAAAAACAACCTCACTTTACACAACCACCAAAATGGGCAGCACAACACCCCCCAAGAAACAACTCATCCTCAACGCCTTCGCCATGCAGTCGCCCTCGCACCTCAACCCGGGCCTGCACCGCTACCCGCCGGACCAAGGCCACAAATATACCTCCCTCGCGCACTGGATCCAACTGGCCCAGAAACTCGAGGCGGCCAAATTCCACGCCATCTTCTTCGCCGACGTGCTCGGCGGCTACGACGTCTACAAGGGCCCCGCCAACCTGACGCCCACCATCCCCGCCGGCGCACAGTTCCCCATCAACGACCCGCTCTACAGCATCCCCGCCATGGCCGCGGCCACGCAATCCATCAGCTTCGGGGTAACCGCCTCGACCACCTACGACGCCCCGTACGCGCTGGCCCGCCGCTTCTCGACGGTCGACCACCTCGCGCAGGGCCGGGTGGGCTGGAACATCGTGACTTCGTACCTGGACTCGGCGGCGCGGAACTTCGGGCTGAACACGCAGGTCGAGCACGACGAGCGCTACCGTATCGCGCACGAGTACCTCGACGTGGTGTACCAGCTGTGGGAGGCGTCGTGGCGCGACGGCGCCGTCCACCCGCACGGCGACGGGGTCACGGGGTACGCCGACCCCACCGCCGTGCGCCAGATCAACCACAAGGGCAAGTACTTCGACGTCCCCGGCCCGCATCTCTGCGAGCCGAGTCCCCAGCGCACCCCCTTCCTCCTGCAGGCGGGCACGTCCAGTGCCGGGAAGAGCTTCGCGGCGAAGCATGCCGAGGCCATCTTCTTGAACGGCCAGTCGCCGGAGCTGGTGCGGCCGTCGGTGGATAGTGTGCGCCAGCAGGCGAGGGAGCTGGGGCGGGATGCGGATGCGGTGAAGATCGTGGCGGGCGTGCTGGTGATCGTGGCGGAGACCGACGAGAAGGCCTGGGAGAAGTTCCGCGAGTATGGCCGGTACGGGGACAAGGAGGGGGCGTTGGCGCTGTTCGGGGGTTGGTCGGGTTACGATCTGGCGAAGTACTCGGATGAGGAGGATTTCCGGTTCGTCGAGGCCCCCGCGGTGCGGAGTATGGTGAATCACTGGGCGAAGACGGTGCCCGGGGGCGAGGGCAAGAAGTGGAATAAGGCGACCATTGCGGAGTATCTGGTTATGGGCGGCAATGGGACCAAGATTGTCGGGGATGCGAAGACCGTCGCGGATGAGCTGGAGCGGTGGGTCGAGGTCGCGGATGTTGATGGGTTCAATCTCAGCTATGCGAGTGTGCCGGAGACGTTTGATGATATTATTGAGTATCTGGTGCCGGAGTTGCAGCGCCGGGGATTGTTTCACACCGAGTATGAGGTGCCTGGGGGCACGATGCGGGAGAACTTCTATGGGATCAAGGGGCAGACGAGATTGCCGGAGAGTCATCATGGGGCGAGGTATTTCTGGCGGGAGGGGGAGGAGGCTCCCAAGTATACGTTGCAGGAGGAGTAATCGGGGGTAGAGAGGGAGGTGTTGGTGAAAATGTACTTTACATGGTTGATGCTATTTTGGATTGATATGGCCGAATAGTCTGGCACGGTAGCATAGGATTGAAGGGATGTTCTCCATTATGATAACGTGTTTAAGCGCATCGGGTATGGTCCTCTGTTGACATATCTATGATTGGGAGATAGGCTTGTCAGATGCGTTGCTCGTCCCTCCTTCAGAACCAATACGTCTTCCCCGCAATGCTCCCTGGATTCTCGGTCGTCCCCGGCGCCACTCCCACCTCACGCAGCTTGGCTTTCAACCGCGCAGTGACTGCAGCCGGATACTCGGACGACGAGTGCGCGGGACCCTTCCCCGTCGCGGCCAGTTGATCGGTAAGGTGGTTGTCGGTCCTGAAGAACGGCACCGAGAGAACACCGCTGGCGTTGGCGCATGCCTGATACAGTGTCTGGAACCTGTCCTCGCTGTATCCCCCGCCGGTGATGACGGCGCGAGGAGCGATGGTGAAGTCGTTGGGGCCGACCTGGGTGTGGAGGGCCGATGCTGGCGGGGCTTTTCCTGCGAGGATGAGCGGGACTTCTTGCTCTGCGGCGGGGAGATTGTGGCCGGCGTAGACAACTGCTGTCGTTTAGTCTCGTCATAGGACTATTATGTCGGTGCGGAAGGGGGGTGTTGCAGACCGTCGTACTCCGGGAGCATGTGTGCGCGGACGAGGGCTGCGACTTCGCGCTTGGCGCCACAGAGAATTACGGGGATGGCGGTGGTCATGTTGGTGGATTATGTGACCAAGGTTCAAGGTGAGCGATCGCCATTCCTTGCGCCTTTATATGACTGACAAATAATGCAAGGGGCGTCTGGGAATTGGATGATTACGAAGCGAGACGCTTCGGGGATGACTTCTGTCCCGAGACCTTTGCCACTTCTACGGTGAAAATGGGCTGGCTGTATTGCAGCTGGCGGACGTGGTGGGCACGATCCCCTCTGCAAAACTCATGAAGTCATCATCTCCTTCGGGGTTGAGGTCGACCCCGAGCATGAATAAGCACTTCCCACCCCACTTCAACATATAAACCGAACATCACCCCTCCAACGAGATCATCGAATTTTCTCCTCCCAAGTTATCTGTAAAGAGTGGCACCGATAATGTCAGATCCACCCAAGCCCCTCCACGACAATGTCTCACGCACCAAATCCAGCTCCCCACTCGGACGAGCCGTCTTCATCGGCCTCCGCGCCGCCGACGTCTGGTGGCAGTACAGCCTGCTAAGCCAGGGCTGGGCCTCGCAGCTCATAACCAAGCTGGGTGGCTCTCCCGTCGTGGCCGGCAATGTCTGGGCCACCTCCAGCAGCAGCCTGCACCTCTACTACCACCTCGTCAGCCTCCTCTCCCTGGGCAGCAGCATCAAGCAGATCGCCACCATGCTCTTCGTCTCGGAACAGGAAACCCCCGTCGGCTCCGCCGCGCTGATCGCCTTCTTTAACACGGCATTTAACACGATAAACACCCTCCTTGCCATCTGGTCGCGCACTTCCCAAGCCCCAGCCTCCACCAGCAAGACCCTATGGCACTTCATCCTTGCAAACCCCACCGTAACCGTGGGCTTCAGCGCCTACCTCGTTGGTATTCTAACGGAGGCAGTCTCCGAGTTCCAGCGCCGCGCATTCAAGAAAGACCCCGCCAACAAAGGCAAGCCCTACGGCGGGGGTCTGTTCTCGCTGGCGACCAACATCAATTACGGGGGATATACCGTCTGGCGGGCGGGGTATGCGATGGTGACGGGCGGCTGGCCGTTGGCGGCGGCGACCTTCGGTTTCTTCTTCTGGGATTTCGCGGTGAGGGGCGTTCCGGTGTTGGATGAGTATCTGGTCGGTCGGGTGAGTGTGTCTTTATTTCTGGTTGCGTTTACGTGGGGGAGAAAACGCGGTGGCTGACTTTTTCTAGTATGGGCAGGCTTATGAGGAGATTAAGGCGCGGGTGGGATATCGGTTGATTCCTTGGGTTTATTGAATTTCTGTCTGCGATATTGTTAATTGGAGTGATAGCTGGAAGCTTGGTACCATCAGTAGAAGTTGAGGTGTGATGGGGCAGCGAGCTTAGTGGATTTCACTGTAAGCATATCGGAGATGGCAGGCTTGAGGATACCTGTCATAGGCCTGAATGACTGCTAGCATTCCCGAGTGTAAAAAAGTTTATGTTCTTGTCAGCGTTGGATATCGACCTAATGACATCCAGTCTTGTACCGAGAAGGGTGTCAGATTGTAAGGTGAATGTTCTCCGGAACCCTTGTCACTTACTAGGGCTATGATTCATGAGGACAAGCCATCCTACTTCTTTCATCGTTATTGACTTTCCACCTTTCTTTGTCTGCCATGATTCAGAGACAGGCAGATTGCAAGCTTTGAAAATGGGACCAGGTCCCCCCTGTGGGTCTTGGTGCTATAGAAGAGACAGATCCCAATAACTAGGGTCAGATCCAACTAAAGAGTTGCATAGTATATCATAATCGTTCTGGATGACGAACAATGTAAAAACAATCCAGTATTCCAGAAATCTAGCACCAATGCAGCGTACAGCTGTCAAGAGGAAGAGCGTTTTCTCGCCACCGGAGCAGTGAATGGCTTTGCCTTCTGTTAGATCCTCTTTCCCTGTAGGTGAGACAGTAGGGGCAAACCCGAGTCACAGTCAGGAACTGCGATGAGTGTGCTAGCTGATTGGGGCTGCACCAACAACTAGGACGCTTGTTTGAGGCAAAACTAATGCCTGGGGAACCACTGCGGGGCATTTAGCCTTGAAGCGAGTGGGATCCAACAGGCAAGACCCTAAGGAAGATCGGATACGGCCGATTCTGATGTTAGACGCTGAGGCTGGAGGATGTGGGGTGTCGGTTGGCGCCTTGAGCCGCCGGCCTCGGCCCGACAGTTGCTTCGGATAGGAATATACATAGTACCATCAATTATGTGGTTGCCTAAGGGAGAACGCCCCACAGCCCCATTGACCAGTATGATAGTGTAGGCAAACACAAATTTCTGTCTTAGCCTACCTATGATGACCGATCTTGAGCTTGTAACTGGTCCGCGCTGTGCATGGCCCGCAAACACCACCTGCGCTTGGTGCCGCCATCAGCGACTTAGACCCTGAACATGAGACCCTGTTGGAGTTCATACCCGCTTCAGTCAAAGGGTGTTCGGGATTCTTGAAATTTGTGCCATCGCTTTAAGTGGCAGGTTGTGGATATCGAGGGGAACACCATGCATGATGGGCTTCCGTTTGGATGGCACCCCCAACTGTTCAACTGTGGTGAGTCGACGAAGGGGTCAATTACTTTCCAAAATTGTATAATGAGTGTAGTACCAGCGTCTACTATCAACACACATCGAATATCAGCAACCCCACAGATGGCTATGTCTTACCCTAAAAGGCCGGTGCTCCTTGGCGACACCTGCCCCTGTTTTTTAAATCGCTGCCTGAAATCAACTATCCAACAGTATCCACAGCGACAAATGTAGAACGTTTGTATATGATAAGTAGACTCTTGCAGCCACTATTCTCCAATACAAATCACCCAAGATCACAAACTTCTTATCATCGGCTCTCAAATCTCTCTCCCAACTGTTTCTCCAAGCAAACTATTCCACCCACCATGCCAACCCTCAAATCCACCGCCGCTTTCCTCCTCCTCGCCCTCGCCCTAGACGCAGCAGCCCAGCCCACCACACAAATCACCATCGGCAACAACACCCACGACGAAATCACCTGCGCCGTCTTCAACTGGGACCGTCAGCCCGTCTCCTGGGGCGAATACCCGCCTCTCCGCGTCAGCGCAGCCTTCAGCTGCCCCAACACCACCACCACCACCACCACCGCCACTAACAACACCAACGCCTGCGAGATCACGGGCACGGGGGGGTACAGCACCTACTACGCCGTGACGAATTTGACCGGCCTCGCGGCGGGCCCACTGACGGCCCTGGTCCAGAAGACGGTCGACAAGAAACAACTGCAGACGAGCAATTTCAGCGCCCAGGCGACGGTTTACAATGGGGTTGGCCGCACGCCCCTCGCGCCGGGCCAGTCGGCGTACGCCGTCGAGATCGGCCGCAGCTATTGCTTCACGGGGACGGTGGCCCGCTGCGCGGGCGGCGACCACCAGATCCTCGACGACACGCCCGTGCGGGTGTGTTCGCCGCTGTGGCAGTATGTCCGCACGGTCGGAAACGTGATCGTGTCCTACGGCGGAATAGTGAATGTGACTCGCGAGCAGGTCGCCAACTTGACGGATCCGTTTGCCGGTCAGAATGTGACGCTGCCGAACAGGGCGGCGGGGGGGTTCGCTGGCGCGGGGAATGGGTGGTTGACCGGGCTGGTGGTTACGGTTATGGTAGCTCTGATGGTTTGATGTCCTTTATATATCTTTAAATCTATGATTTGCTTTTGTGTGTGATGAGGTGATATGCTTATGATTGGGCTCTGCGGGGACGCGTGATTCTGCTAGCTTATGATGCAATTGGTTATGTTATTTGTTCTTTGAAAATGTCAAAATAGAGAGAACCTCTTCTTTTTTTTCCCTCTCTTTTTCCTTATTAACTATCCCTTTCCCTTTTCTTCTTTCACTTGTGTTTGTTTTCTTTCTCTTCTCCCTTGTCATCGTGGAATAGGATCTGTAAGAGTAGAGGCAGTAGACATGATCTAAGAACTGTACTGTATCCTTCTACATATATAGCCTCGCTCACACTGTCTCTGGTTTTAGTTATACATCCAGTCATAGTGTACATTGCAAAAACACAGACTACTTTTCTCATCCTTAGCAAACTCCTACTACTAGTGTTCTAGATTCTGCCGTAGCGATGTTGGTATCTGTAATCAGATATAGGAAATGCTTACTGTCTACAACAAATATCAATATATCATTGTCCATCTTCGCAGTTGATATTACCATTCTTGTTATCTACTGAAAAGAATATGGAATCGATATAGCACTAATCCCTGTGGACATTAGCCCCTTGTAGCAGGATGGCATATCTCAGCTACCTTAGAAGAATTCTCTCTACTGTCTCTTGGACCATCCACAAAAGATAAAGTACCATCCATCCATAAAATTCACCTATGGAGGTTTATAAGGCACTAACCAAATGTAGGTCGCGATGTAAGTCAGCCTTTCCCGAAACGGTAAAGCTTTAGTTATTTATGCCTCAGGCATAAATATTGGGCTCCGAGGTAACACTACAATTTCACCCCGTCCCAGTACTTGCCGATCCAGAGCACACACTTGTAATCATGATAATATAGAATCCCGCCTTATCTCCGCATTTAAGAGGCGAAGGCTGCTCTGAAAACAGAATAAGTACCCGGGAACAGATCTCCTCGACCCTAAATCACCGCGCAGGTGACCTTCAACCTGTCATCCGATGGAGATCCGGGGAAATTTACTCGTGTGACAGGAAAGACCCTCGGCTTATTCTCTCGGGCGAGGAGCTATCGATCTCAGAAATCAAGAACCCAGCCCGAAGATTGAGAATATAAAAGTGTATGATGTCATCACGGGAGTCAATTCGGACGGCCGCGGTTCCTGGTGCGACCAAGACAAGGTTAAAAAGCATTTCTTCGACCATTGTTGATCATCTAGCTCGTCAATTACTGGTACGAGCTATGAGACATGAAAGCCTTCGCACATTCTATCTTAGCTGTGGTGGCAACATGGCTGCCCCATGATACGACTCCCCCAACCTCCCTTGCAGCGAGGGCCAGTGCTGCGCCGGGGAATTCTTCCGCGGTGAACCTGACGGTCATTCCGTCTGGAGGAAATCTATCCAGTCCGTTGCTGTATGGGATTATGTTCGAGGTATATGCCAGTCGCCTCCTCAAGAGCGTGATAGCTGACCTTCTGTCCTCCCAGGAAATGGATCATTCCGGTACATCCCGCCCTCCCGGCGCAGCAACAACGCTAAGATGATCAGGCGACGGCGGAGTCCACGGACAATTACTACAGAACAACGGTTTTCAAGGGGCCAATCCCGGTCTGACTGCCTACAAGCCTATCGGCCAAGCAGAGATCATGCAAGACTACCTGTATCCGGTGAGCGGTGCGATCACTTCTTCCCTGCAAGTCTCCGTACCAGCGAACGGCGCCACGGGCCTGGTCGGATTCGCCAATACGGGATACAAAGGCATTCCGGTGGTTAATACCACATATTGGTGTGAGTTCTGGATGCTGGGTGATTACACCGGAACGATCACCCTCCAGCTGGCCGGCTCATCCAGTGGAACGATCTTCGCTTCGCATAACATCACGGTGGCCAGCACTCAGAACAACTTCACCCGACACACGACGATGTTCAATGCGACAGCGGCACCTGACGGCAACAATGAGTGGAGGCTGCTGTTCAATGCATCTCAGGTCTCTGGGGGGACGTTGAATTTTGGACTCCCCCAGCTGTTTCCGCCTACGTACAAGTCGAGGTGTGCTTTGTATGCAGTAGCAACAGGAACAAAACTAACGTAGTCAAGGTTAAATGGACTCCATCACGATATTGGCAAGGTCATTGCAGAATTGACACCGTCATTCTTGCGGTTTCCCGGGGGCAATAACTTGTATGACTTCGTTTCTAGCCCGAACCAACTCTCTATCTGATATCTGATTAATGTTTGGCAGGGAAGGTCTGGAAGTCGACAGTCGTTGGAAATGGAACCTTACCATTGGACCAGTAGCCGAGCGTCCTGGGAGACAGAGTGATTGGTTTTACCCCAATACTGACGCGCTAGGTAGGACGGACGCGCCCGACTAATTCGACTGTGTCTAACGAGTCATCCAGGTCTGGACGAGTACCTATGGTGGTGCGAGGATATGAACATGGCTCCCGTGCTGGCCGTCTGGGACGGCAAGTCTTACGGCGACATCCTATCCGGCAAGGAGCTTGAACCCTACATCCAGGATATTCTCCACGAGCTTGAGGTGAGTCGGCCTGGTCGCATCGATCCCGAAGCTAATCGAGTAGTACCTTCTCGGCGCCCCCAATACCACCTACGGAAGTCTCCGCGCCAAGAACGGACGCGTGCAGCCCTGGTCAGTCCAGTATATCGAGGTCGGGAATGAAGACGACTTCACCGGGGGCTGCGCAACGTATCCCCGCCGCTTCATGCAGATCTACGACGCCATTCACCGTAGCTACCCCAACCTCACGCTGATCGCCTCCGCCAGCGACCCGCAGTGTCTGCCTTCCAATCCACCCCCGGGAATTATGTACGACTTCCACTACTACCGCAGTCCAGACCAGCTGGTCGCCATGTTCCACGAATGGGACCACCAGTCCCGCTCGCGCCCGGTGATAATTGGCGAGTACGGCTGTCGCAATACCAGCTCTCCCGACGGGTTCTACTGGACGTTCATGCAATGCAGTTGCAGCGAAGCGGTGCACATGATCGGGCTGGAGCGGAACAGCGATGTCATCAAGATGGCGTCTTATGCACCCTTGCTGCAGAACTTCCCCTACACCCAGTGGTCGGTACGTACCATTTTATGGGTCCTTGGTGGTTGAGACTCCCGTTGACAGTTGCTAAAAGCCGACGCTGATCGGATTCGACTCGAACCCCGGCTCCCTCACCCTGTCCACATCGTACTGGGTCCAGAAGATGTTCTCCAACTACCAGGGGCAGACCATCCTGCCAATGAACTCGACGGCCAGCTTCGGTCCATTGTACTGGGTCGCGTCACGGACTAACGGGACGTACATGGTCAAGATGGCCAACTACGGCAACGACCACCGCACAGTGAGAGTCACGGTCCCGAATACCACAGCGGGACATGTGGAGATGCTATCCGGTCCGCGGGATGGAGTCAATCTCCCGCATAATTCGGCCATCCAACCCGTGATACAGAACGTGACGGGTAGCAAGGACAGCTATACGATACAGATGCCGGCGTGGGGGGTCGCGGTGCTAGTTGTGCATTAAAGCGAGGTAGTTACTACTAATACCGTTGTGCATAAGCTAGCATACAATGCTATTCACATTTTTTTCTTCGTCTCGAATGGTATCGTATCAATAACCCAGCCCTAGAACCAAATCACAGTTTCGCAAGCCTCTCTCCCAGAAAGGAGAATCCAATTCAACCCTCAACCCCATACACCCCCAAATCCGCATCCATCCCCGACAAAGCATAAACAGCACTCCTCCGCCCTCCGAAAGCTTTCAACGCTCTCTCCCCCCTGTTCTCCAAGCCAATTTTCTCTAACACCCGCCGACTCCGGGCGTTATCCACATCGCAGAACCCAAACACCCCGTCCACCCCCAATTCTGTGCAGGCATACTCGACCATCGCCCGCCCGGCTTCCGTCGCATACCCCCTCCCGTTCCCCTCGGGCAGCACGCAGAACCCGATGTCGGGGACACTGTATCCGTCCGGCGGAGTGCCTTGCATCAGGGAGATGGTGCCGATGGGGACGCTTTCGTCCAATGTGGCGGTGGGATGCGGTCGGCGGGAGAGGAGGAAGATGCCGCGCTGGTGGTTGAAGGTGGTGTAGATGTTTTGCAGGCGCTTTGTCAGGAAGTTTGTGGCGTCGTGGGGATTTTTGAAGGGAGAGGGTCCGCAGGAGGTGGTGAAGTCTGGGGTGGTCCAGAGGTGGTAGAGGAAGGTACTGTGCGTTGGGGTGGAGGAGAGGAGGGAGATGTGCAGGCGCGGGGTCGAGGTGAGGATTGGGGAGGGGGATGTCGGGGCGGGGGTTAGCATTGTTCTGGCTGTTGGATTGGTGTCTGAATTGTAGTGTTTCTTTACTCTTCTGGTTTTAATGAGGATTGTGTCGAGGTAGTGACTGTCGTGGTATATTATCAAAGATAATTGTCTGGGGGTTATTGAAGGTAAGCTTAAGAGATGTAAAGAGCGGTAGATGCAGCTGAGATTGAGTCATGCCTTTATCGGTGAGTCAGGCAATACACATACAACGACTAGTTCAATGTTATTGTCGAGGCTTTAGTGGTCAGAGGCAGATAAGACTGAGGCTAGCTAATATAGCGCCAGTCTTTCAATGCTCCGTTGCCGGAGATATCCGTGGCTAGCCCGACGAACATCCGGGTGCTGTTTAGCCATCGCCGGTGCATTGAGGCAGACAGTTGCCTAGTACTCCCAAAGTCTGACAGTTATGTATGTGAGAAATAAGCAGTTACTCGTGTTGCATGCAAGACCACCTCTATGCACCTATATCCTCAGGTTACTCCCTCACCGCGCAGAACCAAAGCATCCGCACATTCTCATCGGTAAAGGACACGTTCCGCGTCTTCTCCCACTCCTCCTCCCAGTACAACTCGGCCTCCACCCGCCACCGCGTCCCAGTCACCTGCCCAACATCATACCAAAATCCCTTGATCGACTCTACATTGTGTCGATAATGCACTTGGTCATTCATGAACCCGTGCATCGTGTAGTGTCCCGCCAGCCGCGTCCCCATCTGCCGCCCGGCAATCATCACCCCGGGTTGGTCCTTACACAGCCGGACCAGTCGCGCGGCCACCTTGACCTGGGTCTCATATTCCCACAGATGAAGTACAGAGTTTGTTAGTACGACCTCGATCTTCCCATTCACCGTCTGCGCGAGTCTCTCCCTTGCAAACTCCTCGTCCTCATCCGCGGTAAGATCTCCAGTGACGAACGTCGCATCCAGACGGTCGGCATCGCGAAAGAGTCGGTAACCCAGATCAATAAAGATCTGCTCGAGGTCGCAACCGAAGAGCTGGCGGCCAGGGATACCCTCGTTGGCGAGGTAGCGGATTTCCTGTCCGACGCAGCAGCCCACGTCCAGGAAGCCGGCGGCGGGGTTCGCGCGGAGGTGGTCCATCACCTGGGGATAGAAGGGGAGGGTGGCGAGGTTGAAGGACAGGAAGCGCATTTGGCCGATGCAGGGGTATTGGCACACCTTGAAGGCCTCATCGCGCTGTGGTGGGTTAGTCGTGCGACTGCTTTCCGTCGTTTGGCTAAAGGGGCAGAGCTTACCACTGCTAGCACATGGGGGATGACTTCGTCTGGCTTGAGATTGCTGTAGCTCTCGAGTAAGCGTTGCGCGGTGGGGTTGATGGATGTGACCTCGGTTTCGAACCAGGCGGGCTGGGCTGGGGGTTCCTCGGATGCGGTCATGGTCACTCCGTCAGACGCGGTTTACGGGAATGCGTTCAGACCAAGTCAGACTGATGGGCGTGTCTAGGCCTTTAAACCCCAGCCTCGTCATGGGAGTGAGACCACTCGGAGGGGGGAAAGTGGGCTCCCGTTGCGGTGCGCTAGCCCTAATGGCGGGTTCGTCAACGCTAGAGCTATAGTACAAGCAGGGAAACCATTAACTGACTATCGTGCCGCGTCAAACTCTAGTCTATCGGGCAGCTTGTTAGAGTCTGGGTTAGAAGAAGGCCAATGTACATGCCGGATTTCTCCGCAACGCTCTCATGCAAAACTCGATAATGTCCTCTAATATGTGACAATCCATGGAACCTCACCTGCGATCTTTGATCGGCTCAAAGAGAAGGCCTATTTTGAAGAAGAACACCTCATGCGGCAAAGTAGCTCAGGTCTATATAAGGCTCGTAGTGTTCACATCTAGGCATCGACATCACCATCATATCACCAACCCCTTTACTACGAAAAATTGGGACTAACAGTAGCAGTCATGGAGAGCAGTGTGCTAAAATATCACGCGATGGAATACGTGGCCCGCCTACTCGACAATAGTGCCATCCCCTACTGTCTAGTCGGGGAGTCGGTGCTTGAGCTCTACGGCCTGCAGCGCAAGCTAGGCATATTCACAGGTTTCGCCATCCCCACGAAATGGATGGAACACGCCCAGCATGCGTTGCAGCACGCCGGGCATTTTGAGTGCCGCAGCCACTGCGACGCCCGCGCGGGCTACAAGCCCGCCTTCAAGGAGGATGTCCCTCCTATAGCACCCGCCTGGCATTTTCACATGCCCCCGCCTCCCTTCGCAGGGGGCGAGCATGGCTTCTATGGGCGCAGCACGTTTCTCTGGGGGTACGTCGTGAATTTCTACAATCACTCGGATGTGCTCTGGTTCTTCCCCGAGCCGCCCCGCGGCGACCCCACGACGGCGCCCCGTCCGCCCCTCGGAGATAATGTGCCCCCCGAGGGACTGGGCGTGCTGTCGGACTACTACATGCTGTCCGATGATCTGCGCCTGTCGTCTCACCGGCGGCACGCGCCCGAGCGCTATCCCATCAAGATCCCCACTCCGCACCGCTATCTGGAAACCATCATCTGCCAGATGTGCGTGCACCGGCAGAAGCGGGAGCTAGGGCTCGCCGAGACTTGCGTCGCCATCTTCCACCGCTTGACTCTGCCGCGCCGGCTGAACCCCCAACTCCAGGTCGTGTTGCGATTGTGCGAGTTGTCCGAGCCCTTCCGCGGCTTCGTGGAGAACCACTTCAAGGACCCCGAGGACCCGACCAAGTCGGACGATGGGTGGGAGGAACGCGTCCTCGCTTTCCTCTACACAAAGCCGGAGATGCACATGTTGCTATCGTAAGTGAAGTTTCATCTACGCGAATGGCATCCCCTGCCTCTAGTACACGAATTTAGTACGTTAACGATAATTGCAATCGCAGCCGATATTCATTCAATCACAACGCTATGCTTAAGCCATACAATGTCAAAAGAAAAAGGTAAGAACCCTAAGAACACCATGACGCTTCCTAAACCCCCTCAGCTCTGCGTCTCAGAAACATACTCGTCATTCAGCTTCTTCTCCAGGGCCTGTTCTTCTGAAACAGCGCGCAGTTCATCCAACTCCACGAACCCTAATGTCCGTAACCCGACCACCAAATACCTTTCCCAAACCGACACATCATCTTTCGTCTGCGGACTAGATTCCATGTCAGAGTCATACCCAAGCATATACCAAAGCAAGGTGAGCAAACTTACTCCCTCAAACAGCTTGACCGCAGCGTCACCCACTCATTCAACTTCTTGATATACGCCATGGCCAGCACAAACCCCAGCGACGCCCCCGGCACCTGGCTCTGATGCACACTGAACACCGCCGCCAGCGGCACCGAAATCGCATACACCGTGCTATCCTTGACCACACCGCGCAGGTACGGCGTGCGGGAGAAGTAGAAAATCGCCAACCGCGTCCAGATGAACCCTTCTAAAGAGTACACGCTGAGGGTATGGAGGCTCGGGATGCGGAACGCATATGCCGCTACCGTGGCGAGAGGCCGCAGGCACGCGGCGGCCTGGTAGGGCGGGCGGGTCGTGCGGGGATGGCCGCGGCGGAGCGTGCGCAGCAGCACGAAGCTCGTCCACGACCAGATCACGCTGCTCAGCACGTCGAGCTCATCGGGGAGGATGGGTTGCGGGTGTGGAGTCTGCGCTTTGGCGAGCCAGTAGCGGAAGTATTCGAGGATGCCGGTGGCGATGTGCAAGGAGAGGGAGGTGGTGTTCTTGGCGAATTTGATGTGGTAGGTCGGCGCGTGCCAGATGGTGTGATATAGAATCACGGCGGTGTAGACTACGACGCGGTTGAGGAGGGCGAGGGTCTCGGGGTTATTGGGGATTCTGAGGTGAAGGGGTAGGGGGTTGGTGATGGATAGCATTTTGGTAGGGCTGGTTGTTGGGTTTCCATGCGAAAGATTTGGGGTTAGGTGGTAAGGCAATACTGGTGTGGTCTGTCTTGTCTTCTTATGGTGTGTGGGATTGAAGGTGGTCTGTAGCTCATCAGCCACATTTGTATGTCAGTGATTTGTTGCATCATTCTATGGTTCCTAAGAGATATGCATGACGTTTATGTAGTGCCCGTAATTCAGAGGTGTTTACGGTGGAAATTAAGTCGCCACAGCCTGCCTCGATCTGATATGTCCATGATCATGTAGAGTTTCTCCCGTGATGACTGCACGTCGAATCATGACCAGGTCTGGCTAGTTGAAAATGCAGCGATAGCTGAGCATTCTGATCTCGGGCACAATCGTATGCTGACGCAATGACGTAACAATTGCTGGTGGTGGCCTATTTTGTAGCGCATGACTCGTATGCAGTCAAGACGTGCAGGAAGTATCTTTCAGACATCCCTTGCGTCGATCATGCAGGACTGAGCCGTGCCTCTTCACCATTATTCGCTACACTATGGTTATGCATGTCCATCGGCTTAGTCATTGTTGTGTAAAGCCACATTCTTGGCGCCACAGATCTTGTCGACTATCACCTGCCCGACTGAGAATCCTATGCAGCTATGACCTCACTCCATTTTACATTCCCACATGGATGCGTGTTCTCTCCTCATGCGATTGCCTTTATCAGTCAGGCATGTCGGCCCTGACTCGTCGTCGGGTATGTCGCGCGACTGATTGGCCTTGAAATCAGAGGATTCGTCATGTAGCAGGAGAGTGTAGACAGCATGGCACCCCATTGCAAGTATAGAGCCGTCAGGAACTGGTTATCGAAACGGGTAGGACCAGATTCCAGATAGGTGGCACAGGTGCGCAATCGGTCTCGCGAATCAGCATACCTTAGGTATCAAGGGTTTATCTAGGCGTGGCTCCGTCCTTCGCATTCCCCGGCTAAGGTCCCATCTATAGGCCATGCAGGGTCTTCCGAAACTATGGTGATTGAACATACCTATATTGAAGTGTGACCGTAGAAAGCATATAGTATCTTCACATGAGAATTTCTCCTAAACATGATTGTGAGCCGTCTTCGACATATAAGTGTGCCACAGCTGGCTCGTAATTAATTCAACAAGTCCCCGAGAATTCGTGAGTTGTTTATTACCTGGTAGTGTCGCTTGTTAGATCAGACAGTGGAAGAGGCAGACCATGACTGCAGAACTACCAAGCTTAAAACACTTGAAGGAAGCGATTCCTAACTCATGTTTCGATCCGTCCCTTTGGACCTCCCTGAGCTACCTTGCTCGCGATATCCTCTATGCCGCAGCTCTGGTTTACTCTACAACTTACATCCCGCTGCTGGAAAGTGGTTCCCTGCGGTTCTTGGCATGGTGCATCTACGGCCTCCTGCAGGGGTTCGTGGGCACCGGCCTATGGATCCTGGCCCACGAATGCGGCCACGGCGCCTTCTCTTTGTATCCGCTGCTAAACGACATCATCGGCTGGATTCTACATTCCACCCTGCTGGTGCCCTACTTCTCCTGGAAGATCACGCATGCGCGCCACCACCGGTACTCGGGCCACATGGAGAAAGACACTGCGTTCGTTCCACCGACTAGAGCAGAGTATGCGGCAAAGCGGCGCAGGTGGATGGACGACCTGGATGATCTCGTCGAAGACACCCCCCTCAGCACGCTGCTGAAATTTGCAGCTCACCAGCTGCTGGGGTGGCAGGCCTACCTCCTTTTTTACGCCACCGGGGCGAAAGCATCGATTTCCCGTTCGGAGACGCAGACTTGCACTTCCCTGCCCCTCTCGCATCTGTCCCCCGATAGCCTGCTTTTTTATCCCAAGCAACGACCATCCGTGCTACTCTCCGACCTCGGTATGGCCCTCACCATCCTAGGTCTGGTGCACCTAAGCTCCATTCTCGGCCCCTCGCAAGTGATCCTCCTGTACATTTTACCCTATTTCTGGATCCACCACTGGATAGGTCAGCCCATCCGTCCTTTCCTAAGAAACACTATGCTAACAAATCTGCAGTGGCCATAACCTACCTCCACCACACCCACCCGCAGATCGCGCACTATTCCTCCGAGACCTGGTCCTTCACGCGGGGCGCGCTGGGCACCGTCGACCGCAGCTTCGGGTTCATCGGGCGGCATTTCTTCCATCACATCATCGACCACCATGTCATTCATCATCTGTTCCCCGGCATCCCGTTCTACCGGGCCGAGGAAGCTACCCTGGCGGTGAGGCCGCTGCTGGGGGCGGAGTATATCGAGTTGCGGGAGGAGAATTTCTTGATCACGCTTTGGCGGACGTTTCGGCAGTGTCGGTTTGTCAGTGATGGCGATGAAAGGGGGGAGAAATCTGGTGTTTTTGAGTGGAATGTGGTTGTGGATGGGTGTGGGGAGGAGTTCGGGGAGGGGGTTCGTCGGTGAGGTCGGAGGGAGTATGAGTGGTGTTTTCTGTTGCATCTCAAGACAACAATATATATAACGAATTCTAGTGTCAAGCGGTATGGCGCTCTGCTCCATATGTCTTGGAGTACGGCTACTGCATTTAGGGGTTCCAAGTCCTTCATGAAAGAGAACATTTAGCAGTCACAGATATCAGAACAAGCACTTTCGTAAGAAAGGTTTAATTGTCCAATATCATCGACAGTTATGCACCACTTGTCAAAGTAGTCACAAACCAGCCATATTTTTAACTACCATGATTATCTCAGCTCACAAACTAAACCTTGAAACGTTCTTGGCTGTCCGTTGGACATGAGTTTCCTGGCCACAAAATGGCCGAATCCCTGTTTTGGGGTCAAGTTTATTCTCATGGCCGGGTGGTTCGGAACAAAAACAAGGAAAAATCAAATCTAGCCGGCTAAGTTACCAAGATACGCTCTTCAGCCTGTGGGTATAAGGTCTTCTTGATCCGAAGTATTGTTGCTTTTGAAGTCCCAAAAATGATTCCATCTTCTCTTACTGACTTTCCTTTGCTGGTATGGGCGCTGATTCGTTATCGGACGAGTATATCCTCGGTCGCGATATCCCAGAAGCAGTCAGGTGATTTCGACTCGAAGATTCTCGCTGTGAACCTCGCTCCGCTAATGACGGTCTGCCAGGCTAAATGAACAACAGCTCCTGTGGAGACTCCAGACAGGACACATCCTGGGTTTTCTGATCCCGCGGCGACCGGGGATGCGCATTGCTGACCTCGGGACCGGAACAGGGCGTGTTGATCCTCTGACCCCTCCGAGTCTTTCGAGATGTATCTAACCATGTTGATCTGTTAGCATCTGGTGCAGAGACCTCAGTTACGTGCTAGACACGGCTGGAATCTGTGACTATGATATTTCCGGCCTCTCCTACCCGCCCTCAGCTACACTTCCGACGAATGTGAAGCTGGGCAAGTTGGACGCACTATCCGATCTACCGGAGGAGTACCGGGGTGCGTTCGACTTCGTGCATCTGCGGCTGTGGATCTGTGTGATTAGAGACAACTGCCCGGATAAGTTGACTGGGGTTGCTACGGCTATGCTGAGTGAGTTGATTTTCTTACGCAAAATTGTTGCACAATGTTCAAGTCGATCGAGATGCAAGAGCCGGGCGGATACATTTCATGGGAGGAGATCGGACGGGATACCAGCTTGGTGACATCCAGCCCCATGCAGCGCTTCGAAAGCCTCTATAGCAGACAGCTGGAGACTGAGAGAATCGATCCAAGGTATGTGCTTTGTGCTCTCAACACAAACCTTTTCCTGGGTTTCAAGTTAACGTGGAATCTCAGCTGGGTGGGCCGGCTGCCTGGCATCTTCAGGGACAAGGGCTTCGACATCCTGCAAGGTGAACTTGGCCTGTGGGACAAAGCGGTGCGCGGGCTGTATTATGCAAACTATCTTGTCGTCGTAATGAGCGTCAAGCGGTCGAATTATGAGGACAGCAAGGAAAAGTTAACCGATCTGGAATCCATTGCGAGGGAGCTGTTTGACCAGCGGGATATTGACCATGGGTTCGCTTGGAGACCGATCGAGTTAGTTGCTCAAAAAGCCAAAAGAGACTAGGCCCTTTGCGTCAAATTCGAGATAACTTACTTTTGCCAAGTTGTTGTCCGTTTTATAGTCGTAGCAAATGGAAGCGTGCTTGTTTACATCGGGTCTTTCTTACTGTATAGATGGCTATCATGTGACGGACATGTGACGGACCCCTCTTTCTCCAACTGCTTCCCCTCATCCTTCACCCCTTCATCCAACATCCACACTCACTACACTCACACTCTTTCCTTCACTTGTACCACCTAATCCTCATTGTGTCGCTCTCCACAAGTTGATCCAACCATTACTCCCATCCTCGCCTCATGGCCTCCCGCCCCGTCATCGCCATCGCCGGCTTGGCGTGCGAAACCTCCGCCTTCACCCCCGCACGCACGCACGCGCCCGCCTTCCACCCACGCCGCAGCCACGAGATCCTCGACGAATACCCCTTCCTGCGCCCCGACACTCCCCTCGGCACCGCAGCCTCCTGGCATGGCGCATTAATCGGTCACGCACTGCCCGGGGGAATCGTCGTTCGCGCCGACTTCGAACAACTAGCCGCCGAGATCGTCTCCCGGCTCACCCAAATCGCAGCCTCAACACCAATCGACGGACTATGGTTTGACATTCACGGTGCCATGGTGGTGGAGGGACTGGACGATGCGGAATTCGAACTCCTCACTCGGATCCGCAGCGTCGTAGGACCGCAGTGCGTCGTCTCCGCCTCGATGGATCTCCACGGGAACGTGTCGCGCAATCTCGTCCATCAGACCGACCTGATCACCTGTTATCGTATGGCGCCGCACGAGGATGAGACGGAGACAAAGGTGCGCGCGTGTCGGAACTTGGTGGATCTGCTTCGTCGGGACTGTGCACCCGGTGCGACCGTGCACCCGCGCCGCCCGCTCAAGGCATGGATCCCCCTGCCCATCTTGCTGCCGGGGGAGCAGACCTCTACCCGAGTGGAGCCGGCCAAGGGGTTGTATGCGCTTGTGCCTGAGGTCGAGGCGATGGATGGGGTGATCGACGCGGCGATCTGGGTGGGTTACGCGTGGGCGGACGAGCCGCGCAACCAGGCGGCGATCGTCGTGACGGGGTGGGAGGAGGGTGCGGTGGTGGCGGGGGCGCAGCGGCTGGCCGAGACGTTCTGGGATGCACATGCGGAGTTCCACTTCGTCGGGCCCACTGGCTCGTTTGCCGCGTGCATCGATGTGGCGCTGGCGTCGGCGCCCGAGGCGCGGCCGTTCTTCATCTCGGACTCCGGCGATAACCCTACCGCTGGCGGGTCGGGGGATGTCACCTGGGGGTTGACTCGGTTGTTGGAGCGACCGGAGTTCAAGGCGCCCGATGGACCGGTCGTGATCTATGCCAGCGTGCCGGGGCCGCAGGCCGTGCAGACCATGGTGGATGCAGGGGTGGGTGCCACGGTGACGGTCACGGCGGGGGCAGAGGTGGATGCCGTTCATGCAGGGCCGATCACCTTGACCGGACGCGTGCATGCGATCAGGCATGGTGACAAGGATGCCCTGGTCGAGGCGGTGCTGCAGGTGGGCTCGGTGTTTGCGATCCTGACCCAGCTCCGCAAGCCCTACCATCATGAACGGGATTTTACTGATCTGCAGCTGACTCCTCGGAAGGCCGATCTGGTCATTGTCAAGATCGGTTACTTGGAGCCAGAGCTGTTTGAAATGGCTGCTGACTGGATGCTGGCGTTGACTCCAGGAGGTGTCGACCAAGACCTCGTTCGTCTGGGACACCGCCGCATTCGTCGTCCTATGTGGCCTTTTGATACAGTCTTTCCTTCTCCCCCTGACCTTCGTGCGCGACTGATTCCTGCTTCGGATCAGACGCTGTCAGGGCCAGATGAGTAATTAATTGACGCATAGCGTAGTCACTCAATTGAGTAGCAAGAAGGTTACTTCGCATGATCCCAGGCGGCACTAACATCAAGGGCATCTGGAACTACGCAAAAACAGGTGTAAATCAAGTCAATCATTACATCATATTGCCACAAGACGAGGTATCTAAACAGTACAATACACGACACGAGATCAAACATCCAAACTTCTACTCCTTGTTGGCAGCGCCACCAGTGAAGGGGCAGCCAGAGGGTACCTCCGCATCATCCGCCTTGATCTGGTCGCGACCGCGGGAGATCTGGCGGAACATGTCGAGCGGGTCGAACCACACGTTGATCTGCTCCAACTGGAGGGCCTTGTTGACCTTGGCGACGATGATCCCCTGAATATCGATCGGGCCGCCATGCGCCTCAATCCGGACCTTCTCTCCCTTGCTAACATTCGCCCAGTGTTAGCCGCTGCCCGGAAGGAACTTCACGGTGTCTCACTCACTCGTTGAACCCGACATAGTCGCGCGCCATCTCCCCCCAGTGTCTCCACTTGAAGACCACAGTGGGCGGGCCGCTATACACCTCGGTCACCTCCCAGGCAAAGGTCGGCATCATCCGCTTGAAGCTCTTGTGGCTCATCTCGAAGTCGTTGTGGGCGGGGTCGTAGTACGCGCTCGGGGTCAGCAGGGCGTTGTAGGTGCCCACTTTGAGCATGTACTCGCCGGACAGCGGGGGGCCGCCGTTGAGCGTGACGTGGTACTTCTCGTGGTCGATCGTGCGCCAGTCCGCCAGCGAGGTCTTGAAGGAGGCCTCGATCTCCCAGTTCTTGACGAGGTTCTCGACCAGGTTGGGCAGGCTGCCGGGCTCGTGGGATTGTTTCTTGGCTGCAAGCAGAGAATCAGAGCTGTCAGTATTCCACCCTTGGTAACCGTTGGGGAGCGGGATGGACGCGCAACATACTCCGCTCGTACACCGCACGGGTGTTGGAATAGTCCGGAGGGGCGCCATATCTCCAGGCAGCGTCCTTGTCCTTCAGGACGGCGTTGGGGTCAAGAACATAATCGGGAAGTGCCTCTGCGTCGCCCATTGTGAAGATCTGTGAGAGCTAAAGTTTCGAAGTGTGCACCTTCTTCCAACGGCGGTGCAGGGGCAGGTGCGCCGTTATGTAGGTTTTTTTCCGGCGCACCGGACAAGGTTACAATGCCTATGCCCCCTTCAGGGGGGAACGTGGCCTTTTGCCAGTTAGGCCCATGTGATAGACTACATGACAGGGTTGAGAGTAAGCACTTGAGGCCGTAGCAGACGATTAGTGGTATGAACCCTGGTCGACGAGGTGGGGTGGGGAGTATGGGTTTGCCTCCAACGCCCTTAGCGTGCGACTGGACTCTGCGCGGGGATTGCTTGCATTCGCCACGCCGGCCATCAGGATTGATTGACACGGATAAAACGAGTCAGTCGGCAAGCCTGATCCCATCTCTTTCCTCAAACAACGGCTCATGCAGCCTGGACGATGAGCGCAGGGACTGCAAACAACATGACAGATCACAGATCTGCATGGTACCGCTGAATGGGTCAGGAGCAGTGCATTGACAGCCCTCCCGAAGCGCACCGCAAAAATGGCATCTCCGAAAGCAAGGCTACCCCTGCATCTGACCACGGAACCAGACCAGTCACATTTGGGCCGATTGCAATTCTCCCAGGAACCGTCTTCCGCGCGATCCTGGTTCGATTGCGTGGTATCCAATGGGAGTGGTTGCTTACACCAGACCTAGTCAGAGACATTGGCCGGAACGCAGAGCTAAACTCGCTAGGCGAGACTAGGCCGGGGGAAATAGATTGGGTAGGCATCGAGCCGAGGGAGAAATCGAATCGTCGAAGCTGCCGGGCCAGAAGCTGGTCAGGGTGGCTGCTGACATTTCCATCTCAACAACGCCGCCGGTTCTCCCGCCGGGTTATTCCCCGGAGGCCGTGATTGGTGCACTGACAGAGATCGAGATCGCGGGTGGAGTTTTGGTTGGCGCCGATTGGTCGGGTTGCAATCTGATCGATATTGGGGATAATTTGACCGGAGATAATCCCTTTGTTTGTTGGGGAGGTGAGGCGTGGTCTGCTGCTCGAGTTGGGTGTGTGATGTTTCAGGGGCAAATCAAGAGACAAAGTAATGTGCATAGCTTTCCAGTATTGTTTTGACTGAAATGTCCTTTGAGCAGATGATCGATAATGTCTAAACACAAGGAACGTGATTAGTAATTCGCAACGCACACGGTTTCGGCCGTGAGGCCCGAGTGTTGCCCGGATGTCGGCGGGTTTTACGAGTCAGTTGCCTCAACTCGACTAATCACTTGATGAGCGCGGTTTTTGTGATCAATATACTCTTCACGATATCTTCAACTATAGAAGATGGATGTTAAGTCTTTATGATCGCCTGCATCGAATCTCTTGCGGTAGATAACGGCAAAATACTGAGTCGATGGATCAACGTTGACCTGTATCCGCTCCGGTGCGGATTCAAGGCGTGTGTACATGTCCCGTCCAACGTTGCGATAAAACTGCCTTGCTATGCTTGTGATCTTGTGCATAATCTTGTGATTCTGAGTAGAATAAGGCCTGAGCCTTGAACATTCTTCGTTCATTACGTCCATGATTCATGAAAAGAACCTCGAATTAGAACCAAGGGTCCACAGCATCTGAGTTAAAAGAGATCAATGCATAGGCAGTATTCGCTTTGCGCTATCCGGAAAATGATGTGAGCGCCTGTGATTCAATGAGATGACACCTAAATCCGTGACAGTGATATGTCAATTTGATGGTCTGCAGTTGAGACTTCTAAACAAGAACGCAAGCCGGTGATAACTCAACCTCTTCCGTGCTGTATCTACAGTAGGGCTCCTAGGCCTAAGCAAGACTATATCCACAACCATCCTTCCTGGACCATTATCACATGATAAAATCTGCACTCTTCAACTCCTTAAACGTGAGGTCATGGTACCTTTCTATTTCCATAATGTTTTCTATAATTCGCCCTTGCAGACAGCACCCAGCCAACCTCTGCTGCATCCCCCGGCAAATGCCGTCAAACTAAACGTCTGTGTAGGAGGCTCTCACTCCCACCGCGCCATCAACTCATTCGCCTCGATCTCCCTGTCAAACCCCACCAAATGCGTCGAATGACACCACGGCTTGACGGTCTCCTCCTTGCGAATCACCTCCGCGAAGAAACGGCACCATTTCAGCCGGGGATGCGCCTCGTTGATCTGCTCGCGCCTCGTCGCATGCACCAACCCCTCAAACCCGGACACATGGGGATGGTACCCCGTGTTATCGTAGGTCGTCGCCAGCTGGATCAGCTGCCCGATGAACGTGATGGTGCCGTCGACGCCCATGGCCTCCGCGGCGGCCTCGGCCTGGTCGGCGGTCGCGCCGAAGTTCTGTAAGACAGTAAGAGCTTTGATGCCGCCGTAGATGTCGAAGGACATGCGCGTCGCGGTGAGGTTTTCTGCTGCGGTGCCCAGGTCGTGCAGCAGGCAGGTCAGGGCCCAGGTTACAGGGTTCAGGGTCGCGGCGTGCGAGGGGAATTGCTGGTGAGTGATTACCATTCCTATCGTCCGGGGGGCGTAAGCCTTGTGTGCTAGACTGTGGGGGAGCGTTCATGGAGTGTGGAGGCCGGGCTTACCGTAGTAGTAAACTCGCATGGAGTGGTTGAAGGTCTCCGGGTGCAGGACCGCGCGCGCGTACTTCATTGTCTTTGCGACGACGGGGTCGTCGGCGGGGAATTTCATTGTGTCTAGTAGGATGGGTTCGACTTTTGGAGAAAGGATTGGTCTTTAAGATCGCGCCGGCGTCGGCGGGGGTGCTGGTCTAGCCGTTGGCCTTGACTTCGTCGTGGTGGCACATTTTGCAGACTGGAATTGGGTGGCTTGGGAAGGAGATCGTTTTAATCGCAGGTTGGTGCAATTGATGGTTCCGCTAGGTATATTACGGGTATGCGATGATATTTATAGGTACAGGGAATGGCGGTTGTTTTGTGATGAGCATCAGGTGGATTAGGAATGAGATTTCCCAATCGGGAAGTCTTTTGGAGTGGGGCCAGAAACTGGTCATCGCTGAAAGGCTGCATCATATCGCGCATTAAATTTGGAGACATAAGGAACAAAGTTTGCATCGGTTACTCATCTGCCTTCCTTTGCGGGGAGTATTTTGGAGTAGAGTGCTGGTGCTATCCATGGATTGTGCTCCGCTCTCTCCGCGCCCAGCCCACAGCCTGGTATTCTCCTCGGAAAATAACTTCCTTTTTAGGGTTGTTTCTGTAGGATGGGGAATCAAGCCATCGCCACATGGGATGTTAATCAAAATTGTGTTGCACCCCTCACTATGTTCCACAAGAAATCTTGCGACACCTTCACCTCGAATTCTATTGCGCACACCTTCGATCGACCATATCAGATATGTGTGAACCTCAAGAACGGGATAAGGAACCTTTCAGTCCGGACATAGTGGCTGATTCGCGTTCATCACACCTAGCAAACCCAGTAAGCCTTTGAATGTGTCTGTGCAACTACCTCGTCATAACGTTGAACTGCAGGGTCCGTTAGGATTCGGTGCCTTTGCAACAACCCTCATGACCCTATCATTCTCTGTGATGGGCTTTCGCTCCGTATCCAACCAGACCGTCTTCATCGCCAATCTCTGCTTCCTGGCCGGCATCGGACTCCTGATCTCCGCCCAGTGGGAGATGATGAAGGGGAACACATTTGCCTACACAGTTCTTGGAGCTTTCGGTAAATGCCTCAGATACTATGACTTAGAGATTGCTGATTTGGCCTGAAGCATCCTATTATGGCGGATATGGAGTGTTACTTATGCCACCATTGGGTATCGTCGACTCGTATGGAGGTGAGACTACCGAGTATTACAATGCGTTCGGACTGTATCTGTCAGTTATGTTTGCTTCTCAGGTATGGGTTGAGAGGCCCAGTGTATCAAAGTGATGAAATATGTTCTCAATAATTGCAAAAATAGTATGGTCAATCCTGAATTTCTTTTTCTTCGTCGCGTCCTTACCCACGTGAGTCAGGTCCTTTCAATCTTCTGTATACAGCAAAAGCAAGGGAATCATCCCTGTTACTGATGCTTACAATAGGAACGTCGTCAACACACGATCTATGGTGCTTTAGAGCTGAGTTACATCTTCAACTGCACGGCGAACTTCATGATGGCGGATGGTCATTCTGCCCTCGGAGACACATTCACCACCATTGCGGGGGCGTTCGGCATGGTCTCTGCGCTGGCAGTTTTCTATAAGCTGGGCCACGATCTCTGCCAGGATGCGCTGCCCTGTGAGATCCCGCTTATCCCCACTTCTCGCGTATTGTTCAACTCGTAACGTAGCACGGTGTGGAGATGAACTCGGTGTCTTTCGGACTTAGATGCTAGATTGCGCCCAAGTATGATCCGTCAAGTGCAGGTCTTTAGATCTACCTCATTTCTCCTCATGTATCAATGAGGATTTACAAGAACACAGTGAGATAGTCGGGCGGCAGGGACCTTAAAGCTAACTGCTCGCTCAACAGGACCTGGAAATATTGTTCACATAGCCAAAGAAATGAGTTTCTTGACTTTATACTCGAATGAACCGCCTGTATCTACCTCGTTCTTAGAACATAGCATACTAGAACTTGATAGGCTTTTCAGCGTCAACATAAAATACAGTCTCGTCCTATCTTTCCGGTTAAGCCAGTGTACACTACAACAAACCATTCCCAGCCTCCCCTCACCTTCGCCATGTCATACTATTCAACCCCTCAAACTTCAACCTCCCCGCTACCACTCAATATTGCACACCTCGTGGTCCGAACACACCCCTTCCAAACCAACCACCTCTCAAACCCCCTAAAAGAAATTAAGTTCCGGCTGCAGGGGTAGTGCGGGGGCGCGACCTGCATTTATCATCGGGGTTCGTTAGCTTGTATTCCAGGAACGATGCGTGATTATTGAGCGGGTAGGTAAGGAACTACTGACCGAGTGCATCGAGAAGGTCTCCTCGAAGCCCAGGTGACTCGCCTCCAGCATGACGAGAGAATCGGACAGATCCGGGCCAGCACCCGCTCGACCCGTCGCTTACGGTGGCCACGAGGGCCGCATCCTCGGCGAACAGGAAGTCGGCGATGGTGCCGGAGATCTGCACTAAGTCCACGTTGGTGAAGCTCTACGTCACGCTGAAGCCGGACCGGTTCGCCTCGAGAAAGAAGACCACTCCCAGCGAGAAGACCCTGTCGCTGCCGATCGCGTCGAAGTACCACCAGTCGTAGGTGGTGATGTTCACGACCTGGACTTTGGGGCTGTCGAAGCCGCTGTCGCACGAGGTGAAGCGGCCGTTGGCTGGGCCGGGTTGCGCGGTGATTGAGAAGGTTTGGATGCCTGGGAGGCGCGGGCAGACCTGGGCTGACAACGCCGGTCCCAGGAGAAGAGGGAGGGTAAGGAGGTAGGTGGTTGATGAGACTATGTTGTCCAAACTTTGCAGAGGTGTTTTGAGGTACTGTTGCTGGGCTGGAGAGGGATCTGGTGGGCTAGGATTGGTGCAGCTATCTATCTTCTGCAATGGAGTTCGAGGTCGAGCTCTGACTTACGGATCGACCTATGTCGGCGCACGGCAATTCCTATGGTGATCTGCATGGCAATGCTCTGGATCTGAGGTGAGTTAGTGCCCAAGTCGTTGAATAGACGGATTTGCAGTGCATAGCCGGTTCTGGCATATGTCTTCTATCGACAGTCCTGCTTCAGATGGGGAATCCGAACATACACAAGCATAAAGTCTGTGATTTCTCGAATTAGTGCACTGCACAATGCTATCGGCATGAGTATACGTCATATTCCACAACCCTTCTTCAACCGATTGCCATGATAGCTTGTTCTAGAATCTCAATTCTACGAAGCTGTGGCTCAGCTGCGATACTTGCCGATAAAGATGCCTTGTGAACTATGTACCGATTATGCCCTTGTGGTTCAGACAGTGCAGCTGCCAGTCTCTTAAGCACTACATCCATGGGTGGTTCCGGATTTCCGGGGAGGAAGTAGGGTTCGGATGAGCGGCTTCCCCACTTGCGAGTCCCAAGCCAGCACAGTCCAGAAGCTAGGCGTCTAGCCGGTGATGTTTTCCAGCTTCGATGAGACAGATTTACCGGAGAAAATTGCCCAGGACTTTGAAAGTGGGCTTACCCATTTCGACATACTCCGTGACCCTTGACGTTGAAATAAACTCACACCTCCGCTCTCAGTCATCATCCACGCTGGCGCAGGCTGGCATACCCTCTGCCAAAGCCCTAATCACGGGCCAAGGCATCCGCAAGACCAAATCCAACCACTACGTCCAGATCTCAAGCACCTCCAGCCTGAGCGACCGATCCCACACGGACGGCCAAACCAGAATCCGACATCCTTCTCGGTATTCTTCCCATGCTACTGCGTCGATTTTTATCGGATCCTGAGGCTCAAACTGCGGGTATAAGTTATAACTTGCCGGGGTGATCGCTAGTCGCTGGAGTACTCCTCAAACCCAGAGAGACCTAACCGATTATGACATCACAGATCCCCCTACCTTCCTGGAACCCCTCAATCAATTCTCCACCCAATTCATTCAAGCCCACTAGAGCCCATCACACGATGAGTACCGCCGCAAAAGAGCGAAAGTGAGCAGCAGACCGTGAGGCCCAGCGCCACAATCGCGCTCGAACCAAGGCCTACATCACCTACCTGGAAAAGACCCTCCAAGATCTATCCGGCCCCAGCGGGCAAGGGCAAGACACCCTCGGCCACCAACGCGCCCAGCAGCAGGAGAAGATCAACCATCTCCAGGTAACCCTGCGCAAGATCGCATTGACTGAGACGGTATCCTTCTCCGCGGAATTCGAGAGCCGGTATCGAGATCTGGGCAGCTGGAAGCTTGATTCAGAGGTGGACTGGCTGCTGCGGTGCGGTGGTTGTTGGAGGCTTGTCCAGTGCTGCCGGAGGAACTGCCTTCGCTTCCGCTTTTCTGGGAATGCGTATTATGAACTTGAAAAAGATGAGCGGGCTTGCGAGCTACGGTCTCTATAAATGTCCGACTATCAAGCCAGTTCGGGATACCTGAACGTGGTTCCCATGAACCACTGGCCACAATGTGCCAGTGGATCCGACCCGCCTCTGGATCTCGGGTTCTCGGGGATCTTCATGCGCCGCATCCTCTCGGGGAAAATTCTATTTGCGAGTTGGGTCGCTTGCAGAAATGGACTTTGTGGCCCAGTGCCGCCCAAATCAGTGCCGTCCAAACACTGAGGCTATCATCCATGCCCGCAGGCAACCCTCTCCTCTTCAGGCCCTAGTGGTACCTCTTGGGGTCAGTCTACAGCCTTGGACTGAATGGAATTCAAGCAATTATCCCACGAGGATTCTAAACAATGCTGTCACATATGTGTAAAGATGTGCTGAGTAAAGACAGCTACGCATTTGACTTCTGTTTGCCACCATTGCCGGAATTCGACCTTGCATTTCTGGTCAAATTTTACCTTCCGGAGCTCAACACTGATCGAGGGAAAGAGGTTGAAAATACAAGAAAGGGTAAAAGAGAGAAAGAAAAGCAAGTTTTTGAGTTTTTTTTGAAACACTCGGGCTGGGTCAATAACCTGTTTAGATTTCAATCTCACTGCCCATGAAGTGGCTAAAGTGGTATTCGACTCGTAGCTGGTGGCGGACGGGAAGCCGACTATAGAAGCTCTCCGCCCACCTCTATAAAATAGCTTTACTAGATTCATTCTTAAGGCTAGATAGGTCATTCCCGGGAGCTTAAGCCTGTTGATGATGAACATTATCTTGACTGTCAATTTTAATATACAGATATCATTTGTAACAGAGAGGTCTCAGGCTGCAGGGCACCGCAGCCTCGTTTCAGCCTACTTTTCGATCAGGACCTTATGGTCGGCCGGAAACTCACCAGAAGAGATAGAATAAACAACGTCACCCAACGAAGAAGGTTAGAGACAAAGAAAATTGAAAGGCCGGGTTTGCGTTACCATACCTGGGAATATAATAAGTGATACGCGCGGGGAGCAAATAAGAAGAGAAAAGCAAAAAAGAAGCGTCCAGGGAGAGGATCGAACTCTCAACCTCACGATTAACAGTCGTACGCGCTAACCAATTGCGCCACCCAGACAACTTGTTATAAATCTGTGTGATCCTGCAAACTATATCATTACTATTCACTAGTGACGCCTCAGTGCCACTATCACCATCTTATCATGGTAGGCGCAGCTCACGCTCGACTAAATATTTGAATCCGAGGCCGCCGACCGGGGAAGTACGATCATCTAGGCCTACTACACTTCTGGTGAAGAGATATAACCGGACTGGCGGTGAGGTGATTGCTACATCGTTTCTACGTACTCCGCAGTTGACGGAGACTACGGAATATATTTCTCTCGGAGGGCTCGCTATCTGAACCGAGGCGATAATACTCAAATGCGCGTTGATTTGATAGGAGACTTGAAGACTAGATTACAATAACAATAAGGATTTTGATCGGGTGTAGATATAATGTCTTTCCTTATCAGCTGCCCTCACTCGATGGAAACCGTACTACGATTAGGCCATGCCCAGTGAACATGGAGAGCATCGCCAGTCGGCGATAGCTCGAGTGTGCAATTGCTAGGAGCAAGTAGTGTACTAGAAAAAAGTATCGCAGATTCAGTGGACCTGAATGCCAGAGCCACCCAATCCATCAGGAGATTGCCTGAAGACCGAGTCCTACCGAAGTTCCAGCAGCGTGAAAATGAAGGACATGTTCTGCTCCTCCCGACTTATCTAACGATCTTGAGAAGAGTCCCTCGTGGCTGCCGCCATACTCCTCGTGCAGTCAATTTCGGAAACGGAAGCTCGCAATCCTACCCTCGAGGCTTCTCAAGTGCGCTGTAGGACTTCTGCCAAAGCAATACCTTTTCAAGCATCACGCAATGTATCACAGTAGAGTTCTGCAGAACGAACTGAAAATTACTACGACATAATGCGAGCCTGTTCTTTTCAGCATTTGCATACAGCCGTGCAGGTGCATCGCGCGTCTCTCGCCCGAAGAATGCAGCATGCACACGGGACGATCACTGCGGTGGACCGCATGCGATATGCGAGGTTAATACTTCCAATGCTCTGAAGCAGTTACGGATAGACGACACGCAGTACTGTACTCCGTAGCAGCGTAGGTAGCTTCAGCCCCGACAGTGGCACAGCTACTCGAGTCGCACAGCTCTTACCCTCCTCGCTCTGGTGAGCAATTTCCGACCGGTCACCCTGGTGACGGCTAGTGAGGGGCAGGCAGCCCCAGCGGGGCAGTCGGACCCTCTGTCGCTCGATAGTCGATGCGTTAGTCGGTCGATAAATCGGGAGGATCCATTTTTGGGGCTTGACCGCTTCAAAGTGGCCACGTTGAGGCTGGATGCCGCGTTTGAGAAGTCTCCGTCGAGGATTGAGGGGTGATCGTCGAAAATGGGCTGATAGGCCGATACACCGCTATCTCTATCACAAAGGGAGGGGTAGAAGCACTCCCCGTGTATAGTACTCCGTACGCTCCGTAGACAGCAAAGGCCAAGCTGTGCCGTGTTATGGAGTGTCAGGAGTCTTAAGTTCTGGACCAAAATCTGCCAAGCCACCGACCCCTTCGCAGCGAGTCTTCCATGCCTTCCACACCGCTTCGCTGGCCCCATTGTGGGAGGGGTAACACTCGTCGGGAAATTGGGTGATCTGGCGTGTGCCGATCCCCCTCCTTGCGAGTCACTTCGGAGAATTTGCTCTCGTATCTGGCATAAGAAGCACACAGTGATGTCGATTATCGCGAGCTCATGGTCGATCTTCGACTCCGATGACGGCATGGGCAACAGACGATTGTCTCTCTGAGAATGGGCTCACCGAAGCGAGAGTGTGGCGGTGCAGCCGAGTCGGTGGCTGGCAGTTGCAATGGCATCATTTCAGGGGCTGTTGAGGGAGCATGCACTGGCAGCGCATGGAGGGGCCGAGCCGGAGCCTGTGACTGGCTTTTGATGGATACCCATGGACTCATGGAGACGGTCTCGTATTGAGGATTACTGGCTTAGTCATGCATTGCTGATGCGAGTGCGGGCTCGGGCCCCACCGACCTCAGCCACGGATTGCATCCACGACCCAATGAAAGCTGCCAAGGAACAAACGGAGCTTGTCTTGTCTTAGCTTGCTTTGCCAATTCCCAATGATTTCGGGCGTGGTGGAATCTCTGACCGTTCAGCCACTTTCGTTGGTCTCCAGTGGCGCCCAGAATAGCAGCTGAGCTGCTGCTGCTGAAACCGAAGGTAACTCGATCTGCGCCCCTCCATGATATCACCGCCTCATCGTTGACCCCCTCCCCCCTCCTCCTGCCCCTCTGAAGGAGAGGAGGGCGACCCGAAGCGCTGTCAGAAAACATATATCTACCCCTCTCCCACCCCCCTCCATGCTCCTTTTCCTTTCTCATCCATCAACAACTTCCTCTATCTCTCTACCACATTTTCCACACAAACTATCATCATGGGTTGGTTCGGTACGTGGTCTTGACAGAACCTCTCCTCCTTCCACGCAATCAGACACTAATCTTCTTACTCTTGCTTCAGACTTCGGCGGTGACGAGCAGCAGGCTCACGAGCAGCTCACCAACTACGACGGTTCCGAGGAGCACCAGGCCAAGTTCAGCCACGAGCTCATCGCTGGTGCCGCTTCCTTCGAGGCCATGAAGGCCTACGAGGAGCACCAGGAGCGTAACGGTACGCCCACACCCTCCCTCTCAAAACCTCCCGGCTTTACGAAATACTAATAATACTTCGATTGCATAGGCAAGCCCGAGAGCCACGAGATGGCCAAGGAGCTCCTTGCTGGCTTCGCCGGTGCCTTCATCGACCGTGAGGTTGAGACCAAGGGCTTGGACTTCATCGACCGTGAGAAGGCCAAGCGCCAGGCTGAGCGTCAGCTGGAGGAGGCTTCCCGCCAGGACTTCTACTAAACAAGTCAATCTGTTGCCAATACTTTTGTGAATTGAGATATCCAATCTGAATATATTTTGTTGAAACACACATTGTGCTTTGCTGTACTCGTGTTGAACCTTGCTAGTGGAAAGTAGACTGTAGATTTCGCGGGGTTGCGACAACGGCTACCCAGGGGGAGAAAGAGTCGGCGCGTTCGGAGCCTCCCTCCTTATCGGCAAAGGACTTACCCGGTATACGCTCGGTCCATATACTGATCTCCCTCAAGGTAATAATCGGTCGATGGCTTTGGGATACCATAATGTGAAAGGCAGAAAAGACCGAGTATTGTTTCAACTACCGATCAACCTGACGTCGCCGAATCCCAAGCGAACAGCTCTCCCGGCCTCATTCGTCAAAGCTGCAAGCGCCGCTGGTGGCTTGTACGCAGAACATGTCTTGTACAGCGCACTGGACGACGGCACTTGGAATAGACATTCGCCGCATACACGCACCCACACCTACACGACCTTCATGTCAGAGAACGGGAATTAGTTAGTCTAGCCCTCAGCTTGCATGTGCGGACAATGGCTTACCTTTGACAAGCACTTTAGTGAGAATACCATCGCCCGAAGCCACGGCTGTCATGGTACACACCCACAAGCAACGGGAGAGAGAAGCCCAGAGCGCGATGATTGCGGTTCCCTGAAGACCTGAGGTACAGCCCAACGAAATCTGCCCGTCGCCGAGCCGGTTTCGAAAGCGTCGGACGAGATCGATACGAGAGACTCGGGACTGCGGGCCTTGTTCTTCTGGATCTCGGGGTGTGTCCTAGTTAGATCTGTTAAGTCGACATGCAAGAAGTTGATTTCATTGACATGGTTAGCGTCGGATTCTGGAGGGTTGGTATGGGTACACCCTGCAACTCTACCCCTATGTCCTGCACGATAGAAGGGATCAGACCAACTGAGCTTTGATGCTGATTTTTTTAGGTGATGAGTTGCGGTCGGACAAAAGCGGGGGTACGGAATCACTCAAAAAGCGGCATGATGGATACCGTCGGACGTGACGGATCGAAGGTGGTGACGGTAGAAAGGTGCGAAAGCTTCTGACGAAGAGGTTTCCCGACGGCTCGCAGGCTTGACAATCCGCGTGTATGAGCATTCCGGTCAATGCGAGACGTGCTCCTGTATGATCAGCAACCTGCTGTCAACTTGGCATCTTTAACAAGCAACGGGCCCTTGCAACAATCTTTGTGCCTCTTCTGAATTTTGTCAGATCTCTCACTGAAAGCATCAGCGCGGTGTTGGGAAGGCCAACTTCGACGAGGACACGCTTCAGGTGTGTAGCAATTCCGGCTGCTATGTTTCAAGATTGAAAAAGAGCTTCGCGTGGTATACGAGGAGGAGTAAGGGCAAGACGATTCGAGACTTGTCTGGGTGATCGGAATGGTTCTAGAGCTTGAATTATCGATGTCAGCAAAAGTATGACAGTACTATGAGCGCAACCTGGAATAATTCGAACGAGCTGACATTGCAAGAGCGGACCTTCGTACCACGAGGAAGGTAGCTGTGTCACACTATGCAATCACGGAGTGTATTCCATCTGCGGTTGCTGATGGCTGTGCATCACCTCAGATGCACATGTCGAAGAAGTAGTCATTTGGATCTCGCTAAAGCTCCATAACCTCACCGAGTTGAGTCAACCACTTAGCCTAGTGCCTGGGATAAAAAGTGGAGTCTTGTTGATCGACAGTCGAGCGTTGAGATCACCAACCTTGAATTATGCTGCATATGGTAACGCGTAAGAGAATGAATTGGAATCACGTCATATGTGCCTGTTAATGAGGGTCTCTTGTCTAACGGTGGACGATGGAAGATCGAAAGACGTGACTGGAAGCCGAAGAGAGGGGAGGGAGGACTGTTATGAGCCGGGAAATTGCATGCACCGGGAACATGACTTCATGTACTATGCAGTGTTTGACTGTTGCCAGATCAGCAACGATAATGCACTATACTACTGAGTAGTCTTTTGGTCTTCCAATCAAGTCTTGCAGTATTTTGGTATACCTGTCAAGAATTGGGACTGACACCAAGAAAGGGTCGGTAGCTCAGTGGTAGAGCGCAGGATTGCAGATCCCGAGGTCACGCGTTCGATCCGCGTTCGGCCCTTCTGACTTTTTGTCTTTTGCTCTTAAGCGCCAAACTACCTGCTCCTTTCATCGCCTTTCGTCGTTGCAATCGATCTGGTTGGTTGATACCAAGAATGTATCCCTCTTCTGTCCCTGTGTGCTGTACCCTGTAGTTCCCCATGTTAACACCCGGCACGATGCATCGCGACCTTTGACCTTCAAGACATACTTCGGGCCGATTCAATGCCATTTGAGCTTCCATTCTTCCCTCCTGTGGTTCATTTTTACCAAACCACATACGGAGTAGAACCATTGCTGCAAATCGAATTTCCAAGATCAAATATGCTGCCTGTCTTGCATGTTGAGCTCACTCGACCCGAGCACGGCCGGCATGGCAAAGCGCAAGCGGAGTGTGGAAGGAAAGTCTTAGCGAGCACCCGATCTATACAACCACAACCATACAATTCATGCGCAGTTGACAACATAATATAAAGGCTGGTTTTCTCCTGCAGATTAGTATCTCACTCAATCCATACTCACCGACAAGATAACCATCAACAGCAACAATCCACATTCATCACAATGTCTTCCCCAGTCGACCTTCGCAACCCGGGCCGCCCAATTCATGTGGGTGTTGTGTTGCTGAACACGTACGTAACCCCTGAAACTCGCTATTATTGCATTCAGTGCCAAGAGTTTCTTGATTTACAGTGTCACCGAACAACTCGACATCGCCCCAGTAGGCTTCTTCTCCGGCCTCGATCGCAACTTCCTCAGGGACATGCCCACCGAGATGGTAGACGATGAGTCCAAGGCCCAGGGGCTAGACTTTGTCTATCACTGGGTCAACGAGGATGGCAAGACGCCCGCTAAGCTGACGACGGGTATGAGTGTATTGCCCACGGTAAGAATGCCCTTATACAAACACGGATCAGCATCCAGCTTACAACCTCGCCAGGACTCCTTCGCTAGATGCCCGCCACTGGACATCATCCTCATTGGCGCAAGTAGAATGGGCTACAAAGCCAATGAAGCCGAGAAGGAGTTTCTGCGCAAGAGCTACAATGATTGCACGGCCATACTCTGCGTATGCGGGGGCTTCGAGCCGGTGCTGAGTGCAGGGCTCATGGAGGGTAAGACTGCCACAGGACCACGGTTCATGCTCCCGGTGCTGCGTGAACTCGGGCCTGGAGTGAACTGGGTCGAGAAGAGATGGGTTCAGGATGGGAAGATCTGGACTACAGGTGCGCTGCTGAGCGGGTTCGATATGGTCGCTGCCTTTGGACGAGCGACTTGGGGAGACCGTCCTTTGGTCGATGACTTCATCAAAAAAGGAGGATTCCCCGAGCGCGACATTGATTACTTGGAGCGTTGATTTGATGCATGTTTGTGGCTTATGCGCATCGAAAGTTGAATGATCGAAACATGGACGCTCATGAGAGGGCTGCAACTGCCACTGATCGTCTTTACAAGAGCTGTATCGCTACAGGAGTTCTTACAGAATTAAAACTCCGTATATTGTTTGAAAGGTATTGAGATGCAAGGGGGAGTATGCGTTGTTCAAGCCGAAGTGCTTGATGATGCTTATCCGACATCTTACAGACAAGGGGGTTATTTATTATATAAGGATTCGGCAAAACCTTCCATCCGCAGGGCGGGTTGTCGCTTACAATTTCCCCCCGCTCTCCGTCGCCCTATTAATACCCAGCCTACCGTGTGAAATGGCCGCAACCACAGTATAGGAAAGATGTCAACAGAAAATGAATATAAATTCATCTGTCCTCGACCAAGAAGCACGCGGGCTTGCGAGAAATGCAGATCACGCAAAATCCGATGCCTGCCGTCCGAGCAAACGTCGAGCGCCTGCCGGAGGTACGACCGCAAGATGTCATCAGGATCCATCGGAGCTATACTAACGGAGATAGGTGTATCAAATTTGGTTATGACTGTACTCTTACCTCGAGCCACTGCCCTACCGGCAATGATCACTCATCTGCAAACAACCCGTCGAAGAGCGGCAGCAGTGAGAGCCAGAATGAGGACGTCGTCGCCTCGCTTTTCAAACACGCGCCAAAACACGGTGATCAGTCGGCCCAGATGTGTGAGATGCATCGTCAAATGATGTGCAAGCAGCTACTAGGTGAAGACACCTCTCGCCGTGCTCAGAGGACGAGTCATGGTGCTACTATGCCGCCTCCCACTCCGATCCCGACATCTAACGCTGAGTACAAGAGCCTCCGTGTCAGCATGAAAGAGGCAGATGAGCTTTTATCTCACTTTCAGTCGAAAAAGGTGTACTTCCCGTTCGTGGATGTACCGGATAACCTCACAGCCGCCTCCATGGCGAAAGTCCGTCCCTTCCTATTCTTAGCGATTCTCACTATATCAACAACGCAGCGGCCGCTTCTGCAGAGAAAGCTCGACGAGAGATTCCGGCGGGTCTTGAGTGAAAGGATTGTTCTTCAAGGGGAGAAAAGCCTGGATTACGCTCAGGGTCTGCTGGTCTATCTTGCATGGTTAGCAGACATGGGGCTTGTATAGTGCGTGCAGTAGCTGACCTTGCTGTGGCTCAAGGCATCCTATCCACATTCGACCATTGAACAATCAACTTTTTCAGTACCTGCAGATACTTAGTAGTATGCTGTCTGATCTGCGGTTGGACCAAAAGCTACACGAAATGGCTGCGCGCAATGCCTGTCTCGGGTGTTATAACCTGCTATCACTGTGAGCTATCCTTATCTCGGACAAAGCCAAGCTGGCTAATGGATTCGTAGCCTTTCCCTTGGCTTTCAGCGACGCAGTGATTCCACGTTTTATGATAGTATGAAGTCTGCCATCGAAGAAACGACGACAGACGACAAACATCACAGTCATCAAACGATGCTTTCCAGGACCCAGATGCTGTGGGAAACTGTAGCTCGAGCATCTGAGCAAGGAGGTGATAATCTTCCGAAATGCTGCCTGTCATTCCACCTGCAGATCCAGGACCTTGAGGACAAGATACGCTTTGATGCCCCTGAGGCAGGTACGTCGGGATAGATGCCTGGACTCAAGCATATTTGCTGACGAACGCACGCAGCTTCGCTACGTATCTCTATACTGTCACTGAAAGTGGTTACAGCCTACCTCCCCTGGACGGTTCATAGGCCAAGCTCCAGCCATAGGTCATCTTCCGAGCCCTGTGCACCTCAGTATCAATCAGTCGAAAACTTGAAGGAAGCACGATCATGCTTGGCGGAGATTCAAGGCTTTTTTGACTACTTTCTCTCAATACCCGCTGATAATTATATCTACTTCTCCCTTAGGGAATGGTGCCAGCTAATCCTCACCATTAGCACTGCCTCACAAATATGCTTCCTGACTCATCCCTTCATGGATACCCAATGGTATGAGTTTCAGATCAAGGCCCGATCGCGAATGCAAATATACTTGGAAAGCCTCTTACACCGGATGTCGACCTTATCCGTCTCGAAGGCTGGCGAAGCCCCTGATATCTTTTGCATGTTTCAGTCGGTGTTGGACGTCGTTCTGGAAACATACGCTGTCGCCAAGATCAACTCTCCTCTGCAGTCGGTTTCAGATCACTCGGGTACTGAAGACACAGACTCTCTGAGTGTGGGGGCAACAAGCACGACATCCAGACGCTGTCCCATGATGAATGGGGCTATCAAGCAGACGGAGTTCTGGGAAGCAGTACAGCGGAGTAATACCCTCTGTGTAGAAGGGACGGAAGCTAAAAGCAGTAGCCGGTATTCGAGGGCGTTTGGGACCGGTATGGATGGACTGTTTGACGATGCTCAGGATTGGCCGAGTTTGTTTTCCGAATGGGTCAGTTTGACTTAAATTGATTGCGTGCTGTATGAAACTCGAGACTCTAAATTGGATTGCCAAGGGTTAGGGTTGCCGCCTTCTATAGAAGATACAGGGCACACCCGGAGCTTCACGAGTTACATGACATGACTGATTATTTTCGGGACATTGTCCTGCTGTCCGTTCTGATCGCAATATTAGAGGGCGAAGATCAATCTACAATAAGTTCTGGAGGTTGGAGCTGTAATATTATATGTGACGTATTCACCGCAACCACATCTACCTGCCGGCTGTGGCGCCACACATAGTCGTTCCGGATACCAGCATTAAGAGTCATATCATGATCATGTGTTGTTCTTTAGCTCGTAGTCGTTGATTTCCGAGTCACATCAGTCTACAACAAGATTAGCAATAGCAATGAAATGGCTTTCAACTATTTTCGATCGAGCAATGGAAGAGGAACAAAGTAGGAAAGGACCTAGCCGCGTCTGTCTTCTCCTCGCAAGTCAAGCGAGAATCCCCTGCAGATAACATCTCAGCTGCTCCTGAAACATCCTCATCCCGACGTTCATCACCAAAACAGGCACTGTGCAAAACTTTGAAAGAAGCTTTCCACAGACCATGAGCAGAGCCGCATACATTTCAGGAGACGTCCTGCTGGATGGCCTCGAGGATGGCCTCCTCCAGCAGAGAGTGCGAAACATAAATAGAGCTCCGACATCTTGACACGTCTTGTCGATCTTTTCATGCAAACCCCCCCACAAGGCGAAGAACTCCTGCAATCTGAAAACGCAAGCGTTCAAGGCTTTCCTCAAACTTACGCCCACAACCGAATACCATGGACCAAAACCGCTTCGTGGTCACGACCCTGGAGCGGGCGGGCATCCCCTACTGTGCCTTCGGGTGGCCGGTGCCCGACGCCTTCGGAATGAGCCACACCATCATTGACCTCATCGCCCAGCAAAGCCTCGACTTTGCGGGCTTTGTGATCCCAGACCGGTACATTCCCAGCGCCTATGCGGCCCTGCGCCACCGCGGGGCGCGCCCCTGCACTCTCGGCCGGGACTGCATCTCGGTGATCGGTTTCCTCCACCCCCCCACGGACATCGTGCACTGGCACACGCCCAACGAGGAGGCGCTGATCCGCAACGGCGCCTGGCCTCGGCTCACTGTGCGCATCTACCGCAAGTCCATGTTTATGTGGCTCTTCGCAGACCCGCCACTTAACCCTCGCCCCGATGATCTCTACTACATGTGGTCCGACCAGATTCGCATGGCCCGCCGCCACCACCGCCCCGGTACCGGCTTCGTCATGCCAACTCCGGCCTGCTGGACCGAGGCCCTCGTCGTCCTGCATGCGCGCGACTTCTGCGAAACAGATCGCTACATGCTGACCCGCCTCTGGCACCGCGAGCTCCTCCGCGTCTGTCTTCAGTTGCTGCAGCCTCTGCGCCAAGGACGCCGCCCGCTGGTTCTGGAAGGCGAGCTGGATCTGCACCTCGTCGGGGTCATTAAGGCGATGCGCGCCGCGTTGGCCGCCGGCGATCCCGACGCTCATTCCGACCTGGTCGATGCTGAGATTCGCATCGTGCGCGCGCAGCTCCAGAATGATGAGCCGCCTTGCCCTCCGCCCCAGGGGGTGACTTACGACCATGAGGCCGAGGTGGCTTGGTGGGAAGAGTGGGTCGCTGAAGAGCGCTCGGATGATGGCGGGAATGCCGACTCTATTGCAGGTCCTAGGATTGAAGAACTTGGTGATGACCACGATCAAGACGATGACGATAATGAAGACGATGACGATGATGAAGACGATGACGATGATGAAGACGATGAGGAATATGAGGATGACGAGACTAATGGGGAAGAGGAGTTGTCCGAGGTGGAGTAAGCTTCTCTACCCTGCCTGATCGACCTTCAGAAAAGCTTCGCTGACACAAAAACAAAAACACCTCAAAAAACCATATAAGAATGGCTGCTTCTAGAAAAACAACACAACAGGAACCACCACAACAAAAACAGAAAAAAAAAAAAAAAACGAACGACAGAAACCACCAATAAGATAAAAAAAGCGGTTGACCTTGAGGCTCAATTAAATTGCTTACCACAACGACCGTTCTTCACTCCTAAGGCAAGTATTCCATTTTCCTAAAAGAAATTCAAAGAGCAGAGGCATGCAAGCTAATGAAAGAGCTAAATAGTGCAGCTCTAGGTGGTCGGGTGGTGCATTGCAACAAAAGCCCTTTTGACAAAGACCACTGTGTACGCACTGGTGTGGCTTTTTTCGCAGTCCCTGCAAGGCACATCCACATCCAACCTGAAATCATTCACTTGCCAACCCTAACTCCACCATCTCTGAAGCACATCCATCCAACCATGGTACAGCTTCATAGTGATATCAATCTCTTATGTTGTTGGATTGCATTAATTCCCTTTCCTCGTACTCTTTATCTTCGTGCCACATGTCTCATGTGGGGATCCAAAGATCCCCCAGCTCAGCACATTCACCACACACGTTGGCATAACAAAGATAGATTGAGATGAAAAGTCCTTCTCCCTGATCACGATGTCTCTGAATCTCTTCCGTAACAAACCACCAACTCTCCAGAAACACCCCCGAACTCTTTTCCTTGAAGGCCATATCCACCATGCTGCGAGAATTCCGCGCATTGAGTCTGCTGATACTCATCTTCGGTGCCGTTAATGTCATCGCTGTCGGCCTCTTTACGATCAGTCTTTTGAACCGTCCACGCAACAAAACCCATCAACCCACAGAATGCCGCGTCCTCATCCAGGGCCATCGCTTCCGAGCCCGCAAGAACGGCCTCTCGCCTCACCGCGCGCGAATCCGGCCAAACGCCCGACTAGCCTTCGTCTTTGGAATTGAAAACGTCTTTACCACCCCAGACGAAGAGTACGCGACTCATTTTGTCAGAAACGCAAGGCATTTGATCAACCTCAAAGCTCAAGACTGGGAACGACTGGCCAAAACGCTCCAATCCACAGCTAACGAGCTCATCAGCACAGCGGACCGCCTCCACCTCGCAAGCGTAGTCCAGTCCCTCTCACTCCGGATCATCCTGATCACACTGCTGAAAGCAGAGCTAGACACCCTCCCCGGCGCCGACAAGCACATGGTATCCCTAGCGCAGGCCATCAACCGCGCCTGGGTATCCTCCTAGAACGACGTCGATCTCATCGAATTCGCCCACAACCCCGACCTCCAAGCCTGCCTCTCCGCCCTCTTCCCCACCTTTGCAAGGACCAACCCCCGTGATAATCCACTATGCTGGATTCTCCCCGGCTTCGAGACAAGCTGGCGCATCATCCTGCGCATGGTCCTGGAACTCCTGCTCAACACGGGCCAGACTCATCTCGACTGGACGGCCACGATGATCGCTTTCGCAGAAAACCCCACGAAGACACAGTTCGAAGCCCGGGGAGCAGACGGCGTCTCCGCCAAGGATCTAGTGGCGGAGGGGCTGCGGCTGTACCCCCCGACCAAGCGGATCTACCGCGCGTTCGAATGGGAGGAGAACGGTGCGAGAAACTCGGATACCTTCGCCGCGGACGTGGAGGCTTGTCATCTTGCGGGTGGAGTCTGGGGATGAGATGCGCTGAAGTACAATCCGCTGCGCTGGCGGGCTGTCACGGATGTGCAGAAGCAGGCGTACTTGCCTTTTGGCGGTGCGCCGTTTGAGTGTCCCGCTAAGGCGGTCTTTGGGCCTAGGATCATTGCGCTGTTTGTTGGGGTTTTGGTGGACGTTGTGCAGGTGGGTAACGGTTGGAGGGTGGTTGATAAGGATGGAAACGCGGTAAATGATGTGTTCTGTGGGGAGAGGTTGAAGTATGATCGTGGCTCGTATGAGGAGTTGTTTCTCGTTAGGGCGGCGGGTGGTGCCTAGTTCAGCCGATGGGTGTAGTGTGATTCTGGCATGTTAGTGTGGTCTCAGGATCGCGTGTATCTGACTGTGTTTTGCTTTTGGAGGAGTTGAAGTGTTACCAGACAGTCTGATTCTGAAGCCTGAATTTATTTTACCATGTGCCTTGACTGGAGCTTATTTGAACAGTAAAGCATCTCTATATCGCAGAATACCAGCCGCACAGAGTAAGCCCTTCTGTTGTTCCAACCTCCAAAACGAGACCAGCAACCAGATGCAGTTTTCCAAATATAGCGCCCAAAGAAAATCTGCCGTGCCGGGTCGTGGTGGATGAACATGCTGGGCTGTGCACGCATACGCGTCTATAACCCTGGCAGCACCCTCCAATCGACAACCTCAGCACTTTCCCCCTTGTCGCACACTCCTGGCCACTGTCCTGAGATAAAGCTGGCGTCCAATAGTGTACCACACAGCCATGACTCGCTATCATGGCTAGTGAGGCGCCATCATTCTATCCACAAATGACAACATCGCGCGGATACAGGGGTAGCTGGATAGCGGCTGTTAGGACTTACAGTAGTCTCATCACCCCCCTGCAACTCGACAGCGGACAAGGCCGTGGCTGGGCCACCCCTCACTCCCAGCAATTTCTTGTTCTAACTTGGCGCTTAGAGACAAGTTTAAAGTGGGAATGACTCCCGCAATCCGGAGTGCGGGGTTTCGCAGAAGCAAAGGGAATGATCTCACACATCCGATACAGTACCCCCCGCGACCAAAAAGGACAAATTGACAATGGGAAGAGTGCGTCATTTCGTGGGCGTCGAGAGCTCGGAACAGCTGGCCTTCATCGATGAGCTTCAAGCGCTTGGGCTGAGTAGCACTATCAATCTGCCGGAGGTGAGTTCACTCACATAACAGTGGAAGTTGTGACAATCTCTCATGCCGACAAGCTGGTGGTGGTTGGCGACCAAAGCACGGGGAAGAGCTCCGTGCTTCAGGCCATCACCGAAGTCTCTTTCCCTGTCAAGGCCGGAACGTGCACTCGTTTTCCAACGCAGATCTCTTTTCGACAAACCTCTGTGGCCAAGGAGTTCCCGATCAAGGCCACGATTGTGCCAGGACGGCAGTCGGAGGGTGACGAGGCGCTGCTCGCTCGCATCAAGGAGTTTGCGGTCGAGAAGAAAGCGCTGAATCCGGAAGACATGAGTGAGATTATTGAAAAGGTTTGCCTCTATTCACAGAACTTTACTTGACATGGATGCGAACGACTGATATGCTGTGTAGGCGACGGAGTGCATTTTTCGCGACCACCGCGGCAAGAACTTGAGTCTGAGCGATGCCACCCTGCGCATTGAGAGATCGGGTCCGGACGAGATGCACTGGACCATTGTTGATCTCCCGGGACTTATACGGAAGGATAACAAGAAGACAGGCGCAAAGGAGAATAGAGTCGATAGGATTCAAGGAGAGACCGAGGATGAAAAGCGGATGAATGCTGCGGTCGCGTGGGAGCTGGCTCGGACCTACCTTGAAAACGAACGGAATATTGTATTGTAAGTCTGACCCGTCACAGCTTCATCAGTGGGAAGCATAAGGCTGAGCGCCCGACAGAATTGTTATGGACAACGTCGATGTCGAGCGACATCGGGTGTGGGAGGTGATGGAAGATCTCCCGGGGCTGGAACGACGCTGTATCGGCGTGCTGACGAAATGCGACCGCAAACAAGAAGGATCTGATAATTGGGTGTGTATCGCCTGCTCTCCGCTACGTTGTAAAGACTAACTAACCTACTGCAGATGATTCAACTTTTGCAGAATGGTTTGTCGACAGTCCCTCATCTGGACCACGGGTGGTTCGGACTGCGAAACCGAGTCCCCGTCGAAGCGCACATCACCGACGCGGAGCGAGACGAGCGGGAAAGAACCGAGTTTGCAAAGAAAGACTGGGAAACCGTGGCCAAGGACCGGACCGGTATCCAAGCCCTCATGCAGTATGTCGACAGGGAGCGACGGGCTCAGATCCAGGCCGGGATCCCCCAAATTGTGGCGGAGATCCGACAGAAGCTGCGCGAGTGCGAGTCAGACCTCAAACGCATGGGCGACGCACGCGACGAGCCCAAAGCCCAGCGCTACTTTGTCTTTCAGTTCTGCAACGATATGCAGCGGATGGCCGAGGCGACGCTGCGAGGCCAGTATCAAGACGTGCCGTCTCAAGACCCCCGGATCATGTTGCGGTATGAGGTGCAACGCCGTCTCGACCTGTTCTACAAGGAAATGTCCGACATAGAGAACATGCCATTGCATTTCTCCGATTTCGACAAAGACCTGGCTGTCCTGAACTCGACGAGTTCGGACCCTGAGGTCTGGGAGGACATAGTTCGTAAAACCCCGGGTCTGTACGCGGAGATCTACAAAGAGGCGAAGATCAGTGAAGGCCGCAGTCTGCCCGGCGCGGTGCATCCGGATGTAGAGGAAAAGATCTTTCGGAGGCAGTCGACGCACTGGGAAGGGATTGCCCGACAGTTTGTCGACGATGTAAAGCAACTCGTGCAGGCCTGTCATGAGGTACTTTTCCGCATTGCCATCCCAAACAGCAAGGTGCGCTTGGAGGTGAGCCGCTTACTGGGGAAGACTATGGACGAGTGGCACAAGCACATCGACACAGCCCTTGGGGAGCTGTTGGAAGACAACCGAGCGAGGCCGTTGGTGACTCGCAACCCGCAGTTGCTGTTGGACACGATCTCTGCGGATCAAAGTCGAGGGAGGATCCTTCTAGGTCAAAAGGCGAAAGCCGCATCAGAGGATCGAAGAGCCAATGGCACTGACGACGCGCAGACAGACCGTCCACAGTTTATATCGACCATACTGAGCCAGGTGCTTTTCGTGCGTGCAAGACTTCAGTCCTACTACATGATCGCCTTGTATCGTTTTATCGATAATGTGGCCATGCAGGTAATCGAACGGCATGTCTTGGGTCCGAAATGTCCGGTGCTGGCGGTGTCAGTCGAGACATTTGCTAAGCTGGACGATGATGAGCTAAATGCTATCGCCGGGGAAGACGAGTCTGACGCTCGCATGAGGGCCAGGCTGGAAAGACTGCGCTCTCGCTATACCGAAGCTCTTCGGAGATGGGAGAGGTTGAGAATTCTGTAGAGAGCCTTGCACTGTGAATTTCTAAGTCTTTGCTTGTGCTTACAAATGGTACGAACTCTTGTCTGATGCAGAACGATCGCAGTGTATAATTCTTGGCTTCATAGTATCGATAGCTGCCAATATCCGGAGGCCTTCACTAACATGTGCCAACACTAACTCTGGCCATATATCAAGAACAATATGCCAAGTTTCAATCACCCTGATTTGCCTTGCTCAAGTACTAAAGCTTCTGCTGCAGTATAAAATCAGAATGGGATTCATGAGCGGCGTGGACGATCTGCCCGTTCTGAGATTGAGGCAGAGCTAGGAAAAAATGACAATCTATGGTCAAAGCAAACAATATGGAGCAAATGAAGCAAAGATAAAAAATTGAAGAAGAACAAGTCACCTGACTATCAAGGCATCGAGAAGCGCAGTCAATGATATGTTTTCCAGCAAAGAATTCGCGTTTGCATCCATAGAGATATCAATGATTTCCGAACAGAGGCAGTAACCATCACGATGCTGCGTTTGCTCAACACAGGGTCAACTTGTGCCATTTCAAGAGTATTTACGGTATGGCTCCAGAAGGGAAACATAGGCCCAGTAGCGACAAACAAACACCTGAGAGTAATCACGACTCACTCAATATGCGCTGAAAGGAAGCAGTGAAACCGTGGTAGAGCAAATGATCAGTGCCGAGAACAAAGAACCCAACAATCAATGTGCCCCAAGCTGTGCATTCAGCAGGAGCAGATCCAGACGGAACGCGGTGCATTGCGCCTTTGTCTCGTTTGACTGGATTTCTTCTTTCTTCCATTGCTGAGATTTATTTCCTCCACCCCATTGCATCCCACTTTCTTCATCCCCTCACCCCCACTGGCTAGATGCACGTTGCGCATCGATATGATCAAATCGCAGCGCAGTTTGGCTTTTTGCTCACGCAGTGGCAGTCCTATTCTCTGGGCCATCGTCATGCTTGCGTTGTATTGGATATTGCTAGTCTTGGCCAGTCATCACGGCAGCAATAGTGCGAGCAGACCTACGGACATCGACTTCTCGCATTACGCGGTCGTGCAATATGCAACCAACCAGCCGGCCCTATGCAGCGCAGTCATGCAGTTTGAGTCTCATGATCGTCTGGGCAGCCAAGCCGATAGAGTCTTTCTGTATCCTTCGCACTGGGACCCGGCGAGCGATTCTACGGAGGGCAGACTGCTGCTCAAAGCACAAACTTGAGTATCATGTCAAGCTTCTACCCATCGAAGTTCAGATCCCATCGAATGGCCGTAGGTAGCGCACTAGCTGCCATTAGACAGGTTGAGCGAAGCTGACAAAAGATGCACTGACAGCGACAGAGAGCCTCACCAAGCTGTTGATGTTTAACATGACACAGTACGACCGCGTCTTATTTTTGGACGCGGCTGGTGTCATTCTCAAGGCATGCTGCACTCTTCTCACCCGATCATCTTGAAGCAGCACAGATCGTTGCTGATTCTAGCCGTAGAATTTGGATGAACTTTACTCGCTCCTCGGAAGCCCGATCGCAATGCCCCGCGCCTACTGGCTGGACTCTGAGTACCGCCAGTTCACCTCATCTTTCATGCTCGTGCAACCTTCAGAGATCGAATTCAATCGCGTGTGGAAGGCAATCCAGCAGGATGGCAACGCCGAATCCGACACAAATATCCTGAACAACCTCTACCGTGACTCCGCCATCGTCATCCCACACCGTCCGTACCACCTGCTGACGGGAGAGTTTCGAGCCAAAAACCACGCGAGCTACCTAGGCAGTCCCCACGCGACCTGGGATCCCGATGTGATCCTGCAGGACGCGAAGTATCTGCATTTTTCTGACGGGCCCGTGTCGAAGAAACCCTGGATCAAGACCCCGGCGGCGGTGATGGAAAAGGAACAACCAGATTGTGATGTTAATACTGTGACGGGTGCGCTGGACTGCCGGGCTCGTGACCTCTGGTTGGGATTCTATAAGGATTTTGCGGAGAGACGAGAGGTATGATGTCCCTCCCCAGGGTTCTGATAAGGGTCCAAATGTTCTAATCGATCGCCGATAGATGATCTGCGGAGCGAAATTCGTGCCCCAGCTTGACGGAGAGGCTGACAGAGTATGGAAAGCATCGCAGAAACATAATTTATCTTCTTCCGTGACGCGGAAACTGATAGACCAGGCTATGAGGGTCCTCGTCACGCTATGCTATGAATCCACAATCGCATCCGGCGTCGTGAGTAGTGATTCAAATTGAAGGAAATGCTGGCCCTGGTCGATACTCAGTTTCGCATGCTTCAAAATCAAGGAGACGAACAGGACTGCGTTGTTGGGAGCGTACCTCAACACGGGCCGGTTAATAGCATCCTCAAAGGTACATTTGATCCACCCCTGTCTAGCCGTTTTATGAAACCTGAACCGAATGGATTTTTTGCCTACTAGCATAGCCAGCCAGCCAGTGGTTGGGAGAATTACACTGGAGAATTGCACTGCCCCTTGTCTTTTACCTCTGCCACTGCTTACATCCGCCGACCGTCAGGTTCACAAGGATCGTAGCTTTTGAGCCACGATGTATTTTCCATAAGTAGCCTTTGGTAGAATGTCGTGACCAGAAGAGCCACTCGCCTGTCAATCCGAATTGCATTCCTACAAGATGAGTTCCCACTGGGCAAGCTTTCGGCCCAGCCACACTACGGTCCACAATCTCTATCATCGTGTTTGGATTACACTTTACGGGTTGAATGAAGCTCGATCCAGGTAATAGAAAAAGAATCATGTGTGATAATGCCTCAATTGCTTCAAGCTGGGAACAAATCTAAGCTTTGACCTATTGCGTGGGCTCCCTCCCAGCGCCCAGCTCACGCACCCATCACACGTTGCCCTTGTGCTCCTCGGGCAACCCCCTACAAGTGGGTATGGCGGATGAGCTCATTTGCTCTCCAATTATAATACAGTGTTACATTGGTGTCTCTGTAAGACGTCCAGAGAAATACTCGTCTCAAGCAACATGATGTACTGTAGTGGTGGTAAGAACCGGGGCAGGTTTGTAGGGGACAAAAATCGCACAGGATTGCCAATGACGACCGCCCAAGTTGTCCTCGATGCCACTGTATGGTGTATTCCAGTCGTTGGAAAGGTATCATGTGAAGGATAAAGACGGGCTGGATTATTGTGCCATATGCCACACATATAGAGGCTTTGTATCTTCAGAATGATGGCTTAAAATAGCACTCGCAACTACCCACTATTTGGGGTGGAATAATCCATTTTTAGGATAAGCTTCTGCGTCAGACACTCGTATGGTTGTGTACTGTTTGAGTTTGATCATATAAACTCAAACTATGATCGACATGAGACTTGAGCTTCTGAAGTGTATCGCGGCATGGGCAATATTTTATCGAAGAGGAGTCTAGATCCAACCCAAGATTTGGGGAGCGGGGCAAGCGTATGAGTGACAAGAACATTCAAAGAAAGTGATACGAAGCTACATGCTGTGCATAAATGGTGCAATTGTAAAGGATGATTCTACTGGCTACCCTAAAACGCCAGCAATGCATTAAAGTTTTTCAGGAATTCATAGTAGGATGGCTGTGCAACCGCTACACGAGCGGCGGGAACTTGTATAAACTTCTCGTAACGAGCATTACGAAACAAGCTCTCGTATCAAGAGATCAAAGCAGCTTTGGTGGTCTGACCCGTATCTAGCTCGTATTACCACACTTGCTACGAAAGACTACCAACGGTACAGAGATCTCCCTTCCGACTGCCGCCCCTCTATCACCTCTTGCATATCTTCCGAAGCGGTTATAAGTAGCCACGCCGAGACGCGGAAACCAGGATTGCCTAGAATATTATTGGACTCACTCTTACAACCATTCCAACACTATAAGTCCTCTCTCTGCCAGCAACTTATCCCAATATCTAAAGCAACATGCCTGTTCCCCACTACGGTGTCTGGGTTTGTGAGCCGACTCGGTATGTTGCCCAGCGACATGGCGTGCGCACCCCACACATCGAGCTTTATTTCAAAGATGACGACTCCGGGAGGGAGCGAAAGGCCGCCATTAATGTGAAATCGAACGGAGAAGAGTCTCGCTTGGTGTTCTGGTCTTCTGATGACTTTGCTCATCCTAACACTATTCAACTTGCCCAGCTGGACCTAGGCTTTCATTCAATCCCGGATCCTCGTGGTCGTGCTCGAGATCTCGTGGGACTAGACTATCTGCGACTGCGTAACCTCCTGAATCTCGAATCTGGACGAGTTCTGCCGCATGATATTCCTGGCCGTGATAATGATATTCTGGACGTCGTCCGGCCGATTCTAGATCGAGCAATCAGGAGCTCAGCAAAGGTGTTTATCTTTGGCTCATCCTTCGGATCCGGGATTCATGATGTCCATATGAACCAAGGCAGTCTTCCTCGGTACGATAATGGCGTGTATCAGGACGGGGGCTTGCTGATTCAGTTTGCCGATGGCCATTGGGAAGCAGTCTTCCTGGCCTTTGCCTCCCAGAGGATTCCCACCGACGATGTGAGCGGGCTGCCGGAGCGACATAGTCGAAGTCTGTTGCAGATCCTGGCTCCGCGAGAACACAATCTCTAGAGAAGTCGACTTAAAGCACGGTGGTAGTCAATAAAAAGTTTTTTTTGTTTCTTGATTACTTGATCCGTAAAAAATTAGAATACCGTTCTAATCCAGTCATCATCTGTAGGAAGTCTTAGCTTAGACCGTAGACGGTCTGCACTAAGGTAATGTCGCTGGGAGGCTCTCAGATGGTCCCTTGAAGTTACTTTCATCAGCTTGGGGAAGCTATAATGTGCAAGATTACTGTCAAACAAAAGTCACCCGTCTCAAGGGGCATACTGTTCACCACCGATACTTGAGTATGCCTGTACACACTGAATAAGTGCTAAGATTTCGAGATGATCAGACTCTTTGCCATAATCCGGGTATACTGCTTCCCCACATCTACATTACATTGTCAAGTCTGGAACAGGATTTCCTAGTTCACACCCGCCAGTTGATACCGAAAGAAGTGAATTCCGGATGATCCCTGGTAATGCGATCCTCAAGTGGCGGGGCAGAACAGTCGTCATCATTAATTACAGCCCGCGAAAGTCCAACGATGGAATTGCAGATCGTCTCTCATCAGAGATATCAGTAGATAAACAACAACAGTTGAGCCTCAGCTGGGTCCTGTAGGACGTACACTGATCGCCGAATATGGTCATAGAAGATTTGCTCCATCTCCGGCATGTACCACCCCCAACCTCGGAGCCGCATGTGCCTATTTATTCCCAAGAACAAAATTCTCAGCCCACACAGCGATGTAAAAGCCGTCAAGCTCTGACCACCGAAAGACTTACTCCAAGGCCTTGATCATCTCCTCTTGAATGATCACCTTGTCGGAGTAACTCAATTCGGAAAGCTCATAAAGACTTGTGCCGTCCGCCAGCCCCATAGCAATCGCCCAGACATGCCCATGCCGGAAAAACGGATTCTGATTGGAAGACAGTTCCTCGCTGCCGTAAAACACTGGGGTGTACCCGGACTTCGAGGATATGCTGAGCGCCCGGCACTCGCCGTTGTAAAAACGTTTGGCCAAAGCCTCGGTAACAGCCAGTCTGGTCTCGCTGATTCCGCGGGGTCTTCTCCTGGAATTGGAGATTTCAGCCATTGCCCTTCAATAGAAAGGTCCACGAGGATGAAGTGGAAGGCACTTTACCCGTAGCGCACCTTGAGGGCGTATCTGCGCGTGCTCTTGTGGATCGCATTGTCATTAGGGAATGTAGCTTCATAGACCACCCATTCCTCGCGCAGTTCGTCTTTCAGGGTCTCGGAAAGTTTCTCGTGGATGAGATAGTCCCGACCATCAATTCTGATAACACTACCGATCAGTTTATCCATCTCGGGGCCCGAAGGCGAGGAAGCGAGTTCGGAAGACGCTAAGGATCGTAGGAGAAAGTGGATGTAAGAGGGTGCGACAACAAGGACTACGTCCAACCTTACGGGGATATGATGGAACGTCACGTTAAAGTCGGAAATGCATCCGGAATCAAGATGCTCAATGAGTAAAAGTGACTGATGACGAATATATATGATAGATAGAATGCTTAAGCTAAGAATGTAAGAAAAAGTCGGGAGGAGTCGACGCAGGTGCTAATTATAAATCTTTCCATGGGTACAATCAGCACATACGACCATAGGGTGTGGAAAACAGGGCTTCCCGTCCGCTCAGCCGTACTTAAGCCACACGCCGGGAGGTTAGTAGTTGGGTGGGTGACCACCAGCGAATCCCTTCTGTTGTATGTCGGTGCTCACTCGTCTCTTTTTGACCCAGTGGGTAAGGCGTCATCGCCGCCTTATCTTCACCCCTCTTCACCTCTCTTCAGTTCGTTCAGGGCGCGACCTCTCTAAACTGTACTCACTCCTCCCGCAGCCGACATGGCCTCGTAGCACAGCCCCGTTGCCAAGAATTACCCCTCAGTTAGATGTTGATCTCACTACCTTTTCTGTGTCGGTGCTAGCAACTTTTGGACTCCCGCAACGTACAAAGCGATGATTAGTTGAATTCTACCCCAGTCTTCGGCGACCTGCCTGGCTATTTCTCTCCACCTAAGCAAGCTAATTATGTACCTCAACTATAGGTACTGCAATAGGGCAACCCTCGTCCCCATTCCCTTCAACCCACCTTCCCGGCCCGGAGATCAAGGCTGCGGCATTTCGTAGGAAGCGTGAGAGTTCGGTAGAAACGCCCAGAAAGAGGAAGACAGTAAGTACTGCAGGGCGCAGGTACAGCGGCGTGGTGTCATCGCCTACACTACCACAGTAGACGAGCAGTGACAGTCTACTTTGGCCTACCTGTCGATTTGATCAACACTTTCGTGATCGCGAAGCTCTTGAAAGCGGGTATATTGTAGGTTCAGTTGTTATCATTGATCAGATTGAAGTTTGTCATGTTCTTGGTGAAAAGACTTTTGGTTCGATGACACTATACATTGAGCCTCACTATGGGCAACACGCAGATATATGCGATGGCTATCTTCAGATGCATCTTTTCGCCGCAAACTATAATTGCCTGGGTCTAGATCCCTGGAGTGGCCCGTGATGGCCTTTGTACCTGGTGTTTTATTATGCAGCTCTTCTGGCTGCTGATTTGGAAACATTCTCTAAAGAAGAAAAATAGAAATACTGTAATCCAAGCAAAGAAGATAATCAGATTGCAGCAATAAGTAAAAACATAGTACTAACGGAACTGTGTAGGCGTCTAGACCTAACTCATGAGACCTACAAGACACTTTCTTTTATCCCGCCGAATGACACGTCAATCAAGTGATTGCCCTTGCACTCTTCAAGCAGCGCCTTTAATTCCACCCCTAGCTCAGCCGCTACTGGCTCCTCCAATCCGTCTTCTGCGGCCTGTTGACGAAGGTTCGCGTGGAGCCTTATTTGCAGCCGAAGCGAAGCCACCAGTCCTTGTGTCACCGTTATTGCATCTCGTAGCGCCTGCTGCGTCGCCACCCGGCGCGAGTACCACGTCCCGAACGGCCCAAACACACGCGCAAATAACCCGGCTAGCCGCTCCTCCAGGGCAAAGTCATATTGCACCACATATTGCGGATGCACTCCCCGTACCACCTGCATGCGATGACCATCAATGTCGACGACCTGCACCCGGCCCTCCCGAAAGGACACTACTGACGAGCAGAGTCTCTGTGCGAGTGTATCCTTGAAGGCCCCCCACTTTTCATTTTCGGGCTTTGTACAGCACTGGCACGAGAGCAGTATCCGGGGCTTAATCAACGCGAGACTCGCCTTGGTAAGCGCAAATGATTCCCGCCTCAATTCTTCCAGTTTCGCCGGCTCCATATGCTCATTGACGTGCATCAAGAGATCATCTGTAATCATTGGGAACGAGTCGCAGATGATTACATCATCGAGCCCCAGCCCTTCCCCCGCAAATGTCCCCTCCAACCAACAAAGTGTCGTTGAGTTGTCAACCATTTCCTCAAATGGCAAGTAATCCCAATTGCTCGGATTAAGCAACAGTAGGACTGGAAAATCAATCAAGCCGGACAGCAATCTCTTCCAATTGAGGAAGCTTGCTTCAGAGATTTCCCATTTTCTCTTGAAGCTTTGCCCTTGGATATAGAGCTCGTCTGTTTCGTGTAGCGTAAACCGCCGCGGTTCCCGTAAGCCAGAGAGATGTTCTGGTATTACATCCCGTACCAGGTTTGCAACTGATTGCACCGAATCGCGTTCTGAAGCGACGCTCTGCGGTAAAAAAAGTTCGAAGGGATTGATTCCACATCCGTCTTTTCTGACCGGGTTGTTCCATTTTGATGTCCCGGTAAGATCCTCGAATGGATTAAGTGGAGTAAACTTCTTGCCAGTGTTTCCTGTCTCATGGTCTGTCAGGGAAAGACCGGCAAGCGATCCTTGAAGAGTAGCATCTATCCCCGCATCATGAATAGGAACGGATTGAGACATGGTCTGGATTCTCAGAAGTAACAAACTTGATTTGGTTGAAGAGTACAGCTAATTTGTTGTTGAAGAGGTAAGAGAAGAGTATAGTGATTTGCATTATCTGATGCGGAGAGGTTTATATGTGTCGGTACGCCATCTATGTCCCTTCTGAACGCAGTCAAACTTCTTCTATACATTCCAAAATCATCCGACAGAATAGTGGATTATTTTTATTGTTCGAGTGTCTACTACCGTGACCGGAAGTCAACGAGCGGTTTTCACAAGGAATACGATGGCCTACCTACACACTTATTATGACGAAGGGTACTTCAGCTTCCAATTCGGCACTCAATACAAATGATTCGTGAATTTACCAATTTGTAGAAGTAACTGAAGACTTTATCAGCCACTTTTCATGGGCTTAGTAGCCCAAACAACCATTCGCATTCAGATGAAATATACACCCGCGAACGGCTGTGCTGCAAGCGGCAACACAAAATAACGACGCATAGGGAATATGCAGAATAGGAAAAAGAGTCAAGGCGTCACTCGAACTATGGCAGGCTGAGCAAAAAGAGGACCAAGAACGAAACTGAATTGTCAGACTACCTTTGATATACCTAACACTGCAAATTATGGGTCTATTCAGCCTAGAAGTTTAACGGAATTTCAGTTCGGTTTGGTGGTAAGATCAACGTCCAAAAATAACCAGTACTGCTATCAAAGATCCGAATCAATCACTTGGATTGACTTCTCTCTCTGATCAAACTTTGGATATAGATCCGCCGGTAACATCTTGCTTCCACCTCTCGTCCAAACCTCGAGGTGATCTCCTCGACCATCATGCTTGAGGACAACGCTACCTTCGTTTTCTCTCACCACTTTGATAATATCTTTGATCAATATGACCAACCTTCCAAGATCATTGGCATGGTCTTTTTCCCAGTCACTGATCTCAAGTGTGACGTCTTCAACATCCGGTGGGCGAAAGACGCCGCCTTTGTGGTACGCACGGACAAGGTTGGGTGTTTGGGAAACCCATAATTGTGGAAGGACTTCTTGCATGCGGATAGACTTGTGTAACACGCGTGTTTTGATCTCAAGAGTTGAATGAATCGGTATCTGTTTGCCTTGCTTCTTGGTCTCTAGCCAGGTTTCAGTGGGAATATAAGATGATTTGGCGGGTTGCGCAAGAGATAAATTGTTCATCATGTTTAGCAAGTCTCCATTTTCCGACTGCACTGGATTCTGAGGCCTTGGAGGCTCAATATAAGCGTCAGTTTCGTAGCGTACTATGAGCTTTAAACCACCAAAGTCGTAGGAAATAATCCTATGGTGCCCAGTACTGCCCACTATTTGAGAAGTGGTAAATGCCTTCTCGAATTCATGACCGTAACCCTTGAATTCGTGGGGTTTAATGAAATCTATTGTTTTTGTTTCGGCCCGACAAAAAATCGCTGTATCATTTGTGACCTCAACCTCAATGGTGAAAGGTTCGAGTTCATGTTTAGACAGACTCGGATTGATAAATGCGATAAGTTTGCGAAGGTTGTTTCGATCAGTTATTAGGTCAACTGCGCGTATATCGTAGGACGGATTTTCAATAAAGAGCGCACGAAAGAGCGGCTCAAGTGGTCTTTCAGGATAGCGAGCCGCATTTTGAGCGACATAAATGAGCCCAGAATCCTTGTCTACCTTTTTGGCTGATTTAGGTGGAGACCAGAGAGGAGGACAACCGGGTACGGCAATTGTTGGGGTTGGCGATTCGATCCAATTATACGAGGACAAGTGTACCACATTCGTGATGGATGGTCCCACACCCTTAACATCCGTAGATACAGGACGATGAATATCTGCAATTCGAAAAGAAGCCATTGTCATGAATTGCTCGAGGTTTTATGTTCAGGTGAATAAATACTGACTTTGATTACACAGAAGAGGTTATAAGGTGTTTGCCCCGCATTTGAACAGCACATACTTGCATACGCTGGCCAAACTCTGATTCTTTGTCCCTGAGAGGGGAACAACTCCATCTGCCAGAGTTATAAAGTAGGGCATGCTGGATAATGGCTTATCTGGCAGAAGTTATATTCTCGATACTTTGACCAGACCAATTATAGCGCCCAGCTGCTGGAAACTGCCCCATGCCCCTCCAAAAGCTCTCTCTAGAAATTACGTGGCACTGAATCTTACTCCTAAACAATAAATGCGGTCCGTTTGTTTTGCTTGGCACCTTGTTTTGCTTAGTTCATCTACTTGGGCCTGACAGACTGCAGAAAAATAGGCTTCGACGAAGCGTTCTTTCAGATAACCTGGCAAAGTTTCTTCTTCGAAATGTCTAGATGAATCCAGAACGCTGAAACCTGTTGTCGGAAATGTTCGTGGTTGAGACAAGGGAGCAGTAGCCATTTTTCGGCGTCGACAAACAAGCTGCGGTATGAGTTGCGAATAATAGAATCGTCTTGGAGACAATGTCAAGTTTGCAGATAGTCGAATAAATGCCTTCAGGATATTTAAGCCCATGCCTTGTTACCCTTTAAAAGGGACGCAGAAAATCATTCGAGGTATGAAGCTCCCTTTTACTTTAACATTAAAGTCCGTCGTAAGGACCGACGATAGCTTTCCGAGGTCAGGTCTCTTGGCCACCAGTCCGTATTTAGTTAGCAGTATAATATGACAGAGGTACTTATTTTTTGCTATCACCTTCTCCGCCCATCTTTACTAATTAAATGGTTCGGTGGGCTAGCTAATTCAGCTTAAACATTAGATCTTTTCTTTTGAGGCAGCAGACGCGATTACATAATAAAGCCTTCCTCCATCTTTCCTCCATCTTTCCTCCATCTTTCCTCCATCTTTCCTTCATCTTTCCTCCATTCCTGATGTCGGCAAGGTATAGTATGACCCTATACACTGCACGACTAATCAAATCTGAAAACCAAAGTACATGCCGTTTTTACTTAAGAATCCAGATATTAGAGTTTTGTTTCAGGTAGTTCTATAATTATTTCAAAGCAATGAACCATACACAGTATTTTCGGCGAACTTGTGTAGCTAACCTTGTCGCAAAGTCATTTCCTGTATTTGATTATCTAGAAATCGATTAAAATTAAGACAATTAAATATGCATAACCGGGTACGGTGACAATATTAAGTTATCTCTCAGTAGTCTACGGATAGATCTAATTCATAAATAGATACGGGTCATAGCAGACATACAGGTTATAAATAAAGAGCTCGAGCAACAGATTTCGACTGTATATACACAGCTGTCTCAAGTCTGCTGGTTGTACACTAGTTCTGCATATTCCAATACTCCTCAGAGTCCTTTTTGGCGATTTTACTCAGAATATTAATGGACTGCTTCGCCGCTACCCTGGCCTGGAAATGGTTCAAGAAATGGGTGACCATTACTAAATCTACTTCGCAAAATGAAGAGGTTCGCTATGCCCTTGCATTGCTAAGGGTTTCCTTCGCTGACACATCTAGATCATCATATTTGCTGACGTGGAAAGAGGGCCTGATAATATCGTGGTAACATTCCTTTGGTATCGTTTTTATGACCGCCTTCCTTAGGAAGAGTTCAAAAAATTCGGAAACTCCGCAACTCTCACAGTGGTCAAAGCTGGCTGGAACTGTTTCAGTCTGGATCAGCTGGCTGAATCGATACACAAAGGGCGATTTAAGGACTCAGATCTAAATAAGGCTCGGAAGAGGGCAAAGGACAAACAGAAGAACAACTTCAGTCGGAGCCCTTCTGATCCAATCAGTCGTTTCGGTTAAACAGGCAAGGTGGTGTGAAGATCGATGCCTGTGACTGCAGTCAGCTATACATTAGTGTATATGGAATATGTATGACTTGTCGGCGCACAGTAATAGTTGGATTTTATTTTACTCAGAAAGTCGGTGCTTTCGCGGTAGCAATCTCTGACTGAATTGGAAAGAGAGAATCATAATCAGTCTGAGTTGTACACCATAATCAAAACGGTCTCTTACCATATTTAGGATCGCCCAACTACACCACGCAAGTCGACAGACCCTCCTAGAAGCGCTGTGCCTGTGGGACTAACTTGTACATCGCCGAGAGAGAACGCGTCTTGGAAGCTTTCTGCCATTAAGTGGGCTGGGAGAAGGCGGTCAATATGTAGGGCAGCCTGAAGGCTTATATACCCAACTAATATCACAAAGTCACGGGACTTAAATGCCAATTAGTCTTGTATCCGCTACTTTCTTATGCGGGGACATCCCCTCCCTTTCATTCTACCTAACGTAATTCTTCAAGATTGAAAAAAAAAGGCCCTAGAGGTAGCTAAAATCATCTTTGTTTTTAAGATTTCCTATACGCCATTTGTGAGTTTTTCCCTCTTTTTTTCTTGTAATTCGGGCTTGTGCGGACACTAATATTTAAAAATTAATTAGCAGTTTGGTGCTAGTCCTTAAATACAGCAGCAGCTTTACTTATTCAGATGGCGTCTCCAATTTATCTAACATCGAACGCTAACGATACTAGGAACAAATTAGTAAAATAGGCATGCGAAGATGCTGTGCAAGAACAAGACTATATTGTCAACAAGCAAGATGATCAAATATATTATAAAAATAAGATATCTGGCCTCGTCATACCATTTCTCGAAAAAATGGGTCTTAAAATAATTTATTTTACCCCCTGTCTTGTGAGCTACACTGATAAGTTTCATAGGATTCAAAATATATAATATGGCGGTTTTCAATTAGCTAACTGATTAAACCAAGCCGCAACACAAAGCTATATACTATTCTAATTAACATAATAAGTGGGACACCACAAATCATTAAGAATAGGAAGCAAAGTCAAGTCATCCTCAGTTGTTATATTACAACATGCGGTGCTTTTAAAATCACGCCAGAGCTCAATTGTTTGTTTGTAGGTAGTATATAAAATGCTAGCCTGTAGTCCTCCAGATTCTTAATAACTATATATTTGTTTTTTTAATTTGAATAGGATTTATAGGCACGCCTACCTGTACATAGCTCTCCTTAAATATATGGTGGAATAGGTCAAAAGACTGGAAAAATATCTGATATATAGAGGCAATAATACCTAGGTCATAGCCAAAGCACTTACATATTTCCGATAACCTGTAGAGAATATTAGAAACGCATCTATAAAATTCAACTTAGCATACTCTACTGTGTTTCCAGTAATAGCTTTTATAATATATGGCAGACAGTAGAGAATCCAACCCTTTTTATATATCAGTATTTCTTGCTTTCCAAGTCTTCTTGCTACTTCCTCAAAGCTGCTAGAGTCATAAATTGCAAAACATCCGAATTATACAGGGGAACAGGCTTTTTTAAAAGATAATTAATAAGCATATATTTTAGTAAAGAGCTGAGTGCTTACATAGTAAAAATATCTCCCAGCTTCTGTATCCGAACCCATTATTAAGCAGTAATATAATACACCTATTTGTCTATAGAGCTCTGTATTAATAGTAGTCAAATATTTTATCATCTGATTATCTGTTAATATACCACCGTATCATACTATACACAGTTTCTTTAGAACTGCCAGCATAAATAAGAACGGTGCAGTAACTGGTAAATATCAATTACTAATATTTATTAACCTGTATTGTAAGATTTCCTTCATCGGCGCAAGCAGATATAAAAAATCCATAATTACATGCCCTTTAAATCAAATCCTCACTGTCTGCCGACTGAAGTAATGGAGTCTGCGGGTCTAAAGAATACTAAAAGGGGAAGATAGTTTCAGTTTTTCGGCCGAGTATAAGCTGAATAGCCTGTCTGTTCCTCTAAAAAGTATAAATGCCAGCATTATGCCTCGCAGTATTCCAATCATTATTACTAGGAATTAAATAAATAAAATTATACAATTACTTCTTCTACTTAGCAGGCTTCGGTAAGTTCTTCAGTAGTTGACTTAAATTTGGTTTAACAATCACAAACTTAATGTTGGGTGTATCTTGGGAAATAGGTAAAGCTGCGCACACTAATCTTAATCTATTGGATAGGAAAGACAAAGCCCTCCTAGCTTCCAGTAATTCTGATTCAAGGTACTTAATATAGTCCAAGTCATTGCCTTTGAAGTTGAAAAGCCTAGACATATTTGCAGTTAAATTATATGGCTCTTTACTGCAGGATCCAACCCACTTTAATATCTGAATAAGTACCTATCTGGGTATGTTCCACTTTTGGCATAGTACTTAGAAAATTGTCAAAACATAGGCTTGCTTCTCAGGTCTGTGCGTACTGCAGTTAATGATTAACTAGAACAACTTTTTAAACAACTCAGAGCTGATTTATAACCTGTGGCCCTTTAAAAAAGAACATGACTCTCATATTGCACTGTTGTATAAGAATGGTATATTATAAATCTAAGTACATCTGTAGCCTCTTAGCTAAGGTTTATTAATTAATAGAAGCTACTTGTCAGACCACTTATTACAGTAACTGTGTGCGTACTTTTCCGGTTTCTGTCAAATAACTTACAGGATTCTTGCTATTTTGCAGATACGAGCCTGCCCCATATTATAATAGAAAAAATCGGATAGAAGGAGGGAATTGTTCAGATTGGAAACTTATATTAGGTGGATGACGGTAGTGCTGGTCGAATAATTAAGGTGATTACAAGTATTAATAGCATCTACTTAGAATAAAAGACTATAAGATATAAATCTCTGAAAAAATATTACAATTTTCTCAAAGCATGCAAATAGGCCAAATACTTAAGATATATATAAACATTTATAAGAAGCCTCCATTATCTTGTTATCATATAACATCAGTATAGGAAGTATTTAAAAAAAAACCACAGTTCTACAGTCTGCTGTATAATCTTCATCTGGTCAGCGTGTATTCATAATATCTTACCTAAATTAAAAATGCCAACTATGATTTCCCATTTTATTCTCTCCATCCGCAATAGGGTATGGAGAACAGTCGATGTTGTTGAGGATTCAGAGGTGCAATCTTCAGTATCTATATCAGTATCTCTGCGAGCCTTGTTTTAATTCTATATACTTATATAATATAGAAATCTTATTAAAAACACTGCATCAACGCCCACATATCGGGGGATACTTCACTCTTCTACTCTGAAGGAGGAGCGTATCCTATCTGCCAGAGGTATACAAGCAAATGACAGTTGGAGATGTAGCTAGATCAAACGCAACGAGAAGAAAAATTGCTTAATAATGGTCAGATACATGGGGCCTCAATGATCGGTACAGAACAAAGTGATCTGAGATGATTATACAACAATAATCCGCTCGAGTCCAGTAATGCGGAATATATTGTTCTTTGCTATGTTCGATAATTGCTGTTCCTCCTGCGGGATCATGTCACGAGCAACATTGAGTTTCAGGCTGAGTTCGATCTTCTTGCTCTTGTCGAGGTTCGGAGCGCGGATAGTCAGCGGGCAGGATAATAGGTGGGTTTTTCCTGGTTGTTGCTGAAGGCGAGCTGAGAAAACGTGGTATAGATATCCATTTACAGAATAGGATCCACAGTAAGCTCTGAAGTAGGATATTCCGAACTTCGTTTCTGCCTCAACAACATCGATCCTTCGCGCCGCCTGTAGCCCCCATGCCAATCCTGCTAAAAGAGGATTTGAGGTCGAGGGGACATCAGAGGAAGGTGTGGGCGGTGGTGTCATTGGCGGGGTTCTCTGATATCTCGACGCCGTAGCTGTGAAACCTGGTGCCAATGCATCTTCAGGTCGGAGAGTTGAAGTGGAATCAAGACAACGCTTGAGAAAACAAACACAAAACATGATGACAGCTGAGTGACTTGACGGGGTCAGCATGATTGATTCTAAGTAAAGGAGGGGTACTAATATACCTAACTGGATGTTTATTAGATATGTGTATACTATGCGTGGAATCGGGGTTCACTTACAAATATTGCCAAATACTTACAGTATGTAACTATTCTGCGCTCAGAAGCGCGACCATTGGACAATCAATATCACAAATGCAGCGTCCTGAGATAGACAGACGCTTATTGGTTTTGTGTGCATGACTGCCATGGTCTTATTGGCTGAAATGGTTGTTTGACAAACGCGTGGCGCCTCCGGGTGACTTACACTCTGTAAATATTTTCCAAAATCTAAGCTAGTCATTGGCGAAGGATAAGCAGTAGATGAGAATAGCGAGCCAAGCTGCCAAGGGGATAGCAGTCCCTGACATAGTACTGATTATACGAGGAAAGCATTTGAAACTCTGCACTGATTTCAAGATACTGTGAATCAAAAAAGGAAACTCCTCGATGCGACTTTACTAGAACATGTATATCTTCTATAAATGAAAAAGTTTTCCGGATATCCTGAAAGCACTGGACCTGTCAACCACACTTTAAATTTTCTTACTTGTATTACTTGCCCCTCTCGACGAAGATGAAGCCTACTGACATTGCATTTGGTCTCGTCACACATGCATTTGCAGATGCATACCATGATGCCGTTATACCATTTCCTCCACCCTCAAACTTCAAACCACCTAAGGAGCATGCTGCCGTTGCTTTGCTGGAGAATATACTACATCATGTCATCTTTCCCAGCGACCTGTATGGCACTGTACATATCAATAGCCAAGACCCACCACACATCGAATCCTCTATGAAAGCCGACATCACAATTAAATACACCACTCACCTTCTGAAAATTCAAAGCCTCATCTTCATCGAGGCGAAGCGGACCAAAAGGAACGAATCGTACAACACACAAACCGTCGAGGCGCAAGCGCTTGACTACTGCAACGAATTTTTCAACAATCCTGCCAACAAGTGTGATTTTATTTACACATGTACCTTAGTTGGCGTTCACATCCGGCTATGGCAAGTCTTGAATGAGATACAACGTGGAAAGGAACACCGCGATCTCATACCACTATGGGGCAATCCGGACCGCGGAAGTAATAACCAGTACTTGAATCTGGGAAACAACGAGCATGCCAAAACCATTTTGACCACTTTTCGAAGTTGCTTACAAAATGCACCAATTCATTGGGTTGGCAAGAGCAGCTCTGATCCGCCAGTGACAGCGACCACAAGTGCGATTCAACTTCCCGAGATCAACCCAGCACTTGCAACTCAGGGTGGCTTCACTGGGCTGCCAGCCATGCATCCCCCGCTTCCCAATGCTCCGATGCGCATATCCCGAGATGGTGCAGACCCATCGACGGGTAGTACGACATTTCACCGCCCACCTGTTGGCTATACCAAAGTTACCAAGTTTATGCCTAAGACCCTGGACCGGTATGTATGGTTCATTGGGACCGCACATGCAAACAGTCCATCGACCGCATGGACCATCAGAGGGAGTTTCCTCGTGAATGATGAGAGGAAAGTCTATGCTGATTCTACCACGCCCGGGCTTTACTCTGAGATAAAGCTCAGCTAAATCCCATTCTTCCTATCGACCGTCGAGTTTTCAACATGCTCTGAGCTAAGAGGTCAGACTGCGTAGGGTTTTTGATCCTTCTACGCCACCGCCTAATCAACTTGGGTTTTTTCCTTTGTACGCATGCAGTTTTGTGCTTCGTTTTAATTTGACTTTTGGAACGTTTCGAGATTTTCTTGGAGTAATTGCGCCACTGTCATTGTATGGAAGCTGGTTATTATCGTAAGGACAATTGGATACAATGACAAGTTGCTTTTCCAATATTCGACGTTTTTCCCAATTACTCAGGGACTGCTGGGCCGTGTGGGGAGGAGCTCCTTTCGCGGAAAATGACGTCGTGTAGCGCTCGCACCTTATGGCTTGGCTAAAAAAAACACCCTACAGAGTGATTCGGCGAGAGCCTAGGTTTTCCATTACGCTGCAAGTTTATTGGTCATACCCGAAATCTTCTTTTTGGTCTGACTCAGTGATGTACTGTGTACTGTATGCAGGTCTCGACGGAAACTCAGGTTTGCTATGCCGGAAGGGACCCACAGAAGGGTAAAACTCAGCGGATGGTGGAGGTCAGAAGAGCTCAGGTGCCCAAGAAGACCCACTGGCAAGGGCCCCTGGTCCCGTCCGGAACCGTGCACGGTGAGAGGGCACCAATCATATCTTGGTATTACTATCATGGAGGATCACAGGCATAGCAAAGCTCTGTCTGTATCTTTGCAAAATGGGACCCACTTTGAGTGGGGAAGCAGCCTATCATGTTGTGAGTACACTCGGCCTTGTTGAACATCAAAATTCGCTCACTCCGGTCTTCACCATCGACTCTACGCTGATACCCCGGCATCAAAGGATTCGAGATGACCACTAATACAACTGATCATAACCCGTGCCAGTCACCTCAAACGCCTCTTTCTCATGGCGGCGAAACCCAGATCACTTTGATCATCGCGCACCTTAGACAGGAGCAAGAGCCAATAGTACGATTCTGGCAAGGCCTGCGACTCGAAGATCTCTTCAGCGGAAACAGCTCAGCCCCTGGGCCTCTAAGTCTAGATCGCAGGCCTGGAAAGATTGCAAGGCTGCACTACATTATGAATATCTACCTGAAAACGCTACAGTTTTTTCAGGAGTATCCACACTTCGATACGAAAAAGGAGAATACCGCATTGTGGCAAAATCTTGTTAATCCTGGTAAAAAGGGGCGAAAGGGAGACTTTGCTGCAAAGAACGGGTATTCCCTAACAGATACACTGGTATCATTGGGTAGAGGTGGGAAATTGAAAGCTATTGAGAGCAATCTAGACGAACCTGGAATTGTGCCAATGCTTTTTGGTGTTGTCCAGATGCTTGACCGACTTTCTCTTCACGATACGAAGGAACTTGCAAGACGACTTCGAATATATTGTCCTATACTGATAGCAACAGGTTGCTTAATTCGCAAAAAATGGACATTGTATTTGGAATGCTACAATAAATGGGCACTGATTGAAGCAACGTCAAGCCAAGGCCACGAGACTCAAATCTGAGGTTGTCGGGCAAGATGATATTCCCTGAGAGCCCGGGGCATCTTCTGAAGGAAAGGAACCACAAATTCCCCGATTTCAATGTCCTTATTTGTGAAAATTTCTTCTCCACCCGCATATCCCATACAGACAAAAGTACATGTTGACACAAATCGAACAATGGTACCTGCTTGGACAACAAGGATCTGTTTGCGGCAGAGATTAACAGGGTGCCAATCAAAGGCAGTAGGTGGTTGGGTTTTCTGAAATAGGTTGCGAACTTGCTCATCACTCCAGTCGTGGGATCCTTGAACAATTTGAAAAAAGCCATCAGGGTTATTTAGGGAATCGTCTAGCAGGCGAAATAACACTTTAAGTCGACTTTGCTTATCACCTGGTGATCCAAGAAGGTAAACCTTGTTGACATGGTTATTATCGTCATATCGAACCACTCTAGGCTCCAGAAAATTGTGGTATTCCTGTACACCGAGGTAAAATAACAAGGACTATCTCAGATTAATATACTATTAATAGGGGTAGGTCGTTGTGCATACAGAAACACCATGATGCATAAAGCTTCCTGCCAGGGGAGAAAACCGCGGAGATTCAGGATTGCGCCAGATTGTGAAGGATTCGATAACCTTTGGAACTTGCTGCATGCACGCGTTACGCAGTGCTTGAATATGCCTTTGAGGAGGGAAAGAAACGCCTTCTAAGAATTCGTAGCTGGAAGACATTCTCTGAGAATGATGGACCAACAATCAAATCTGCTGTTCAAGGGAGCCAGCAATATAGAATCAGGAAGGTGAGACTTGGTAAGATTCCCCCTAAAACCAGGCAAACACGGTCGATCAAGATAAATGATCATTAGTCAGCCACTGAATGTAAGTTATGCGGCAGTGGACTAGTCTGGGGCTTTGACATTCTGAACAAGAACCAGGTGCGGGGTCGACGTAGAGTTGTAGAGCATGGTCCCCCTCGAAATTTTCATGTTCACTGAGCATATGTTTTTACACCAGACTCATCACATCTAAAATGGGAAACAACAGTAGCTCGGTGGTATGTAAAGCGCAAAGGTAGATTTGTTGAGCATGATCATGACTAGTCTAGGCACATTCATCGGTTCGTTCAAAGATCGAAGAGGTGGCAGCCGCTGTTCTTGAATTGGGGGATTCAGTACGGACCGTTAAGCCCTCTTCCACTGTTATCACGCTCTGCTAACGCATGAAACCAGACTGCTGCCTCGAGATTATTTGCTATAGCAGACTCTCCCAACTTCCTCAATTACTGTCGCACAAACTTGCTTCTAGATACCTCTTGCCAAGTAAACAAGATTTGGTTCCATGAGTGGAGGAGTCAAAAGGACGAGAAGCTCGAACCACAACAAATCGATCGTCTTGCAAGACTAGTGAAAGAGTGGACCTATCGCTCCAGAAACGATATCCCGAGGAAGTTCTATGACTGGATTCGAAAGCCGGAGTCAAACTTCTGGGGTTGGGACAATCAAACACAGGGTACATTTTATAACCGACTTCTTGAGGACATCCAGGAGCTGGAAGATGCAGCTGAGAAGAACTCTATTCGTCGAAGAGTCATTTTGGTTATATTTTATGACCTGGTGCAGAGGGAAAGACAGACATTGCTCTCTGAGGCTAAGAAGCGCGACAGGCCTGAGAAGACACGGTCCCAGAACACGTTTTTCAAAAAGGCCATCGACAATATTTTGGATCAAACCTACGGCAATCAAGAGCTTTCGAAAGAGGTAAGATCTCGTAAGCGGAAACGATATGTTGACCTGCATCGCTACGGAAGGAGGTGGTCACTGTTTGAGCGACGAGAAACAATCATTGACTACCCGATTATCAATGCATCGAATAGGTGAGGATTTATTAGTAGCCTAAAGAGCCCGACTAACGATATTCCCTCAGTTTCGAACGCGCAAAGATGGAAGATATAGAGCTTGAGGCTCTGAATCAATTCGAGAAGAGGCTTTATGATGACGAGTATAGGTCTGTGGTTAACCAGGCATTCACATCTATCTACAATGCCTACCTTGAGCACCGAAATCCTTCTACCCTGCAGCCAGCGCAGAGAGCTCGATCGGTGATATCCCAAAAACGTTTACGAAGCAATGAGGTTACCATAGCTACCGAGCCAAGCAGAAAAAGATACCGTTCCTTGCGCTGTGCTCAGCAGAAGCAAGACACGCACCGAAATACTCAAGACCAAGGCGATAACTTTCGTGGGTACATCTATCTTGCGCTTCTCAGAACTTAACTGACATGCGCAGAACTCTCAATCAACATACCAAGTCTAGAAACACATTCCAGTACGTACAGGCCTTCGCTGAGTCCGATGATTGAATGCTAAGCTCGCTGACATGGACTCAGGCTCGCAATATTGGCCAGGAACACACAGTCTTCTTTATAATTCAGAGACCGGACCTCCACCAACACCACATGTCATAAGTCAGGATGATCAAGCTATCTCCAATCCAAAGCACAACAGAGGCTCTCACGATAACACTTTGATCAATAGTCAGCGATCGGACGCTGGAAAAGCGCTAAATACTACTGGAGAAATACGTGAAATTGATCGTCAGATACAGCTCGAAATACCACAATCCGATGCTGCCAGTGCTTGGGCCGCTCCCACATACAGAGCAAGCTTTCGAAGCCAATCACGGTCCCACAATGGGCTACATGCTGAGGGGCCATGGAGTACTATGGCACAAGGTAGCAGTAGACATTTAGATGCAGCGGATGCGACCGCCACTGCAGCTTTTGCAGATGAGTTCCCGAATCAGACATTGCTCGACATGCCGCTGCTCGATGCTCCGAGTGCGTGGGCTGCTCCGAGTGCGTGGGCTGCTCCTGGCTATGGTAATGTCTCACTGCTTGCCACACCACGGCTAGACGATGTCAATGCTTGGGCTACTCTTCGTTATGAGGATGACTATCCAAATCAGACACTGCTAGGGGAGCATGAACTGAATGCTGCATGGGCTTCTGCGGAGATAACACAAAGCAATGACTCTGCAGTCAGCTCGATGGTCAATATACCGCAGGGCAGCTTGACCAAGGAGCTGACCCACACGTCTCAGGGGTTGGACAAGGAGCATAGAATGTACTAGTACAAGTATCTTAGCAATTTACGCAGAAACCTACGCGAAAAGTATAAAGCCATTGCATATCACTGTCCTTCATTCTTCAGGATGATAAATAATGAAGTACCTCCACCTTTATTGCTAAATTGTAAATCCTGGTCTCCAGATACCAGGATAAAATCTCCTGCGAATAATTCAGTTTTGCTCAAATGCGGAAGCCCGTTATCGCTGTTCACATATTCCAACCCAACAATAACCAAAGTTTTTCCCGGAAAAGGTGTCTTCAATATGCCCGGTCGTCCAGTCCAAACGATCGGGTAAAATTCTTCAACTCGGTGCGATAGATCGGCGCTGGAGGTAGTATTTATTTCGCGAGAAACTTGCTCTAGGACGCCCTTATCCTGTGATATATTACATTAGTGTTGGTACTGCATATTTGTTTCGCAACAGACGTACTGAGAGCCACGTCTGAACAACTGATCTGACATCATCTTTGCTCTCGGGGGATATAAAAAGCCAGGGGTAACGACTGTGGGATGTGCGTGATATTCTTGATCTCACTTTAGCTGCTGCGATAGAAGCAGCAATTTGTAGAGGCGACGCAGATGACATGAGTCCTGTGTGCCTTTCTACCTCGAGGTTTGTTGTTTACCACACTCTGCTGTAAGCCCAGACAAAACAGAGGTTGTCCGAGCGGGGTCCAAGGCGCCACATTAGGCATCGAAAGGCGGTCAGGAACCTTACGTGTGACTGGCAAAGATGCCGCGTGGCTAAAGACCAATTCCGGCAACTATGTACTAGGTATACGCAAAGTCCAAGCAATAAGCATTTTGCAATGATGAATGACGTGGTTAGAGCTATCGATGATAACTATGACGACAAATCAATGCAGGGTAACCACAGGTTGGTTTGCCGCGATGCTGTAGTCAACTTATTGCAAACAAGACAATCTATGTTACTACTTTTTAAAGATTTTGTGACAAATTAGGCTGGTACCCGAAGAATAATATCGGAAAACGGTGCATAGAGCCAGATAATATCATCCTATACTCTATTAGCTTGATCGATTTCACGGGATGCTCCTCACTAACACCAGGAAGTATGTCCCCCGGTCTCACTTCTGACAGAACAGAAGAGTGGATTGACTGAATACTTTCAACATACTCGTATCCCTCACTGACCGCCAACGAGAACCTCAAAACATGGTTTGATTGATGAGCAAGCTCGACGATATTAGCTTGGTGCGAGGTGCTCTCGTACCACTGTCCTAGGATACCCAAGCTGCTGTCATTATTATATGAAATGAGCATGCCTGTACAGCGAGGTCCTACGTAGCAGACTTTGAGCGCTTTGATATCAGTATATGAAGCTTGAGAAGTAAAGCTGGTCCAAGGGGAGGATTCTAGCAGGCCCAGTTGATTGAAATGGAATGGCATAGATGGAACCATGCTAGAGTGCGGCCTTGTTTCCCATGTCGATAGATTCGGTGACCCGATAATGCCCAGGCTTGTAAAGGCAGGCAAACCTGGAGATATCTCGTAAAAAAGATCTATAGCGTCACCTGCGGCCCCGTTATATAATGTTTGGATTCGCGTCTCCTCGGGGGATATGTATGGACCGAGACTCAGGTTACGACCACGATTTGTTGTACACTGTATAATGATTAGAAAATTTATAGCCACAAAGATTGGTAAGCATACGGTGAGATATGGTGTAGAGATAGTACCCCAGAAGACCGATATTGATGTCAATACCTCGCCATTTTCAAGTCTGACATGTACTGGGCAGCCCTCTTGTTGGCCATACCATGATACTGATTGATCATCACCTGATGGGTTTTCAAAAAAGGTACCCAGACCAACAAGACCTCGGGGCGAACAAAAGGCAGTCAGAGCATACAGAAAGTACCCATCTCGTTGAAGTGGAATGCATGCCATGAAGCGCTGCTCCTGTGAAGCGAAATCACCACGTCGCGGCCAGTCGTAGAATGCACTCGCTGACAAGGTATATGACTGACGGGGCAGCCACGGACTAATCCAAAGAAAATCATGTCCAAACACTTGTTCTTCGCCGGGTTCAAAAATCCGTTTGATAGAAACGATTTTAAGGACCTATAGGTATCAGCCCTACACAAACTTGTCTGAGGAGTGGTTCCATACATCCCAAGTTAATTCTACTACAGGGGGTGATTTACCATAAACAACCCCCGTGTATTCCGGATTTTCACGCGCCAAACTTTTCAGGGGCTTTTCGGAACTCAGCAGGTCTTCTATGCTCCGCAGCCCATAGCGCCCAAGAGTGAATGTAAAGCCAGTTGTAGCTGAAGTAATCGAGAGTCTGCGAGACCGTGAACTCTGATATCCGTAGAGCTTGCCATCTATACAAATGCCAGTGATATATACTCCATCCAGAATAGGCGCCAGGTAGACAAGGATGTCTCCTCGAATATGTACCAATGCCGAAGCCGAACTCGCATAACTTGCTGGCCACATTGTCTTGGCCGCCAAGAGTGCGAGTAAAGAGCGGGTGGCTGAAGGCGGCGTGAGCTTCCAAATAATACTTACAAGCTCTAGTGGAAGATTGCCAATATGCTTCATTAGTATATATAGGGTGGTCCTGTTACATTCGAGTCGATTCGAAACAAGCCCAAGAGAAGCATCCTTGTTCTTATCTCCTGCCGGCGGAGCTGAGAATAATAAGAGATGAATTGCACTCGTCACAGCTCGACAATGTGAGTGGATGCTCTGAGGAAGCTTCTGCCATACAAGTGGGTTCATGGACAGCCCAAGATTGTATAGAAAGCGGAGACATGGTCGATGGTCTACTGCAGTCCAGCAGATGCTGTGAGTAGAGGGGGCTGGTCTAAAAATCCTCCAGCATTTCTTCGGATTTTGTATCTCGATGTCGAGTGCTGCTAGAATAATTGTACTTTTTCCACCTCGGAAGTCCATTGGTTCTGTCAAAATAAAATCGCCAACTGGGTCTGCAGGGATGACTTCACACTCTAATGTCAGTAGGGAAAGCAGCACACTATACTTGTGGTACTCACTTGACCGGAAACAAATGCTCGAGTTGAACTTCTCCCCACATAACAAGCAATATGGCATCCGAGTAAATATTTTGGTTTCCATTATGACTCATTTAAGATCGATAAACCAGCGGGATCCTGCCTGAGATTCAGGAAAGCTTGAGTAGACCGTAGCGAGAGCAATCCATGAAAGGTTACCGAGATATAACAAGTGGAAGCAACAGAGGTGGATTGGGAACGTGCACCTACCTGTACAAGGGATCGACATGCAAATGAAACAAACAAGAATCCAGTCTCACGTGACCGTGCTATTTGTGGCCCGCGGTAGGGAAAGTCGTGACCCCACGGAGTACGGGAGACTATATTGGCCACTCGCAAAAACACTCTCCCGAGACCCCAAATGCCAAAGTCGAACTTTCCTATGCCCGTCCTGTCAGCTTATTCTCTGCCATCCTCCGGCAACAGAAGCAATTTAGAACGCTGATATTGCTCTAATGCCCTTGTTCGATTATTTGCTAGCTTATAATAAGTACACATGCTTCTCAGCCGGTAGCCACACTTTCAATAAGGGAAACACCCTGGGTCTCCACACACTGAAGCTTTCCCCACCGTTCAGATCAACGCGAAGCTTCCGCTCCTGTCACTAATATCTTAAACTAATCTACATTGGGTTCAACAACCTCTTTTCTTCCGCGCAGCCTTCCCGCCCTTATAATCAAGACATGTAACTCTGATACTGGGTATCTTAACCTACAATCTATACACTATATCAAATTGAACACGGTGCTGACATTCTTGAGTCGAGTAGACTTAATACAAAAAGAATAGTTTCCTTGGTACTACACATACAACAATTCCTCGCCGTTGAGCGAGCCAGAATTTACGAGAGAAACAGCTTCAAAACCAAGCAAAACAATTTCAGAATGAAGAGAAAGAATTAGAACTTACAGAACGGAGGGCAAGAATACACCAAATAAATCATAATTTATAAGTTAGAATCTGCTTAAGAAGCATTTTTGTTCAGTCTCTGTAAACATCAGATGCCGGGTAATTTAGAACCTTGTATTGTAAGCGCCAGAAGCCGCAAAAACCTGGTCATGTGACTTACTCACGCGGCGGATGACCTTTTCTAAGGTGCCACCCGACCTGTAACCTGGTGACGTGGTCACGCTCCAACATGGAACTTTGCCGTAGCCTGCGTTCATGTTCTCAGAGCGCTTCCAGCAATACCTTTGAGCGATCAACCCGACATACCATGACTCGCTGCCCTAAAACATTCACGAACCGTGAGTTATTTTGTATGCCACTGCCCTCACGTCGACCTTCAATTGCAATATTCCAATCTTTGTTCCGCTCTCGACAGCTCAAACCAGGATATTTCGCACGGCTGAACTCCACAATGACCAAGGACCATCGCATCGAGTACAACTGGGTCAAGGGTGTAGAGACACTCGAAAAATATCAGCCTGGGGGTTATCATCCCATCATGATTGGAGACGTGCTAAATGACAGATACCACATTGTCGACAAACTTGGTTAGGGCTCTGTCTTCTTCTTTTCTGTCATCCTCGCCCGTGCGCCCCGGACATGGTTTAGTACCTCTTCTCCTAGATGAATTCATAGTGCAAGGTCCTAATGGAAACCATACGTGCTACACGGTGACCCCTGCACAATGCAATCTCAGAGAGATCTCCTTTAGCCGTCTTTTCTCCCTCAGAGTTGCCCGGGCACTATCATATGGGCTTACACAGGCCGTTGCTTATACACATTCTCAGAACTATGTCCACGGAGGTTTGTCATGCGACCACGACTCTTCCCGGGTTTTATACCAGTAAGCTGACATTCAAAAATGGTTGATTTAGATATTCATCTAGGAAACGTTTTGGTCAATCTCCCGTCGAGCTTCGATGACTTATCCATAAAGCAATTATATGAAAAGTATGGTGAGCCCGAGACAGTCCCTGTCACACGATGTGACGGGGAACCATTACCCTCTAATGCCCCAGCCAAGGCGGTTGTGCCGCTGTTCCTAGGGAAATATGCAGAGTTCTCATTATCCGACGCGCGCCCGCTTCTGAGTGACTTCGGTGAAGCGTTTTCACCCGCTTCAAAAGTCCGTCTTGGGAAAGACTGCCATACGCCACCTGCATTTCGAGCTCCAGAAGCCAAATTCGAACCGCAGGTCCCCCTAGCATATCCCTCTGACATCTGGAGCCTGGCTACGGCAATCTGGGAGATCGTCGGAATGAAAGCCATTTTTAGCACCGATTACGTGCATGGGGACGAAATAGTGTCTCAACAAATTGATGTACTTGGACGTATTCCTTTGGAGTGGTGGCGGCGGTGGGAAGGACGACCTCGGTTTTTCGATGAACAGGGGTGCCCAACAGAATCCTACAGCGGAAACAGATGGCCTCCACTTCAGGAGTCATTTGAGGTCTGTGTGCAGAGATGGAGACGGAAAGTGGACCAACTGCATTATTATTTCTCTATGGTTTGTTATAGAGCACTAGCCCAGTGCTTGCCGTGGCGGTGGAAGCGCTATAACATTACTAATAGAGACACATATGAAGCAGATGACCGTACTTCACTGACCCGACAAGGTTCCTACATTTAAAGAAAAGGTATGCGGTGAGCACACCCTTTGAAATTACTACCAGAGGTCTAACTTGGAAAGAACATGCGCACAGAGCACGCGGGACAGAATGTTACTGTAGCCATACAGACCAAGCAAATTGATGACCGACAATTTCGCAGCATGAGTAACTCTGACAGCACTGATTCTATTACATTCTACTCTGACAGTATTTCAAAATCAAACTATGTCAACTGTCAGAGTAACCAACCACAAGGCTCTAAAAATTCTAGATTCTTTGCTGTTCAACCTGCATCTTTCCAGCAAACGCACCATGGATGTTTTTTTGGATTAAGTGCCAAGATATTAGCTTGGGTAGACAATTAGCGGGATGCTGTAACTCTGGTAAGAGCCGTTTACTACTACGATTGACCCTGGCGATTTTGTTAGTACGGTGGAGAGTTACAGGGATCTGGATCCTTGAAGCGGTCAGTCTTCCATACAGCACCGCCTCTCAAATCGCCATGCGAAGCCTGGAATATCAACTCTGAATGGCCCTACAGAGTATTAATAATCATATGAACGGCAGAATCCAAAGGATTCAAATCCCTGCAACTCTCCACCGTACTAATCACCAGGGTCAATCAGAGTAGACAGACTGTATTCTATACAACTCTACAACTTTATTACAGCCCGCTTAATGATATTTTAATAAGATAATAACGCTATTATCTTTGCGGTAAGATTTAGAAACAAAAGTGATATGTTTGTTGGTCAAGCCGAATTCGAGATTGCCTGTATACTGTGAAGAGTGGCAAATGCAGACATGAGGCATACCCATTTGACAGCTAATATAGAAACAGAGAAAGCCTCTTTCAGCAAGCAGAAACCGAGAATCAAAGCGGATTGAGCCTAGTATGCCCGTAAGCTCTAGTTCGATCGGTATAGACACATTAGAGGAACCAAAGGCGCTGCACACACAAGAGGGCTTTCTGGCTTCGACGAAATGCTTGACCTACTGATTAAGGTCCATGCTCTTCAGCCTTCTTGTGACGTCTTTACTGAGCAGTCAATCGACAGCCATAATTGAACTGGTATGAAGCTTTCATGTGTTACAGTACATTGCTTGGAATAGTCATGGTCGAGTGCTTGTTGAGTTCAAAACCCTGCAGGATATTCATAAATCAGTGCCACATCGCACGTACATGGATGTGGAAGACGGAGAGTCCTGGATTCTACTATACTGCTATTAAGGAGAGCTAACCGTACGCAGGAGAAGATCATTTGGTTATTCTTGGAATTATCTGATGTTGTCTTTCGCGCTGTAAATTAGTTAACAGCTAGTAGTGAAATATTTCTACAGATAAGATAGTGTAAAGGGTGATAACTAGTACAGCCTCTGTAGCCATAGTTCTGAGCTTCAATTGGTTGGCCAGTATTGTTTTCTGGCTAGAATAGCTCTGACCGATTGGGCCTGGCATTTAAACTTAGCATCCGCGACGGCCTAAATTCACTGCATATTTACTAGAGATAGGCGTAAGAATCGTGCTTGAGTAACACCGGAACTAGGTTAGTACGACTTTATTATAGCTAAGTAGTAGTCAGGCCGCGATCTACATTATAAAAAACAAAAATTTTCAGGCAGTTTGATCCTAAATAGGCTAGTAGCGGTAGTAAACTTTACCGGAGAAAGCCTGCATGCAAATCAACAGGCGGCCACAATCTACAGCTGCAGATTGTGATAATAGGGGCTAACAAGGAATATACAAAATAGGATGAAAGGAACTGATCAAGTGTCCTTCTTAGCACAAGTTCGACTACTAAGATAATAAAAATCCGTCAAAATTAATACACAGAGCACCGCGAAGACTAATACTTAAAAACAAATTTCCCCAAGTTTCAAAACAGAATATTTTATAGTAATCTAATTAAGCTAAGTATACATCTTCGTGTTATCACAGCCATATTATTTATGAATATGAGTGGAATAGTTAAATCTGGTACAGTTCTATATTCTGGCAACACATGCATAGCTAACCTGATCTACTATTAGAAATAAAAGATGATCCTATTTTGGTGCTTGATGATCCCCAGGATGCTGCTGTAAAACAACTTTCAGATAATTCAGCAGCCAATATTCGAATTTGAAAAAAAACTATAAATTTCGACTAATATAGTGTTTTTTAAAGTGGTACAGTTAAAAGCTCGTCGTTCTCAGCTTTATTTATAAATAAGACCGAACAGGCTACAGACGGTAAGGCAATTTTCCTCTTAGTACTTAGGTATACTAATCTGGTTATATTTATAGGAATATACAATAGCCCGACATTTGTTCTGAGTAATGGTCTAAATACTATTCTAAATACACCCTGTAATACCTTACAAGCTAATGGTTGTGGTTAAAGTAACAAGACCAAGGCCGACAGTTATAAGGCCACTTCTTATAATACTATTAGCAGCCTAGTATTAGGAATAACAACACCTAATAACACCGGCCCCTTTATCATACTTTCTGAAGGGCGCACTATTATGGCCGAGCAGGGTAGCAAGATACTGATTTTAGAACACAAATAGCTTAGGATAAATAAAGAGGTCGACTTTAGTCGAAACAAGACTTGTCTTACTATAAAGGGGTATAAAAACTTTATACTTATTGCCAGTCTGAAGTAGTCTTTTGTTGTACTAATCAAGCTGCATACCCCTAAGCTATGTGCAAGCGTCATAACTAACACAGATAAGCCCCTTGTTAAGGCTCAACAACACAAGAAGAAAAGGACCATATAGTTAGAAATATATAAGTCACAAATCTGGTTCTAGTAACAGCATAAGAGAGGCTTAAAATAGAACATGGTTTCAACCTTTTTCTATAATGCTTACTGTTATGCTGCGGGCAACCTGACTGTCCTTAAAATTGGCAGGGTGAAAACTTTTGTCTGCATTGCTATATATTTCAAACCCGTCCCCCTGCATAACATAAGTTTCTTCATTCACCCTATCATTACTGCTGCTCCAACCCAAATAAGTGAAATAAGATGTAAAGTCAAATGCTGCTTGCAGCGGTTGGAAAGTCTTCTTCAGACCACTAGAAATAATATAAGCTCTAATAACCTAGAGTCTTCACCTAGTCTGATACTTAATAGGATATAAGTGACTGGATTTATAAGATTAAACAAGCCTCAGATCTGCTTATATCTCTACAGCAACTCTTCTCCAATATAGTACAGAGACAAAATACACCTACTGAGAATAAAACTAAATATATAAATTTCTATTGTGATTTCCAGTCGGCTGATAGACCATTATTCACACAGCAGATAGAAAGCCTTACAGCTGTGACAAAACAATAGAAGCTTAATAAAGAATATGTTTATAGCCTGAAAACCTGTGCTGAATTATAGTATAAGTATTCTATTCTATTCTAGCTCGGGCTATCTAAAAAGGAACCTACAAGGCGCTGTATAAACAAGTTATAAAAAGTAAGTCAAATTAACTCCACCAAGCGCAGGGTTCTGTTGGTTATACTATCTGAAGAGGTTGAACGCCAAAAGGTTAATAATCAGACACAGAAAAAAAGGCGTAAGAAAGCAGATTATTAAGCTAAAAAGGCATCTAACTATACCTATAATTCTGTTAACAGTCTTTGCAAACGCTTGTATCCTTAAATAAAAAAAGAAATACTAAAGACCAAAAAGTCTCAGATTTTACTTTATACCGGCTACAGATAGAAATGGAGCCAATTACACCCTAATACATATATTCTGAATTTACCAAATATTAATATCAATAGGTAAGAAGACATGGATCAGATATCCGCAATATAAAAATCTAGCTAAATAAACAGATATGAGAGAAAATGCTGGATATGGATTAAATTCGAGGCGATTAATATCTTCATACATACTTTACCTCAGGTTAAGGTTGCGCAACCCCTTAAAAATGTTTGGAATACCATAACCAAGTTCTACCACAGTAGAGATCTATTTTCAAAGTGGAATCAGATATATGCTGATTTAAGAGGAGGTAATATATCTTAGCTAAGCTTAAGCTTAGCTAATAATATATCAAGATTTAGGTATTGCATTAGATAATATGCTAATTTTAGTTATAGCCGGAGCTTTACTATATCCAGCCGATGTATCCAGTTCAAAAAACTGAAAAAGCTTACAACAAGCACCAGATGATTTGGATAGTGAGATAAATACAAGCCCCGAAATCGACTTAAACTCAGCCTATAAGCTAAACCCGGAGTTAGAACACGCCAGTAAGTTTAAAGAGTTCAGTCGGCATACATCCAATAAAGTTCCTACTATATAAAAAGGCTTTTTTTTTACCGGAAGTCCTTTTAATGCCTCTAAGACTCCTGGTACAAATACTGTCGCACATAGATCACAGACACCTGTTTAAAAAGTAGGAGGTAACATACTTAAGGACTTTAACAACAGTAATATACCTAAACAACCATAAAAAACCTTCCAGAGCATAACAGTTGCCTTATAAACAGTAAAGAAAGATCCTAACGCAGATATAAGTACCGCCTGTATTACCCCACAGTAATTAGTAGAACTATTATTATATTTCTTTATTTGTTAAGAAGCAGACAATACATATAATCACTAGTCTTATTAAGATTTTATTTCTGATATAGAAACAGAAACCAGCACCTCTCATCCAGACTTGATTCAAAAGAAAGTATATAGCTACTTAAAACAACGATTATATCACCCAGGAACCAGACTTGGGATAAAGAAAGCAGTTTATTTTTTTTGCATCGGCTTCTGATCTGGATTTAAGATTTAATAGATAAAGTAGCAAGTGGGATAATAATTGCAAGTTGACAGCCTGCAAGGGAGAACTTCCTATCTTCTAGTAGGAACAAAATTGGCTTTGCAAGATGTTCTGTCTGCTATAGTATAAGACGGAGGTCAATCTTCTAGGTAAATCCAAGATTGGTTAGAGTATAGGGCTTACTTGAGATATATATTCATTTTTAAGCCTTATTAAAAGTTCCTCGCAGAAGAGTGCTGGTGGAACAGCGGCCAGAACCTTAGAATAATTTTTAGGACGAGCATAATGCTCGCAAGTCTCTTTAAAGATCTGGGAAACAAAATTTCTGAATTCTGCAGTAGTTTCGACATGTACAAAAGGCCGCTCCATCTTTCAAGTCATGCTGGTGTAAAGTTAAATTCGAGTAATGGATCGAGATTTGCAAACATCAAGTAGGGGGTGTAGTGATATATAAAAAAGGTATTTGGAGCTAATTATTACTGCCTCTAAAGCTTTCCTTGTCGGGTGGGACTTACATGGAATCCGAATTGTTGGTAGATGGAACTAAATAGAATGATTGCCCTCCGTGAGAGGTCACCAGGGTATGGTCCGCGGGAAATATGTGAATATACAGAAAACTGTGAATCTCATTTACTCAACTCCACGGTATATTTGTATCTTATCTGACAAGATTTAGTCCTATAGAACTAAAATATCAGCTAATTGATGTTACACAATCCGCTAACTTGAGCAATGAGATAAACCAATCACAAGCAGTTTGGGCAAAGGTCAAGCTTGTGGGCCATACCATACGGTGTAATCCTCCGGTGGTCTGCGCAGATCACGTGGACCGCCACTGGCTATTCACACCATCAGGAAAATCAACCGTAAACCATAGTGAGAAGAAAGTAAAATGCATACCAATTTTAGGTTTAGAACGTACAAATTGTTCTCTCACGTTATACAGTACCTGCTGTGTTTTGGTATTCCCGGTTCTATTGTATGACGTGTATTGTATGACTTCCGTCTTTTAATACGTGCAGAAGCCACAACTAGGTTTCTCATCCAGCTCTAGACAAGCTTATTTTATCATGTTGAAAGAGTCATATTTATCTTTAAAGTATGCCCTTTTAAGAATCAAAATCGTTTCAAATAAATCTTGGACACGACAAATTCTTATATTATCATACAACTCTTAACAACGGCGATGGAGAATAGTCGAGAGTAGAAAAACAGATTCTGGAATTACTGCTCTCCCTTTAAAACTTGTCTGTCGATACTAAAATAAATTCTGAACCTGCATTAAGATATAAAGCTAATTTCTAAATAGGCTGTCTTGCTCTCTGGTGTCTATACTGTATATATAATCGTACTGTCTTACAACTTGACAACCCAACTTTGCAAGATCACACTTTATTAAATAGTGATGTATAGCGCGCGTAATTCTTTCTCTATAATTAACTAGGCTAATATTTGATCTAGTGTTGTATCTACTATTTGGCTGGCTGTTGTGGTTTGAGCTTTATTCCGTTAATAATAAAACAGGCCAGATTGCGCAAAAAGTTTGAGCTTAAGGGTTTGAGCTGTAATAATTGCTTTAAGTCGTGTTGCTGTTCAATTTGTACTTTAATACAGATAGAAAAGGAGATAAAAAGCCGCGCAGAGCTGTTAGAAACAGAGACCTATCAAGTACCGGCAGAGATGAGATATGAGTAACAGTATTATAAGGTCGAAGAGTTGATAGAATGTTTAGCAGCTGCTTATTCTGGAATACAGTATTGTCGGCCACGGTATATACAGTATTCCCGAAATCTGGTATATTGGTACTGGGTATTTGTTTCCAAATTTTATTATCATACTAAATTGTATGACATCAGACTATTATAGCGAATTTGGGATTGAAGGGCAAATCTTTTGTTTTTCAAAGAGTTAATAATATCATGAAATAGCAATTTCGAACACCGAACATATTTACCTGCCGGTTCTATTACGTATTGACGGACCTTGCATAACAAATGTACTGTATCACCACCTTCTACTTGGCCGTGTTTTGAGTGGAAAATGTTGGTAAAACATATAAGCTCATAACTTATAAAAAGCCATAAATTCTAGAGTAGTTATAATGGAACGAAGACAAAATTCCGAGCATTTGCAGAACAGTAGCCAATACCACTAAAACATGAAATATCTGATGGGAGGATCCAAATATGTCAAATTTACCCGGTCTTCTGGATTCGGGAATCTTTGTCTATACTAATTAATATTTCTTTGGGACGCAATACGAACTTAATACTAACTGTATAAAACAATGCGCCTAATAATAGGATAAATCCTTCAGCAAGATAGTAAAGCATTCCAGCCTGTTTGATCATCGGCCGAAAGCCAATAATGATAGTGCCGTGTATAAGAGGAGCACAAGCTGAAAGGCCAATACTGATAAAGATACCAACACAGAATGTACACCAGCATGGGCCTTGAAACTTCGAGTGCAGTAAAGTTAAAATTATTGATAAGTCCAAAAACACTATCTAAACAGATTATACTTAGTAGAATAATAGTAAACAATAGACTTTTTAACATACTAAAGCCCAATATCTCCATTTCAGAGTAGGTTCGTTGTAGAAAACCATATTAATCCCAGATATAAAATCACCAAGCATCAAGATAGCGATTCCGACGTAATTGAGATGTAACCAAAGATTTGAAATATTCTTAGAGTGGTTGATCAATGTGTGATATATAACAGATATTAATAGACATATACTTGCTGTCAGGAGAAAAAAGGCAAAGATCAGATAATCAGCAATTGTTGCTTTGGGGTAATATGTATGAATATAATTATATATAAGTATTTCAGCTGCAAGAAATAATGTCCCAGGGATCAGGTGAGAATATATGTTGATGGTCTCATTGTGGAGAGGAACCAAACTGAGAAAACATATATAGCTAGATTTTGAAACAGAACGATAACCGTTATGAATAAACTTATTATCTTGATACCACTCCGGTATCTCAGAATAAGATAAAAGACCGCAAGTTATCTCTCTAATTGTATTTGTAACTGATGGTACTGATTCTTCCATAATTCTAGTCCGTAAAGGTTTCTGCTGGCGCTGGAATGGAGTAATTCTGGGTGATCTCTCAGCTTTCTTATAATGTAAAAAATGGATATTACAAATCTCAATAGGAGACTGTTAGATCAGCTCCTGGCTTTGTATTATATTAGTCTTCGAATGGTTTCTATCTTGGAGTTGCTGTTATGAGTATGAGTGATTTAACCTTGATTTCTGATTTCCTGAAAGCAAGCCAGCACCACTCATACCAGGTCTTCGATTACCGGTGTCTCTACAGAAAGTTTTTCAATTTACATGCTGACATCGGAAAATCTGAATCAGAATCAGAAATTGAAGCCAACCTAGTAGTGATAAGTTTTGCTTGACCCTCAACATAATTACAGCATGCTCGATTCTTTTCTTCTTTTGCTGTTATATTGTAGTACAGTACAGTACAGTACAGCTTCGACGGCTTTTTGATTTGAAGTATTTATCGTAACCGATCAACATTGTTTGGCCATAGAAGTTGAGCCCTTGACAGGCCCTTTGAAGCTTTCTATATTTGCTCCATACAGTCAGAATTCTTCGAAATCAGTTTCGCTGCCAATAGCACCCGCGTTGTTTCCGAGCCCTAATGCCAAACTACGCTAGCCTGTATATGGATTATACACTTTTTATGCGCGAATGTGGACGCGATTTGTATGGTAAATAAAATTCACATGAATACGGTACACGGAAACTGATGGTATGGGTGATACAAAAATCTAAGAGCTTCTCACGTGCCGCTTACGAGGACCATTGGACGTCATCTGATTGAAATAGTCGGACACGGGAGGGGCAGTAGTCGGTAGTGCCCAGTTCCCCCAGGCCCCTCTTTTGAAAAGAGATTTGGAAATGCAAGAGAATTGGAAAAAGGATTTGATAAAATGACTTATAATCTCGCGCGTTCATTATTGGTGCCTTGCCACCACCTTCTTGGAAGGTAGCCGAAACAGCGCGAAAATTCTATTAATACTGCAGATAACTATAAAAACCTCTGTTCTCCCTGACCCTCCTTTTAAAAAGAGATTTGAAAATATAAGAGAGCTGGAAATATGATCTAACACGGTTTACCTTACATGACTGAAAACGCGATTATGGCAACTCTACCACTTGTGCATCCGAGTGCGATAGTACTGTCTTGAACGGCTGAAAAGCTAGGCTGATAATCTGGAGGCAGCCATAGCTCTCTTCGATCTTGAATAGTAATCCACCGATCTGCAAGAGATACCTCTGCCACTTTTCGAGAGGGATTTAATTGGAAGCTCTTATAGAAGATTTCAATATCAAAAGACCCCACATTCGTATTCAGCTGCCGCAGGTGCTCAGAAAATTGAATGTTGGTGATAGTTCTGTCGGCACTTATGGTACGCTTGAGGGTGCCAGTGGCGGGATCCCAGAGCTTGATGGTGTGATCAAGAGAGCCCGATGCTAGAAGCTGGCCATCTCGTGAGAAGGCGACCGAGT